TTTTTTGAAAATCAACATCCCGGGGAGAACATCACCGACCAAAAATATTCCTGAATAACGCCTAGCTGCTCAATCGTTGGGCAGCCCAAGGGATATACGCTTGTGTTTCATCAACAACACTCATCCCTCTACCCAAAATTCGCCCCAGACGCCCTGCTTGCCCAACAATCACTACGGAGAGAAAAGACATTCCAAGCCAGCTGCATCATCCGTAAAATTCCAACCACGCGAACATAAAACATCATTAACAAAGATACTTGTACAGCCTCTTCCACTTGGGCCAAGTCCTCCTCTCCTCGGACTCCTGCGCGACCAGGATCGGCAGATTGAAATCCCTCCGGCCGGTGTCGATGTCCATATCCTCGATGTGCACCAAGCTGGTGCGGAAGTAGAGCCGGTGGGCGAGGTAGAACAGGATGACGATCGGGGCGGCCATGTACTGGAGGAAGAAGTTCTCGGCCAGGTCCCGGCTGGACATGGTATCGTAGTCAACCGGCCACGCGCCAACCCAGAACTGAGCGATGAGCACCAGCACGTTAAGCACGAAGCCGACCCACGAGCCCCAGACGCCGCACTGGGCCTTGAAGGCGAGCTCGCGCAGGCTGTGGCCCTTGGCCGCCCACGCCTTGCGGAACCGGATGTGCGCCAGGCAGATGGAGGCCCACGTGAAGATGGAGGAGAGACCGGCAATGGCCAGAAGCCAATCAAACACGGTCGATTGGGATGCGGTATCAGCAAGATAGGCGAGCAGGCCCACGGACAACGACACAAGGATGGCGACCAGAGGCCGTCCTCGTCGGTCGATGTAGGAGAGTATTCGCGGCGCCTGTCCCTGGTCTGCGAGAGCCGCCAACGTACGGGATGAGCCGAAAACGGACGAGTTACCAACCGAAAGCACGGCAATCAGGATGACCACGTTCATGACAGATGGTAAAATCTCGATGCCCGCGTTTTCAATGGCAATCACAAATGGGGAGGCCCCTGTGTTTGGGCGGGTGTCATCCGCCAGCAGTCGTTCGTCGTTATAGGGTACGAGCAGCCCGATAAGTGTCAGCGCTACGATGTAGAACAGGGTGATGCGCCAGAAGACCTGCTTGATGGCAGTGGGCAACGACTTGCGCGGGTTAATCGTTTCTGCGGCAGCAAGGCCGACAAGCTCTGTACCGGCGAATGCGAAAGCCGCCATGACGAAGACGCTGCACAGCCCCTTGAAGCCGTTGTGGAAGGCACCAGGAGTCTGCCAATATTGCCCGCCAATGTAACCGCCATCCGGAGTCCCACCAATGTTGAGGACTATGCCCAGTAATCTGCTCGAGTTAGAAGGAGTACAACGGGGAAATTTTCATGACAGAGTTCGACTTACATAAAACCGATGACGGCAGTAACCTTGACGATTGCCATAATGAACTCAGCTTCACCATAGCCCTTGACGCCGAAAAGGTTGATAACGACGACGGTGAGAAGAAATATCGTCACAAATATGGCCCTGGGGAGATGAGGATTCCAGTAAGATATAGTTATAGCCGCGGCAATGATCTCGAGTGGAAGTACCACGATCCATTGCAAAATATAACTGGAAACCTGTTGTTAGCGAGGCAGCTCCACGGAACTGTCCACGGAAGTGTCCAGCAAGATTAGGGCATTTGACTTACTTCCATCCCATTGCGAAACCCCACGAGGGATCAAGGAAACGTGTTGAGAAAGCCGAAAACGAACCGGCGACGGGGAAAGCCACAGCGAGTTCTCCAAGTGCCTGGCATGTGAAATAGAGCATAGCACCAACCAAGGTGTATGCTATTAACACGGCCGCGGGCCCTCCCGTCTGAAGGGCTCTACCGGAAGCCACGAACAGACCGGTACCGATCGAGCCACCGATGGCAATCATCTGCAGATGTCTCCCCTTCAACTTCCGGGCGAGACTAGACTGGGCGGTCCTCAGCGTCGCGAGGCGCATGTCGTAGTAGTGGGAGCCGCCATTCTGTTCCAGCGGCGGGGGATGTATGGAGCCCACCTCGGTGGCGAGGATCTCGTCGAAGGGGTCCTTGGGCGTGATAGTGTAGCCCGTGTCCCGTCGAAAGCCGTCCATCCATCGCGCAAGCATGCCCTGGGGCTGCGGGTCCTCGTACATGGGCTCCCGCATGCTGTAGTTGGTGCCGTGCGCGAACGAGTCCTCCTTCAGCGGATACAGCTTCAGCTCAATGTCCCGGCTCGATGGCATCGTGGCAGTCGTCGATTCAGCGGCGACGGAGCCGCCGGCGCTGCTAATCCTGCCCGCAACAGGCGATACGCGGTGTAGGTGGTGTACTGTGTTATAACAATCGGTACTCGCCAGTGGACTGAGCTGGGTCGGGCGATTCTCTCGCTATACTAACGTGGGCCGTGGGAGAATCGTCGCGCGAAAAGGCATGCTTGCGCAGGCGCGGCAGCTTCTGACACGACAACGTCTTCGGCGTTTCGAGGAGACCGAGTCTTGCGCAGTTCTCGGCGCCAACTCGCAATTGCGGACGTGGTTCAGTCGTGTGCCTAAGCACCCCGATCAGTCGCTGTTCTGAGGGGTCGGCGTGTGGTCGGTGTGCGGCGACCCGTTGGCGGACTAGTTTCGCTGTCAATCGCTGCTCGGCTGCAGTCGTCGTCGCAATAGCAATGTTGATGGCCTCGCCCGAGGGGAAGACTCGCACGTCGACGTTTTGGATTGCGACATTGAAACAGGCGAGAGGAAGGGGCTGGACGGCTGGACGAGACCAGACAAGACGAGGGCTTATCATGGGCTGCGCACCAGTTGCCGCATTCGCCGTAGGGCCCCGAGATAGGTGATACCCAGCCAGGTCGCTCGCTTCAGTCCCCGCGGACGGCGGTTGGTTGCGTGTGTTGCTGTCTCGCGGTAGGCCCACGCCGACAAGGATCTCGCATCCCACACCTGCGCCAGCCCATCAGCCCCGGAGGCCCGTCGATCGTTCCAGCCAGCTCGCGTGGGGGTGGGCCAAAGTCGTACGACCCAGTTCGCTGGCTCGTCGGTCCCTGAGCGTCACAGGCATCGCCTATTCACGTGAAAATACTGCAAGATGCAGAGCCTGGTCGAGGACTTGTGTCAGGTCTGAATTGATATCTTCAGCTCAGCCCCAGCGTAGCATAACAGTTGGGATCAAACCTAAAGCACTAAGTTGTCAGATGGAATACCCTGCGCTTTGATAGATAAGTTAGTGCTATCCACAGGACTCTGGACCCGCTAAGCTCAACTATAATAACTGGGATGCTTTGTAGGTATAAGGGATTTGGGATAGTCACAGCCCCAACCCGGCCCAAAGCATAACAGCTTACACACATCGTTATGGGGCATTTCATATTCTGGAACAGCAAAAACAGTCAAGCCGGCAAGACGTTAGACAAGGAATCAAATGCTGCGTATGAGATAATTCAACTTGACTGTAGATACTCTAGCAATTATTGAGACAATGCCTAGAGTTCACGCTGCAACTCTGTCCAGTCCAGTAACACCTCTTGTAAAGGCATCGTAGGCTTTAATACCGAACATCTTTGAGAGGCTTTTACAGACTTGTGGAAATAAGCAAGAGAACAAGAATCATGATTTCTGTTTCTTCATCGATGCCTATTGTGTATGCATGGAATATCGAATGGAACACAACCATCCTGCCAAGCGCGTGAAAGATTGAGCCAAAGGTGATAACATGGCAGTTTGCACCACCGGCCATTACGTTGATTCTAAGACAACAATTTCACATCACAAGTCACAACCAATTCAGGTACATTCAGTAAATCTGAATGACATCCAAGCACACTGTCGTTATCTTCTCGTCACTACAAGGCCCAGAGTGGTTAGGCCTTTGGTTCCCAAGTAAACCCCACGCTGCGCACGAACGCCGCTGCGCCTTGCCAGCCGGCGGCTGGGGTCAAGAACCCGGGCCGTCCCATGCATGATGAAGTTTCACCATCTTCAGCTCTACATCCGGATAGAGATTTTACTCTTTCAATGGTGGCTGGGTGCCCCGACTGCCTCGGCGGTGCATGCAGCAGGCCTGTAGTGTTGGCCGGCGCTTAAGGCCCTGGTCACGGCCCGAAGGTAGAGGAGGGAGCTCGTGTGAGTTCTTATTGAGCCAGTCTGTCGTCAATTTCTTGCCAATGCGGATTATAGCAAGCATTTTGCGTACCCAAGAATAAACCAATTCTGACTCATTATGGATTCCCCTTCTCCGAATCAACACAGGCAAGTCTCTACGCCGCTGAAGCAGAGAACCCGGCCAAATCACCGGCCGGCAGCTCGATCTGCTGGCGAGCCCTACAAGCGACGCTCTGATCAGACGGAGCCACAAGGTGATATATCACCTTCGGTCAGGACACGGCGTTGTCTATCAACGGGTTCGTCGCCGATTTCAAGATCAGAGACGACAACTACGCCTAAGAGGGAACCATCCGCAGGTGTCGCGGATAAGACTATAAGGGAAATCATCAATCTTGTCTCGGAATACGAGTCTCCTCAGCCAAATCGGATCTTCATCAACCTCGTGACAGACGACGAATCTTCTCAATCAAATGATCCACCGGCCGAACCACATGTCCCAGTTGAAACTCGAGTAGCATCGCCAGTACGTCCAGCTCGGCGTGTTAGCATTAGCGATACAACGCCTACTCGCCCTAGTCTGCAACGTCAAACCAAGAGTGAGCCTTCGACGCGGCCGAAGACGACTCCGACCAAAATAGACAAGAGAATTCAAGCCTGCCTGCGCAAACCTCTACCTGATCGCCAAAATAAGTTCAAAGGTGTCGGTAATAATTATATATTCGAGACCACCACCGCGGAGCAGTCAAGCGACAAGATCGTCAAGATTGGCGTCACAAGAGGAGCGGAACAGGCACGATTCGACAATATTGCCAAGGGGTGTCGACACCTGCTGATTGAGGAACAAAACGACCCAGAGCACATGCCAATCCGACTCTACGTTCGTGCGGAGCAGCTGATGCACAGGGAGTTGGAGGACTTTAGACATTCGTTCAAGTGCCAGTGCAAGGTGAAATCCCACAGAGAGTATTTCAACGTCGACAAGTCCGTTGCTCTCGAGGTTGTCCAGCGTTGGAGAGAGTTTTGCAAAAGAGAGCCCTATGATGAAGACGGGAAACTTCGATCGTTTTGGGAGCACAGGCTGAGGCAGTTCAACACGTACGGGGATTCAGGGACAAAGATTGACCATCCAGAGCGAGCGGATCGATGGCGACGCTTCATGAATCCTACGAGGTGCGAAGTGCTCTGGTACGATTCCAAGGAAGCATTCAAGAAGATATGGAGGTGGAGGTGGTTAGCAGTTTCGCTCATTCAGAGCTTCATCATCGCTGTCCTAGCCTTTCCCCGTTTATATCCTGTCTTTCTGTTTGCATTCATGGTAGGTTGGGTCTTAGTGGAAACGTCTGATTTGGACCATCCGGTTTTTCTCAACGCCCTTAACTGGGCGGCGGACGGCATTCGAAAACCGGCTTTGTTACAGCATTCGGCAGCTGGCCCTACAAGACCCGCCGGCAAGACATCCGAGGTTGGCAGAGAAGAGGAAGGGTTGGACGAACAAGAATACGGAGACCTTGGCGACGTGGAGAGCTGTTGTTCATCGGACGTCGAAGGCCTTGGGATTGACTTTGAAGATGGCACCGATACTTCGGTGACTGAAGATGCTGTCAGCACCACTGGCAGTGACGAGACTAGGCCATCCACGGCAGATTAAATAGGAAATGCGAGTTGCTTGCTCTCACCAGTTTTGGAAAGTGCCCATAAAGCTCAAGAGTCGAGTGACTCAAGTCCCTTACGGCATCGCCGGCTGAAAGAGGAGTCGCAATGTAGCAAGGTCTACATAGCGAGGCCAGAAGCTGAGTGGCCTAAGACTTTCAGCTTCACAATTCGCGTGATCCGCAACTAAGCCGGGCACTTTACCATCTACGTCTAGAAGGGACCAAGCGCACACAAGATCCATCGCGCCGGAGCTGACCCGCTCAAGATTCTAGCGTGTGGGAGCTCCATTTGCGTGCTGTTCTGGCCAGCAGCACGAAGCCGGAGCGACAGCCGCAGTGTGTACGAAGTGGAGCCCAATCAGACTACAAATCAAGAGGCCCACCACGTCACGGTTGCCAAGGGTTTACCGGCGAAATACGATCCGACCTCCAAACCTATCGACCTGCGGACAACCTTCGGGCCAGAAGTAGCCGCAAAGACCATAGTGCAAATGCAGCGGTACCAAGCCAGGAGCCAGGAGCCCTCGCTGTAACAGTCAGACCTCCATCCCAGTCTGAATGGGAGGATCCCCTTGTATCAATATGCTCCCGGGTACTTGAAAAGGAAGGCTGCACGCACGAAGGCCAGTGAGCGCCGGCACTGAGAGAGACGCGCAAGCTGAACAAGGACTCGAAGGATCCGATTGCTGAGGGTAAGCCTGGCGAGGATGGAGGCGTCAAGACAGACCAACAATGACGCGTGCCGCGGCCGCGGTGCAGTTTGTTGTACGAATATGTAGTCTTGGTCAGGATATGTTCGTGAAGTTTTTCGAATCAGCTCACATCGCAGGTTCATGGCTACTTGCTACCGCAGTAGATATACACTGTAAAAAAAAAAATTTCCCAGTGGCCATCAGTCTCAAGTGAGCATACGAGGTGCAGCACTCTCGGAACTCCGAGATATCGGCCTCTGTCCATGCTATTGAACTGGGGTGCTTCTTTAGAATCCTTGCAATGTCGAGACATCGAGGACTCTTACTCAACAGTGGTATCCTCCACCGCCAAGGACGAATCAAAACACTCCTCAGCCTCAGTGAAATATATTCTGCGTGGACATCGCTTAGCAGCTCGTCACAAGAAAACCTTTAACCCCTGAGCTTATACTGTGCCCTACGATTTGAGCTGCTTGATTTCTACTCTGCATGCGTGGACTGCCCGGAGTAACTCGGCAAGATCGATCCCGGCTGTGTGGTTTCAGGGTTGCGGCCCACTTTCACAGAAGAACTCCATCTTGCGAGGTTGCCAAACTTAGCTCGAAGAAATAGATACTACAGTTACAAGTATCCAGCCAGCGACCCTTACGGGCTCTCCTGTCATCCCCTTGGGCTAATCCTGCTGCTCGTGGCAGCCAGCGGTCGTCATTGCCCCGGTGATAGATCGAAACGGCTGGTACGTATGTGCATGGTTGCGCAACAGTAATACATCCAACGACGATCACAGGTGCTCACTCGCTACGGGATATTAGGAAGCTTTTCTGCTTGATGCGCAAGCTGTGAAGTATCCTGCCAGCTTTTTGGTGAAGATGGCACTAGTTTGATCATCACGCTGGACTCATCCGCGGAGAGAAGCCCCAGCTCATCATGCTCTACTCGAATGCGTGTGAGCGGGCGAAATTATTTCAGGAGAGTCGTGCTGCGCATCAATTGTCGACAACGGCAGCACAGCCGACCATGCCTTCGCATTTGTCCTGAGACCATATGAGAGAGATTCAAGGTCATGGTGCCGGGATCAAGGGTCTGCGTATGGCTGCATGGATCTCGTAAAAAGAATAGTTGAGCATTCATAACCAATGCGGCTGCGCGAGAGGAGCGCTGCAGATACCGGACTGCCACTACCAGAAATCCAGTACAGAGGATATAAGGGATGCACGTGTAGTTTTCGAATGTAAGAGACGGGTACAAGATGAAGAGGGCTGACGGCGACTGGGAACTGGCTCAGAGCTGCAAGACCGACTTGGTCCAGGTCTATAATCTAGTGACCTTGTCTTAAGGGCACGACAAGCTTTTCGTTCCTGGAAATATAGTAGGCTTCCGACAAGCTTAATCCTCTGAGGCCCAAGACATTATATGTTGACCGGCCTGGAGCGGTTCTCACAGAACTCTCTAGTGTCTTCTCATACTTTGTGCTTTGTATGCAAGTCGTAATGCAAACGAGAAAGATTCATGATTGGCAAAGCCAACAGTCCAAGTGTGTCTTGCTTGCGTGAAGAGAAACATTTAACATGGCAACCAGCTGTATCGAGTCACGAACCATTGAGGTGGTAGATTTTGCTTGCATCAATCATCGCGGCAACAAAGTTCGGATGCAGCAAGGCTGACTTGCCCTGAACTTGCCTGTTATCCGTCTAGCTCAAAGCATCAAGCAGGATCGACGCGTATGAGATCCACTCGCCCACGCCAGAACCCATTTTTTTTAAAGCCAGAAAGCAGTGTCCGGCTCCTTTTTGGTCGGGGCCTGCATTGGTCTGGGCCTGCTTTTGTGACTAAAAGAAACCCCATTTTGGTTTTTGACTATTGCTTTGCTTGTTCAGCATCTCGTATTGGGTATATTTTGTTATGCTTAACTCGCAAGTCCCTAGCAATTCACTCTTCGCGCCCAAGAGCGAGTCCGCCCTGGATGGTACTTGCAGAATGACTGCGTGGTGAGGCTCATGAAGGGAGACTCGATCTTTGGGGAAAATCAACTGTCTCTGATAGGGTTTCCAGATGACGTGCTTCTGGGCGCGTTGGTCATGGCATGCGCCCATAGTCGCCGCTTATTTGCACCGGCGAGTCACGCACGCGAAGAATCTCCTTAGTCGAACGCCTCAGCGGTGGTTCATTTACGAGTGTTGCTACCAAAACTCTTCAGCCGCCAAGACTTACAGGGATTCCTTGGCCAGCTGAGGGACAATCCAGCCGCAGCCTACCAGCCTCGGGAAACAGCTGCGAACATCAAGAGCCATCTGCTGCGGGCCATGCCGTGCTTCGCGGCCAGCTGGGACGCAGCCGACCAAAAAGCCCCTGTCAATCGGCGGCTGAAGACTTTCGGTAGCAACATCCGTACAGATTCGAGATTGCGCTAGTTACATCGTAGCTGGAGACGGATGCTAACTACTTTAGTGCAAGGCAAGTAAGCCGAGCCTCCTTTGCGCCTGTGCGCCTCTGCCCTGTTGATTTCCTTCTTTATTAAGGGTTCTGTTCACCCGCTTCCAAGCACCTGTCCGGCTTGTCATTCCTTTTAGTTCTCTTGATTCAGTTGAATCGGGTAGCGAAGATGCGTTTCTCTTTGCTTGCCTTCGTCTTCCTGAAGACATGTCAGGCGTTCACGTCGCCTGATATATACTCGATTACACAGCCTGCGGGATCGAGTCCGGATCCAGGGGTGAACAGCCAGCCGGCCACCGTCCCAAGTCAGTCGAGGTAAGAAAATACTTTGGACGAAGCGCTCTCTATTCAGCCCAAACCGCACATCACGGCCATGGTATATTGCCTGTGTAAGAATGCGTTCGGGACATTGTGAACCCTCGTACTATTTGCATGGCTTTCGTCCCACCATAATGTCTTATTCGTCTACTTACATTTTTACAGACACGCTACCGGACCGGCCTCGGGCTTGAATATCTTCTTGCCTGATTATACCCAAGACCCTAATTGGTAAGAGCCACTTATGCCACGCAAGAGTAACTGCATTGATTGACTGTTTCATAGGCTCCCGTTGGTCGATTCCCTCAAGACGGTTGGTATACAAGTCAAGGTTACCCAGAACCTCGATATCTCTTCCCACTGCAGGACTCTCCTCGTCTACACCTCTCATGATGTGGTCTACACGCCAAGCACGGCAGAGATCGCCAATCTCACGTCCTTTGTCAGCAACGGGGGCAGGCTTATCTTTATGAGCCAGGTCCCCACGGCTCTGCATGCACTTGCTGGCGTTTCGGCGGCAAAAGTGAACACAGCAGGCACGAGGTCCATTATGCAATTGACCAACACGGAGACCACCGTACAGGCCCTCCAAGGTTTTGATTTTGCAGACTACTACGATATCAGCATGCCATTTTATGAGAACTATACACAAACGGGTCTCAAAAATGTTGGCTATACGCCCGTCAGCGGGTCGCAGACTTTGGCCAAATACCTCGTTCGAAGCTACGTAAACAGCGCCGCGGTGGATAGTGCAGACACGTCTGCTACGAGCGCCGCAATCGTCAAGTACCAACCTTCGGGTGCGAGCGGATATGTGTACAGCTTCGGAATAGACCTTGGATATCTCTACATCTCAGCCCAAAACGAACAGGGTGGCTACTCGGAGAATTACGATGGGTACTATTACCCCGGCTACGATATTGGAACTCGGATCATAAAGAATATCTTGTCTTCCAGCGACCACTTCGTGAGCTTGTGGAGCGTCCCCAATAATATGGGTATCGCATTCACCACCACGTGGGATATCGATACCTACATTTCGTATCCGCACGGACAGGGCATTGCAGCTGCAGCTCAGGACAGGGGCGCTGCTGGAAACCTCAACCTCCACGTCAAATACATCTCGGACAGCTATGAGAACGCGTATTTCCAATACGGTGTCCCGTATATCTATCAGATCACTGGTTTCCGAACGGCGCCTGACGGCTACCCATACATAGATTTCGGCAGCCACACAGTCAGTCACTCGCCTAATGCGGCTCAATTTCCTTATGGAACCCTTTCCGAGCAATATGTTCTTGGATCAACCTCGGGCTACTCGCCCGCGATTCACCAGTGCGGGACAGGTCTTTCGGACGGGACGCCTGACAATGGGGAGACCTGCATAAAAGGAGGAACCAGTGGGCTTTCTTTTTGGACCTCTGGCGCGTCTGCTTCTGGAGAAGTCCGTGTGAGCGCGTTTCTGATCCGGTATCTCCTGAACGACGTTTTCAAGACGAACTACAATCTTACCACCTATCGCCCTGGCAACCTTGCTTGGAACAAGTATCAGTCCTCTCTCTGCGTCGCCAACGGGTTCATTGGTGGATCTTCTTGCTCAGGCAACAGTCATCTTACACACCTCCCATTTCAAGTCGGGCACAACCGCGAGCCGTACCAGGAACTTCCCTACTATGAATTTCCGCTTCAATGGTCAGACGGCGATGGAAACATGAGCAGTGCTGACTTTCCTGGCTCTGACTTCCGGAACCAAATGACTGATATCAAGAAGATGGCACGCTATGGTGGTCACTATAATATTCTGATCCATCCCTCGGATGCGTTGTTTGACAAGATCCAAATTCAGCGAGCGCTTCATGACGCTGTGCGCCCGTTCGCAGCCTACTTCAACCAAACCGGAATTGCGAACTGGTGGACCAATCGAGACCGAGCGTTCGTGGACCTCACTTCGACTAGCAACTCATCGGTCACCATGACGGTTCGTCTTGATGGTCCTGCAGAAGGCCTGACGTTGAACGTACCAAAGAGTTATGTCTTTCAATCCGCGACGGGGTCGCTCTCGGTCTGCCAGCAACCGTCATACGATACATTTACTAATGCCATCGTCCTTCGCAACACAGCGCAGGGGACATATACACTCACTTTCTCCATCAACAAGAGCACATCCACAGCATCTACCTGTCCGGATTTTACTGTCCAACCGGCTACGGAATGCGTTGCCTGGGATGTCGCCATTGACGACTTCTTGGAGCCTTACTTTTACAACAAAGGCATAAATCTCCTCCTTTTAGAAACTGTCGAAACCGGTCTGGTATCCAACATTGTGGACGGCACGCTCCAGCTCAGTGCGGACACCAACTCTGGAGTCAACAGCTACTATACCGAGATTTCACGCTTCTGCTTCAATGCCTCAGTCTACACCCATATGTTCTTCGATATGGTTGCTCCAGTTGGAAGTAGCTTCTCCGTTCAGCTGGTTTCGTATGACTCTGGATGCAACACAGAGCAGCCGAGCGAGACTTACTTGGATGTCAGTGATTACGCCGACTTCGATGGGACCAACCATACTGTGCAGATCCAGTTGAGCGATTTTGTCGGACAAGATTTCCTCAATGTTCGAGGCATTAAAATCGTGAATATTTCGCCAGCTAACACCCCAGTCTACATCGACAACATCAAGCTCCAGAAGCGATGTACCACCGCGCCGGGAGATGACATGACGGACGGGCTCGCCATCGAATCTTTCCAGAACGTGGATCGATGGATTACCGGCATCAACAACATTTTCGGCCAAACCGACCACGACAATTCCATGGCTTCCGCCAAACTCGCGGAGCTGGGGAAGATGCAGCTGGTCCCAGCTAATGCGGGCTCGTACTTTTACACGAGCACTGTCACGGATGGAGTCAACCTCAATGCTACGGGCTACGACTCAGTCTCTCTCAATGTGCGCGGCCCCTCCGGTGGCTCGTTCGATGTGGTTGTGACTTCTGGCTCTGGAAACAGCAACTCCACCGTCAATACAGCTACCGTCGCCACTTTCAGCTCCTCCAGCTTTGTGAACGTCACAATTCCCTTGTCGTCGTTCAGCGGACTCAATTCCGACTCCGTCAGTAAGATCACGCTGCGGAATTTCACGCCCAATGGTGGCTCTGCCGCTAGCAACACATTCACCGTGAGATGGATCTCACTCCTGGGCGGGCCCAGCGTGGTTGACGCAGATGATCGCTGCCAGTCTGCCAACGGCTATGTAGTGCTAGACTTCTGTAACACCATGGAGTTCAAAACACAAACCAATGCCCTGGGCGCTCCTTTCTCAGACGACAACACGATGCAGTACTACAACCAGACTACCAAGGGACGTATCAATCTTGTCGCCAAAGACTCAACGTCGTACTTCTACTCGCTATTCAATACGACTGCTTGCGCGACTCTCGATTCCACCAACACAGGAATTCTCCTCACTGTCTCCGGGCCCCAGGGTGCCACCGCCGACATTGGGTTCAGACACGGCGGTACGGGATGCAAGTTGAACCAACGAAGTGACTTCATCTCCATTACTTTCAATACAGCACCGACGCAGCTCACTATACCTTTCTCCCGTTTCCCATCCCCGTTCAATACACAGTATCTCCAGTCGTTCATTATGACCAACTTCAACACTCCCGGCGCCGTCTATCACATTCACTCTTTGGTCTTCATTGGAGCAGACACTGTCCCGGGCTGCGCGCTTTGCTCAGATACAATCGTCGATACCTGCACATTCGTATCAACGGTTCCGCGAACCAACCTGCTGTCTGGCGAGATTAGCGACGAGGGGTCTCTCACCTCTTACTCTGTCGCCAGCGACTATGGCCTTTCTCTTGGCACCAACTCCGATGCCTATTGGTATTCCGTGTTCGGTACCAATGGCTGCTACAACGCTACCAACGCAACGGGTATCCAGCTCTCCGTTGCAGCTCCTGCAAACACCACTTTCCTAGTAGCTCTCCGTTGGATGACCAACGCAGCATGCACAACCGTCTCGTCGGCGTCCACAGTTCCCATCACAACCTATGTTTCTTTCACTGGTAACGCTACGAGCTCAAGATACCAACTCGCCCAGATCCCCTTCACTGCATTCTCAGGCATCAACGTCGGCAGACTGAACAGCATCGCTATCTCTGGCTTCAGCCCTTCGGGTGTTGCTGTGCGTGTGGGTTGCGTCAGTCTTGCGACGTTCACCGCTACCGTCGATGACTCGGCTGCCTGTAGCAGCTGCCCGACTACGGCATGGCTCAACTACTGCGCCTCTGGATCCGCAAGCAAAAATGCCCAAGGCGGCGTACAGAGTGATGACGGCACTATGAGGTCTACCCCTGCCATCTCGAATGGTGCGCTACTTTTGAAGCCGGCAGCAAGCGATTCTTACTGGTACTCGCTCATGAACTGCATGGACGTCTCCTCGTACGACACCCTCTACATCAACGTCACCGCCTCCGCGGGCTCCTCGTTCAGCGTGAGGTTACAGAGTAGCAGCAACGCCTGCGCAGACGCGAGCCAGATCCAATCAGCCTCCGTCAAGAGCATAAGCTACGGTACGATGACAGGCAGCTCCGTGGTCCTCGCTATACCGCTGTCAGCGTATACCTCGCAGAACAGCGCCATCAAGCTGAGCGCCCTGTATGCTATTGTCCTTGAATCTTTCAGCTCTGGCAACCCGACCTTGAGTTTGAATTGCGCATACTATGGGATTGGCGCTTCGGTGAATAGTACCGTGGTTGCGAAAACCGTAGCCAGCTCGAGCATGAGTGCATCCACGCAAAGTGTCTCTAGCAAATCCGGCACGACCTCGTCGAGCAAGGCAACGAGCACTTCTACCAAGGCCACGAGCACTTCTACCAAGGCCACGAGCACTTCTACCAAGGCCACGAGCACTTCTACCAAGGCTACGAGCACTTCTACCAAGGCTACGAGCACTTCTACCAAGGTTACGAAAACCTCCACCAAGGCTACGAGTACTTCTACCAAAGCTACGAAGAAAGCTCGGCACACTCACGGACACTCTCACAAACACGCTTAAGAAAGTAAGCCCGACTGCAAGTTTCTCACTATGCAGCAGAGTGAGATCAAAAAACGGCGCGTAATGAGTACGTTACATGTTTAATGTGTATATAGTATATAAATACTTGTAATTAATGTCGATCATGTGTCATAGATTTCTGAGTACGTCGCAATGACTGTTTGCAGTTAAGGGAATTGCTTGGTACGAACAGGCTATCTTGGAACCGCTTGCTGCCCAACTTCGGAAACGGTGTGCCTCGAGTTCGTTATGGGACGTTCTGGTCAGAGTCTGACAGGTCTCCGGGACAGTTTAGCAGTAGCGAAAATAGACTCCAGAGCACATCTAGCAACCTGCTATACTAGCGCGTGTGAGTGGTGCAAATTAGCCAGACCTCTGCTAGACTCACGGCACAAATGGAAAGGTACAAACCGACACAGCTCAGCCTTGATGAAGATGGTTATTTTCACATATACATTGGTATTGTGCATAGAACTAAATCTAGCTAAAGTCATTACGTGCTACATCTCGATACACCTTCTCGTAGAGATACCTTGGTGGCAGACAGTCCTAGTCAACAGACACGAGGTTCGGAATTCCCTGATTTTCATCCGCAACTCACAAGCTCATTCCACTGCACCATAATCGCTAAGCACCATTAACCCCTCGTGACAAAAGTCTAATAGACTGTATGTAGTCCGAGGGTCATGTGTCCCGCGACGTCAGTCCCTGATACTTCTTTAACTCAGCCAATACGTCCTTTAGGCTTGGACGTCCATAGTGATTTCCTTCCCATGTCCCTTGCTGCTTGCGCTCTGCTCGCATGGCTAGGAACTCTCGGGCAGCCTCCAACTCCTTCTCCCAGAAGTTTTGTGCTGCCTCACGGACTTCTCTGGGCCCATAGGTCTGCGGATCAAGGCCTTTGATAACAAGACGGCTTCCAGATCTGGTAACTATGCTGCTGAGGGTATCTCGCCTCCCATGTGTGCAACGCTCGATCAAGCCTCGCATCTCAGGAGGGGTTCTAGAAAACTGCGGGAATTCCAGATGCGATTCCCAGGGATACGATTGCCATACAGCCGCTCGCTGGGGCCCACTTACTCCTTCAAATATGCACCACAAAACCCTGCCTAGCATGTAGACTTCCGCAGCTTCCTGTTCCTCACAACTGAGCGCCAGCCAGGGTACGTTGTATCCGTCGGGCGGGTTGGTGTATTCCATCTTCTCGAGTGCCTCAAAATTGGGCACGAACTGTTTCAGAATGTCGGTGTATCTCTCACGTATCTCTGGGTCGGCATCCTCTTCTGTTGCGACAAGGTAGATGTACTCGAGCGCGTTCACCTCCGGAGCTGCAAACTCGCACCAGACGCCTCTCTGCTCAAAGTCCACCATCACGATCTCCCATGATTCAGACAGTACAATGTTGTCGAGGCGTAGGTCAGGATAATATGTCCGAGAAGTAAAACGCAGGTGCTCCAGGGCCGCAGTCAATTGAATGGCCCACTTGAACTGCTGTGCTCGTTCAAGCTGATTATGAATACGTAGCAGTGGCAAAATGTCTCGTAAGCTACCGTTGGGGTGGAAAAACGTGGTGAAACCAGTGACGGCTCTCTTGCCCCCGAAACTGCACATTTTCGTCACGACATGAATCGGCCGGGCAATGACGTTGGGGTGGGAGCCCAGCGTGCAGAGCGTTTTCAGTTCATGATACAAGTACTTGGCTCCGCTTGTCAACGCTTTGAAGATGAAAAGATCTCCACGTATCCGTGCGAGACAGACGCTATCATGAAGAATCTTGATAACCTCGACCTCGTAAAAGTCGATAGCTTGAGGGAATGGGAAGTCAGCGCCCCAAAGCTGCGTCAATGCAGTCAAAGACAGTAGCTGACGTTCCAGATTGTGGTTCGTGAAGACCCTGATTGTGGATTTTTGCATGTCGAACGACAGGTTATCAATAACGAGACGTGATCCGAAAGGGATGGTCCTGTAGTATTTTTCAAATGCAGCGAGGTCCTCGAACTCCGCCTTGACCCAGTAGTGCAGAGCTCGAACGACGTATCTAGAAATACCTAGATGAGAGAGTCGAGCCGCGTCTTTGGTGTGAAAGGCCACATCCAGATCTAGTTGTTCGCGTAAAATGGCGGGTTGAGTCTCAGGGATGAATACATCGGCTCGCACCGGGGGCACAGCAGGGAAGAAGAGTGGCACGATATAGAACTGAGTGCCAAGGCCAGTACAACCGTCGACTCGAAACAAGGGATACCTGGGGAGCTCAAGACTATCAATCCTATTCTTTGGGTTCAGCAAAGACTCGTCCCACGATGTGGTCGAAGATGGTGTCGAAGGCGGCTCCTGCGGATCGAAATCGTCGGTTGACGAGCATGCGGCCGTCGGATGAATGACATGTTGTATTGCCCTCCCCGACAGCTCCATAGCCAGCCCTGAGCGGCACGGCTTGGTAGCCCGATGTCTGGGCGAACTTATATCGACCGGGAGATGGTCGTAGTGACGGTGATGTTCCTAGCGAGGAGGCACTTGTTGCTCACGTCGTCGCGGGGCGAGCCGTTACCTCCACTGCGATCCACCAGCCGGACCAACTACCTCCGCAGGGAATCAGCTTCGACAGGCCTCTTTCTAGGGCTCACAGGCGGGGGAAATTGTTCACGGAATTTGCTTGTCGCAAGTGCAGCTTCAAACAAGCAAGTATTCGGCAGGCTGGTATGCAGCTAACGAAGAATACATAGTACTGGCTCGCCCAGCTTGCTTCTAGTCTGAGCTGTCGGAGTTGCCTGCTGAGATGCCCGCGAGTCTGTTGCGCCTGCTGTGACCTGATGCCCAGGTGGCTGAAGAGGCGGTCGCGTCTCGGTGCTACTGTCCATATTGTATTGTACAGTCCAAATGTGGCCATTTGCCTGCACGATTGCGGCCGACTGCATTGCAGTAACGTCCCGAGCTAGGGCCTAGACATGGCTGATTGGCTCAGGCACCTAGGGTATGTGAAGTATTCAAGCACAACTCGCCCGCTCCAAATTGCACAGCTGTGCTTCGACTCAAGCATCAGGTTTCGATCCAAATGGGCCAAGACTGCACCACGGGCCGTTTGGGACACGAATGCAAGCAGCGCTTTTGACTGGTTTGCTCTTGGCAGGCGGGATCTTGCACAACTCTCCCCGCCAAGACACGCAAACCTCGGACGACGTCAATCAATCCGATGACCACAAGCAAAGGAAGCTTCAGGTGCTAGTGTCGACTGCAGTGCTTCACGACCAGTGACAATGCTGATAGAGTCGCCTCAGAGGCTGTCTCAGCCAACGGTGCCTAGCCGTCGTGGAGTGTCAGTGAACTCGTTCGAAAGCCGCCAGACGGGAAGAGGAGTGGTCAGTCGATAACTAATGGTGAGTTGCCTAGTCATAGCAACGCGAAGCCGCATCATGTAGAGTTGTGAGCTGCGGTTGTGCGTTTTGTTCAACGATCAATAAGCTGTCGTGGTTGACGGGGAGGCTCCTCCGGCAATCATTGCAGCAGCTAATGTGAGTGATCTTCCTCTGGGCGTATGGTGAAGTTTGTCTTGTATCCTGTACATGATGCCATACCGCCTTGCACGTTTCCGACCGGTGAAGAGCTCAGAGTCGGTACAATGACTGGTGTGCATGAAATGTAACGGTAGCGGAGGATATGGGGGCGCAGAACCCAGGGGATCAAACAGAGTCCTCACTACATACCTTTGGCAAGGCAAACTCACGGAATACAGTGGCTTGATCCTATAGCGACAAGACCAGGGCCCGATAATCGAAAGTTCGAGGCGAAAATCGCAAGAGGGGAACCTTGTATACGCTCGCAGGCTGCCAATCTATTCAGTTCTAGGTTCACAAGAGGAGGAAGAGAGAGGAATTGCAGGGACGAGCAACTTCGAAAGGAGTGGCTCGCTCGTGTGTCGTCTTGTTCATATCCAATTAGTTAGCCGCATCATACGCCGTAATCAAATCATCATGATTACTGCAGATATCTTCATGCATACGCGGCAGGGGTCATGAAGGGCATCCATCAAGCCACTCGGGTCGTGCCGAAACAATATATGACTCGTCATTCTCTGGAAAAGATAATAGCCCTGATCTAGGGCTCTGCATTCCATAGACCGAGGGTTGTTGTGCGCATATCCGCCCATGCGCATCCTTGAACTTCTGCACAAAGTCTTAGGGGACAACAAGTGGACACTGCATGATGCATGAGGCAAGGACGAACCGGGGAAATGCCCAGCTGGCTGGAGTGGACGTGGGGGATGCTCAGGGATTACAAAATTGACGTCGAAATGCTCTGATCTACGTATAGCGTGGCAAGCATGTATACGGCAGGCCCGGTACGAGGTGTTTGTGCATGCACGCATGCAGCCACGCTGTAGAATTTCCTCCGCCCCCGGGGAGGAGGGGGTTCTCGAACAGTAAAAATAGCGTGTACGAGCGATAGTGGCTGGTCAGGATTTCGCGAACGCAGAAAAGCATTTGGGAATGGGTATGAGATCTGGATAGCAAGTGCACTCCGGAATGTCAGTAATTAGCCGACTCCAGCAAAGAATGGGCATGTCGGGATATGTTCATTCGATGCCACCGGACATTGGACGAAAAACGTACCATCCAGTCACATCCCTTGCACAGCGAGCTTCTCAGGTCGATCGGAGTGACAGTCGGCACCTGCAGGATCGAAATACGCAGCCAAACGAATTTCTGCAGATGGACGTGTAATTGTGCAGTTGTGACTAGTAGCCTCATATGAGGCGTATGTGTAATGCCGCTCCGCCATGTCCGCTCTCGTTGAGTCTGCAGCCCAGAACCCGTCTCCCCGAGGTATAAGTGCAGATCGAGTGCATGACAAGGTTTCTCCTAAATGCTCTTGTTCCCATCAAATGGGCCGACAGATCGAGGTGCGTACGACGAGTCGCAGTATTTAGCGTCTTCACACCGGCTGCAGCTTGAACTCAAACGCCGTCTCGTGCCTAGGTCACCATAGATCGGGCATATCAGAATGTCAGTTACAGGTCTACTTGGGCAGCGTCGTGGCACATCGGGGTTGGCCTGCATGTGGAAAGGCGGTCACCTCTGAGATGCTGGATGATATTAGAACACCCTGGCCACAAGCGACAAGTATGCAGGGCTGGGTTCTGTGTATTCTCCAGACTATATCTGGCCCCTTATTCATAGTATTGTATGCGACGTGGCCGCCATCGCTCCATCAACGCGATCTGCAGACCAGCGCATGGCCAAGGCGTGGTTTTTGAAGCAGGCTATCTTGGTTACAGACGGCACCCTAGGCAGTGCAGCCCGAGGGCCGAGCCATGCGGATCAGTCACTCGCAAGGCCTAGATTCGTTTTGAGTCGATTGAAGCCGCCGAGAGGAGGACTGTGATCACACAAGGTGCTAATGGCATCACCTTGCCAACTTACAGGCCCTGCGCTCAAGTAGTGGGGACGTTTTGCAAGGACATACATATATCCATGTGTAAGTGGGCCCTGAATGCGGGAGCTAAATGCTAACGGGCAGGCCAGGATTAGCAACTTTGACACGCACGGAGACTAGCAAAACTCAGTTAGCTAGGCGCGGAAATTGTTCGACTCCGTGTTTTCCAGAAGGTCTAGACAGTTTGTCGAAATTCTCCTTGCCTATGTCCATAAATCTCCCTGCAGCCGGGAGAACATGCCGGGTCGAAGTTGGCTATCCCTACCCCATACAGTGACAGACGCGAGCTGTGTAACTGGAATAGTAGACCCCCCCGGACTCGGCCACGTTAGTATAGAGCCGACGCAGACCTTGGGAGCCAATATACTACAGTATGGGGTCACTCTGAAATAGCCTAGCCCTAGCCGGCGGGCTGACGGCGATCCTCGTGATTGCGCACCCCTGGGTCCACCCAATGGTGGTCTCGAGAGTCGAGACGCATGAGCGTCGTGCAGAGTACCATAGTAGGCAGTCGTGCAGATAACCCTGTCGCCATGTTGTTTGCCAGCCAAATGTGCGTAACTCGCTTAGATGTTGATAGGCCGGCTTCACTTCCGTCGGATCCGATTTACGAATTGACCCCTGGGATATTCAAACGTTGTGTGCCCAAACGAGAATTTGCTGCTGGCTGCGCGCCTTGGCCGCTGACCCTCACGTCGTAAGTTCACAAGACGATTCTATTTTGCAGACGTGAATGTCACGCCGAAGGCCGCGACTTTGATTTCGAGCTTGGGAAGCATTCTTGAAATCCTTAGTATGGTTTAGTGTTGAACTCGCTCATGACTGGTCCGGGTAGCAACTGGCGTGAGACAACTGCAGCTGTATTGCTTACCTTGCGTCCACCCATTCCTATACTGCACGCAATCGCCGAGCTATCCAATATTATCCCCGGTCGGGGAGTCGGCGGTGCGCGAACTAGGGCGAGGCTTCAGGCTCGTGTCTTTGCTCCTCCAGCGAGATGCCAACTCGCAGATCGACCCTCACATAATCGCATGCTTACATACATACGGGTGAGATGAGCATGTCAGGCATGTGCACGCAAATGACAGGCTTGGACCTCGGGCGTGCTTCAGGTTGGCGCGCTCGGTAATCCATAGGGCACTTCCACGGCCCCCCAGCGATGTCACGACGTCGTCGATCCCAGGGGTTCTGCGCCTTGACAAAGTGCCTGGGTCCTTGAGTCGGCAAGTCAGTTTCCTGCGAAGGCATGAATAAACTCCACCAACATGAGGGGCGCCCAGTTGCCCGACAGGAACTGACAAGGCCTATCGTCAGTGCGCAGCGACAGACGACTGTCTGCAGACTTGACCAGACACACGGACCAAGTATCATAAGATCGTAGATGAGTCCCTCGGGCCTCGAGCGGTCAGTCTGAAGTCAGCTCAGATCATGATGGAGTGAAGTGTGTCAGACGGCGCCATCTTCTTCAAGCTAGCCTTGGTTTCACAAGCCCCCAACGTGGTGCAGTGGGTGCAGTGCTGCGCGAAGAAAGCAAAAATGGATGTACGTGTGTGTTGGGCCGTCAGACGGGTAGCTGCGAAGATGCTGCCCCGCATGCCTGGATCCATCGCGGCGGAAACGAGAGAGCGCTGCTCGCCGCTCGGGAACCCCAGAGAAGCACGGGACGGTACGTATGGATCTCTCGGCCCCATTCTCGCAGGCGGTCAGTTGACGGCCCAGGGGCTTCGTGATTTGCCCGAGGGTGCCAGGTCCTTTGCGTGGGTGCGACTCTGACAGGGCCCTCTCGAGGTGGCGCACCCAGTCGCTGCTGTTGTGTGGTTGACACGGTCTTAGCGAGTTACAGGGCCGGTTGGCAATATTACCGTAACGCTGGCTAGCGATTTAACAGATGAATTATACATGTAGGCGTGCGGTCGTCCAAGCTACCCGGACGGCGTCCAAGATATCCTTCGTCTCTCTTTATTCATCAAGGTGGTGCAACTCGCCAGCGTCGCACAAGGCGGAGCTGGTCTATCCCCTACTCTAACCGGTGAGCTCCCGGTTCGACGGGCCTCCCAGGAAATTTCTCACCGAAAGCCTCGACATCCCTCTTCCCTTACCAATCACATCAACTTTGCAGCGACAGGAGCAGCACGAAGGTCGTTTCTTTTGATCTCCCCTCTTGGCTTCCCGCTTTCTTGCTAGCCCTCTCCCCTCGCCGTTCAGCCCCGGTCCCGCGGCGACCTCGCTGCTGGTGCCGCTGGTGCTGCTACTACCGCTGCTGCTCCTCCACTTCTATCTTGACTCCCTCAGGCCGTCGCTCCTAGCAGAGCAGTGCGCGCGTTCGCTCATCCCCGCAGAGCCCGCAAGGGGGCCTCACTTGTGAGACGTTGACTTGGGGGAGCCTCCAGCCAGACCGAGTCTGTCTCTGACCCCACCCCCTCCCGGAGCGAGGCGGGTGAGGCGCAAGTGTGTTTTTATCTATTGCTTGTTTATGTATTGTGCACATTGAGGCGAACGCCCGAGTACATGTCTGTCCAACACACCCTTAGATTGTGCAAATACAATGGTAAGATCTTCTTCGTCATGTCCCTGCCGGGCCTGTCCTTGGGGCGGCTTATTGCATATCCGATGTCAATGTACGCTCATTGATTTGCGTCTAGAATAGTCATAATAATCCCAAGAAGCGCCGGCTCTCCGGCCACGAGGATGCCCCTGTGGTAGTCACCCAGGATCCTTCATCTACTGCATCTGCCGCGTACTCGCCTCCGGTATACTTCACCGAGCGTGAGTTACAAATACTCCGCGATGCCGCCTCAATTCTTGACTGCTCCGTGTCTCAGCTTCTCGACCTAGATAAGTACCATCGTCAGTCTATAGCCCACCCAACCACCAAGAGGCTTCGCCTCAACACCGATATACCACCTATGTCTGTCCAGGAGAACTCATCGACAGGCCCACCTCGCCGTCACAGCCAGGAATGTCTCTCAAGAGGCGACACTGATGGTGCCAGCTTCTCTCTTGGCATTAGAGGCTCCAGGCTTGCATCCCATTTTGCCAGCGTCTCCTTCTGTCTACCATGCACCAGTTGTGAACCTCAAGGCGAGTTCCAATTTCTTGTGTGTTCGACCAGTCGCTGACTTGACACCAGCTTATACCGGAATTCCGTCTACGTCTTATGACCATGAACCCAAGCATCATGTAGGAGAGCGTGCGTCTGTATCTTCGCCCCAACCATGGACTCTTCCACCGGCACAGGTCGCTACTTTTGCCTACGATGGATCTCCGCATTCTCAGCTATTGCCTGAATATCCTGTGCTGCAGCCCACACAAGCACAGCCAAGCACTAGAAGAGAAGAGATGACATATCAAATGGCTTCACCTGTTCAAAAGCACGCTGGCCGCCCTGACCGTCAAGGAGAGCAGCGAGCAAATGATCATGTGATGGCCACACATGATATGAATTATCGCCAGCGAACTTACATGAATCACGGGGATTCTGTGTCTCAATATGGTCAAGGCACACGTTTCTTGCCATTGGAGGAAGACGGATCCCATGCAGTACAACAGTCTCATGGTAATCTAGACATTGTCTCAAACAACCAGCGCCCTCCCCCAGCTAAGAGGGGACCTTTCAAGAACAACTCAGATCGAGAAAGAACGGCCGAGACACGCAGAATCGGCTCGTGCATCCGTTGCAGAATGCAGAGAATTCGTGTAAGTTTTGGATACGCCCCTACAGAGCTGACAGACTCGATTCTGGTTTTTTCTATTCTCATTATTGCTTTTTTATTGAATTTTTCCCCCCCTCTTCTTCTTCCATGGCAGTTGCTCACACTGAAAACTTGATAGTGTGAGATAAACCCAGATGACAAGGCGGGCACATGCCTAACTTGCACCAAGGTTTCAAATGCAAAGGTTTGGCGGTTGCCTTGTCTCCGTTACAAAATCACGGACGTGAGATTATTCAAACCAGGTCAGGTCAAGGGACATGAATGGACTCGAAGGTGGACGGAGGGGATCGCAGATGATATCTCCCAATGGGCATCGTCCGAGACGAGAATGGTGTGTGTGACGGAAGGTTACACGCAACGGCCAGTCCGACTGCGAGTTCGTAAATTCATCCCGCAAGAGGGAGATGCGCTGGAGCGAAGCTGGGTGCACAATGGGGTCAGGAGAAGTGTCGAAGTTCCCCCATACGCAATTGTAAATCTCGACGAGGCCAAGTCGACGTATACGGACCATATCGGCGCAGGGCTGAAAGAGTGTTGTCGGCGGGTCGTAACGACCAAGGACAAGCTCATCGGAGGAACTTATGGATTGGCCTTGAGCGTCATGATGGACGAATCGACCGACCCTAAGGCGGCCGACCTCTTGAGGAAGGCGTTTCGGTTGTGGATGGCGATTCGCATGACCACCAAGTCGACGTTCATCGTTGGCGATGAGCGTCTCGATATGGCTCCAGACATCATGGACGAGACAAGTCCACTACAGGGACACATCCCGCTGCCACCAGTTATGGGGGCACAAATCGAGCTTGTTCTCATACATCAGCTGCAGTCGAAATGGAGGAGAGAAATGCTCGACGGGTTACAGGTCATGACGCAATCAAATAACCACTCGACGTGGCTGACGATTTACCTCGTTACATTTATACTGCTGCATAACGTATCGCTTCTATGCCAGCACGACGCGGGATATGCTCGAAAGCACGGCATCAAGGTTGGTCACAATACCCCTCCTCCTTTTTATATTCGAGCCACCTGCATGCGGCATCGGAGGAACTTGCAGCCCACGATGGCACGCTACTCCTTACATCGTACTGGCTAACTCAAGCTGTAGGCTCGTTTCGCACGAGAGGATATGGTCAGGGAGTATCAACTTGGTAAGTGCAATAAACCGGGTCGCCCGGATGGATTAAGCCAGCCAGCCAGCCAGCGTGCCCCCATCATTGCTAAACTCCGTCGTCTCCGCCTGCAGGTGCCAATATTCTGCTTGCATATTTCCACTACTGCAACAAAGGTGACTAGCCCCGCCATCGAGTGCAAGGCGATCGGACCTAACTAACCGTGAACAGGCATATATCCTTTCTCTGTGGAGTGCAAGGATCAAGATCTCAGCACGCTAGCGAAACTGGATGCGACCAAGATCAAATTTGTCCAGCGGACAAGGGCAATTGTGGAAGAACAACGTGAGCACTAATCACCTTACCTATCACTGAGGATGTTGAGGTGCTGTATCGTGCCTCGTCACCTGTGTGGGGGGAAGATTATGGGCAAGGCTGGTCGCTGACCCGCATTCGTAACAGGCAAACATTGGCAGAAGACTCGCCAGAGCAATGATTATGAGCATGACTTGTACTTCATCAGCCAGCTTTACGAAGAAAACTGGGCACCCCAACCGCCGATGGTCTGAAGGGAACCAAAGCGAGTTATTACAGCGTAGGATGATGAACGATCGGGACTCGGCCAGGGCAGGAAATACATAAAAGAAGAATGGACGTGTGGCTGCAGCCTGCAGGAAGCAGTCGCACACAGACACTGTACATCATCAATGTACATCAGAGCATGAAAGGGCATGGACGGGGCATGATGATGGGCTTAATGTGCCCACTAAGGGAGGTAGGTAGTGGCAACTGCAATCCTGCCGGAATGAACTGTCCGATCACCCAGGATATCTAATCCGCCTATGGCAAATAAGACCAATGTCAATCTCACATCCCAGGGCGCCCCCATTATCTGTCAAAGTTCGTACTCGCGCGTCCCGATACTTCTCGGTTTGCAACCACCAATGCAGTAGTTTTGGTCTTTTTCGGACAGGGAAGCTCCTTGCCGTCTCGCCATTCTGGCTTTCACAGACTTTCACGCCGTGTAACGGTGTCATCCCATCAACGCGGGCCGGGCCTTTTTGGGGACCCCGAACTTTCTTCAGGCTTACACAACAGCTAGGGTGACTAGCTGACATTGGTCGGGACGGAGGCGGGGTAGTGGCTCTCATGCCAGAAGACCTACACCAGACTTTGCTGCCTCCACGAGAAAGCGGAAATTCGGGACCGCCACGTTGATTGTCTTCAATAAACCAGCGGCTAGTCGGATACATACCTGCGGAGTCTTGCGCAGTGTTTCGTACCACCACCAGCAGATTCAATCTGACAAGCCCGCAGCTGCGTTTACGTCGGTCGCCATTGTACATACATGACTCTGGCTCGGCTTGGTCCAGCCATCGTTCACACGGATGCCGGGGCCCTTTCTGAACTGATATGGCATAATGGGGAGGGCAGGATCCGTACAGGTGCAAGCTTCTGTAACTGTGCGTTAGGTACGAAGTATGTACCGTTGATTTGGTTGCCTTGACGGAGGTACAAGAACTGTAACTGCAGTAAATATCCACCGAGAAGTTGGCGCCCTGTTAATTGGGGGGCGCTGGGGACCAGTTAGGGCCGGGACCGGGACTACCTGGCTGCCTTTGCCTGGGTACCTACTGGACCTACCTTACACAGCAGCACCGAACACCCTAGCCTGCCTGCTATGGTACATGCCTAGTATCAATCCTAGCAGCCATGCGCATTGTCGTTGCGAATACATCCAAACCTCATGGCATACTCCGTACAGTGACATCCAATGCCTACCTGCCTACTCACACCTCTGCCATGTAACAGGTCCATCGGCTTGACTAGCAGACGCTTACCCCACCATGGACGGACAACCTTTCTAAGTTATCCATTCCTCCTGCAGGCCGGTGAGGAGCTTCGCTGGACAGCACTTCACCCAGGATGTGCCGATCCCACTCTGCCAGGATACACTGCACTGAGTGACAGCGAGCCCGCCAGCCCTTCTTTTTTATTTTTATTTCGTTGATTTTTTTCTGTCTGTCTTGAATTTTGCCTTGGAGTTGGACCGCTGTTAGTTCCCCGTTCTTGTGAGGCTCCTGTCCGTCGGCCAATGACCTGGCCCAAGCCATTTCTTCATCAACCCCCCGCTGCGGCTGTTCAGCCAGGATGATATGCTGTCAATTCTATGGAACTTGCCGGGCTTGTCGATGGGCCCATATCGATCACTTTATGACCATCTCCTCTCAGCTGCGCTTTTAGGTAGGACAGCAGGACCTATGCACGACATTGTACCACGACGGTCTCGGGTGGCCTCACGGGACCTTGCGGAAGGCGTGTCTTCTCGCTCTGTGCGAATCTGCGTTTCGCCAACCGCCATTGCGCTCTCGAGTTTCACCAATTACAACAGCAGCGGTAGTGGCAGCAACAACGACGACAAGATCACCAGCAGCAGGAGCAGGGCATCGCTTCATTTGAAAACGCGCCCTCCTCGTCTTTTGAGATAATGCTCATGCACGTATCCCACCGCTATCCGTCACTGCCCCAATTCTCCCAGCTGTACCACAAGATACACAATCTCGAGACCAAGGGTGGCTGCACCGTACAGTAATAGCCTTCTCGCCCTTATTCGTGCCTTCTTGATCTATGGCCGCTGCTCTGAATTGCAAAGTAGGCATCCTCGCAAGGTCTACTTTGCTTCTTCTTATTTATGAGACTTGCATCTCCTCTTGCTAGTACCATTGCTGAAATATTGCTTTGTCTCCAACGTCTGGCGCACCATCTCAAGACGTGTAAATACTGAGCAATTCAAGTTGACATCCGCTCCGCTACACCTATCCTCAAGTAGAGACTTGAGCATCTGCTTGGCTGGACATCCTGTGCCCGCCAACCTGATTCCACCCCCCATCGATATATACCTTTGACAAGTAGGGACCAGCATGTATCCCCACTAGAACCACCCGGACCTATGCGACTAACGAGCTAGACAGGATCTTGCGATGGCCTATGCAGGTGTTGGGTCCGTTCTTGCTCCTCCAAACGTCAGGAGTTTGCGAGAAACACCACCACATACAGGCCACCACATCGACGAGCCGCTCGGTCTGCCCCTCAAGTTCCCGGCAGTTCTAAGTCAGGAACTCGCGTGGACTGGTCCACAGTTCCAAGATGAAGCTCAGTACATCTACTCGCTACTAGATACCGAGATCGCTGAGGTAGATGCTGCCTTGGCTAGGTTCAAGGGTATGTCACTCAGGTTCCAATGACTCGCCGTGCATGCTTACAAATTTTGCAGCCCTCGGATTAGACGGAGATCTAATCAACATCGACAACTTCCCTTTACCAACATTGGGGCCCAAGCTGGTGGACCTCGGTGCCGTTCTATACAATGGCCGTGGTTTCTTCGTCCTGCGAGGGATCCAGCCCCAGAATTACTCTGTGGAGGATCTCACTATGGTTTGGTTAGGGATCCAGGCATACATCGCCGATCAACGTGGCCGCCAGGATCACAAAGGCAACATGTTGGGCAAGTACCCTAAGACTTTTGCAGCATTATAATGTTGTCTAACACAATGACCAGTCCACATCGTGGCCGACAACACGTCTGATGAGAAAATCGGTCACCATCGCCACTCAACAAGTGCTATCGTGGGTGATCAAGCCATTCGGACCCTTGAGAACCATGCACTGACTTGGAATGCAGACCTTCCACACTGAAGAGGCCGGTGATATTACTGCATGGCTGACGAGGAGCACTGCAGCTTCCGGCGGCCAGTGCATCATCGCCTCTGCGTACAATGTTTACAATATCCTCGCCAGGCACCGGCCGGACATCATTCGCACCCTGGCGAAGGCCGATTGGCCTTTTGCTATGTAAGAGGCCTTCAGAAACCTTTGCCGTCAAGTGACACAGCTGACATTCCTCAAGCCCTCGGTTTCACTGTCGTCCCATCATTTTTTACGAAGATGGAAAACTGATCACGAATTTCACGCGGACCCCACTATTAGGCAATGCCACTCATCCACGGCCAGAGCACCTGCCCAAGACCAGCGAGAAGCAGCGAGAGGCGCTAGACATCATCGAGGCTATTGCCCAAGCTACTCAGTTGGAGATTAGAACCCAGCCAGGGGACATGCATTTCATCAACAACTTGGCCGTCCTGCACCGGCGCGAAGGATTTGTAGACGGGCAGTCAAAGCAAGCCAAGAGACATCTCGTGCGTATGCGGCTTCGAAGCTCCAATTTGGGATGGAATATCCCTCCTGAACTACAGAAGGAATGGGAGGACGCCTTCGAGGAGGACTTAGTCAAGACTTGGCACTTGGAGCCCATGCCTGGCGATGCATTTCCGCTCCGCAAGTACACAAACTGATCCCGGCCGCACAAGTACCCAATGCATGGCGTTAGGACTGTTTCTTTTTCCTTTCTCCATGACCACTCATCGGACGTTGGAGGAACCAAAAGGCGGCGTTCAGGACTCTATCCTGCATCACTCGGAGCTTGGGCAAACAAAAGTGGTTGAACGTTATTCTGGGCCGGATGGTGTGTGCATTGCTGCGGACTACCAAGGACGGTGAAGAGTTTTATTCCGGTCTTGTTTTCTTTCCTTCTTCTTCTTCTTCTTCTTCTTCTCCTCTCCTCACTATTTCCTAGGTAGTCTTTTCTTACATCAAACTTTCCTCTGCAATATCCGCGCTGGCGTGTCATTATTCGAATGCAAGAAGAAAGTATCGGAAGGACTTGGACCAATCAGTGTGCTGTTGAGTGTGTCCCCAACGATCTGACTATGCAAGGCAAAAATTTGCCTATTTGCCTCGTACGACCTAGAATCTTGACAGCGAATGGCGTACTTCCGTGGGGTAGTATCCAGGGCATAGTTCTCCTATAGTAGAGCCATGCAGATGTGAAGCATGCCGACGCCGCTCAGCCTGCAGATCCTCAAATCGACCGGGAGCAATCGGAGTCAAGTGCTTCGAGGCGCGCTGCGTGGCTGCAAGACTACGCCAAAGGCCTATCCCGCCCCGCCCCCGGGCCATTCGCTACGAATGTTGTCGACGAAACCACGAACTGGTGTCGTGGGGAGGGAGGCCGCTAGGCCATGCAGAAGGCCGCCTCTTTGAGACCTCTGCAGCCGGTGACCAGGATCCGGCTTCGACAAGCACTCCAGATCTGTGGATCGCGGCGCGGGTCTCCACTAAGCGAATTGGGTGAGTGCTATCGTGGCAGCAAGGAACCAGGGGTGAGATGGTGGTTTGGTTTGGTGGAGATTCTCGCATGAGATCCCGACACACAGCTCACAACGAAACTACTGACTAGGCCCCTCGGCACGGTGGATGGCTTACTATGGAGGCTTGGCTACCATCGCGTAGCTCATGGTGCGGTTGCTTTTGTCCTCCACGAATGCGATTGTTGACGGCGCTGCAACCAGCCGCTGCTTCTGACAATTGCGATGATTACGCGACGCTCCGTCGACGTGGGAAGCATAATCCCTTCTACTGCTATGATGTGTTGCTGTCAGTCTCCGTGGGTCCGACCACTGCAAAGGCATGCAGAGTCCCTGCTTCGTCTGCAGGTCTACCTTTTGGTTTTCTTCGCCCTTTCTTTTTCTCTTCGCTTTTTTACTTCTTCCCTGCGAGTAGTTCTGACAGATGGGGTAAGCATAGCGTTGGGGAAAATATGTGGGAGTACGTATTGGCTATCAGAATGAGCAAACAGGATCCGCAATCTCCATACCCCTACCTTTCCGCTACTAGTGCACTCAGGACAGTAGTCTCCAATACATATCCCCCGCGCAGGTTTCGTTATATGTCAGAAGGTATATGTAAAAAGTTACACGGACCACTACCACTCACATCATCTAACTACCATCGGCAGATTAGCAAAATACAGAGCAAGAAGAAGAAGAAGTGCTATAGATCAAAGCTTGCTGCTAGGTTTCGACGCTCGCTATTCACTCCACATCTGGTTAGAGTATGGTCGAGTTGCGGTGAAGTATTATAAACTCACTAGTACTCTCACGGACCCGGTAGGAGTGCTGCATGTGGATATGCGGAATTCAGTCTATACTCAGAGTCCACAGCATCTCGTCCACGTGCTTCTTAGGTGCGGTACACCCTGCTCCCGCTGTTCACCCACCCTGGTCTCCGCTACATTGCCATGCGGTAGATAAAGGTCGGGGGCACGGAAGCCCAAATCCTGGGCATGAGCAAATCACATACCGTTCGGGGAGTAACGAGCATGCCTATATTGCTTTCCGACGGCCACTGCAGCCGCTCATCCTCTCACCGGTTCTGGGAATTTGCATGTCGAACTCCTTCGACGCGGCTGTACCCATGGCAAGTGCAATTCAGAACCCGATCTGCTGCCCGCCGTGGCGGCAACGCCCATCGCGACCATGCATGCGAACGGGAAGGATTGCAGCGTCTCGCCAAGCGGTGGGAGGACGTACGTATTACGTGCGTGCCATGCTGGGAGCCGCGAGATCCACTCGCGCAGATCTCCTGCGAGTGGCCCCAGCCACGGTGGTTTCCTGGTTCTCGGGTCCATCTTACCTCCCGGGGTTTTATTTTTTCTTCAGCGGGCGATCGGTTCTGTGTGCAACCATGCAGCTAGCTGTGGCAGCTATGCATGAGGAAATGACGGCGGGTTCTGAAACGCGGGCGCCATCATGTATAAGCCGCCGCCTCGTTCTCACGGACGAGGTGGCACAGTGAGTAGCCGGGCTCGCGCCATCGAAATGAGAATAGCAGTACGTAGTGAAGACTTGTATGCAGTGCCAAGATGAAAACTAAGCAACAACATATACCTCGTATTCGCTCCTTTGGTGTAAGCAGTTCATTCTACTAGTACATGATACCTTCCGCGGAAGTATAGCCCAAGGACATACTTACTACCCACAGGCTCGCGACATCAGTTGTGCTCTGAGACGGTACTTTCCACGAGCAGAACAATTCGGGTCAGACTATGTTCCTGACAGTGGCTCCCTAGTCTCTGAATATTCATGTCGGATGTCCGATATGAGAAGTATGCGCTTGGAGACGGTGTGATCTGAGTGACAGGACCAACGCACCTGTGGAAGACTCTCTACGTACGCTCACCTTTTGGACTTGACCTACGAAGAGTTCCGATGATCTTACTCGCATACCAAGGGCAACTGCAGTCATCAAAGCTTCCAGCTTGTACAAAGTCTTATGCTTTCGTAAACTATATCTTGGACTGCTGGAAACGAGATTCCAACGAACCTCATATATCAGAGTTACTCTCGAGTATTCCTTTGCTGGACAATTGCGCTGCACGAAATGGCAGAGAACATGAGTTTAGATGAATCAGGATAACGAAGAAACTACGTAAACGTAAGTACCATCACTTATTCAAGACTTTAGGCAGGCATCGTTGATAGACACGATGCCCACGGTCTCGTAGAAGTGAAGACCCCCAGCTACGTAAAACCTTTCCTCTCGAACATGCCTTCCGCGACTTAGTTCCAGACGAAGTCTCAGTAGACCGGTTGCCATGGCCCATAGTTATGTCGTTCTGTTCACATGGAGGAGGGTTATGTGCCGGTCAAAGATAGCCGCCCCGACTGACTCCCATGAATTGATGTCGACTGTTGACCCGCCATCTAGAATCCCTCATATCCCATACGGAATATCCTATTGATTTAATGTAGTCAGTCCGTTCTCCCAAACCGTTGAATCAACGTCAAAATCTTATGCAGCGCTCATACGGATGGACTAAAACGTTGAGGGTCAGGCATTTATGCATCGCGTGGCAGACTTCGTCCCCTCAATCGCTGTGCGTCTTCACCAGTAAGATGCTGTCCGGTTCAGAGAACAATTATTAGGTCAAAAAGGGACTACATGATGGAACTGGTGGTCCATTGACTGGTCGCACTCCGGCGTACCACACAACGATTCAAAGACGCAGGTGGGATGGATGAACAGGTTTGGACGATGACCAAATGCTATTGTCGTGAAGTCTCGAGACCTCGCTTGCTGCAGATCAGTTCATATGGCCTTATTCAAATTGGGTGCGGTGATTATGTTCTAAAGATAGCAGAGGCCTGAAATAACAAGGTCAGGAATGGCCTACAGTCTCAACTTCAGTCTCTGCGGCTTTCTGGGAGTAATTTCTGCGGTCGGCTATTTGATGTCGCGGAAAAAAACGACGAATTCAGAGTCGACGGCAGACTTCCTCACTTTTAATGTGCTCTTTAATCTCTACCTCCCTCGTAACAAACTAGACGATAGGCATAATGGTCCATCTTTCTGTTCACAGGGACCGCGAAGCGCCTTTTCCTCGCTGCTCGTACAAGCTGGCAATGCTTTTGGCGCCAAACCAACACAATCATGGGCGTAAGGTCAAAGAGTCCACAAATAGCTCATGAGCCAGTATCAGCAAAGTTGGGGTCCAGTGGTCAATGAGCCGCCATCGCACAAACATGAAGCACGTCGCAAAAGCACATGGTCCTCTAACAGTGCCAAGAGAATTGCGCTGTGGTGGAGATCAACTCGCGGAGGCCGGCAAGTTTTGATTGAGGAAGGCCATGGTGGGTAGACCAGCAACAGCCGGGCAAGCAGACCCAGTTCGCTATTGTTTGAGTAGAGCTGTTTGGCGCTTGGTATGACGATCCTGCGAATATCGCCCCTTGCTGAACCCTAGGACGCACTTGGAGCCATCCGACCAATGAACCTGGTCCTGAAAACACAAGAGATCGACGAGATCATTTCTTGGAGAAAGCTTGCCTGGTGATTAAGCAATGACAAGCATGCTTGATCCAACGATGGAAACATTGGATGGAGATCGCCAGACTCCCCCCAATGGAGAATAAAGGGGTGTGATTCGTCGCGACTAGGGGAATCGTACGGGGCGAAGTGATACGTGATAGTGAGGCTCAGAGCACATCAAACCATTCCCTTGTCAACCGTACGTGAGCTACAGCCGTTTGTGGGCCCGTGTGCCAGTCAAATAAGCTTCTAGTAGCTTAGTATGGTGGGTCCCCGCTGTAATCACTGGGGTCTGAGGCAGGAGCCTCACAACCCGAGACGTGAACGATGCGGCTCCTGAAGAGCCGCATCGTTCTGCTTTGCGCCTCTTTGCCGCCCTTGCCTGAAGCTAACCTGGTCACCACGAGCGTTCTATTGAACGGCCACGATGATCGGATGTGCCGAGCCCTATTGGGTGTCGTCCCAAACTCTGGCAGACAGACGCTAGTGGAGTTCAAGAACATCGTGACCAGGACCCTTGCAACCTGCTATGGTCATGTAGGGGCCACTTGATACGTGATTCAGACGAAGAGAATCATTCCACCAATCTCTTGCCTACTCACTTCGTCAATGGCAGTCGACCATATGCTTGCATGAGAGCGAGTTCCTGTATCAAGCTTTACTTAGCGCCATTGACCGCAAGGCCTGGTCGCCCCTGACATGTCTCCATGATGTCTTGGGCGACAGGTATAAGATCTTCCGCAAATCTCTTGGTGTTGTTTGATCCGATCTCCATCTCTGCCTACTTTCTAGCATCTACGGTTCCGTCTGTTTCCTCTTGATCTACAGCTGTGCTGTCTTATCCCATTCGCTGCTGGCCACCTTCGTTTCGTTACACTCTCTAAGCATATTACCGTAACTTATACCCTCATCACCAAAGACACACAAGATGTATTTCACCAAGATCGCTGTTGTTCTTTCTCTGGCTGCTTCGGCTCTTGCCGCGCCCACCGCCTCTCCTATGCAAAAGCGCGCCTTGACTCAGAAGAAATACGCCGATTTCCAGATCTCTGACGGCATTGCCGGCAACGCTCTAGCTGAGGCGCAGGCCGCATTCCCGGTTAGTTTCACGGGGTATAAATATCGTTTGGAAATATCTAACGCTCCCAGTAGATTGATACAAGTGATCTCGCCGGCGTGTCCGCGAGTGACCTGGCGATTATCCAGGCTGCCAGGGAGACAGCTGAAGCTGCGGAGACCGACGCCTTCAATACTGAGATCAAGGCCGCCAGTGGCGATGCTGCTACAGCACTTCAGAATGGAAAGATCAAGAACAAGGTCCTGAAGCTTTTCCTGGAGACGACAGCTCTCCAGATCCAGCAGGCTCAGGGAGCCGACAACCAGGACAAGATTGACCAGGAGCAGACCAAGCTGAACAACAACATCGCCACGGACAAGAAGGCAGCTGGCCAGACCAGCCAGGGCGTTACCTTCACTGGAGATGTGAAGCCCGACAACTAAGTGGAAGCGGGAGGTCAGCAACGAGGAGCTTATTGGGATTTGAATGTCGGTCGTGTTGTCAAAGGAGTGCTGTGGTCGCTGTAGCGATACTTGCGTGGCCGTATACCACTAGTGATATCCATATGTTAATATTATTGTTGACGCCCAGCAACGTCGTCAACCCTTTGAACTGTTCGTCGTCTTCAGCCCTAATCCGTACCCACTGGTTCCCGTCGATGCACATTCAGGCTGCCACAACTTTGTTTCTCCGTTTCACTTTTCGAAGACATCCCGTAGACTGTGCGCCTACGATCGTTGCAGCACGACCTTGGACTGAACCCTGATTTTCTTAAACCCTTCGCAACCACGGCCGGTTTGAAATTTCATCTTCATGTCTGCTGCTTCCACCAGAAGCCGACTCGTCACTCCCCCCCTCAACTTCTGCGGCAGCTCTGTCAACAACGCCCCTCGATTTGAGCTTTGAAAAGCATTCCATCGGCCCTGATCCGAGGACACTTTGAGCTCTGATCGCACTCCAGCTGGCTTCGATTAAGGCGACCTGAACTTGATCTTCAACCATACGAGGCTGGCTAGAGCACTGAATTTCGCCCTTGACGAACGCCCTCAAGCGCTACCAGAGGGATTCCACCTCCTCGGAAGCTCCTCGCACACTCTCAGGTAAGCCCGGGCAAACGTCCACGATGTCGTTGACCCTACGTTCTTCCATGAGGCCACTGTCTGACGAACGGACCTCCAAGCTTCTTGCGCAACGATTGAGTGCTAGTGCGCAATCTTCAGCACCACGTTCACCACGTGCTTCGGTGATCTTGGTCTTCACCACCAGCGGTCGAGTGTCTCCAGTACCGACACGACCGAATTGTGAGTCGAATTTTTCTGCACGTTTTTACACCTCCTGCCTATCCGCTTTCGAGGTCTCCTGTCGTTGGTATCGAGCAATCGAAACTAGTGGACAAAACCTCTCTGGGCAGTGATCGAGCTGACCGTGAGATGACAACAGACAAGCAGCGCAGCGGCTCTGCAAGTCCGACGTAATTCTGGACGAGAAGAATATCTGCTTGAGATTGTTCGTCCATTGAGTTGGTAAGTTAAGAATTTTGTGGACTCCCCGAACCTCATCATCCCAAGTCCGCCCCGGCGAATAATTCCTTACCCCACGGCATTCCTCCATCCCGGGGGTTTCATCGATGCTTCAATGATGATAAGTGATGACAAGGCTGACCTCTCACTTGTCAGAAGCAAGGATGGATCACGCCAAAGCCATGGCTTTAACCAACTGCTATCACTCGTCATGCCACGGGGCCGGTGATCCCATGCCGGCTAATGATGGAGGTCCCAAGAACGAACTGTCCCATGATGGAGCTCGAAACGGTGCTTCATGGTCGAGCGAGGACACCAAGATCGGAAAGTCATCTAAGGATGGCCTTGACCACCTATCCGCAGTCGGCACGGCTGACCATCAGGCGGATGCTGCCGGAACTACCTCGCAGGAAGTCAACGTTCGTGGTGCTGAGCTCGATGCTAGCCACTTCCATCACGACATGAATGGTGCTTCTGACGGCCCTTTCCGTGGTAACCCAGGTGAAAGCTGGGAGATCATGGATCCCAAATCCCTCAACTGCGACCACGTGCAGACCATTGCCAACCAGCATGGAGTCTTGGATTTCGCGATGGATGTAAATGGCTCCGGTTCTCCAGTTCAAGGTGGGCCAAATAGGGTCATGACAAAACCAACCCCTCCGGAGGTATGCGGTCGTGTCGACTAGGCGTCGCACACGTCCACGCAGACTGGGGACCATGGCATGCAGCGTGAGTACAAACGGAGCAACACCATCGCAGGCGCGAATGACATTGAACTTGACGAGCTTGATCCGGACTATCTGTCCCGTTTGATCCCCTTCGGAGACAGTATGTTCATCGGCGAACCTGGTCCGGACGTCGGCCCCGGCACCGGGTACCGCAATTACGGCCAAAGTGACCCTTTTGCCACCCACGGTGACTCTGTTCCCCCTGCTCGTCGACAGGAGGCGCCCCGATTCATCCGCAAGCCTCTGTCACAGACAGAGCTGCGAAGACCGAAGCCGGCCCGGCTCAGAACCCAGCGCTTGGCCAACCCACGATCACCATCGATACGCCATCTTATGTCTCTTAAAGATCTCGATGAGCGTCCCATTATGGTGACCACGGCTATGGAACACGTCATATACGATGGACCATGCAGCCACTGCCACAAGAACCGATGTCTGTACGACGACGCCGAGGGTGAGCCTTTGTGGCGCCTTCGCATGACCCGGGATACCAGCATCATAAAGACCGAGGGCTTCTGTGATCACTGCGTTCGCAACCACTGCCCCTGTGTCTATGATGCCAGATGGGGTACGCACCATGCCCAGTCCATACTGGCCAAGTGGCACGAGAAGCACGGGGTTCGCATCGCCAGTGACTCCGGCACCATCATTCATTACGACACCAACACTCCAGTGGTGACTGCGCTGCCAGCTGCTCACTTCGCGCAGCATGAAACGGAGACAGGTCGTCGTTTCATCAAGCGCGGATTCGGCGACACGTATGTCACCCGCCTCACTCATCACGAGCGGGACCTCGAAGCAGGGCAGCCTGACGACGACTACGACGACGACGACGATCACAGCGTCGAGGCCTTCCGTATGCCCAGTCATGGTACCGGGGCCGAGCACCGCCGCGGTCACGTTCGCCTTTCAGGGAAGCAGGACGGCCGGTGTGGGTGTCGCTGCTGGGTCTTGGCCGGCATTGTCTTTCTGCTGGCTGCTGGTGTTGTCGTCATTTCGCTCTTCGCTGCTGGAGTCAGGTTCTGAGCATGTCAGCCCGCGGATTTTTGCTCACCGGGGCGAGCGATTTGTTGCACCGGCAGAGTCGTGTGATCTTGCGCGCGCGAACGCCTTACGATACTCAATGGCGTTGATTCGGTTCACCTTTTCGTCTGCTTGAGATGTGTCGGGTAAGCTTCTGTGGTCTGCGTTGGTTCCTGCTTTGTTTCGTTCGTTTGGAGGCTGAAGGAAACGGTGAACGGGAGAAGAAAGAAGAAAATGTCCGCTTGATTTTCCACTGTGAAGGACCGGCTTCTGGAAGATTGTGGGGTTCGTCGTCGCATGCGCTGTTACACGCACATCGTGAATGGATATCGGTCGTTCGCGCTGTATGTTACCCTGTTTCGTGAGTGTGATGGTCTTGAAAGACCCATCTCTTTTGTTCATTCCCTTCTGGATGGTCTGAATGTTTTGCGGAAAGGATTCTCAAGGACGATACTAGAGCCGTATATACGCATCATTGCCAGGAAATGATCGTTCGGTCGGATTTGATGGCTTGCAGTGGCGTAGGCCCCTTGGACATCAGTTGCAATCAGCAAAACTCAAGTATCGAGGATGCTGTTTCGGGCATCTTTTCTTTGACTTGGCTGTAGGACCGGGCCATTCTTGAACTATCACAAAGAACCAGGAGCTCAACAGCGGTATTGTCGCCTGTCCTTGTGACAGAACAGCACTTCTCAGTGTGCATCGGAACGTCGAGTTGTTCAGCTTCAGCTTCATTAGCTAATGCTCTTGAAGCGATATTCATCGAGGCTCGCGGTGATTTTTGGAGCCTGTTCATAGACAGAGCAATATATGCGAACAAATTTAATGGCTGAACAACCAGGGAGGGCCTCAAGGTCGTCGCCCCGGCGATGCTGACGCTACGGATGCAGTTTCATGCCTTGATCCCGAAGACTGGCCGTCTCAGGCACTCAAAGGCGTGGGCTTGACTTGGCTCACTTCCATCGTAGACCTTCCTCTCGACGATCAGCACATTCTCCTCCTAAAAGGCATCGTCCACTGCGATGCAGTCAGCTTCCTAGAGCAGTCACAATATGTTCTATGAAAGCCGCACTACAGTCTCGAAAAACAGTTGGTGAACCTGGTGATGTCCTCTGCAGATGTAAATCATAATAATCGTTGAGTATCAAGACTTTCACAGCTTTTCCTGATGGTGAAGGATTTCGTATCTGACTTATTGTCGATGATTGGCGCGTGAGTTACATGACAAAGTCACTAAAAGGTCTCCTACACATAGGTTATACTATGAATTTACTCCCCATTTTGGTGATTCTGCATTAACTCATCTAAGTTTGATCTATGAGTTACGTGTTGAATTGCACAAAATGTCAAAGCGAGGTTTGCATTGTGGTCTTGATCCCTGTAATATCTAAGGCAGACTGTTCTCTACGCCCGTTAACGCTGCGGAATGCATTCGACCTGGAAAACCTCGCGATATGGGGCATGATCTGTACCGCCTTGTGCTCATTTTTCAGCTTTCTATCTTTCATTTTATGAGGCAGGTTCTGGTAATCTTTTCAATGACCGTTGACTATGCATTATGATGACCGAACAGTTCATGGAACTGGACAGCAAACTTTCAATCTGCATACACCTTTGATTGCTGGTATGCCGGAAACGCTGGTTTTCCACATTGGGAGCATATTCCTGAAAACTTGGGCAATGTCATGCGGGTTTGGTTGCCGATATGTCTGTTTTGTATGATTGCAACCAAGCGTGTTACAGAAGGAGCCATATGTCCTCAAAGCGGTCTGACGGGTATGTTGTCAAGAGATGTCGTCGTCTACAAGTACTATGGAACAGCTGTCTGGCAGTGACAGGATGAGGTTCTGTCCGAGTATTATGTGTCTCAGACTTGCGGTCACTTTTCAAGACATTTGATCTTATCACGGTGGATAAGCTCACCGCATTTACCGCATTTGAGCCATCAACATTCATGTGTCTCAGTTGGTAGGGAGCAACGGACAATGATTTTTTCTTGAGATGACAGGCCAATCAGCTGGGGCATGTTTGGAAGTGAACCGACAAAGGATTGCGTGGTACAGACATCACCTCACGGTTGGTCAAATACACACGAACTCAAGGTTGTCGGTGAGGTAGGCATAGTCCAGGTAAAGACAATGGTCCACGGAAAGAAAGGCCACTGGAAGAACGTGAACATATTGTGCAGAAGGGGGATTATTCTGCGACAGTTCCGAATTTGTGCAAGTCTGGTTCAGTCCATGTAAAGAATGTCGCACAAAACAGGTCACCCAGCTGGATATAACCATGCACTACGTACGTCTTGCTTTCACAGCCGAAGAGCAAACATACAAGTTCAAATTTTAGTTCTTGATGAACAGGTTGCATCAACTGTAATGAAACTGTAATGATGTTCTCCTGTTTTGGCCCGCCGCCCAAATCGAGAAATCTTAGGTCTGGAGCCAAATCATCCAATACCAGGGCCACCAAGTCCCGAAAGTCAGTCTACAACATGGGAAAGCACCCCGAAGTGTACGCCTACTTGATGCGAGATGGCTCCTGGAAGCCATCTGCTGCAGCTGACTACTGGCGCATACGTAGGCACATATTGGCTTGGGACGAGTGGACTGCATACCAGGAGATCCTTGACAGCACTTGCCAGCAGACCAAGAAGGTGGATGAGAAGGTTACCAAGCTGCAAGACTCCGTGGGTGACCTCAAAGATGCGCAATCCGACCACGCCAAGAAGCAGGACGAGTGCCTCGCAGAGGTACAGAAAGTCTACGAATACGTCCAAGCCGAGGCAAAGAAGAGAAATGACGAGAAGCAAGCCAAGTGGCTCAAGCGGCAGCTAGCAGAGTCGTACGAGGCAGGGAAAAGTTCCGAGCAGGAAAAGGCAGCCTTGTCACAGAAGAAGCAGAAGGATGAGGATCATGCAAGTGAGCTTCGCCAACTACGAGCTGAGTGGGAGGCCGAAAGGCAGGAGAAGCTGAAGAAGAAGACATTCGAATCGCAGCAGAAAGCCGAGAAGGAGGCAGTGGAACAAGCAGTACGCAACCACCGTCGGCTTGAAGAAGATGACCAGGAAAGATTCGACAAGCGCCAGAAGGCCGAGGAAGAGAGAATCCGGCGGCTTGCAGAGAGCCTCTGGCAAGAGCGCCATGGTTCGGATCGCGAGCCAGCCTTTGACCGTGAGCGTAGACCTTATTGGTACAGGCACGCACCTCACCGTCGAGCACCTGCATTCCGCTATGCTGAGCACGCAGATACGGAGAGCATGTCGCCGTGGATGGAGGAGACGATCGAGGAAGAGTTCCCAATGTACCACCCGACTAGCCGGAGAGAACGACGCCGCACGATGTTACGCGGCTCTGGGCCACGACCAGATTACCCCTGGAACTATTGATGAGCCGTGACAAGGACCACCAGCCTCGACAGCGTTAGCAAGTCATCGTTCTGTCGAGAGCCAATTTCCTAAACAAAGTCGGATGGCCTGCGCCAAGTGAGCAAGCTCAGGCTGCCCTAGCATCCCCTAGCAAATACCTCGGACGGCAAATACTCTACCATTGGCATCCGTCTATCTATGGTTCTTTGTAGGGGAGCATTGGACGCAATTGCGGTTCCAGAAATGGACATCACTCCCCGCCGAGTTCTGTGGTTTGGGTGGGGATCGACATCGGCAGGCTGCAACGGTTCGAGGCCATGTACGTATCGTCATTTGCTCTGGTCTCTGCTTGCCCCAGATATTCAAATCTCAATGCGGCTGTCTAGCAGCCTGGAAGTCTTCCGAAGCTTTGATCTGATTGCGTCGTCCTCATTTCCCTTGAAGGAAAGAGTGGAGGCTTCAGGGACCAGGCTCTGGGTGACGGTGGATTACATGTTTAATTAGGAAGGCATTGTGTCTTAAGCGTGATAGATAACGTCCACCTTTATACATGCGCATTTAACATACTGCAGATACTGTTTTCAACGGTAGTGAGTGCATGAGCATTGGAATAGGATGGAATGCTGCCTCTACATATATGGGGGTGGGCATTTCCAGGTGACGCGTATTGGCCAAGGCAAGCCAGCAGGCCTGCGAGGCGCTTTCTGCGCCCGGCGGTGGGCCAAGCCGATAGCCTTCTTCGTTCCACTCACAGCATGAAAGGCCTCTCAGAGGCAGATGTTATCACGCGCTCATTCGCCTCGCATTCTGCTTAGCCTTCAGCCGGGGGGAGCAATACCTTACAGCATATCGAGAGAGGGAGAGGGAGTTGTGGGCAGCGCAAATCAAATGACGTGACTAGAAGCAGTCTCCCACTTCGAGAGGAGCGTGACTTTCCAGCGTTGATGCTGGGACCTGAGGGCCCGGTTTTTAGACTAGCCAACAACCTTCGCTAGACGTGGTACTACTCGATGGCCATTGCAACGCTCTCTGCCTCTGATAGGATTTCGTCCTCGACAACGCACCCAGCATTCGTTCATCCGACAGTGTCCAACGCCGAGAGGCATGAGAGCTGAGAGAAGACTCATCAATACGTGTAACCAGCAATTTGGCTGAAGGCATCGGTCGAAGCTTGGCACACGGGAAGGCTAAAGCAGTCGGGATTATCGTCTAGGCAGCCCATTGGTCAGGGTGACGGGCCTTCGCGGGATCGTGAGGAGTCCCGGCTCTTACTCTCTCGAGCTTGCGCATTTCGACGTTAGCACGCGATAGGATGGACAGGGGGAGATGAGAGACGCAGAGTCGGCCTAATTGCGCGATAACTTCTTGCGCGGCTGGTCCTCTACTGCGCAAGCCCAACTTGGCCGGACTGCAAGCACTATGGTACCGTCTCCTTGGCTGGCGTTGCTGGGCGTTGCTGGCTGGCGCTCGTTGGCAACGCGAACAGCCTCTCGCGACCGGGCCGCCCAAGCCAAGGCGCGTTCTAAGAAAAGACCAATCGTAGGAGCCGCCAGTGTTGGCCTTCGCCACCTGTTCTGCAGGAACAGCCATGATGGACAGGAACCAGGCACGTCGAAAGCCAATAGGGGCGGAAAGCCACCCTCCACCACATTGACAACTGGGATCACCGTTCTTCGTGCTGTGGACTGGCCAACGGCAGAGAACCAGCACAACAGCACTCCATGCTTTCCGGGCCTGAAATTTTTTTTTCTTTCTAACATCGTCGCGCTGCGACCGAAGCAGAATTTTTTCCTTTTAGGTAACTTTCCGTGTACGCAGCCGCATAGGAGCGGAACCGTTGAGTGTCCTGGAGCGCCACGTGACTATTGATGGATAGGATGACTTTCCTCCCCTCTCAATGTCTCTCACTCCGGCCCGTGCCCTTACTCTATTCCCCATGGACGAGCGGTGAAAGGTCAGAATGAGAATAGTCCCCAAGCCGTGCTGCGCCATGCGAGTCTCAGCCGGTAGACAAGGCGATTGCGATTGAGTTATGCCAGATAGCCTGATACCCTCTTGGTGACCGTTTCCCAACCGGAGGCGAGTCATGAGAAACCAACAGAGGCCCTTTTGCGCTCGCAGTTGTCCAGCTGTACATCGTCCAGTGACTTGTCCCAAAACTGGTAAGCCCAGGTGCGTGGCTGGCGAAAGAGCCGAAATTTACCAGCGGATCCTGGATCGTTGACGACTGTCGATTATCCTTGTCTATTCCTGGTAGAAATTTGCTGATCCACATTTGGCCCCCGGCCTTGTTTCCCTGCTCGCTATCCACCCACATCCACCGGATCAGCCCTCATTGAAAAGGCGTTGGCTGCCAACCAACACTCCTTCGCGCCCTCCCTCCTCCACACTCCCTTCGTGCGTCTGTCAAGCTTCAAGCGGTTGTCACTCTTTACCAACGTGCATTTCTGCATACCACGCTCTTTTTGAACATCATCACGCCGCAGCTGCTACAGACTATTACTATACTCTCCGGAGCCAAGTACAAGTCCACGACCACCACAACAAGGAAACTGCTCAGTCAAACAAAAGGCCTCAACCCCAGCTTTGTGCGATCGCATTCTTACTATTCCGATCTACCGTGATATTTTTCTTGGGACGAGAAACCTCGGGTCTACCACAGTCAAAATGCGCTTCTCCTCCATCTTCGTTCTGGCCGCCAGCGTCATGTCTGCCGCCGCCGAGACCAGCACCTCGACGTCGACCTTGTATGCCACTGTCACCATTACCAAGTGCAACCCTACCAACACTGCTTGCCCGCTGTATACTCCTTCGACTAGCTCTACCCCCATCACCACCTCCAGCTCCACCTCCTCGAGCGTCATCCCTACGACCTCGTCGTCGTTCTCTTACCCGACTTTCAACACCACCAGCGCCTACTATCCCACCACCGGATCCCACCACAACGCTACTGCCTCGTACTCCTACCCGGCCACTTCTTTGACCTCCGTCAAGACTACCGCCGCCACCAAGACCAACCCTGTGCCCACTAGTGCCACTTCGGCCCCGGCCACTGGCGGTGCTATCTCGACCTCGGCCAAGTCTGGACTCCTGATGGGTGCCCTTGGTGCTGCTGTTGCTTTCTTGGCATAGGTGCGCATCGAGGCGACGGAGAGGGAGCGTGTGCGAGAATGGGAGGATGTTGCGTTGAGAGAGGCGTAATCGCGCGAGGACGGACTGCAGTCAATCATGGCGCTCAGCGGCGGCAGCCAGGCCATATACCCGAACCACTTGGTTCATTTCTCTTCTAATACCATAATTTTTCAAACCGGGGACGGGCGTTAGGGGTAATATTACCGCGGCACGTTGGATAACGACTTACGGGCATTGTCGGAATGAAACACTTTTGAGCGAGCTTTACTATGTTCAAGTTAGATATTGGTGGTCACCACCCGGTACTTAGACTCTTCGGGGCTTTGAATGGCTGTCGTCACTTTTAACTAGGACGACAACCGACTTGCCCAGAATGCAAACGGTCCATGGCATACATCTTTACTGATCAAACTATTCTTCCATCCAGTCTCTCCATTCCTTCTATGGTCAAAGTGAGCTATGGCTATCGCCAACACTTGGTCCGAAACTGCAGCTTAAACTAACTATAGAGGTCACGCAAGTCGAACACAACAGGCAGGCTTGGCCTTTACGTGAAGCAACATAGATAACGTAGTACGCCATTTTTCTTCGAACACCGTTCAGTTCCCTTTTATCACATACCGAACCTTCGTAGTAAATAGCCTACCAGCTCTTTTGTTGTTGGCTTGCAGGTTGGTGGCTTACGTCGTGTTGTTACCGTTTGCCTGCCACAACCCTCTGGGGATAGCGCCATATCAGTCACTAAACACATGGGAGGCCCAACATGGAAGAGATTTTCCAACCATCACATTAGTCTAGAAAAGAGAAGAGACTGTCCTATCTCGGCCCTTGAACCACGGGCGAGTCCCTGGTCACTTATCATCTCATTCATAAACGCGTCGATTCCAGCACAATGGTATGTTTCTGTGTCAATACAGATGTATCTATTCAGTATCCCTACTCGTCACATTGTTCTTGACCAAGTCCAGTCTGCCAAGAGGCGTCCAATCTACCATCCCATACCCAACACTCCTAACAAGAAGTTCCCAACAGGAGCTCGATGTGCAACCCTGCAGTTAAGAGCTAGTGTCATACTTTTACAAGTAATGTGCCTTATGATGATGCGTGGCCACATTTGTTGCCTGTACAGGAACTACACAGTCCGTCGACACTGGCGGTCGTGTTGCCACAGCCGTAGATGTAATGATCGCAGCGTTTGTTTGCCATCTTCTCAAGTAGAGCAAGCAGTTTTGAAGCCGTAGATTCTGCGTGCGTTTGTTATTGGTTTGAGAGGCAGAAACGAGCGGGCCTCAGCAAAGACCACAACCTGATTTGCGGGTGACGATTCCCTAGTTTGCTTGTATACCTGAATGGCTTGTAGCAGTTGATGGCTGAGGAAGTAAGTGATTCTGGTCACACCACCTGGGATGGGATTTTCGAGGGCTGTTAAGCGTACGTACTGTTGTTGGCTCGGAGAAACGAGCCAGGTTGATATTGGCAGATGGTTGTGCGTGCTGCTTTATGGGAGTCACAAGTTGTGAAGATATTCACAAGAAATAGGAAGTCTCAGGCAGACGAGAGTGTGTGTTTGTCTGGCACAGGGAAGAATGTGTGGGAAGATCATGGCTTTTATATCTGTCGAGCGTTGACGGCCACTCTCCCTCGGGGTCCACTGCTATCACTCATCCAGGTTCTCTGTTACGGATGCAGGATATCAAAGTCACTAACACCCTGGACATCACAATCCAACAGCATAGCCCTGACTCCAAGCTTTCACTTGCATGTTGTAAACGGTGACCTTGTAGATCTCGAAAGGCTATGGGTTCAAGCAGGGGGTCACTTGGGCGACCTTCTCTCCCTTGATTGGCCACATGGGTCGACCCGTACCAATTTCGGGCCTTGCCGGTGAAGAAAGAACAGTTCAAATTAGAGTAGCATCTGTGATAAGGCATACTTTGTTGCTCATTGGTGCCGGCCTAGTCTCATTCTTTAGCTCTTTCACTATAGAACACCATTCTTGACTCCCCGCCACATGTGTTGAGCAGTACACACGCGACATGTCTTCAGAACCCCCGCTTGGTGCGTCATAGCTTTGTTTGCCATCTATTCAAGTTGGGCTTCCACCGCAAGTCGCTTCTTACCCTTACAGGAAGGGCCCCAAAAGATTCCAACAATGGCTGTACTTTTTCCAAGTTGGTATGCTTAGTTGGTATGCTTAGAGGGTTTGATACAAACAGATCGGATACTGATTTGTTTCACCAAGGCCTTGCTAATAATCGCTGGCTGCGGATGTGACATAATGCAGCATGCCTCTGGCTGACCCATCCTGGTCTATGAACCTCTCTCCCGGGTCACAGGAGATATGGTTGGGTGGCTTATGGGCTATCATTGGTGAACTTTAAGACCAGGCAAAAATACCTCACATGGTTCTTCCGTTCCTAAAAACCAACATCTGCAACAGCGCCTGTGTATATACTACGTTGCCTAGAGCCGCCGTACAGGGTACGACGATGTACTTCGTACGCATATCATACACAAGCTTGGACGGTACAATGTTGAATGTTTGCCTGACTGCGCCCCATACCTACAACACGATACTCATGAGAAGTTGGCCACGACACCGGCCGGTTCACGGCCAATATGAGTCATCTCATAGTTGCTGAGTCGCATGGACTCGCGAAGAAGTTTCAACCAGCCCTCGTTCGTTGCAGATTCCCGGTGTAACGGAGGCTAACACGGGTGTCCAATGGATCTCCAGCATTGCAACAACTCAAATTAAGACCTGTAGCCTCGCCCAGGCGAGAAATCGACATTCCAGACATGTGGTGGTGATTGGCTCTCGAGAAGCGGCCCACCCTGGAACTGGATATAGTGTTGTCTCTGCGCGTCTAACAGCCGCCACCCAGCCCCTGGACCCAACAACCCTGGCCGCGATTTCGGCCGCAGGAGAAAAAAACCTTGCATATTACCCACATCTAGCCTTGAGATGTTTGTGACCTTTGCGGCCGGCTGATGCTGAGCACACCGCCTACTTCTGGATATGAGAGCCAAAAGGGGGGGGTTTTATAGCCCACCCAGTCTACCGGTAGGCGAGCGCAAACAACAGAGGACGGCCCACGCTATCGGGTCGGGCAGGGATCTGCTTTTGGTCCGTTGCAAAGTCGCGGGTACCCTACCCACAAATGCGCTCTCATTACCACCAAGGGCCATACAAACAGGGCAAAGGCTCGCGCAAATTGGCTCGAAGTCCTCGGAGATCAGGTCCATCCAGGTACCTGGGGGCGAGTTTGAAGTGACAAGCCAGGGGCGGTTGACTCCCGTCTGTAACTGACGCGCGGCAAATTGGATGGGTGGACGCATTTACGAGCAACAAGATAAGGAGCGCGCTTACCGCGCGGTGACGACCAATAGTCAACCCTGTCACCTTAACCATTACTCCCGTAAGATGTAGCTTTGCACTTGCAAGGCTGGACAGGTTCCACTGACCATCCCCTCGGGACTACTATGACGTTGCGGACGTTGAAATCACGATCATGCGCCTCGCCGATTGGGGTATGCACATTAGCTGCACATCTCATGTGAAGAAAGAAGAAGTGGATTTGTCATCGAGTCCATGAGATTCTACCGCATAGAACATATCTAATTTGCTGATCTGGTCCTGGTTTGTGGTTTTGGTCACCAACCATGATCGCTCCAGCCCATCCCGAGCACATTGCCCAAAGCAGAACTCTAGTCATCGCCTTCGCAAACCAACGCCAGTACCATCAAGTCGTAACTGTTAGAGGCTTATACCCACTGGTAACCTAGCGGACGTGGGCTCAGGTAGCCGCGCTGGGGCCTAGCTTGTCGCCAACCTTGACTCGCTTGCCATTGGCAATTCTGTACGACTCGGCCTCCTTGGGACTCTCCTCGTCTTCGCCGACTTCCGCACCGTGCTTCTCCTCTTGTTGTCGCTTTCTCTTACCAGTGGCCGACTTGTTGCGCTTGTAGTTGTCTTTGTGCTTCTGGACCTCTGCTCGGACTTCGGCACGGATGCTGCCGTCGGGGTCAGCTTTCTCCTTCACCTCGCCCCAGATTTGTCGTGAGATGACGCTCTCCTGGGGAATAGAATGCTCGACCAGGTACTCGCCGTCGGTAGTGAACGCCCAGACGTGCTTGATCTCAAGTCGGTTGATGAGATCCCTAACCTTCCAGATTCGCTGGGTATTGTGGTCCCAGCCTGGGCCGTCGGTGCGGAACTTGACGATTTGAATGCCTGTGTAGTTTCGCTCCTCGAACAGCTCAGCCAATCTGACAGCCTTTCTGTAAAATGGAGTGGCGGAAACGAACGGGCTCAGCTCCCGGCATCTCCAGCTGAGGTGCTTCTGACAATGGATCTGCATGAAGAGGGGATTGGTGCCAGTGCCGAGTCTCGCTTCCAGTGAAGAGTTATCGTGGATTGCGCGGTACATGATGCGTGGTCTTTCATCACCGCCGCATGTAGTCACCTCAACGGTGGTCTCGATCAAGGCGGTGCCCCAGACACAGCCTACGTTACGTGAGCCAGTGAGCATGCTTAACATACGAGGGTAGGCATCGTTGATCTCTTTGGCGTGCTCTGGCACCAGGCGAAGCACCCATGGGAGGTTGTTTCCGCATGTGTTCTTCGTGAGCCAGGCTTTGACGTCCTCATTGGAATTGTCGGCAATTATGGTGCGCTTGCTCTCGTAGCGGGCCACGCCCAAGGTTTCAGCAGGGATGGTTTCCATGATTCGAGCAGTGTGTGATTGTGTGTAATGTGTAACTGTGTGTTCCTGATAAAATATGCTGGTTTCGTGATGTGTTGAGAGAGTGAAGTGGTTACAAACCTTGTGATGCGGGAGAAGGTTGGTGGATCGCAATCCGAAGTGGTGAAGAATGATTGCAAGGAATACCGATTATGGAAAGGACTTATATTTTATCCTGGTCTTGAACTCTATCATATTTATATATAATAAGAGCAAGAGCGCAACATACGCAAATCAATAAAAAGTAGAAGGAGCTCTCTCAAACCATCAAGTTCACGGGTTCTTCAACGGGCTCGAGGCGGCAAGAGTTGCGCCATTTGCATTGAGATACCGCAGTTCCGGGAGAACCATGTGAAGCTTTCGAATATAGGCACCGTAGTGACTAGATATGCTACGTCCAATAAGTGGTCTAAGTTCGACTTGAGGCAGGGACATCAGAGCAGAAAAGTACTGTACTAAAGCTCCAATGACATGACGTGTGATTCGAAATTCGGGGGTGTATATTTGACCGCACGTGCCGCTGCGTCGTCTACATCATAGTTGCGGTTCGTAGGGACCTACGGAAGCCAGTAAGATGATATCCAAGCTCAGGATAAAATTCATCATAACACTTTAGAGGCAACACTGTGGGGGCAAGAGCGATCATCACGCGAAGTTTCAGCGCAAACAGTGAAGAAAGGGAGTTGCAATCTGTAATCCAGTGTATTTGTCGCCGTGTTCTTGTACGGCTTCTGTAAGACTATTCGCGGGTATCTTGAATTTGCGACTTGAACGCACTGTGCCGGTAGGTAATCTAGCTCGGCTTGCTAAGCAAGCCGAAAGCGTGCTTCTATGACCCACGCCAACATAAAGTCCGCAAAATCACCGCTTTCAGCGAGTCATATCGGTACACGCGATGCTTCATTGAAAAGGAACGAGGTTGATTGCTTCTAATTCACGTGGACCCGTGCTCCCCGAAAGGAAAACGCGTAAACAAGTAGATGGCCAGCTTTCTGGTGCCACAAGGACTCCCGACAGTGTAAATGCAGTGCCCTTGACCCCTTTTACTGCCCAAATGATACATGACTGCGTTGCCTCTTTCACTGCTGAATCCTGAACTCCATGAAAAGCATCATTGCAAGGAAAGAGGCAGATTCGTAAAACCCGTCCTGTACGCCACGCTAGAACATGAAAGTGAAGATCGCGAAAATGTAAAGTTGGGGATTGATAACTGTACTCAGTGTGGATAGACACGTTGAGGTCTACTCCAACCGAAACGTCGTATCGGATGTCTTGATGCCAGGCCGTGGGGTCGGTTCGTCGGCGGCCAGAGGCTTTGGCTCTGCAGACGGTCGAGGTGTTTCGTCAGGATCTTGGCCGAATCCTTGGCTGGGTAGAGAAGGAGAAGCCTCGGGTGGGGTTTGGAGAACGCATTTCAAAGGCGATGTTGCTCGGATGGGGGACAGACCGCCATCTTTTGAAGGGGTAACGACCTGTGTCGTTGGTTCGGGCGTGCTGTCGGAGGCTACGGCAACACTGTCATGGCTGTTTGCCCTCATCATTTCGATACCAAGCTTGGAACTCGGTCGCTTTGCACGGATGGTCCGCTCTCGCGAAGCACCCAACTCCTCGTCTTCGTCATCGGCAGAATCGCTGCCTTCACCACGGCGCTTCTCCAAGTTTTCACGCCGTGACTTGAGCTTTTCCAATGAGCGCCGTGGAATCGGTATTCTAGGTGGCTCCATCTGTGCAGGAGCCGATTGCTGCGTCACTAGATGAGCGGGACCCTTCGGCGAGCCGTCAGGTCCCAGTAGGACTTCTTCTTGGCTGATTCCGAGTTCATCCCACTCGCCCGTAGCTTTGCGACTTATTACCACAGGCAGCTCGTCAGTAGTCGTCACCGATTCTGAGTCTCCAAAGAGACTCGAGCTGATGGAGTCCTCCCTGCTGGAACCGCGGAAACTGCCACCAGCATGGGGAGCGTAGCCCGACGATCCTGAAGTTGGACTATCCTCCAGACGGGCGCCTTCGTACCGTAGGCTAGAATGAGGTATCGCCATAGGGTTGCTCATGGCTGTTGAGTTATTCTGTGTTGGAGATGGAGGCTTCCACTGACAGAGATTAGACAGGACCTCGATGAGCTTTGAAGAGCTGATTGGCTTTTCAACGAGGGAATCAAAATAGTGTGGTGCTTGCAGCTCCTTGAGATATGCCGTGATTGCGACGATAGGTGTGTGAGCATTGACATTCTTCAACTCACGAACCATTCGAGCAAGATCGGTGCCGCTCACTTCTGGTAACTTGAACTCCGTGAAGATGATATCGAACTTGATCTCGCTCATTGCGTATCGTACGGCCTCTCCACCTGTTGTTGCCGAGATTGTTCGGCAACGAAGCTTCTCCAATAGTTTCTCCATGACCATGCGCGACACGGGATGGTCTTCGCAGATCAATACGTCAAGTGAACGGAAAGATGGGCTTTCGAGGTTGATGGCAGACATGCGCCGCGAGCTTTGGCGACGTCGTTGGACTCGGAGAAGCGCATTGACCTTGTCCCCTTCATTGTCTGATGACGACGGGGACATGTCAAAAACCTGACTGCGACGGTTGCGGTGTGCCAATAAATCAGAAGCGACCGGGCTCCCATCTTGAGATCCTACCGTCAGCGACCTTGATCGTGTCGATGAGCCGCTGCCTTGTCTCGGGGTGGCTAGTCCCTTCTGCGGAGACAACGCCAGCGGCGGAGGAGCGCCCCGTCCCTTGACCGGTGACGCTGCAACAGAGGTAGCTGATTTTTGTAGAGTTGGCGTTACGCGTGGCACATCGAAGAAGCTTCCTGGCTGCAAGGAGGCGACTGACTGCTGCGACAAGCTCGATGAGGTACTGGATGGCTTTCGGCGGCCCTCCGCACCGCCTTGCCCCGCAACGAAAGAGACAAGCAACGGAGAAGATGGCTGAGAGGCGCGATTGGGAGATGAGTTTGTGTGGCTCACGGCAGAAGGAGACTGTGGACGCTGGGATGCCTTGGCATTGGACAAGGTGCGTTGCACCGGCATTGAAAGCACAGGGCTGCTGCCATCAGCATTCGGCGCTGGGGAGGTGGCACTATTCATCCCACCGGGGCTCGTCCCTGATCTGCTTTGCGCTGCTATCGCCTGAGCTTTCAGCTGTTGAATGACGTCCTTGTTGGCCTTATCGAGGACTGTGAGATTCTTGAAGGCGAATGAGCCGAAATCGTCTGGACCAACAGGCTCACTAAGCCGGCGACTTTTGAGATCCCGAATGTGAGGTGGAATATGTAGAGGCATCAGGCCACGCTTGATTTGGTTGACTTGCACTTGGGATCGGACCCGAGATAGCGCATCGTGTGGTCTTTCTGGATAGTCGGGGGTTGGCGCCGATGGAGGTGACATCTGGTCCTCCATTTCTTCTGTGAAAGCTTGAAGAGTCGCGCCTCGGGCGTCGAAGTACTCGGTGTCTTCAGGATTCTCCGGGTTGGGTACAAATTGTGCCTCATCCTGCAGCAAGGAGCCCCAGACGATACCCTCAAACCAGGGGTGATTTCGAATTTCCTCCCCTCCAGAGGCATACTTCTCCTCACGATTGGCCCCGAGTCTTTGCTGTGGCTCCATACAAAGCAGCTTATTGATGAGGTCCTTAGCCTCAGCCGAAACACCGTATTCGGCGTCATCGGGCCACATTATTTTGCGAGCAAGGATATTTTCAAATACATGCTCGGCCTCGTTGGCATGGAATGGGGGGAAGCCGTACAGGAATTCGAACATGATGCAACCCACAGACCACCAATCACTGGTCTCATCCTGCCTTTCGCCTTTGATAGTCTCTGGTGCCAAGTAGTCTGGCGTACCGACAAAGCGCCTATTTGTGTCTTCGGGGTCGAAGAGAGCCATCGGCGGTGGCATCATGCTGGCCTGTGGGGGAGTGCTTCGGTGCGTTTCACTACCATGGGTGCTAGAGTGTTGCAGTTGAGGAAGGTCCGGCGACGCCGCACTATCTGCTTCGCTAATGTCATCTCGGGGAGACCTGATGCTCGCTTGTGACTGCCTCGACTGCGACAGCTGGGGGTCGTTCAGAGAAAAGTTGCCCATCATGTGTGCAAGCGACTCGCTGCCGCCGCTATCACTTCGTTGGCCAGAAATGCGACGTGGCTCTTGATGTACGGCTGACAGGTTGAAGTACGATGGCTGACCAAGATTCGCTGCCGCATCCGACGGCGTCATTTGTGGTGTTCCGGATGGGGAGTGATGGCCGCCATGAAGATCCAACGACGTAGACCTGGAGGAAGCGACGGAGGTGGAACGAGCGAACGGGCCAGACTTCAGCAGATCAGGCGTTTGCTCTGAGTTTGTGCTATTTAGAGCTCGCTTCTGACGTCCAATGAGTCCCATTCTCGAAAGCCCGAAGTCCGTCAGTTTGAGATGGCCTTTCTGGTCAATGAGAAGGTTGTCTGGTTTTAGATCTCGGTGGATGATGCCGCGGCTGTGAAGATGCTCTACGCCAAGGATAACTTCGCCGAGGTACTTCTTGACCCAGTCCTCAGGAAGCCCACCGAGGATCTTGATGAGTGCAGCGCAATCGCCTCCGTTGAGGTATTCCATGACAAGGTATAGGTAGTCTTTACTAGAGAAAGTCCAGTAGAGTTTCGCAACAAAATCGCTCTCCCCTTGCCACATCATGATGGCTCTTTCGGCCTTGACATTTGTGACCTGGTTCTTGGCAACCATATCCGCTTTCTTCAGAACCTTGATGGCGAAGTATTCGCCTGTCGATTTCTTCTTGGACAGATACACACTGCCAAAAGCACCTTTGCTGATCGGTTTGATGATTTCAAAGTCTTTGATTGAAGGCGGTACAGCGCGAGCCAGCGGCGTAGCACTGACCGCGTGCATTCGTGGAGAAGGAGGCGGCCGTCCAGTGAACTCCGGGAATGCAGCCGACGACTGCCTTCGATGGTGGGAGGCCGCAGCCGGCGAGCTGAAGTCACTATGGGGCAGCATGGGCGAAGCCTCCGGAGACACAACGGCATCCTGAGAGTAGTGAAGATTTCTTGGCTTGAGTATTCGTAGTGGTGACGAAGGTTGGTTCCCGCGGCTCGGAGATTCTTGTCGGTGTGGTGAAGATGTTCCTGGGAGAATGAGACTTTTCCTGTGGTGCTGTCGCGAACTGGTAGCACGCCGCAAGTCACCGAATTCTGATATGGGGGAATCGGTGCGGGGAGCCGGCCGCGAGGCCACCGACGATGACCTGACGCTCCCATCGCTATCTCCAGCATCGCTCTCAAACATTAGAGATTCCCGGCGTGATTCCCGGGTTTGCCCGCTGATGCTCAAGGCTCCGCGGTGCGACCTTGGGGTAGGGCACTCCTTCGGGCTACTAGATCGAGTAGACCCGACAGCAGACAGTGACCGCCTCTTCTCTATATCGCTGAGCTCAACGTTCTTCAGAGCCATCGCTAACGAAGATGGAGCATCGAAGGAGCCGGGGAAAATAGTTTCTTCTTGTGCAGCCGGCGTCGTTTCCTCCTCATCCCTGTCTTCTTCTTCTTCTTCGTCGTCGACTTCTTGCACCTCTGTTTGTTCTTCTTCGTCTTCGGTCGAATCGCTAAGACGACCGGCAGCAATGCGAGCCGCCTTCCGTAAGGCTTCATCGATACAGTCTTGTACGATGATGGAGAATTCCATTCTAATGCGTTCGGAATACTCCAAAATTCTGCGGTATCGGAACACAGCCTCGACCTTCTCCCTGGCAACCTTCTCTGTATCTGTACAAAGCAGCGCTAAACCGTGCTCCTGTTCCAGTGTATTGGAGCCAGGGGAATGCCATTGAAGTACCTGTGAGATCCTGGATTCGGACTGAGGTGACTGTGTGCGGAACTCGCCTGGCCCTTGGGACGAAGTTTCTTTGATTGCGGGTTGGCTGATCTCGATGGCGGTGTCGCATAGATCTAGTAGCAGCTCCACGATACGACCTTGTGGCCGGCGCACAGCGAAAGACCGCGATCGTGAATGGCCAAAGCCAGAAGATCGGTCCCTTGAAGAAGCCGACGGAGAAGCTGTTCCGGGAGAAGAGGAACTTGATGTAGGCCCTATCGCCATGCCTTTATACTCAGCCGTGGCAATGGCAGTCGGCTCCCCAGCTATGGGTCGACTTTTCCGAGCCTCTAGAGAATCAAGAACCTTGACGATGGCGTGCCGATGCTCAGTGAGGTTTTCTTGGGCCATTTGCACATCCATCTCTGCGCGATGTTCTTGGAGACACAGGTCTGTATGCTTTTCGAACCACCAAGGCGGTATCTGGCGCTCGCATATGCGACAGAGCACAGGAAGTGGAGGAGGATGGTTAGCCGGGTCGTCGTTGCCGGACTCGGCCAATAATGTTAAATAGCCCGCGAGAACCTCAGCGCCTGATCCTAGGGAATCGACTATCAAAGGAGGCAAGTCGATCTTGACTTCTCGGGGCGGGATCCATGGGCGGATCATCCACATCGTCTTGGTTCCCAGGGTCAGTAACAGGGGCTATATAGAATCGAATACCACAGACTTACATGACTTTCGGTTCCATCCGTGCGATGATATACCATGATGCCCTGGGCCTCCAGCTCGAGCGTGGTAGGCTCATTCTCGCCTGACTCAGGTTCTTTGATTTCTTCGACAGGCAATAGTTTAGATAGCGCGCCGAGGTGCAGGGTGAAACGGATGCGATGGCTGCGTGAATCGTCCTGCTTCATAGATTCGATGGCATGGGCAAAGACGTCCTTGTCTTCGCTAACGATCAGGTCGGCAATGGGCTTGGCCTCGACCTCGCCTGGCTGGGTGCCGATTACATCGACCCACGATGGGCTCACCCATCGTACTGAGCCGTCAAGATTCAGGTCCACAATGACGTTCAGTGTCTGCTCTGCAGCTTCTCGCAGATCGTCTCGCTCTTCCCTTATATTGTCGCTGAGGGTTCTCTCCATAGCACTGCCGGCAGCCTGCGCCCGTAGCGAGCTCACTGCCGGCGGTGCTAGTCTGTTCTGATCTTGCTCCATGATGGCGGGAACGTAGGACGGGTTTGCACTTCCAATGGCAGCATCGGGGGGTACGCGTCCATGCGGTTCGGCGTGGCAGTTGCTGCGGGTAGCAGGGCAGCAAGCGCGTCGGGAGCCCAACGAAGTTGGCGTGAACCGGGGTTCCAATCGGTTATATCGACGATGACGTTGTGAAGCCAGAAATTCTGGCGCTGAGCCAGAGCTAGAAGCCTGCAAGGCCGAGAGACATGACTGGAGTCGTGGTCGACGCAGGCAAGGTCGACAAGCTGGACCCGACGAGGTCACCGGCTCGAGCTATCGGGGGATAGCTGTGGCCGACTCGGTCGAGTGTCCGGCTGGTCGGGTCGAGGCGGGAGTGGGTGTCTGTGCTCGCACGGGAGCTGTCGACGATCGAGCTGGCACAGAGGGAGGCAGAGAGCGTGAGGGAGGATACACCTCGAAAGCAGGAGCGCGGCGACTGTTGGTAGAAGTTGGAATTGGCGAATGAGACCCGTGAGGATCAACTAGTCGGGCGGGCAGCAGTCTAGGGCGGCAACTAGAACAGAGGGTAGAGTATGTAGAAGCACGAACGCGCGCGATAAGCCAAAGCTGACACTGACAGGCGGAATCGTGAAATGGGCGAGAGTGCAGCTGGGGGTTTGTAAGGTCTGATCACGGATGGGCAAAAGTCTAAAAAGGGTGGCAGACTTTTTGTCTCTTTTTTTCAGACTCACGGCTTCAGAGGAGTGTTTGGACCATGGGGAGGTTGATGCATCAGTTGCGTTGTTCCCGCTCTGGTCCGTCTCGCCCGTCAGCTCGTCGTGCTGTGTTGTGCATCCAGTCCCGTCCCAGTCCCCGTCCCAGTCCCAGTCCCAGTCCCAGTCCTAGTCCGAGCCGCCCTTGTGTTGATGTGCTCTATTATGCGTTTACTTTTACTGGGTTAAAAAAGATGGGGGGATCCACACCGGTGCGATTGGGACGACATTGGGACGTGGCCGTGGGCATTGGACATGGACCTGCACGTTTTGCCCACACCACCCACCAGACCACCACCAAGAGAGTGCATGGACGGTTCCTCTTTTGGTCTGCTTTGGCTTGGGAGCTGGTGGCACGGGGAGCAGGGCATGGCATGGCATGGCATCGCTCACCTCACCTCACCACACACCTGGACGACTCCCTCCCCTCCTCCACTTGGAACAACTGGGCTGCAGTCGCAAGGGAGAAGAAGCCCGTGGCTAGTCCAGAAACGCTCAAGGGAGCCAACCTTGTCCCCCTCGTCCTTCGCTCACAGACGACAATAGTCGCAGCCGCCCTTCGCTCTTCACACACCCAAGGCCTGCATTCCTCGCAGCCACAATACCACCGGTCTTACACGTGACTGTCGCACTGCAGCTCCGTGGCACGATGAGGGGAAGCGCGCCGTCGGGAAGCCAATGGGAGTGACAGCTGCTTCCTAGGTGCACATGGCACTAGGAGCAAATGAAGCCTAGTGGATCACTGCCCGTTGTCATGCGCTGTGGTTTTCTTTCTCGGTCCTCTCTTAGCATCAACGCGCGCCCCGGCACCCGTTGCTGACGACCTGACGACCTGCTTGATCCCTGGCAGCATATTCTGGGGCGGCAGCGCACCGTCAACGCAGTGGTCTGGGAGCACCGTTGGCCGATGGATGGCCATCGCCTCTTCCGGTTGCTCTGCTGCTGAAGGAATCTCTGACCACGATTATGCATGCAGTCCCCGGCTAATGTGCCTAGTTATCTATACACGCCAGCAATCCTCTTGGAAACTTTGGCGTTGTTGCAAAGCCTCGCAAGGGCAACCTGGTAGCAAGCAGTCAGATACGAATGGTTCTCACCCCCACGTCAGACCCTGAGGCCTTTGTGTGTGTGTGTGTCCTTTTGCTTCTTCCATGTTCTTCCTACAATATCTTTGCCGTTGAAGCTGACGGCTTGGTTTTCCACTGCTTGTCATATTTTGATGGGTGGGTTGTCAACCAATCCGTCCATCCCGTGAGCCTGGCAACGTGCCAGGCATGTCTACATTTCTTTGAAACTGCCACGCATTATTCTCACATATCATATCGGTAATGAAATTCAACACTTTGGCCATTCTAACTAGCCAACCATCAAGGAGAGACCTCCATGATAGACGCACTCTTCTTGGACTGCAAACCAAAATGTGGGGTATAGCCTATAACCATCATCGAGGGTAGTAGCGGCACTATGAGGGTGATGTCCACTTGCCCACGATCATTGTCACGCATGGCAGGACAAATCAGCGTGGCACAAATGAAACATTTTCGGTAGGATTGTCACTCACAGGTTGATGGTTGTTTCGACTTGATCAGCCCAGAGGAGATCTCCAAACGTCCCTCTGGCTTCTCCAATAGTGACCATGCAATACTCCCTCAGGCGCCAATGACGATTGCAGGATAGAGTGCCTTTACGGCTGGGGCCCAAGTCGGTCAAGAATCGATCGACGCCGGCAGCTTCGTTTAGACCTACCATGGCTGGATTGCGGTGCACGTCACGGCCAGCAATGACGCAGGTCAAGTTGGGGAAGCATGTCTCAGTATTGAAGTGTATCATCGCGGATATCACGATTCACACCTGAGTGCACTTGATCGCCATTGTCACTCCATCACATCCTGATGGGATAGAGTACCTGCGCAACCCTGTGAGAGTGTGCGGAACTACTGAGGCGGCAGTAATTGCCCACATTTTCTCCAAATCCTGGCTACCTCACGCCGTGCCACTCTGATGGCGCGTTTGGCTGACTCGTCGATGCAGCGGCTAGGTGGAGGCAAGCCGCGATCCGCTGAAGACGATAGTCGCATGATGTTCTTGTTGAGCCCCTGACAACACTAGCCAATGGCCTCCCCGTACTAACGTTCATCCCGAACTGCCATGGATTTGGTGAGCCATTGGCCAGTAATACCACCCGAACCCTGACCCCAGTGCATGAGAGAGGGGGCCTTGCCGATGGAATTCGCACCTCATATGGGCGACAACGTCCCATCTGGAGGCAGGTGGTGATAGCGTTTATCCTTCAGGATTCATTGGTAACACGCCGCGAGAGATGTAGACTTGTCAATGCGGACTAGTCTTGGTCCCGAGACGCTTGACCGGCTCATGCAAGTGTTTGTCTTCGATTCTGCATCTTCTACTCGAAAGGAAGCCCGTCCGATTTCTTTTGTCACTCGATACGGGAAGATTGACGTACAGTGACGCGATGCTATAATGTATAGACCTGTAACTTGAGCGAGAAACTTACCATTACAGGAATGTTACTCGCGATTACCAATTCCTCTTATTTTGGTATGCCACACGCTCCGGTGGTGACCTTCTCGACTGGTTATGGCATTGCAGAGCAAGCTGGCGCACTGCTGTGTTACACAATTTGATCGTTTGCTCTCATGGCCTACGCCACCATTAAGCTCTGCAATGGACTTGATGCCGCTTTGAATAGGCAATTATGTATACGGTTCTAGGGTAGTCATGCGATATGGAACCAACAACACCTGACGTCTCAATACAACCGGGTTTAGGCAGAAGGGTCTGGACCTTTAATGCATACCCTATGTCGATATGGCTGGATGTCCTGCATGATCGGTCTGCTACGATATGCAGGGTGCAGCTTGATCCCAGGACGCACGTTATCGCAGGACCAGTCTTAGACATGTCTGTGTGGCGGTGGTTGTGCCAGTCGATCTAACATGCAGACCATTCTTTCTTCTTCCTGTCCAACCACTCACCTTTCTCCACCCATCGGCACTCAAGCCATTTGGCAAGCTCCTCGTCAGTGTGTGGTAGCTCCTCCAACGGAAAGCGGCGTGCGTGGACATGAAATTTGTAGCCATGCTGGCTGCTGATATCCGAAAGCTTCAGCGTTTCCCACATATTGGGAGCCTCGTGAAACTCGTCGCCGTGTTGATACGCGATTGTGAGGTCATAAACAGCCTTGACATGCGGTGCTTTACGCAGATGCTGGATCGTTGTGATGAAACCCTTCGTGCGAGGGTACAAAAGGTGTTTGGGTACAGGCCGGTCGTTCTGTGTACACCACACCTTTGTCTCCTCGTACTTCTGCGGCGTGAAGCGCGTTGCTTCACTGAAGCTTATGAGCCCTGCATGGATCGTCAACGGTTATGGTAATATTACGGCTCTGCATTCTGCAACTTACATGTCGGCCATTTCCTGCCAACAATACCACTGAAGACGCGATCCAGCTCCCTTTGATCCCGCATCCAGTTTCGGCTAACCATGGGCATACCCATTGCCCAGAGTCCCCAGCCGAGGAAAGGCACCACACGCAGCTGGATCTTGGCGAACCAACGACAGCGTCCCAACATGCCAGCTCGCACCGCCAACGCTTGGATCATGTAGAAGTCGGCCCAGGTGACATGATTGGCGATCACGATGGCCGACTCGCCCTTCGGCAGCTTGTCGCCAGAGATAGTGATATTGGCGCCGTTGACCCTCTCAAATATGACCTGAACCCATTTCCAAACCGAGGACGCGATCCCGGATGAGATATTGTATACCAAGTTAGGTGCAATGAGCTTCACGGGCAGGAGTAGTGATAGAGCGACATCTGCTAGGGCTAGGTAACCCACCCACGGAGCAACGATAAAGGCACCACGCAAGTTGCCGAGGAGCGCGCCAGCCATGGCGGGAAAATTGAGCGAGATCAAGAAGAATCCGGCAGTTGGTGTATGCCCAACCGTACCCCCAAGACTAAAGCCACGACAAGAGCGACCTTCCAAGAGGGATTCGGGGCGGTCTTCAAGGGTTGGTTGGTGAAGGCTGGACTTCTGAATGGTGAATCGAAACCCTGATGTTTCAGCCTTACAGCGCTGGCCAACTGGCCGTGCAGGTAAACAGTCGAGACAGATTGAACTCACTTATATCGGGCGACTCGGGAAATGAAACAACGCTACGAAACCGCTAGTACTGGAACTTGAAACTATTTCTTTGGTGGACAGTCGCGACCGACCCTTTAACTTCAGAGGCCCTGAGGTTCAATTTAACTCGTCTTGTGATGAGGTCACTGATTTCCGGATCTGCAAAGCGCACATGCCGAACCACGAGACTCAACGGCTCCGATGAGTGACCCACTTCCACACTCTGCTCTCCGTTGTTTGGCATCATGCGAGCTAGATCCCAACATAGCTTTGCTTTGACCATAGTGTGCTCGACAAGATTGCGTTGTTCCTATACACCTTTTCTTGTCTGGCTGTAACTTCTATTGGCTCGTTCACTGCGCTCCACCAGCGGACCTATATGCTATTCCAGCATTCTGTGTTGCGGCCGCTAGCAGGTAGGAGATGCACCCAACGGCTTCCCCCTCGGTCCCTCCCGTGGTCGTCTGACACAGGTGCTTCTCGCTCATAAGAATTCCAGTTCCACGCTGAATTCAGCTAGGATGACCAACAAGTGCTTACTCACCCGGGGGTTCGGCTGATAGCAAAACATCAGCTCGTTTCGGTGGACCTTCCAATGAGATCGTCGCTGTAAGCGTCGCCACACGCGTGTGCTGGGGCGCAAGTCATCTCTCACACGCATGTTCACAGGATGACAACATGGAATTCACACGTTTCCGCGGGACATCATTCGCAGCAACATGTTTCCAGGCAAGATTCGAGGTTCTGGCAGCTTCTCGATTATCGGCACCAAGAAATATGACCGCACTACCAATTCAACGGCCTGCAATAATCGTTTCTCCATGGGTTGATGCACTTCGGACACCTTGTGCATTTCGCACGTCCTTTAGGTAAGTAACAAGCGCAGCAATCCTATCAACATCAGTATCTGCAATGGACTAGCGCACCACGACCTCTGGCCAATAAATTGAACGTGAGCCCGCAGGTCGCAAAATGTTCGACTTACAAACACTTGACACTGCGCCTGGATCTCCCCTGTTCCTTACCTCGACCTCTTCGAGCACAGCCCAGTTGTGAAATTCCAAATAAGCTCAGCTCTTCCCGAGGCGATGCCCTCACTAGCTCAGGCTTGTTAGTCGATCTCTGAGCTCATCGAGTCCGTTGGTTCCGCTTTGTACCTCCTTAACATATTACCGCCAAGGCCCAGCCTGTCTTTGCGGGCGGGAGACGCCAGAAGTGTTTGGCGGGTATCTCTGAAACCGACCGCGATCCAGAACCTCTGGCCCATCGCATCGCGGGGTTTGCGTCTCGACGTCAAGGGTCCTGGGGAACAGGGCCCCCAGTGCGTGCACGCTCGAGCAGAGCCGTTTCATATTTTATCAGATACACCTGCTGTCCTATAGCCTTGCGGTCCTCGCATGAATCAAAACTCAAAACCGCCTGTTAACAACCCATTCTCCACGTTGGATCTCCCTCCCGGAACCAGAACATCGTCGCTGTGACTGCGAAAGGCATTGATCTGGGAGAATCGGCAGCTGCCGAGCGGGAAGCAACTTTCGGTACGTAGCTCTCGGCGTATTATGTCCTTTACCTCTTATAGATCCACCGATCTGGAGCCGTCGCGCTGCCGATGAAGTCGTCTGGACCGGGTTGCAGGATGCTTGCGTTGCTGTCTGCCGTCGCTCAACTTCAACTTCACACTCGGATACCATGGCGAAGATGACTAACTTTAGAGGAGCAGGCGCCTATCCTTCGCCGACGCACCACTGTTCACCCGGCCGTCGGCCGTCCCTGGGATCTCTATACGAGCAGACCCAATCGATGTCGTCGTCATCGTCTCCGCACAATCATGTAGGGGGCCACGCCCCAGGAAACGGGCACGATAAGGGGGGGCTAAATTCATTGAACTTGGGCTTCCTCAAGGGCTTGACTGAGAAGAGGACTACAAGAGATGGCCAGCCGGTAAAGCGACGAGGTCCCAAACCGGACAGCAAGCCGGCTCTAACACGCCGACAAGAATTGAATCGCCAGGCACAAAGGTACAAGAAGCGTTTGGTCTCGAGGTGCTCGGTAGCCATACCATATGCTAATGCTGTTGCAGGACTCATCGAGAGCGCAAGGAGCTGTACATCAAGGCTCTTGAAGATGAAGTCCTCCGCCTGAAAGAGGTCTACAGCACTGTCTCACAAGACAAGGCTAAGCTTGCGGAAGAAAACCGACAACTCAAGAGCCTCCTCGGTCAGAATGGGCTGTCTCCAGCGCCACCTAGCGCTAGAGACGAATTGCCCAGCAATCCGAGCCCTAGTCTCGGTTACACATCGAGCGCCAGCGTCTCCGGGAACAGCTACGCGCCAGGCTCTGCTGCGACGGCTTACACGCCGCCTTTGACTTCTCAGTCGACTGCGCCGTCGCTGTCTGCCTCATCGCACATGGTGGGCATCCAGCAACATCAACATTCACATCAGCGCCAGCACTCGCGCAATGTTAGTCAACAACAGTCGCTCGCAAGTCGTGTTGATTACGAACAAGCAGGGATAGACTTCGTTTTAACGTACGAGAACCCCGATGACCCCTCGAAGGCATATATGTCACCTCCCCCGTTCTGAATGCCCGCTTGAGCACCCACTGCACATGTGTTGAAGTGAATCTATGAGGCCGCGTTAGAGAAGACAGTCTAGCTAACGGCAGCGCCTTGGGGTGACATTAGGCTCGAGAAGCCGTGCATGGATCACATGCCGTGGCTGGTCGACAGGGCAAGCGACACTCGTGAGCCCTGCGGCCATGCGCTCATGGCGTCGTGCCCGCCGGAACCGTTCAGCGAACTGAACAACGACATACCGTTTGGGTACAACCACGCGCAGCCAGACCAGAACAGGTCGGGGCAGCGCACTTGGGAGATCTCAAAGGGAGAGCTGTCGACACTGCTCAACCTCAGCAAGAAGCTCGACCTGGACGGCGAGATCACGCCGGTCATGGCCTGGGGCATGATCCAGGGGCACCCAAGACTGACGGAGCTAAGACATGAGGATTTTAACAAGCTCACGGATGAGCTAAGGGGCAAAGTTCGATGTTATGGGTAAGTCCAACTAAATCCATCAGCGTCAGCATTAGTACTCATCTGCTCGGCAGCTTTGGTGCAGTCATGGAGGAGTTCGAAGTGCGTGATGCACTGAACGCGGTGTTTTCCACCAAGCCAGAGCTGAACATAGCATTTTGAGCGCCGGCGGACTGACCAATGTCCCTATATGATATAACGGCGCAACTCGAAGCACTGGTGTTCAGCATGGCGTTTGGCAAGGCATGACACTCGGTGGAACGGCTTTGAAGTAGTATATATATTTAACGATATCAACCGAATCTGCATGACCTTTAAAAGCATCCCGTTTTGCCCTCAAGGATGGTACCCTATGAAAGACATAGACGGGGGCGTGACGTTCAGATTATACAGTCTTCCAGTCTATCAGTGCAGGATGGGTATCGCGCACAGTGTGCCAAAGTTCCTCTTGCCTGCTTAGCGGCGTCCGGTGCACGGTGCCGTGTCCATAAGTGGTCCAGTCAGATGTCTCAGCCCCACTACCCCACCAAAGGTGAAATATTGACACAAATTCAAGCACCGACAAGAATTTGTGGCCGCATCGCGAAACCGGCAGTCCGCTTCGAAACCCGCCTATTTGCACGTCCAGGTATCGCACGCAGATACCCTGCTTCGTATTCGAACTACAGAAAGACCGAAAATGGCTTCTTTGGCCGACCTCATCGCGGCCCTGCCCGCTGAGGATGGATGGGGCCCGCCCACCACCGAGGAGACCACCTTGAACGGTGTTCCCTATGCGCCCTTCTCCAAGGGCGACAAGCTCGGCCGCATGGCTGACTGGACGGCCGACAGCAAGGACAGAGAACGCGGTGGCAGACAGCAGTACAACCGCAACTACAGAGGTACGTAAATGCGTTCCCGTGCGGCGATTTCGCGAGGATCACGACATGACGGTTCGGGTCGGGCCTGTCATGGGGGATGGCCACTTTGCGATGGTTTTCCACGGGAGTATTCAGAGACTGACTCGCACGATCCAGACCAGCAGATCTACGGAGCCGGCAGCGCCCCCGTCTTTGCCGCACCAGTGGCCGAGGACGAATCCTCCTTCTCCATCGTCAGCAGAGAACCTACGAAGACCAGATTCGGTCGCGGCGCCGTCTTCACTCGCGGCGGCCGTGGCCAGCGTGGTGGTGTCCAGCAGGGTGGTAGGGGCGGCAGGACCCAGCTCCAGCGCGGCGGACGCGGCGGGCAGCAAGGCGGTTACGGTGGTGGTTACGACAGCCGCGGAGGCAGAGGAGGTGGAAGGGGAGGTCGCCGCTTTGGCTGGAAGGACTACGACAAGCCCCAAAGGAACCGAGACGCCAGTATCAACGTCAAGGCAGACTGGAAGCTCCTCGAGGAGATCGACTTCAACAGGCTGGCCAAGCTCAACCTGGATACCGACGAGGGCGAGGACGTTGAGAGCTACGGTTTCCTATACTACTACGACCGTGCCTACGACAAGACCACCGCCAAGACCGGAGAGAAGAGACTCACAACTGTGGACCGCGCCACGTACAATGTTACTACGTCGTCGGATCCTGTCATCCAGGAGTTGGCCGAGAAGGATGAGGCTACCATTTTCGCCACCGACAGCATTCTGTCCATGCTGATGTGTGCTCCCCGATCAGTCTACTCTTGGGACATTGTCATCGTGCGACAGGGCAACAAGATCTTCCTGGACAAGCGTGACAACGCTGCGCTCGACATGGTGACCGTCAACGAGAACGCCGCCGATGCGCCGCAGGAGGGCACTGACGGCAGCAAGGATGGTATCAACCAACCCCCGGCGCTCGCTGAGGAGGCCACCTACATCAACCACAACTTTGCCAACCAGGTTGTTCTGGAGAGCCAGAAGGTCGACATGGCCCACGAGAACCCCTTCTACAATGCTTCCGAGGAGACCGAGCCGCCTGCCAGCAAGGCCTACAAGTACCGCAAGTTCGATCTGTCCCTCAACGAGGAGGAGCCAATGTACATTGTCGTGCGTACTGAGTTGGATGCCGTCCAGAAGAACGCCATCAGCGGCGAGGACCAGTTTGTGACCGTCAAGGCGCTCAACGAGTTCGACAACAAGGCCCAGGGTAGTGGCGGAGCCTTGGACTGGCGAACGAAGCTTGTCAGCCAGCGTGGTGCCGTCGTCGCGACGGAGATGAAGAACAACAGCGTCAAGCTGGCCCGTTGGACCGTGCAGAGCATCCTCTCCAAGGCCGATGTGATGAAGGTTGGGTAAGTACACGATTTACCGTTCCACTAACCCCCGCAACCGTGCTGTGCTTTTTGCTAACTGCAACTATAGTTTCGTGTCCCGAGCCAACCCCAAGTCCAACGACAAGCACGTCATCCTGGGAGTTGTTGGCTGGAAGCCTAAGGACTTCGCCAACCAGATGAACTTGTCCCTGAACAACGGATGGGGTATTGTCCGCACCATCGCCGACATGTGTCTTAAGCGCGAGGAGGGCAAGTTTATCCTCGTCAAGGACCCCAACAAGTCCATTCTGCGGCTGTACGAGGTCCCCGCTGGTAGCTTCGACGACGACTATGAGGATGAGCCGGTGGCTCAGCCGGTGGTTGCTGAGGAATAGGTGCCTTCACAAGAGTAATGTGCCTACGTATCAGGATCGCCTTGCGTGATTGTATACCTAGGAGGCGGTATTTTATCTTTGTAGTCAGTGGGCAAAAGCAATGATGCGTCGGTCAATAGAGGATTCTGCATTTACCACCACTCGATGTCTATATGAACTTCTTGTCGTGCCTGAAATCGTATACAACTCCATGATCGAGCAAGCACTCGGCCTATAGTGCTCAGAGATGAGACTGGTGTCTCCCATCGAAGGGTAGAATGTGCTGTAGGTTTTGGCTAGAGCTGACTTCGGTCTTCGACGAGCATAATAGAGACGACGACCACCTGCACACCACAAGTCATCAAGCGCCTTATGGTTAGTAGTTAATTCCCTACCTAGCCCAGCCCTGTGCCGGACTTCTAATACATACCAAAGGTAGCCATGTAGTGCCCTCCTCCGGGGGGCTTCCCGTTGGCGCCCCGCCCCGGGACCCCTCCTTGCCAGCCTTCTGACAGGGGTGCCTCACGGCCTAAGTTATGGCGGGCACGATGATCCAACTGCCCCGCGATCGACATTTTCGTGTGTGACGTCTGTCTCGAGCTTTGTAGAAAAGTATATCTGCCTCTAAAGCAACAGTTGCGCCGGTTTACGGTTACCATACAGCTATTTCACTTACCCCCCGTGCTGCTTATCGTCGTCAACATGGCTCCGAAAGCGATTATTGCGCCCTCCATCCTCTCGGCGGACTTCGCGGACCTTGGTGCCGACTGCAGGAGGACCATGGAACAGGGAGCTGATTGGCTCCATGTCGACATCATGTAGGTGTACACATATCTCCTGGGGGGAGGGAAAACGTGGAAGTGCAATATGCTGGTGCGATTAAGTTATGTATATTGCTGGAAACGACCACATGCTGACGGACAATCAAAACTAGGGACGGTCACTTCGTACCGAACCTCACCTTCGGCCCGCCGGTCGTGGCCAAGATCCGCAAGCACGTCGACAAGCCGAGCGCGAAATACGGGCGCGGGACCTTTGACTGCCACATGATGATCGCCGAGGTACGTGGTGCAATACCCGCCGGCTAGAAACGCCCGTGGGATGGCGAGTGTTCAGCGGCTAACCTCCCGCTGCAGCCCAAGAAATGGGTCAAGGAATTCAAGAACGTCGGCTGCGATCTCTACTGCTTCCACTACGAGGCCGCCTTCTCCAGCGCCGCCGAGAGCCCCGAGGGCAAGAGCGACGCCAAAACAAACCCCAAGGAGCTGATCCGCTACATCCACGACCAGGGCATGCTGGCCGGCATCGCACTCAAGCCCGCGACGGGCGTCGAGGTCCTGACCGAGATTCTGGAGAGCTCGGACGAGAAGGAGAGACCGGACGTAAGTTCAGATACAGCCACCTTGCATGCTTGCAGGGGTGTCAGGAACGTGTACGGAATACTGACGCTGATGTTGTCGCACAGATGGTCCTCATTATGACGGTCGAGCCCGGCTTCGGTGGGCAGAAGTTCATGGCTTCGGAGCTTCCAAAGGTGCAGGAGCTGAGGAAGAAGTACCCGGAGCTGAACATCGAGGTCGACGGCGGTCTGGGACCGGGCACGATCGACCAGGCCGCGGACGCGGGTGCCAACGTCATTGTTGCGGGCAGTGCGGTGTTTGGGGCCAAGGACCCGTCGGAGGTTATTGCATTGCTGAGGAAAACAGTTGACCAGAAGGCCGGGAAGCTATAGTCGACAAAGGCAGAGTGTATTAGCTGCAACTAAGGGGATCAGGGCATTGTAGACTTAGAGAATGTCAGGGCATTGTTTATAGAAAAGCCCAAAGAAGCCATGACTGACGACTACAAATTCGACGCCCGTGAAGAGAGCAAATTTCAGTTTTATGTGTTGTCAAAGCATGAAGGTCGTTTTCTTAAGCGCTACCTGATGAGGGTGCACTCCATCTACGAAGTGGTGGCTCAGGGAATTATTATATTGGAGGTTGTATGACGGCTGTGGTATTGCTCGTCGTGATACAGGCCCTTATGAACCCTCTGTCAATGCTTTCTCAAGTATATCAATGCACCGTGAGCTCATGCAAGTCTTAGCTAATAGCTTCTCCCTATCTGAGTATCTATCCCGTTATTAGTCTGCTTCGGGCGACTTAACCCCACTTATACATTTCATCACTCAAGAGGTTCGGCGCGGGGAAACCGACAGCGGACTACTGGAAGCGGAAAGTCAATCGTTCAGTGCCCAAACTCATTGAGCCAGCAAGTCCTCTCGAGCGGAAATTCATAGCACAAATATTCCTGTCCCTTTTCTCCGGACCTTCTCAGTCACTGGAGACTAAAGATCTTTTATACTTCATCTCTCTGTCTGGGCCTCCTGCGTCAAGATAACATCCAGAGCTTATGCCCTTGCAAAAGCAGACAGTCTTCGTCTAGTATGGCTCCCTTCGACATCTCAAACGTGCGGTCCGGCTTCCCAGCCCTGAAGCAGGATCAAGTATACTTTGACAATGCGGGTGGAAGTCAAACTCTCGGCACGGTCGTTGACTCGTGAGTGTACCCCGATTTTCATCCAGCAGCAGAAGTTCTAGTTCAGGTAACTCACCAGCAACCTAGAATATACCACTATTTGACAAACAACAATGTCCAACTGGGCGCCACATACCGGGTTGGCAAGCTGTCCACTCAGAAGTATGCCGAAGGCTTTGCGGCTGCAGCCAAGTACGTGAACGCCAAGGAAGATGAAATTGGTGAGTCTTTTTCTTCATCGAGAACATTGTGTCAGTAAAGGGAGGAGACAGTGCGTTATTAGAAAGCAACTGGACTTTTGTCATGACTCGGAAGTCCTGCGTGATAAACCTGATAGGGGGGATCACTTACAGCTACGACTGCCCGGTCCCTCCTCTTTGCTATATCAATACTACGACTTTCCTCTAACACGCCCACACTAGTATTCGGTTCCTCGACGACACAGCTCTTCCGCAATCTCTCGTACGCCTTAAAGTTCAAGGAAGGAGATGAGATCGTTGTCTCGAGCATAGATCACGAGGCCAACATTGCGCCATGGGTCGACCTTGCGGCGCGGGAGAAGCTAACTCTCAAGTGGTGGACGCCCGCCAAGTCCACCAACCCCAAGTTGCTGGTGGACGATCTCAAACCCTTGCTCTCGTCCCGGACCCGCCTCGTCACTTGCACTCACACCAGCAACATCCTGGGCACCATCACCAATGTTAGGGCCATCGCCGACGCCGTCCACGCGGCCGGTCCGGAGGCGCGGCTCTGCGTCGACGGGGTGGCGTACGCGCCGCACCGGGGGCTGGATGTAGCCGCCCTGGGCGTCGACTTCTACTGCTTCTCCTGGTACAAGGTGTACGGGCCGCACGTGTCGATGCTGTACGCCTCGCAGCACGCGCAGGACTCGTCGATGCGCTCGCTGGGCCACTTCTTCAAGGCCGGCGCCACGCTCGAGGAAAAGATCGGCCTCGCCGGCGGCAGCTACGAGCTGCTGCAGAGCATCCCGGCCGTGCTGGACTACCTGGGCCCCGCGGCGGCGGCGGCCGAGACGTGGGACGGTGTCGTGGCGCACGAGCAGCGGCTGCAGGCGACGTTGCTGGACTTCCTGATTGCGCGGCCGGACGTCACCATCATCGGGGAGCCGAGCGCGGACCCGGCGGTGCGGGTGCCGACGGTGAGCTTCCTCGTCAAGGGCTGGAGCTCGCAGGAGCTGGTCGAGGCCGTCGAGCGCGAGTCCAACTTTGCGTTCCGCTGGGGCGCCTTCTACTCAAACCGGCTGGTATACGAGCTACTTGGCCTGGAGAGCGACGGCGTGGTCAGGATCAGCATGGTACATTATAACACCAGTGAGTATAATCGATGTCTTCCTCTGTCCGAGACTCCGAAGGTTTCCAAGTGGTCCTATTACTGACAATGTCATAGTCGATGAGGTCAAAGGGATTATCGCAGCTATTGAGAAGGTAATCTCCAGCAGGGGCTAGAAGTGACGATACTCGCAGAGATGGAAGTAAATGCAGTGATGGACCTTTTGAGAAGTTCACTGAGGTATAATATACATTCATCTGTATCTTATACATGTGCTTCCCAATTCGGCTTGCAATCGTCCACTCCATAGTTGCAAAATTATCAGTAAAATATAGACCTGAACCCGAGAAAGTGTATTTCAAATAGCACATGTTGAAAGGCCTCCTATTGAGAGATAGTTATGGGATTTCCGGTCACTACGTAGTGCGTGACAATAGTCTAAAATGCTACTCAAGATTGGACAGCAAGTTGCATGAATACTCTAGACACATGGCTTTACCTCCTAGAGCATTCAGGCAGGTGCTTCACTTTTCCTCACTGAAAGATATTCTGTAGCCTGCAGAGTGGGAGTTCGCAGATATTTCATCCTGAACCTATACCAACTTTGGCTGTGAGAGCTGTTTTGGGCACCCAGCCCCACGGTCATTCAAAAAAAAAAAAAAAAAAAAGGGAACGGGGTCAGCTCACAAAACTAAGGTATCGGCAAGGCTCTGAGCTAGGATGCTGGGCTTGTAAGCCAAGAAATGAGAATATTCATCATCTGTGTATCGCTCTTCTACGTGTGTTTCTGATCATAACAGGCCTTGTACCGTAGACCATGACCCGGCGGATGTGCTCACTCAAGTATGTGTAGCCGATGTAGGCGTGTAACGTACGGGTAGCAAAAGCGAGAAAGGGCGCTTGTTCCACACCAGAGCCGCCCTATGGAAAAATGCGGACTCGTGTTAGAGTACCCGGCGAACGACACCCTTTGGATCATCAATGCATAGCCGCCCATGTTGGTCTTGCGTCTATGTGGTACATGTCTAGCCCACCAGTGGCATTGGCACTGGCTTTTGGCCCCGACGACGAAAATGAACAATGGGCGTCAATCATGCATGGCGCATTGAAAAGAAGAAGCTGGACGTAGTCGCTCGTCGCTCGTGGCCAGTCGGAGGCCCTCGAAGCGTGCGCTGGCGATTCGATGGGCGCTTCATGCATTATGCTCGATACTCAGCCCGCACCTCCTGTAGGTTTGGACGTCTGGACGCTGGGCTTTTGCAAGAAGACCCCTGGACCGGCTTGACGTGAGTGGTCCACCACAGTTTCGGGCGGTGAGGACCCACAGGAGCTTTTTAGTGGGGGATGATTCTGCCATGGTTCGATCCGAAAATATTTGAAAAAGATCGACTGACCATCGGCAGGGCAGCCTCGTGTACTCGCTTCAATTGCTGCTCAAACTTTTCGCTGCAGACAGCCCCTTGTACTGAGTAGCTACTGTTCTCAAACAATTGGAAGCCACATCATGAAGCGCAAGGCGGAAGCGCAGGCCGCAGGGCAGAAGGCCAGCAAGAAGAAGACAAAGGCTTGTAAGTCGGCTAGCTGCGCATCGCATACCCGGCAGAGTAACTGACACGCAACCCAACAGCCTTGAGCGACACAGAGGCGGCCTCCAGGTTTCGGAAGGGCCTGTTCAGCCATGCCGATAACTACGAAAAGGAATACGCCGAGTCCGCGCCCTACAAGCACTGCGTTATCCACCAATTGGTCGACGACAAGCTGCTGCGCTCTGTCCGCGACGAGATCAAGGACAATGTCTCCTTCACGCCCAAGGAGACCGACATCTACAAGATACACCAGTCCGGAGACTTGGCCAACCTTGATGGTTTGGACGACGAGGCCCTGTCCAAGCTGCCCTCGCTGCTCGCCCTCCGAGATGCCATGTATTCGCAGAAGTTCCGGGACTACGTTGCCCACATCACAGGCTGCGGACCCCTGAGCGGGAGAAAAACGGACATGGCAATCAACGTCTACACCCCGGGCTCCTACCTCCTCTGCCACGACGACGTGATCGGCAGCAGGAAAGTCAGCTACATCCTGTATCTCACGGACCCAGAAATACCGTGGAAGCCGGAATGGGGAGGCGCATTGAGACTGTTTCCTGTGCGCGACAGGGAGGGCAAGGACGGGAAGAAGGCCAAGACGCCTGAGGCAGATGTGTCTAAAGTCATTCCGCCAGCTTGGAACCAGCTCAGCTTCTTTGCCGTGCAGCCAGGGGAGAGCTTTCACGATGTTGAGGAAGTCTACCACGCCCAGAACGAGAAGCAGCTCAAGAAAGAGGGCGGCAGAGTACGAATGGCCATTAGCGGGTGGTTCCACATCCCGCAGATCGGCGAGGCAGGCTATGTCAAGGGCGCGGAGGAAGAAAACGCGAAGAACAGCAGCTTGATGCAGCTTCAAGGGAATCCGGACCAATACGACACCCCCCAGCCCGCACCCATCGCTGTAGAAAAGCCGAAATCGGATTCCCAAGAAACCTTCGATGAAGGCGACCTCGAGTTCTTGCTCAAGTACATGGCGCCTACGTATCTGACGCCAGATACCTTGGAGCAAGTCCAGGAGCACTTCGACGAGGCGTCCAGCATTACCTTGCCAGATCTCCTGAACAAGAAGTTCGGCAAGCGGTTACAAGAATACGTCACGGAACAAGACAAAAAAGCTCTACCTGAGAACAGTGCCGAGATTGAGAAAGGGTCCTGGAAAGTGGCCAAGCCGCCACACAAGCACCGCTACCTGTACATGCAACCAACCAAGACGAAGCAGGGCAAGAAGGGCAAGGCCAAGGAGGAAGCCTCGCCAATTCAGGAGCTTCTCGATGACTTCTTGCCCAGCCCACAGTTCCGTCGCTGGCTGCAGATGGCGACAAGCAGCGTGATCGAGAGCCAAGACGTTATAGCGCGGCGCTTCCGCAAGGGCAAGGACTACACTCTGGCCACCGGCCACGAGGGTAAGCCGCGCCTCGAGCTGAACCTGGGCATTACGCCAACCTCGGGTTGGGGTGATGACAACGATGAAGCCGAGGAGGAAGAGGAAGAAGAGGCCCCCAAGACCAACGGAAAGGGCAAGGGCAAAGCCAAGGCGAAGAAGGCTGAAGAGCCGGAAGTGCCCGAGGAGGTCGGAGGCCACGAGGTCTACATGGCCGGAGACGACGACACGGCCGAGGATGCCGCCGTCTACAAGTCCAGCGGCGACGAGGACAACATCCTCTTCTTCCAGGCCGCGGCGTGGAACAAGCTGACCATCGTCCTGCGCGACAGCGGCACTCTTAAGTTCGTCAAGTACGTCAGCCGCAAGGCGCCCGGCGACCGGTGGGACATCTGCGGCACGTACGAGATCGAGGAGCAGGATGACGAGGACGAGGAGGCAGAAGAGGACGCCAACGCCAAGCTGCTCGCCGAGGATACGGAGGAGGAGTGGAATGGATTCTCGAGTTCTAGCGAAGACAGCGACTCGGATTAGAGCGGTGGATAGTGCTTGAAGTGACGCCAATGGAGCGCATCGCCATTTAGATGTACGCGAAGACCTTTTACGAATCATGAAGACTTTCAATACTTATGCCCGTCGACCGTGGTGCGTGAAACATGTTGTGGAGGCGGTAACGATGAGAAAGCGACCGACAAGAGTGATATAATGCTGAATTTGAATGCTAGCTATCCGATGCTCTAAACAGATTATACTACTATGCAACCAACCCTTGTTTCCAATATTGAGAGGCTGCCCTGCTCGCCTCTGTTGCTGCTGGCAGCCCCGAGCAGAAAAATCTTCGACTAAACAGAGAGAAAGATATTCTCGCAGAAGCTTCAATCGATACGCCAATCCGGAACGCCACGCATGCTAACCCCATGTCTCTTTTCTAATCCGCTACACGCGCGTCAAGCGCGCCAGAAGCACAATAACACTTGGGTAAAGCAATGCAATGCCATGCAACGCAAGAAAACATGACAGCTCATGATGCCCAAGATCAGAGCTTTTTCAGATCCTTCTTTGGCATAGTGGAGACGAAGGCATGCTCTAGGAAGTGAAGCCAGACCTCGTTGTGCTTCTTCTTCTTGTTCTTCTTTTTCTTGCCTTTCTTTCCCTTCTTTCCTTTCTTGTTGCCGTGCTTCTCTGTCTCAAGTTCGGAATCGTCATCGTCGCTATCATCAACATCATCATCCTCGGATTCGTCTGTATCCACGTCGAGCGTGTCGTCCTCGTGGGGTTCTTCCACCTCGGTGTCTTCAGTACGATCAGTCATCGCTTTCGACTTTGTTTTCACATGCCCAATTCGGTATGCCAGCTCAACAAAGCTGCCTACAGTCAAGTCTTTGACCTTGTAGAGTGTGTCGTTAAAGGTGCTGTACTCGACCTGGAACTCAAAGGGCCGTGGCTTTGGTTTATGGCCGGGTTTCTTGCCCTTGTGCACGCCTTCGTTCCAGCGCTCGGCAGATAATTCCTCCTCGAAGCCTTTGAGTTTCTTGGTAAAATCATGAGCGTCGTTATTGAGGTAGGTGAGGTTCGCGTAGTACTGCGTATATCCCGTCAAGGTCAAGGGCTGAGGGGAATAGGCTGGTCCAGGTCCAGCAGTGCTGGAAGGAGGTTCCGGAACGATCAAATATGGGTCTTTGGGTTTCTTGCCCTTCTTGCCCTTCTTGCCCTTCTTCTTGTGCTTCTTCTTGTCGATGTCAAACTCAGGGTCTTCATCCAGAATGCCATCTAGGGGGTGCTGTTGTCCGTTTTCCTCGACACCCACTCTCTGTCTACCCGGCTTGCTGTCCCGAATGACGTCGGCCCAGGTTGGCGAGTCTTCCATACCAGTGATGTTGTATTCGAAGACTCGGATCGTCGGGAAATAATTGGGGACTATGCTGGGGCTCACCATGGACAACTGGTACCGCTCTGCCCACTCCCCACCAAGAGGATCCTTCTTTTTCTTCTTTTTCTTCTTCTCCGCCTCAACGTCGCTTCCACTTATCGTACGGACGGCTGCCTTGGGCAGTTTTGCCCAATCGTCTCGCAGCTCTGAGAGATAGTCGGCGCCTGACCAAATCGAAAAGCCATCCTGTTGAATATTGGCGGCCTGGTTCTTACGGTGCTTCTTCCTGTGTTTCTTTTTCTTGTCCCTGACATGCTTTTCGTACTCCTTGGTGCCTTTCTCCAGGTAATTCAGGTTGATGTCTCTGGTGTCCTGCAGGAAGAAGTGATCAATGTTCATGTGGCCGTACAAGCCCCCAACAATCACATCACGGAACTGCTGGAGCCACAGTGTGTACTTTTGCCAGCATGTCTCATCCCAATTCTGCTTGCCAGCGGTCCTGGCCGGAGGAACGTGGCCCATCAGGATAGCCTTCATGCCGCGGTTTCGCAGGAACTGCAACTGGATTCGCAGCCACTCCATCTGCTTGAACCCCGGCTCCGAGGGATGCGTGCAGTCTTCGATGCCAGCATTGCGGTCGAAAAAGTAGAGCGTGTTCAAACTGAAGACGGCCAGTTTGTTGGGTACAACCTCTGTGAAGAACCAGCCGCCCTGCTCAAACGTGTGCATCTGCGCCTCGGGGATGAAAGACTTCCATATATCGGTGTACCACTTCAGCCATTTGTTCGGGCCGCCGACCATGATGTTGTGCGGCAGGATATCATTGTTGCCAAAGGTCGGTATGACGGGGATGGATAGTCCACCTCTATCCGACAAAGTGCTGACGAACTTGTCGGCGATCAAGCGATTGCTGTTGACGACCTCCTTCTCGCTCCGGCCAAAAGATTCGTCGCTGTCGTGCCTCGCCGAGTCGCCAGTCCAGATGACAAAGTCGAGCGAGTCCTTGAGGTGGGTTTCTATCCAGTCGAAAGTCGCGTTGACGAGCGCATGCGGCGTGTCGCAATCCGACGTCTCAGCGCCGTAGAACCCGGCCGGGCCCTTGCCGCTGTGGCATGCATCGCCCTCGGCGGTGGAGGTGTGCGTCTTGTAGTGGGAATCCGGGTGGAAATCTGCAAGCCGGAACAGGCAATTAGCTGGGGTGAACTGCGGAGCGAGATGGGTGGCCGCGGGTGGCCGCCAAACGCACCTGTGATATGCAGAAACCGGCCGTGAAGCTTCCGCTGGTGCTGGTGCTGGTGCTGGTGCTGGTGCTGGGGCGGCTGTTCTGATGTCGGCGCAGATGCTCCAGGCTGGGAGACGGCCTGTAGGTTCAGGACGCGCTGAGCTTGTTCAGCTGGGGCGGCAATGACGACAGCCGGCAGGAGACCTGCTGCAAGGAACAGAACGTCGCGGAGTTCCATGGTCTGCCTGTCTACCTGCAAGGCATGTGGTTTGTCGCGTTGAACATAGGGTCCGGGGTCCAAAAGATCGGTCAAAGGGGTTATCTAGTGGGAGACGGGTTGGTTTTGCAGTCCGTTTCGCAGGATAGGTCGTGATGAGGAAATTATGTGAGCTTGGTTTTCTCCAGAGCCCAGGCCAGAGCGGGCTAACGAGTGTCCAAGGTGACGGGATGATCACCGGCGACAGCCCTGGCTGCCTGGAGCCTAGCTGATCTTTAGGCTTGCGTCTTGGCTGAAAAGTCGGGCAGGGGGACCTGCTAACGTCAGGCAGGGCTTTTTGACGAAACCTGCCGTCAATGCCGCGATTCTGGGTCAGACCCTGATTTTTTCTTTTTCTTCTGCCGGTTCCCACTTGCGGGCAAGAGGTTGTCCGAGAGGCAGAGTAGTAGAAGTAGTTATGGATATCCTGAACTGCAAAGACCGCAAAAGCACACGACTGTTGCGCTTAAGAGGGGACAGCACCAACCATCCATGGATGCACCCCCACTAAAGAGCCTTTGACACCACGGGGCACGTTCTCTGATCACTGGCGTTTTGGCGACGGGATTCGTCTGCAATGCCACAGGCCTTCTGCGGTTTCGCGGGGTCCTGGGTGCCCGCCTGGCCAAGACAGCCTTCCCGAAGGGGGCTGAAAGCTGCGCTCCGACAAATGAGAGACGGCCTCATCTACACGTGTAGTCCTCCTGCAACACACAGTTTCGACATGACTAGTAAGACGGGACAGACATTCCCATACCGTGCATGGGGAAAGATGCTCACGCGACCTTTTGAGATGCCATGCGGATTCGAGCATCTTGCTGAGTTCTTTATTTAGTTCGTGGCGGCAGCTGCCGTAAGCCCGAAGGCGACCGAGACACGCGACACTTCGGTCTCGTACTGTAATTAGATGATCGTTCTTAGCAGGATGACCTTCTCGAATGACTCCTTGGGTACCAGGTCAACAACAGGAGCGGTATCAACGCTTGGATACCGAGCCACCATCGTCTGCATTTGGTCCTGCATCATATCGTATTGTGTATGGACGGACACAGAAGTGGGTGTCTTGTCCCTCAAGGTGCATTTGAATAAATCTTTGGCCGGAGTGTCATGTGGCCAAACCCCTACTGTAGTCCGCTGCTTACAGACAGACGGAGGAGGCGTGGCAACGGCTGCCACTCTGTAGATTCCAGCCATTAGTGACCCTTTCCGACTTGGAGGCTGTGGCGGCAACTTGCGTGTACCGGCACACTGGACATCCTGGGTAGGGATATATTCAAGGTCTGGAGACATCACGCTGGTGCTCTGCGACTTTCTCTGCATGACGTCACATCAACACCTGCAAATCGCCAGCACGGGATAGATGATCCATTTGCGAAGGCCGCGTGGCTATGCGGATGATGCACGAGTGCCATATGGGACAATGCTGTCTGATTGTAACTTGTATCAGTAAATAGAAGTTGAGCCGTGCGGACTTGTGGTATGCTTCATATTTCGGTAGAGTTCTTATACTACATGCATAATTCAAGGTGGTCGAGAGTAGCAAAACTGCATCGGCCAGAACGCCCTCAGCTCCGACAAGCAGGCGGCTGACCCACCTTTGCACCGCACTGACAATTTTGGGCAAGCAGCTTATCCAAGAGCGTGGGCGGCGGCCGAAATTTTCTCTTCCTCCTCTTCACATTCAAACGCACATTCGATCTCATTTCTTGCTCGCAGACCTACCCCGTTCTACACAGCTTGGTATCCTATGTGCAAGATGATTAAAGCCGTTCGTTTGAGGGTATCCGATTTTTTTATAAGTATCGGCTTCCTATGGTTTATCTCGGCTACATTCCAATGATTCGCTTGACCGATTGTCTGCTTTGAGTACTTGAACTCTGGATCTGAAGCCTTGTGCCGTAATGCCTTTTGACAGTGACCTGCGAGGACAACTTCGCCTCGCTCGGCGCTATTTAGGCCGCAGTGACTTGTGTAGCAGCCTCATAAACCCGCAGAGTATAAGATGGCATCAGCCATCAGTCGCTGGATCTGAAGCGCGGTCTCAACCACACCAAGCTTGTGTGGTCTCAAGGTTCCTTTATGAGCGGTTCGCTTTCGTGAGCCAGCTGTCCCTAGAATAAGATTGCTGTCCCAGATGACCAGCGAGAAAATATTATACATCTACCAGTCGGAATTCCCTCGTTGGCACGTCATCCTCAGCCGCAAAGTCATACTCCCTGAATTCGACGTTGGCATATCTCGGTCCTGGCACAACGCGCCTAATAAAACCCGAATGTGTCATGACTATGATGAACTTCTCGGGCCTATGAAAAAGCCATTCCCTCGCAAACGCCGCTCGCTTGAGTAGCGATTCTTCTGAGGGATCGTACAGGCCAGTCTTTTCCGGATATACGGGGTCCAGCTGAGAGAAATCCAAGTGTGGCCACTCCTGTTCTATGAGCGAAATCTTGGTTCCCACGTCACATGGATGGCCTGTGGTTTCCTGTGGACGGTCAGGTTTAGAACTTGTACGCACACGCCTACGCCCGTGACGATGAAAATCTGCTGTACACACCTGCCACTCAGCACGAAGCTCTACTGGTACTCCTTCTTGGACCAGCCAGCCCAAGCCCAACTGGAAGGACTGAAGCGTGCGCCTGAGGGGGCTCACTACGATGAGCGTTTCCTCCTTTGCGAACGTGTATTTGCTTTTTAAGTCTTCGGCGAGCTGCACGCATTGCGCCAGGCCTTTCTCAGTTAATGAGGGGTCTCCTATCTCCCAGTCATGTGTGTCACAGTTAGCCGCTGGTACTGAAAGGTCAAGTACAGAGCTGAATAGGACTTATCATTAAGATCTGGAACTGGTCAGCATACAAGGCTCCTCGGACTAGATTCGGGTTCGCTTACTATGCAGCGCTTGGCCATGCCGTATTAGAATCACTCGCGGAGGCATACTCGAGTGGTGTCGCGTGCTAAGAATGTATTTTTAATCCAGAAATGGATGTGCATGTGTGCCGCACTCCTGTAGCCCGGTACCGGATCGTGCCCAGTGAAATAGTTCTTGCCTGGCTCTTACAGATGATTCACCATGTGGAGTGCATGGTCATTGTGTAAGTATAGAGCATCCACTGGCAATCACTTCGCTGGCACAGCACATGGTGAACGTTGGTAGAACTCGACACTGGTAGACTTGATAGGCATCTGGAAAACTTCCCCCCAAAGAGTGTTCAGTGCTATGCGACGTCAGGGGGACAGGGAGTCAATTTCAGGGACGATCGACGGCTTCGGCTTAGTGGGGCTTAGCTGCATCCTGCCCAATCTCGCATGGCACCTAATCGCCCTAGTCGCCACTGGCTGGCAGGCTGGTAGCTTCAAACCGTTGACATTCCGATCACCAGAAGGGCGCATTGTCGTTCTCTACATATCTACGTATACATATGGTGCTGCGCTGCCCCAGAAGTGGTGTTGACTTCATTTGTTCCTTTCATATAATGTTCCAAGGGCAGCGGTAGTGAGTGTATTCCAGTCCAACGTTGTACTATCAATTGTGGCGGCCATAAAGTTGCCACTCGGACTGCCCACAGTCACTCTGCGCTGACGCCGATATTACTTTACCCTTTGACTGTTGTGTCGCCTCCCTTGACTCATTTTCTCTTTCCACAAATTGGCGCATGCCATCGGTCTGATCTCCAACATATGCAGAAATGAGCTTGAGGTCCATTCTCGGCGGCTCCAGCCGAGTTAGGAAGCCCAGCGCAAAGCGGTCGTCCCCAGCGAAGCGGCCGTCCGCATCGCCTCGGAAGAGGTCGGTGGGCAAGGCCCAAAATGGCAGCGAGGACGAAGACTACTTTGATGATGACAAACTCGACGACCTGGGGCTTGTCAGGGCACTCGCGACCGACCTAGGCCTCCGCGACTCGGCGCAGGCGATCCAGTACCTACGCGCGCGCATGTTCTCGCCCATCCCGGAGCGGGGCGCCGGCATGAACTCGACACGGATCGCCGAGGTGCTGAATTTCCGGAAGCACCTACCGCCCATCGTGACGGTGTCGCATATACAGACCTTACTCTCTTCGCCGAGCGCCGTCGAGCGCGAGATTGCAGAACTGGCGCGGACTGGGTTCATCCGAAAGATCGAGGTCTCACGGCGGGGCGAGATTGGGGAGACTTTGATTCTGACCAGCGACCTGGAGAGGCTGCTGGACGAGGCCGCGCAATTATCGGAGGAGACCAGGGCGCATTTCAAGGCATTTCTCAAGGAGCACCCCGCGGCGCAGATAGTGCCTAGAACAGCCTTGTCGGCGACCGAGATAGACGAGCTCTTCCGGGCGGGATTCCTGACGGCTCAGCATACGGCCATCAGCGCTCTGTCGCATACCATGAATCTGTACTCGCGCCCGGCGGACAAGACGACGCTCGTCTCCATCGAGAACGTCTCGAGGCAACCCACGGGCTCGCTGGGGACGGTTGGTGGCGCCGGCGCCGTGCACAATGCCGGCGGTAGCGGAGGCGGAGCCCAGGCATCATCGCTCCCGGCAAGCGTGACGGAGCTGAGGTTGGCTGTTCCTGGAAACGGCGCCTTCCTCAAGCTCGTGTCGGCGGCGCTGGAGCATCTGGTCTCGCTCCTAAGCAAGACGCGGTTCCGGGAGGCGCCCGAGGGCCTGCTGCGAGAGCGGTGGGATGGCGGGGTCTCCAAGGACGAAGCACGCTATGCGGCGAAGAAGCTGAGGGGGGAGTTTGCCGGCATCCTGCCTGGTCAGACGCGCAAGTGGAAGCAGTTTCGCGGCCTCTCGTTCGACTGGATCCTGCAGGAGGCTGTCGGGTCCGGGCTGGTCGAGGTGTTTGAAACCGGGACTGTCGGCCGTGGTGTCCGAGTCATTTGACCTTTGTTGTGATATGTGAGTTCGACAAGGGAGCAGCCTGCGTCAGATAGAGACAGTGTCACGTTGTGAGACACTATGTACATGCTTGTCACAGATGGGAGATGACCGAATGTTCATCGGCATGATGGCTGAGTAGCTTGGGCATCTTTTACATACTGTAAATATCCCATTGGGAGATGTATCGCATACACCGCAAATTACCTCCACGTTATTTAACATCCCTGGGTGTCTCAAAATGTTTCCTATTGTTTACTCACAACACATGCTAATTTGGAATGGGGAAGTTGTTTGATCGCCCGTTGCGTGTGCATGAGAATCTGCCGCAATTGATTTACGGCTTCCTCGCACCCAGGACCAAGGAAGGTGGCAAATAGAATATTCCTCGGATGAACAACCAACGCAAAGACTTATCTGGTTGATCGTCGATTGCAACATCAACCTGGCTTGAGTATCAAACACAACCAGGAAAAGAAACCATGATGCAAGTGAACTAGGGAAGGGGCATTTGGTGTGGGGCCCCTTGGACGCACCAATCAGTCAATGAAGTATTTATACTAATGCCGATAACTTAAAGTGATATCTCAACATCGACCAGGAATTGCGTCTCTCAAAAGGGAAAAGAAGCCTGTTTCATGCTACGGACTTCCTGGAATCATTGGGGCAGGCTTGGCATTCGTCCCTCCCCGAACCGTCCAGTGACCCATCTGACAGGTTGACGTTTGGGCGATCAAAAGAAACGCATGAATATAGACGGCCAGGGGTACCTGGGCACCGCATACTACGAAACTTTGGGGTTTGCTGGCAACGTTTGCTTTTGCACAAGCCTCTGGAGGATTCCGGACTGATAACTCGCGGACTATTCGAACACTGCTCAAACGTAGACAGCTCAACGTCGTCCGAACACGGACGTGTCTACACCTCCTTACTGCCTGGTAAGTGGGTATAAGGTTAGATCTAGAGTGGCTTCTCTTCAGCTAGGAACGATACCTGCATCATCGCGACGCTTGGGTCGCAGGTATCTTTCGCGGCTAGTTTCAAAAGAGCGGCAAAGTAGAAAAGAAATTTGCGCTTTGATGTCAGCATTTGCGGCAGAAGGGTTGGCAAACGCCATCGTCAGATTTAGCCGTATCTCGACTATCATGGTGTATATCTCTCGCAAGGCTGAAGCCGGCTATTCAACAATTGCTTGGCCAGGGTGTGCTCTCAAAGTATTACAGATGCCATGGCGGGATTGAGGATTGTCTCGATCAGAACCAGGATTGTATCTGGACCAGATCACTCTCGGTCCGGCTTGATCTGTCACATGAGTCAACTTATTTGACAGCGATGTGAAAGACTGAGCAGGAAGGTTTACTATGGCGACATCCAGGACCCGATGAGTGCGTGTGCACAAGCAGAGCCCACCCCATGCGATTGGGTTCTGAAGTCAGCAGATCTTGGTAGTGGTGGCGCTGGTCGGCGATGGATTAGTCTCCTTCAGGGTCGTCTCAAGAACACGGCATCCAGATGTCCCGTGTTGAGCGCGGGCGACTAAGTGTCCCCAGCGCCGGGCTGCCGTCTCCCATCCCGAACAGCCATGTCTGCGCAGTGGTGCCTGCATTTCCAACTCTGCAGTAGCTTTCGTCCATTCACTGCGGAATCCAATGGGATCTCGCGTATCATCCAGGGTGCCAGAGTGGACTATCCGGATGGATGATAGTGTCGGCACCCCCCAGCCCATAGGCGCACGGTTGCCATACCAATAAGGAAACGATGGGGCTTAGTGGGATGTGCTAGGGAAATTACCATGCGCTTTCGATATCGCCCTATGGGCGATGCGACCCTGACGATTCGCAGACACTGCTTCGAGTCAGCACATTGAAGAATTGGAAGTCATCCAGTAATAGTGAGAAAGTGTTCAGCGGCACCAAGTCTCGTCGTACCAGAGGACGCGACCGCAACCAATGTGACCGACAAGAAGAACTGAGTGGGAGAGCACACCCGGGCACTTGGGGAACTATTAACCCCCTGGCTAGATCCCCCAGAAGCTTGTACAGGGGTATTTGAGCACCCCTGTTGAATCACAACCCACTACTCGTGCCACTTACACGAACTGCGTCTTGTCATTTTAATCACACTGGACGATGGGCTTGCAGAAAGCCCGTTGAACTCTTTTTTTCCTTTTGTTTCCAGTGAAGCGTTGCAACTGCATGTCCCGTCCGTGCAGCAGGCGCGCAGCTCAGGCTGCAGCAAGAGATAGGTGCAGCCGGATAGGTGCCGTGTCGCGTGAAAAGCCGGGAAAGCTACCGACCTCAGCTGGGATCTGACAGCTCTCCCAGTCCGTGGCAAAAAGAGGCGTCAGCCAGCAACATGGAACCCACCTGGAGAAAGTACCTTACTGTCAATCCCCCACTGGAGCTTATAACTCCCCACGCTTTGCTCATTGTGATGAAGTGCAAGATGTCACCATGTACTTTCGTTTGGTGGCTCTGTACATTGCTGCGAACCGGTGCTCAAATTGCGACAGCTGTGGCACATTGCGCCAGCAGCGTCAGGTCTCTAGCACCGAGACTCTCATCTCAAGCCCGCTAGGTAGTACATGACGCCTCCCAACGCAGAGGTAATGGAAAGTAGAATACACAAACACACAGTAAAGCAAGCAGGCATGCAAAGCACGCTGCTACCGCGGGAAAGCATATTCAAATCTTGGTTCATGGTAATATAACGAGCGAGGTTGCTTGCTTGCTTGCATGCTTGCTTGCACCTTGCAGCTTGCAGGGCCGCTGACGCTCAGGGGTGGGTGCCGTGCCCGCCGTTATTAGCATGGTTGCATCTGCTATCTAAATTGATTGCACCGAAGCGGCATAGGTTGGTCAACGGCGCCCCTCGGTAAGAAAGGGGAACGCGCGCAGTGCTGGACCGTCCATCACCAGAGGCGCCCTGGGCAAGACTGTCCCGGTTTCCATCTCGGCAGAAATCTCTTTTCCTCGTGCCAGTTGCGCCGTGTTCGTGGTTTGTTCGCATGCCAGACCGTGTCTCTCCTGTGAGAACTTGCTGCCCTTGTTCCGTTCCAGGCCAGCCGCGATCCAGGACCATCCCATTGCAGTTTCGCAGATTCCCCGTCGGACCGGTTTCCTCTGCTTCCATTGGGCGACTGCGTTGGGCCCTGACGAAGACGGCCGTCCAGTCTTTCTCCTCCCCCGCGAGCCCACGAGTCAACTCCCTGCTGGTTTCCTACCGTCCCCAGAAAACAACCTTCCAACTCCCGCATTCGCGACTTCGAACAGTCAGGGAACTGCTGGCCAAATTAGCTGCAGCTTTGCCTTTCCACCGAGTCCCTCTCGCCCAAGTCGTTGCGCCTCTCGTCCCGGGCCGCTCTTGCCTAACGCTACAAGCAAGTCTAAGTCGACTCTCGTTGCGATCCGCTGGCCCGTTACCTCTCATTCCTTCTTGCGGCCCTATGCACGGCTCGGCCACAACGTGTATAGCAAGGACGGAAAAAAGCAATACTGCTGCATCAGACGCCTCATCCCCACTCTCCGCGCCGACAGTCGGTCACGCAAACGCCTCGACCGATCTACAGCAATACTGCGTTCCGAGACGTTGTCTTTAGAATTAGACAAGATATGCAAGGAGCTGCCTCGTGGTCTTAGTAGACTTTGTTCCGAGCTCGCATTATTCAACTCCCCGTCGAGCGTCTTGCTTTGAACCCCTGAGAAAACATACAGGCTTTTCTTCCCCACGATACCTCGAAACCGGTTCTTCTGCGGGAATGGTCCAGAAGCTATACAGTCCAAGGTTATGACTTGAAGTTCTTCTCACCGAACCAAATCAGGTCTGAGATCAAACCAGTCCCCTATATGATAGCGACGGACTCTGTGGCTCGCACGTACAGTTTGGCTCGGAAAGCGCGGGCGAAACTATAAATCGAGCTGGTGTTTACCAGCCGCCAGGCATAGTCCAATAAGGCGTGGGCTTTGAAGCAACGCTGCGAATCATCGAGCTCCCTGTTGCGCAGGTCCGGAGTCAAGCACCTGAATACACCCGTTGATGGGGCGATAAGCTGCAGAGAACGTATTTGCAAGCCGTCATCACTGACGGTGGATCAGCGCATACAAGATGGCCACTGGAGCTTTGCCGAGGCCATCGCGCCCTTCCCTTGGGCCTCCAAATTCCGCGCTACCTGCACTTCCTGTCCCGAAAACACGGAAGAGCACGAGTAGCTCAGCCGCTCTAAGCAGGTCCCCAAGCGCACCACGAAGTGGCCTACGAGCGCCTTCGACAGCTCACCTGCCTCCGCCGACTCCTGCACCAACGTCGGCTTTACCTACACCAAAAACCCCTAATGGCAAAACTCTGCGGAAAGCCGTAAGCATCAACTCCTTTCCACAACCTCCAAAAGGCGACTCTAGAATTACCAGTCTTCCGCCGAGTCCGCTATCCTCTGGACTTTCAGCAGGTATACCCCCTCGAAAGTCTCGTACGCCCACCGGGACACCTCGAATAGGGGGCATGTCCCATGGAACCCCGAGTCTCCTGAATGGTGGCGGTGATAGTAAATCTATTTTAAGCGCTGCCAATGTAAGGAATTCGGCTGGCTTGATAAGCGTTGCTTCCCCAACTCAAAGCCGGAGCTCCTCAGCACAAGACTCATACTCCACATCCGCGACAACGTACGATGATCCTATTGAAGCAAGCACTAGCTCGGTTAGCGAGAAGCGCGCCTCCAAAGGTGGTGACGGGAAGGGAAATGTTCTTGTCAGTGTCAGGGTTCGACCTGATGCTGGGTCTAATGACAACGGTCGTGTTGAGGGAGGCGAATGGATGGTTGATGGAAGAAAGTCGCTCGTATCGTACCGTGGCAAGGAAGGCGGCGACTATGTTTATGGTAAGGTTACATTGTGATATAGCGGTACCTTCTGCTGACAATCCCCCCAGATAATGTCTTCGCGACGCACGACGACAACAGCAGAGTTTATGATCACATCGCCAAGCGTCTAGTTCGCAGGGTGATGGAAGGCTACCACGGCACGGTTTTTGCCTATGGTATGACCGGTACGGGTAAAACGTTCTCAATGCAGGGAACGGCGTCCTCGCCAGGTGTCATACCACTTGCAATCACCGACATTTTCTCTTACATTCGCGAGACTCCAGCAAGAGAGTTCTTGCTGCGCGTTAGTTATCTGGAAATTTACAACGAACGGATACATGACTTGCTTAGCATGCCCACCGGTAACGGGACTGGAGCGTCTGGCGCGCAAGAAGAAATCAAGTTGCGTGAAGACAGCAAGCGGGGCGTGTACGCAACTCCTTTGAAGGAGGAGATTGTTCAAAGTCCGACCCAACTTCTCAGGGTGATTGCCCGAGGAGACCAGGCCCGCCGGACGGCCAGCACACAGTTCAATGCCCGGAGTTCCCGAAGTCACGCCGTGGTCCAGATTGTTGTTGAGAGCAGAGAGCGTTTGCCAAACACAAAAGGAGGCGAAAACAAGCGGTCTGGTTTGGTCCCTGGCGGCGTGCGAGTCTCGACTTTAAGCTTGATTGATCTTGCCGGATCCGAGAAAGCAGCAGAGTCAAAAGAGCGCCGTACTGAAGGATCGCATATCAACAAGAGCTTGCTGACACTGGGTACTGTGATATCCAAGCTCTCCGACGCGAAGGACAAGGATGGGAAACCAGACAAGGACGCCAAACATCTGCCCTACAGAGACAGCAAGTTGACCCGGTTGCTGCAGGGTGCACTTTCCGGTAATTCGCTGGTCAGTATTCTCTGCACCATCCAAATAGGATCGGCGGGAAGTGCCGCAGCTGGCAACAGCCACAATAGTGAGACAATCAACACCTTGAAATTCGCCTCGCGCGCGAAGAACAGCATTGTCAGCCATGCCAAACGAGCAGAAGAATCACTCGGTGCTGGTGGAGACGGCGGAGCTCGTGTGCTCCTAGAAAGATACCGGATGGAAATCGTCGAACTAAGACGTCAATTGGACACGCAGGCCAAGAAGGATGCGAAAGACGCTTCTTCGGTCGAGGAGGAGGAGAAGGTCAAGGACGAGGATGAAGAGCGTAAGCGGGAGAAGGAAGCCGAAGACCGACATGAAGAGCAGATGTTGGAGATGCAACTTGCACGAACAGCTTTGAAGGAACGGATTGACCACTTGAATAAGCTCATTCTAAGCTCCAAGTCGATTGGTGTAAACACAAGTGGCTCATACAGCTCACTTGGAGTACACCACCGGTTCTCGCAAGTCTCTCTGGCTCCATCCAACCGGACATCGATTGCCACCTCCATCGGCGCCCGCTCTCATTTGGAACGCACAGCTTCGATGACGTCTTCATCCTCTACCATCGGGCGTCGGTCTAACGGGCAGAGGCATTCAGGAGGTGCAGAGCCGATCTCGACTGAGGAGGACGACAGCACGGGCGAATTCGGTGATGGAGTTGCATCGCTTGCCGCGCAAAATCAAGCTCTCCAATCTGACCTTGCCGATAAGAATCGGTATATTGCCACGTTGGAGAAGCGCCTTTTGCAGGCAAGAAGGGCCAGTTCTTCGCGGGCCTCTGTTGGGTTCTCCACCCCGAACAAGGGGATCATGGTAGGAGAGGACCATAGCGTTTCTGCAATGATGAGGGAGAAGGATGCAGAGATAGCCGAGCTGAGGGCGCGGCTCGAAGATAAAGATCGAATGATGGCAGCACTACGTAGTGCCGCTCGCTCCAGAGATGCGGCTGAAGGCGTGGATACGTCGAAGCAAGAAGTCCGCGAAGTGCGCTCATCGCTTTTGTATGAGCATGCAGCAAGCCCTCCTCCTCAGGGTGCATTGCCAGATCCGCCCGTCCTGGGTCGCAAGAGCAAGAGCATGTCACCGGGTCCTAGCCGAAAGAGAACGAAGAGCGTCGACGAGATGTCTCGCATTCTAGACGAGATGATCCAAGAGAAGGTTGAGAGTGGACACGTCGTCCGGGGAGTGCGTGGCAGCGTCCGCCTGGCCAGTGAATCGCACAAGCCTCAGGGCCTCGCCGAGCACCCCACTGACCTCGAGACGCTGAGAGAGAGTCCGATAGTTCCGGAGTCGCAAGGAGTGTCTTTGCAGGCATAGATTTTGCTATCATTAGGAAGGAGGGAAGGGAGAGGGAGAGCGAACTGATCATCAGCGGCTAGGTCAGGGTTCCAACTTCGCGGGATAATGTCTTTGGAATGGCGTTTTGGTTGGTACTGCGCCTTCCGTTTGTCTTATACCCTATCATATTTCAATGTTTGCTACGGGGCGGCTGTGGAACGCGAACGCCTTGACGAATGCCATTCGATGGACAACGGGTTAAATTTTCTTTTCGTTAAAGGGGGCGTCGTTATACTGAACGATGCATAGATTATAATAGCTAGCCTCTGGGAAGGAAGGCTAGATCTTGTATATTATCTGACCTAAGATTACGAAGAGCCGAATCATGCTCTGCAAAAGGTGAACATGAACTCATGATGCCAAGTACTTTTGGGAAACAAAGGGGGGAAAAAACAATCGTTTCTTGCCATGCCTCGATGACCCGACCAGCCGACCCTTGACGGAAGTATTTCTTTTGATGGGCTCATCACCATGTGTGTTTGAATGATGCAAACACATGAACAGTCACGGTAATTGACACCCCGTAGACGACTACCAGCACCGACTGCGAGATTCGGGCAACTGCATACGGGAATTCAACCATCCACCTGCATGCTGCCTGTACTGGGCGTCCTCTACCTGCATTCAAAGGAACCTACTTTTGGAGCCGAGCCCATATTGGGGCCAGAAAAGTTGGGGGTTCTCCTGCAACATCGCGGGCTGAATTGGCTGCAGTAAGTCGGCACATACGACACCACCAAGCGATAAAACTGCCAGGCACAAGCAGCAACAAGCACAAGCGATTCTAATTCGGGAAAGATGACGCCCCTGCGTTGCAACCTCGGCTGCATTTCACCCTCACAAGTTGCTGGTTGGCTCTACCAAGGGGAAGTTGATTTAAAGATGTGAGCCTCCTGTCTCGATTACCCGGCCCAGTTATATTGGGGCGGCACATTCGCTGCTGCAATAGGATATATTGATGAGGTGAGTTGATTAGGTGAGGCCAAAAACTTAGGTTTAACGGATTCGGGCCGCCCAGGCTGGTCCCCTGTTTTTGCGGCACACTCATTTCTTCGACTCAGCATGCGTTTTTTTTGGCGTGTTTCTTAAATTTACCTCCTCTACACTAGAAATAAACTTTCGCGCCGTTTGCAGGAATAGGAACGCTGACGGCGCTCAAGCAGCAGCCCGCAGCAATACGAGTAGGATCTGGTAGGAGCCTGGATATCTGGTACATAGCAGATGAGCTGGGCCCCTAATCATTCTTTTCACGATCTGCGCTGTCCTCGCTACCAGTTTGGGGGTGAGGCGGGCGTACGTATTCACGCATGTCAGATTACGAAGATGAGCGGCAGGCCTGCCCTTGCTAGCCAACATTCTGCCTGCCATAAGGGGATCAGCAGACAAGCCGGGCTCTGAAGGTTCCGCCCGCGAATCACACGAGTTCCTGTTCTTCCGATTGTGGATTTGCAGCGACAGATGCAACAGGGATTGGCGAGATTGACAGGCTCTCTCACATGCCTCTGTCCCGCCAGCCCGCCTGGTGATCCTGTGGTTCGGGAATGGTCCCCTAGTTGGCTGGTTGGTGGGCCTGGCTATGCGAACGCAGACCAACAGCAGCATGAAAGGGGCCGCCCGCTGGCGGATGATGGAGACTTCTCTCTCGCTCTCTCCGTCCAGCTAACATGTCTGGCGATGAGGCAATGTTTGAGCGATATAGCCCCCGACCTGCCCGCCGCGATGTGCTTCAGTGGCGCATGAAAAAGGTTGACGATCTCGTCAGCAGCCCCTAGCGAACCCAAGCAAGCGAACAGGATCTCGGGTGAGGGAGAAGAAGAGCTGACTCTGGGGTCCGCCGGCTGTGTGCATCGTGATTGGCTGGGTCATTGCTATTTGAGTCTCCACCTTCCGCCGTTTCAGAATCTACTAGGGGGGCCGCAAAATAGTGATCCGCGCATTGAGATCTTTCCGCTGATAGGATGAGCTGAAAGATCCCAATTCGTAGGTTTCCAGGCACCCCGAAAAAGAAACTTTGCAAGTGTTAGAGATCTCGGCAATTCTTCCTCCAGAAACCATCGCTTGCAAGTACCTCTGGGCCCTGCCTCGCCACAAGGTCTCCTGATTGCATCCGACAGGTGCGTTTCTTCAGAAACCAGCGCCCGATCAGACGGAATGCCCAGCTCGCTAGACTCTAGATGGTAAGCCTCACATCATTCGACGCAACGTCAATCTACCTCACGCCTCTCATCGTCTGGGGCCATGACCCTTTTAGACACGCCGACGACTATGTTGATCCTCACAATAAGCTCTGGCTGCTGCTCCTGGGTCTGAAAGGGCAAAATGCCACATGCAAAATCCCATGCTAGACCGACTCGGCGGGTTCTGCCCCATGCATAGCTTTGGCCGAAGAAGTTTATATCCCTGCCAATCCTGACAATTGCATGGACGGGTCCCAGTAGATCTCCGGATCGTCAGTTTTCTCTGCCCTTCTCGCCCATGCTTTGGTAGATCTTGGTGGGATGCTTGACCCTATTTGGTTCATGTCAACGCCTTTGATGCTGGTCATTCTGCCCATCCTCATTTTCCACCGTGTTACACACCGCGACATTTCCCCAACCATCGCAGCCGTGGTCTTCTGACATCATTCTGGCGGGACCTCATAGTCACTGGATACGGTTGTGCACCCGTCGGCTGTCATCTTTCCAGGTCCATTCTTTCAAGAGAATACGGCCCTGGTACCTCGGCGAAAGTAACCATCCAGCCGTCTGGATATCATCCATGCATTTTGCCCGTCTGTGGGAAACACCAGAGGCTTCATCGCCGGACCTTCAAACGTCGACCTTTTATTCCGCGCCTCAAACATTCGGCTGCTTTTTCTTCTGCTTGGCTCTTCTTTGATTCTTGTGTCCACAAAACGTTCTATTTCTATTTCTCTACCGGCAGTCAGGATTCGGGGCCGCTTGTTTGGCCTTTGTCTAGAACGTCGACCAACAGACTCGACCGGTCCCCAAGACCGTCACTGCTCGTCTCATCTAAATCTGTTGCCGGTCTGTGCTACCTTGTTAGCTTACACACTCTACCACGGGGATACGCGTTGGATTAGACATCTTCATGCGAGCACCTTCCAGGTCTGTGACCTCATTCAGCTACCACCCCACAGTCGAAACTTCGGGATTGTCTGGCCTTGAGTGTTGCGATCGTCATCTCGAAGAATTAGCATCTCCACTTCTGAGCTCTCCACCTTTTCCCACGCGGATGGCTCAAGAACCACGACGGTCCGCTGTCATTCTCAAAAGGGAACCGTTGGCAGCACTCTAAATTTATTGGGTCCTCGCACATTTGGAAATCGACAAACGTCCTCCCACCTCCAGTGGTTGAGACCCGATGCGTGTTGTGCATCGACGCTGATACACACCCGTACAGCGTTCCACAACCCCATCGGTCACCTCCCTGACGCTGCTTCACGTATGTGACCTGACTTATTCGTCGTTCGGCAGTCAGTTGGGAATACAGACTCGTGTTCCATCGTTGGTGCAGACGAACTGCTCCCCAACCCTTTGATTTCTTTTCTCCCTGGTCACAGGAATTCTTCGGACCATATCATTTTCGGCTTATATTGGCCGTGTCATTCCTTAATATTTCCCCATACATTCAGCAGCGACTTGGTCAGCGTACGTTGCAACTGCTCCCAACAACGTAGCAGTTCTTACCCTTCATTCTACTCTTGAGGACATACGGGTGTCTCCCGGTACGGCTTACAACACACATCCGCCAAGATGATTGTCTCAACACCAAGACTCAATTTGCGGAGGGCCGCCTCCTATACTGGCGTGTCAATCGAGAAGCTTCCATTATCGGCTACTTCGTCAAGCTTCAAGCTAGACCATCTCATATACTCACCGCCACCATCACCAGGTCTTCCTGCATTGGTAGCTCGCCCGCGGAAAGTTTCCAACACACCGCGACCAAGCAGAGTCTTCCGCGTTTTGGGCTGGATTGCCGGGCTTGTGGTTTTTCTATATGTCGCAAGGGTCCTGGTACGGAGGGGCGGTGGTGTTGACCTCGTGGGCTGGGAGAAGACGGGAGATTTCGAGATGGTCGGCCAGTACGATCTTCCCGAATTCCCAACTCCCATTGCCGTCACAGACCGCCATGGAAGATCAAAGTGGACCGTTTCTATCCCACCAACATACAACTTTCCCTTGACGACGAAGGAGTACTCGGACATTTGTGCCAAATGCCACGAGGTGGCCGCGCATGTCAGGGAGTTGCAGGGGCAAACATATCCTTCTCCGCAGGCCCAGCTGGACTATTACTACCAGGATCCATACTTCGTGGATGTTCTAGAAGCTGAGAACCGTGGTCTCCTGCCTGGAGCCGAAAGCAAAGCTTGGCATGTTGCTACTCATTCACAGGGAGGCCATCTTGTTGGGGAGAGTATCGGCAATTTCATGGAGGCTCCTGTCTGCAAATCATCCATGATATTTGTGCTCGAGTCACCGGAAGCCGGCATTGGGCCAACGCTTATGATGCTCTGGATGGCTTACGGATTAGCCCAGAAGGAGAAGCGTGCATTCTTTATTGACGATACGAGATGGGCTTATGGAGAGTATACGGGTATCTTCCAGGCTCCCCCCATACCAGACTGCAGGCCGCCGCCCAGACATGAAATGCTCCCATGTCCCCGCCACGCTCGGCACCTCGTCGTCTCGGTAGCAACAGCTCGGGAAACATTTGGCAACGGCTTCGACAGCGAATTTGAGCAAGTTGAGAAGCAGGACGCCAACCGCGAGAGACCGATGTATGATCTAGCCCGCGCCGGATATGAGGCCTTATTTCACCTCAACGATGAGGATAAGGGTTACGTCAACAACCGAATCGCAGAGTTGAAGCTCAAGGCCAAAGTCGGGGATGGTAGTCACAATGATGGCACCATTGTCGGTGTGCATGTGCGGCACGGGGACCAGCATCCTTATGAGTATCAGTACAGCGCGACGTACATGCCTCTGACGCGGTACGTGGAGACAATTCAGCAGGTCCTCGACGATGCGCATAACACGAGTATGCCTAATGGTGGCGAGGATACCATGGCCAAGAAACACTCATTCACGGTTCTAGCTTCCGACAACCCTGATGTGTATGAGGCCGATGAGTTTTCTGGTGCCGTCCGGGCCCAAGAACGCATCAAACTCGCTAGCGTGTCGCACACCAAGGCAGAGGAGCAAAACCCTCATTACATGCACAAGTTCAAAGAAGAGACGTTCGGATGGGAAGGTGGCTTCTTCGGTAGCATGTTCTGGAACCTAGGTCGTTCGTCTAACAACAACGCCGAAGTCAAAACCCCCGAGTCGCTTGCTCCATCCGCCGAGACCACACGGCTGAGGAGTCTCATTGGCCGATCATACATGATGGATCTGGCCGTCTTGGGCCAGGGGGCTGACGTTGTCATCTGCACGGTCAGCTCGGCAGGATGCCGCATGGTAGGAGTGATCATGGGCTGGGAGAAGGCCATGGAGAAGGGCAACTGGATGAACATCGATGGAAATTACATGTGGACAGGCGTGGCCCTTAATTAGAGGTGTGGGCACTAAATAAACCCCAGCATCGGGTGGAATATGGCTGGAGTAGGAAAAAAAAAAGAAGACATGGCATAGCATAGCATTTGATCGCGAGGCGTTGGGGCGGGTTTTGTTTCGACATGGGGGCTGCTAGATACCTTACCACAGGCGTACTTGGGTTATATCGCATCAAGAGTACCAAAGGCATCCACAGAGGATGACCACCAGACTAGCCGGACCGGCTCAATACCATTTCTTTCCTATGAACAACTACCACACGTCCAAATCTGCACATTGATGTTGTAATAGAAACTAGCATTACATTGCAGCTCCAAGTCGATATCGTTGTCGTGAGCATGAGCGCATAGTAGTAATCTTAAACTCGGAAAATCACATCAGCCTTTGCTCCGGCCACGTCCACGGAATACCTACGCAAGAATGCAGACCAAGTGGTCTGATAGAGGAGAAGTGCATGCGTCAGTCCGGGGCATCCCGTCTAAGCCTTTGCGATCTGGAAGGGACCGATCTTAGAGAAAACTGGAGCCGGTGCTCTTGGTCGACACCGGGGCGGCCCGGCACACCGGGAAATGTGGGTTTGGGCAGCCCCTTTCGGGAATGGCTTCTCACCCCTTCCACGGGCTGAACAACTTCAATTGACCGGCGTGGAACCCGAGGGTGACCACTTCCGTACAGACTGAGAGGCAGAACATTGCGTTTGAGATTATTCTCCATGATCTATATGATAACTAGCTGCATCGTTTCGGGAAGTACGTAACAGACTGTGTTTTGAAAGGAGAAAAAAGCCTTCGAATAACTCACCTTCATAATTATCACAGAAACGAAATCTGCAACATTGTAGCAGGTGATAATCAGAGGATGAAGTAGGGTAATCAGTAATATTGCATATGCCCGCCTTGACACCCTTGTTGCCTCAGCAATCCTGAAGACTGATTTGATTGATGTCCAAGGCCGTTGCGTCATGGGGAATGTGCAATAGGTCGCGGGTAGAACAGAGGTCCTCGTGGAGTGCTGAGTCAGTCAAATTATGGTTGCATCCGCTCAGTTCGGGTGCTCTTGATTCTACTGTAGTCTCCAAATGCAACACTCGAAACAAAGGTTACGCCTTCCAAGATTAAGGAGGTTCCAGCAGTGTCACTAGAGTACGGTCCTGCCTCGCCTGGACCGCCTTCTTTGTTCGAGCATAACAAAGATGACCATAACACATCCTTCACTTTGTATTTCACCACTTTGCATTTCGTGACATCCCCAATGGAACAAAAGGGAGGGATCGTAATACAGACCCTAGCGATCCAAGCACTATGGCACGTCGAACAGGTCGTACAGTGGCCGGGAAGACCGCATGGGAACACAGGAGAAAACGAAGTCTTATATCACGACAGAGAGGCGACAACGGACGTACAAAAGAGGTTAATGCTATAGTAACAACGCCTGATTGCAAGAAAAACCCCAGCCGATGTAGTTACGTCCAAAGCTCGTCAAACGTTTACCAGTTGGCTTCACTCCATACCGGAGCCAGCCGTTGATATTGACAAGGCCTTCGCTCCCTCTTGCCACACACCATCGAGTGTGGTCAGCTCACAGCAGACTCTCAACACGGGCCTAAGCAGGATGGGGCCATCTAGGCAACAGTCCAATAGTGTGCATTCTTCAACCTACCGCCAGAAAGCTCTATTCAGCAACGGTTTTAAATTTCCCTTATTCGAAGAAAACCTGCCATCAGATATAAGCGCTCATTTGGAACGGATTAGGGATCAGAGTAGATCTTCTGGAATTGCGTTGGCAGATGCCAAAGCCATCTCAGAGGAATTACAAGTGCTTTGCGCCCGCGGCGAAGAGACTAGGGCTGAATCATTCGTGCGTGAGCTCCTAGGAAAGACATTACTTCCTTTAGGCTCGCCAGTTTTGCACAGAGTACAGGAGGCACACATGACCCTTCATCATGTTCCGGGAAAGCCTCGTGCCGGTGTAATAGCGCAACCAAGGCCTGATGTGCTTTACGGCTACTCGGGGCTCGGCGCTGAGGTGGAGGCTTTTTCAGAAGCACAAGTCGAAACTCATGCAAAATGCTATGAAGGAGCCATGGAAGGGCCAGCTGCGACTACAAGAGATACTCGACTACCTTTTCTTTTGGCAGATTTCAAGTGTACCTGGGGGAACAGTCTACATGTGGCCAAGAATCAGTGCGTAGGAGCGCTTGGAGCGTCGTTGAATGCTGTGGCACGTCTGAATGATATGCTCAAGAGCAGCAATCGAGCCCAAGTGGTGGAGGAATTCGTCTACGGGATGATTGCCAACGAGGAGGATGCCAGGCTCCATGTTGCGTGGAAAGAAGGACCGACTGAATAGAGAGTTCAGGAGGTGGAGAGATTCAATTTGCTTCGACCGGAGGAATTCATCAAACTCCAAAAGCAGATTCTCAACATTCTTGACTGGGGAAGCAAAGATCGCCTGGACCAAGCCAGGAACGCCTTGAACTCACTCGGTGATGGAGAACCTGATGACCGAGACAACACAACTGAAGAGAAAACACCACGTTCCGTCGCTAGAGACCCCAAAAGAAAGCTCACAGTTGATCATGGAGGCAGTGATGGGGAAGAAAGCCAGCCATCCCTACTACAATCGACCGGTTTGGCGAGGAGAAAAGGCCATGTCAGGAAAGCCAGGAGAACTAAGACGGACTGAGCCTTGCCGTGCAAAACTGGCCATGTCCGGTCGAAATCGGGTTAAGTCGTATATAATCTGGTTGTGGCTATCAAGCTGGCTTGGTAGCTGTTACGAACTATATATTCACATGTTACATAGGTATATGCAACCAAGCCACCCAGTCTTGGATTATTGAGAGACCAGTTGATTCTAAAGCTTACCTTGAACGGGCCTCACTGAAAGGTAGAAGTGAAATACTAAATGACCACCACTGCATGCCGACGGCAATGTACTAGTCTCGCATTCGATTCATCGTCGAGGTCAATTTCCCCTGTGAATGTCTCCTGCAGGTCCAGGCACTGCATCATCTAGTTATTGAGTAGTCGTCATAGGCAGACCATCTATATGGTTTCTGACTGACGACTGCTGCGCCATGTGGTGAGCAAATATGCGGCCAAAGACAACTAATAAGCGATATCTGGACCCGGGCTGTTGGAAGTTAGTCTCGTGGCGCCCACTGCCAGGTCCTACTGTGTACTGTGTCAAGTACCCGGAGAAGCGGGGACTTGGCGTTGAGAGTCGGACGTCGGGCATATCGAGAAGCATGTCCACCAGACCGGCCGTGATGCATCCTCAGATGCAGAATGCTGCAGGGCCGCTCTCTCGAGTTGTCTGCAACGAACGTCATTCGTCGAACGATGCAGGACCAGATCAAGGCGCGAAACGTTCGATGAGGTGCAAGGGGTGGAGCTCGGGATGGCTGAATGCGAATACGCCGGGCCCCTGATTGGCCGGCGTGGGAGACCCCTATTGTTCTTTAGCATTGTTCAATCAGAAGCCGCCATCAACAAATTTCCAATCGTCCCCCAAGCGTGCAAACCGCCTCCGCCGCGACCATTATTTAAAACCCCCTCCTCGACCTCAACCCGACCCGACCCTTCGACGCTCATTTTCGGGGTTCACGCGCTGCCGAGTCCTATCGCCTGTGGTTCTGCCGTCTTCTCTCGCCGCCATGGGTCTTTTCGAAGAGATCGCTGGGCCCGCCGCCCAGCGCCTGTCTCAGCTCTCGACCGCATCGCAAGTCGGCGTGATCGCGGGCTCCCTCCTCTTTCTCGCCATCTTTGTACACATCGCAAAGCAGGTCCTGTTCAAGAACCCGAATGAGCCCCCCATGGTCTTCTCCTGGTTCCCCGTCGTGGGCAGCACCATCACCTACGGCATGGACCCTCCGCGCTTCTTCCAGGAGAACCGGGCCAAGTACGGCGACATCTTCACCTTCATCCTGCTCGGCAAGAAGACCACCGTCTACGTCGGCACCCAGGGCAACGACTTCATCCTGAACGGAAAGCTCAAGGACGTCAGCGCCGAGGACATCTACTCTGTCCTGACAACTCCGGTCTTTGGCAAGGACGTGGTTTACGACTGCCCCAACTCCAAGCTGATGGAGCAGAAGAAGGTTTGTCGCCTGTCATGCTCCTGCGTCGCCATCACTTCTAACCAGTCCCATCGCAGTTCATGAAGATCGCCCTCACCACCCAGGCCTTCCAGTCCTACGTTCCCATTATCGCCGACGAGGTCACATCGTACTTCAAGAAGAACGCCGACTTCAAGGGCAACTCGGGCATTGTCGACATCCCGTCCAAGATGGCCCAGCTCACCATTTTCACGGCCTCGCACTCTCTCCAGGGCAAGGAAATTCGCAACAAGTTTGACGAGTCCTTGGCCGATCTGTACCATGACTTGGACATGGGATTCAGCGCCATCAACTTCATGCTTCACTGGGCACCCCTCCCCTGGAACAACAAGCGTGATCATGCGCAACAGACTATTGCCAAGATCTACATGGACACCATCAAGGAGCGACGTGCCGCGGGCAAGAGCGACAGCCAGGATATGATGTGGCACCTGATGAACTCGGAGTACAAGGGTGGCGTCAGGGTTCCCGATCACGAGATTGCCCATATGATGATTGCCCTGCTCATGGCCGGCCAGCACTCTTCGTCCTCTACCAGCTCCTGGATCATGCTTCGCCTGGCATCCCGCCCTGACATTATGGAAGATCTGTACCGCGAGCAGGTCGAAGCCCTGGGAGCTGACCTACCGCCATTGACCTACGAGGACCTCTCCAAGCTGCCCCTGAACCAGGCTATCATCAAGGAGACGCTGCGACTCAACGCCCCCATCCACTCAATCATGCGCGCAGTGAAGCAGCCCATGCCTGTCCCTGGTACCAAATACGTTATCCCTACCGACCATGTGCTCCTCGCAGCGGCTGGTGTCTCTGCGACTGACCCGCAGTACTTCCCCGAACCCGACTTGTGGGAGCCGCACCGATGGGAGAAGGACCACCCCCTTACCCCAAGACTTTCCAAGTCCGAGGCAGACGAGGAGGAGAAGATCGACTACGGATACGGCTTGGTCAGCAAGGGTGCTCAGTCGCCCTACCTGCCATTCGGCGCCGGAAGGCATCGATGCATCGGTGAGCAGTTCGCAAACGTGCAGCTGCAGACCATTGTGGCCATGGTGGTTCGCATGTTCAAGTTCCGCAACCCGGACGGCAGCAACACCGTCATCGGTACCGACTATGCCTCGCTGTTCTCCAGACCTCTGGAGCCCGCCAAGATCTACTGGGAGAAGAGAAACCCGTAGAGGGGCCGGGAAGACTTAATGACTACACTACACGCTTCCTGTATATACATTTAGCACATGAGACGACGCATATGAGCCGCTTCGATGCTAGCCTAGGGTATGCAAGGATAGATGCGGATGCCAGATTAGACTTTTACATACATAATTCTAATGATTTTCCAAGTTACGAAGGTCTTTCCATCAATGATGTGAGACATTGAAGATCTACGTAGACCTTATTTGCCAGTTTCTCCCCACATCCTAAAGCACAAGGCAAATGTGCCGAAACAACGGGAGTTGGAGACGCGCACTGTCGCAAAAGCTTAGCGGTGGTAACCCCTGCATGAATGACGCATGGGACATGCGGGAGCCCATGGATCGCGACTCCAATTCGCGACCTACCGCTCTGGAATTCACCATCGATGATGGAATCCCTGTATTGATACTGCGACTTCTTCCGCTTGACCTCCGTCAAAATAGCTGTGCATGACTTCCGCGCCCTGTTGATATGCTTACAATTACAACTTAACCGGTGGGCCCTCGCAAGCCAAGCAATATTTCTGATACTCGTGGCTCAAAACGCTTTGTACTTGATACTCACATATTGAGGTCGGGCAACACATCGCCATGTCGGCAGCAGATGTAATGGCCTCTCTCGGGCCCCTCATTCGCCTCTGGGGAGTCTCAACGGCGCAGTTGCCCTCGCCAACCGAGTCTGCCGATGAACTCGCCCCCTTCCTGATCTCAGTCCTTCAGGAAGCTGTCCCTTTTATCGACAGCGCAGCGCCCAAATCGTCCGGGCCCTCCTCTTCTACGCCAAGCACCAAACTATGGAAGCACAAGGGTGACAAGTCGTCCCCGGACTCGACCGCCAAGGTAGAGGTCTCGGAGCGCGTGGTGGGCGCCGGTGAGTTGGAGACAGTCATCAGCCGCAGCGGACTGGGCGACAAGAAGCCGGTCAACGAGACCTGGATGTGCCGGCGCAGCGTGCACGAGGACCGGGCGGCGCCGGGCACGGCCAGCTGGGCCGAGTTCGAGCGGTGCTTCCGCGACGAGCACGCCGAGGCCGAGGACGCCTTCACGCCCAACGTGGCGGCGACGCACGCGGCGCTCGTGTGGGACTGCGGCGGCGTCGAGGCGGCCGAGGCGGGCGAGACCTGGACCGGCTTCCAGCTCAAGGTCCAGGAGATGCGCCACCGCATCGGCAAGCCCCTCAAGGACCGCACGTTCCCCGTGCTGCAGATGACGGCCGCGGCCCGCGGCAAGAGCGAGTTCCTCGTCGTCAGCATCCCGGTCCCGGACTTTGGCACGGCCGAGGCCAGCCGCCTGGCCCGCGAGAAGGGCGCCCAGGTCGCGAGCTACGTCAGCGTGGAGCGCATCCGCAAGCTCGACGACGGCCGCATCGAGTGGCTCATGGCGACGGCAAGCGACGCCGGCGGCGTGCTGCCCATGTGGGTGCAGAACATGGCCATGCCCGGCGTGGTCTGGAAGGACGTGCCGCTGTTCCTCGGCTGGATCGCCAAGGAGAGGCAGCACAAGGATGTCGCAAAGGTTGGCCCACTGGGGAAGCGGGCAGGGGAACAACAAGCACCGCCGCCGCAGGCCACGACGGGCGATGACGCCAAGGCCGATGTTGAGGGCAGACCGGAGGTCACGACGGCCACGGAGACTCACAAGGCGCCTGCGGTATCCGAGCCAGCCGGCAGTGTCCCGCAGGGTTCCAGCGTGTCCTGATAAGAGAGAAGGCACACGTCTTGTTTTCTACCAGAAAGAGGGCCTGGTGATCATGGATTTGTCTGTGAAGGGAGTACATGCTGCTGAATTCCGTTGTTCGGGGGGCTATATATTGATACCAGTGCAGCACTTCTTTTTTTACTTGAGACGGGCTACGGGGGCGGTTGGAGTTCACAAGTCCAGCACTAATTTGAATAGTTGTGTATTCCCAAACGGCCTTTGGTGGAGAGGCCCGATGAGTAGTACTCTGCAGGTATACGCCAGGCATTCTCACATGATAGACGCTGATGTTACATCTGAAGCTGACTCACAGCTGCCCCCTTTGCACGAAGTCATAGTCATAGTCATAGTCATACCGAGAGCAGATTCGGTTCCCATTATTGAGACCTGCGCGAGTACGGAAAGTCTTTGTACATGCGATGCCAAGCGTCTAAGGACAAAGGAATCCATGGTACGCCTTAAATCGCAAGATGAAGATGCTCTGTCGAGTATACATGCACCAAGTTAGCACTATAGATTCTGTATGCGGGCTGGCTGGCAGCTGGCGGCGCTTCCTGGGTCGGAGGCCAGTTGTCGCCAGGGAAAAATAGTACGTGCCCCTCCTTCGGGGCGGGTGAGTCAATGCAGGCCGCCCGCCGGCGCCCGCTGCCCGCTGCCCGCTGCCCGCTAACCAACTGGGGTGGTGGTGACTCGACAAAAATTCGTTGCCCGCCGGCCAGCCAGACAGCACCGCTGGACCGCACACAAACGGACGAGCTGCAGACGAGGCCCGACTATAGTACATATACTGCAGCACCCCAAATGACCGGCCCCATCCCTTAGGTTTTCCCCTCCATACCCGCAAATACCGTCACGTTGTCTAGACCACTCCTCCGTGCACTCTGGGTGCGCAGGTCGCCATTCAGATCGAATCTTCACTTCACACGTGCTACAATGGCTACAAACAGTGGTCGTGGTAACCCCAGTACGTCCCGTCCCTCTGCCCTGCCCCTCCATCCCCGGGGGAACCCAGCTGCTGCATGTCCCAGTCTCCTACCCCGCCTGACCCAGATACCTGCTCTTGTCTATTGCTGCTGTGCTTGCTTGTGTGTGTGGATGTCTGTCTGTGTTCGTCCTCGTGCTGACTCCCCTGCCTCACAGTCGGCGCTGAGGAAGGCCCCAGCAAGGTCGGCGAGGGCGCCCCTCCGCCTCTTTCCAACGAGACCAAGAATGCCGTGGCTGCTGGACAGGCGACGGACCCTGTCCATGCCGGCGGCCAGGACTCGACCATGGCCGCCGCCGAGGCCAAGCCCAAGACGGCAAAGGAGTGTACGTTCTGCCATACGTGACCCCAGTCGGCCGTGGAAGACGCCAAGCTAAACCGTCGCGAAACAGTAGAGAGGGAGCGCAAGAAGGCCGAGAAGAACGCCAAGTTCGCTGAGAAGCAAAAGGCAAAGGCCGCCGCCGCAGCCCAGCCCGCCCAAGCTGCCGCCAAGCCCAAGAAGGAGAAGGCTCCCAAGCCCGTCGAGGAGCCGCTGCCCGAGTACGTCGAAGACACCCCCGTCGGCGAGAAGAAGCGCCTCAAGTCCCTCGACGACCCCCAGTTCAAGGCCTACAACCCCATCGCCGTCGAGAGCGCCTGGTACGAGTGGTGGGAGAAGGAGGGCTTCTTCAAGCCCGAGTTCAAGCCCGACGGCAAGGTCAAGGACGAGGGCTCGTTCGTCATCGTCATCCCGCCCCCCAACGTGACTGGCGCATTGCATATGGGCCACGCCCTCGGCAACTCGTTGCAGGATGTCATGATCAGATGGAACCGTATGCACGGCAAGACCACCCTCTGGCTTCCTGGCTGCGACCATGCTGGTATCGCCACGCAGAGTGTCGTCGAGAAGCGTCTCAAGAAGACGGAGAACAAGAGCCGCCACGACCTAGGCAGGAAAGACTTCATCGACCTCGTCTGGAAGTGGAAGGACGAGTATCACACCAAGATCAACAGAGCCCAGCGCAAGATGGGTGGATCGACCGACTGGAGCAGGGAGGCCTTCACCATGGACGAGAACCTCTCCGCGGCCGTCTCCGAGACCTTCGTCAAGCTCCACGAGGAGGGTATCATCTACAGAGCAAACCGCCTGGTCAACTGGAGTACTGAGCTCACCACTGCGCTGTCAAACCTCGAAGTCATCAACAAGGAGCTTCCTGGCCGCACCTTGATCGAGGTTCCGGGTTACAAGAGCAAGATTGAGTTTGGTATCATTGTGCACTTCAAGTATCCCATCGAGGGAAGCGAGGAGACCATCGAGGTCGCCACGACTCGTCCTGAGACCCTGCTGGGTGATACCGGTATTGCTGTCCACCCCGATGATGTGAGATACAAGCACCTTGTTGGAAAGAATGCGGTCCACCCCTTCATTCCGGGCAGACTCATGCCCATTGTCGCCGACACGTACGTTGACAAGGAGTTCGGTACCGGTGCCGTCAAGATTACCCCGGCGCACGACCCCAACGATTTTGCCCTTGGCCAGAGGCACAACCTCAAGTTCATCAACATCCTCACGGACAACGGTCTGATGAACGAGAACGCCGGACCTTACCAGGGGCAGAAGCGCTTTGATGTTCGCTACTCGATCCAGGAAGACCTTAAGGCAAAGGGACTCTACGTTGACAAGAAGGACAACCCCATGTCGGTCCCCATCTGTGAACGATCAGGAGACGTCATCGAGCCCCTGCTCAAGCCTCAGTGGTGGATGAGAATGAAGGAGCTGGCCGAGCCTGCCATTCAGGTCGTCAGGGATGGTCGCATCAAGATTAAGCCTGAGACTGCCGAGAGAAGTTACTACAGGTGGATGGAAAACATCAACGACTGGTGTCTGTCTCGCCAGCTGTGGTGGGGACACCAGTGTCCTGTCTACTTTGCCCAGGTTGAGGGCGAGACTGGCGACGAATCTGATGGCAAAATGTGGTTCTCAGGCCGCACCGAAGAAGAAGCTCGCGCCAAGGCCGAAAAGGCTTTACCCGGCAAGAAGTTCACGCTTAAGAGAGATGAGGATGTTCTTGACACATGGTTCAGCTCTGGTCTTTGGCCCTTCTCTACATTAGGCTGGCCCAAGAAGACCCCCGACCTTGCCAACCTGTACCCCACTTCTGTTCTCGAGACTGGATGGGATATTCTCTTCTTCTGGATCGCCAGAATGATCATGCTGGGACTAAAGATGGTGGGAGATGTCCCCTTCAAGGAGGTCTACTGCCATTCGCTGGTCCGAGACAGCGAGGGTCGCAAGATGAGCAAATCGCTCGGAAACGTTATCGACCCCTTGGACGTCATCCGGGGTATCCCTCTGGAGGCCCTCAACCAGCAGCTGTTGCTTGGAAACTTGAAAGACAGCGAGGTCGAGAAGGCAAAGAAATACCAGAAGACTGCTTTCCCCGACGGTATCCCCCAGTGCGGTGCTGATGCCCTTCGATTCTGCATGGTCAATTACACAACTGGAGGTGGAGATATCAACTTTGACATCAAGGTCATGCACTCCTACAGAAAGTTCTGTAACAAGATCTACCAGGCCACGAAGTTCGTCTTGGGCAAGCTAGAGAGCGGCTACGTCCCGCCCGCCTCGGGCAAGCCCACCGGAAAGGAGTCTCTGGCTGAGCAGTGGATTCTTCACAAGATGAACCAGGCTGTGAAGCAGGTCAACGAGGCAATCCCCAACCGGGAGTTCAGTGTGTCTACGAACATCATCTACACCTACTGGTATAATCAGCTCTGCGATGTTTTCATCGAGAACTCGAAGGCGCTCATCCAGGAGGGTGCTGAGGAGGAGAAGCGTTCCGCTGTTAACACCCTCTACACTGCACTTGACAATGCTTTGAAACTTATCCATCCTTTCATGCCATTCCTGACTGAGGAGCTGTGGCAGCGCCTTCCCCGCCGGACTGGCGATGAGACTCGTTCAATCATGATTGCCAAGTACCCTGTGTACGATCCGGAGCTGGACAACCCTGCTGCTGAGGCCGCATACGAGCTTGTCCTGGGTTCATCGAAGGGTATCCGATCGCTGATGGCGGAGTACGCCCTCAAGGACGAGGCTAAGGGTAAGTTTCGCCATCGGGAACTGTACGAGCCGATGCTAATATGATGTTTTAGTGTATGTCCAAACCTACGACGAGACAGCGCACAAGACTGCCGTTGAGCAGGTGCAGTCAATCAAGTCACTTAGCGGAAAGGGTGTTACTAGCATCGAAATCCTGTCTGGCTCTGACTCCCGGCCAGCCGGCTGCGTCGCCTACCCCGTGTCCAGCGCGGCAACCGTCTTCCTCCACGTCAAGGGCCGAGTCGACATTGACGGCGAGATCGACAAGGCGACCAAGAAACTGCAGAAGACCCGCGCGGCCATCCAGAAGGCAGAGAAGCTGCTGAACGACCCGGCGTACCAGCAGAAGGCCGACGCTGCCCTGCAGGAGAACGACCGCAAGCGGCTGGGCGATCTCGAGTCCGAGGCCAAGGGCTTCGAGGGTACCATCAAGCAGTTCGAGGGTCTGAAGCTGGAGTAGAGCACGGATGAGGAGAAGAAGGAGAACAATCTGGCGCGCTGGCTCTAGAACTCCTAGAACGCATGTAGACTAGAAATAAAAGGGGGGACGTAATCACGAGAACTCGAGGTCATTGAGTGTTTGCCAGTTGTGTGAAGAGTCGTCTTTCGCCAGGGGGTGTCACCATCCATGATGACATCTGATTTGTATTAGACCACCCTCTGCTATAATTGAGTGAACACATGTACTACACGCGGTAGAACGGTGCTGGCGGATGGGGCAATACCATGGTACTATATCATCATAATAATCATTGCCACATTGTTTGATACAAGTCTTCTCAGCAGGGCTTCTGAGGATGCCATACAAGCAACAAGCTGTATGTTAACAAATGTAGTGGTTTTGGCAACGAAGGAAACAGAATGCCGTGCCCGTGCCCTGCACGACGTCTATAGAAGGATGGTTCACCACGTTCTTACAGGTACAGATGTAAATAGTACTCGTGGTTGTTGCATCCCGTACTGCATTCTGCTTTTAGCTCCAGTAGCTAAGCGAATTACATGGACAACACCATCAGACCTCAGACGGTCAGGAGGCCATGCATCATTCATGCGATCAGAGTGTCACCGATGATACAGCAGTTGGCTTGGCTTGATCCGGTACTTTGTCTCCGGTGTCGCCAACAGGAGAATAGCATGCTGTCTTCCTCGAGACAACAATGAAGCAGAGTCATAACATGAATTATATATAGCATGATGGTCGCTTAGCTGAAGAGCAAGATAGGGTCAACTACAAGCTGCTATCATGAGGCTGAACCACTTGATGCTGCACGACAGCCAGATTAGGAAAGTTCTTCACTACCACCGCCATTGCTCTCATAGCCAACGGCCGTAAACTCATAAGTAAATGCGAGTGTTCTTACGACTAACACATAATTTTGGAGCTATTTCTAACCATTACAACAGGAGTCTCCGTATCAACAAGGTTGTGGTAAGAAGTTAACAGTTGAGTCAATGTACAGGGCCACGGGTATATTTGCACGTGTGCATATGTGGGCTCACCTACTGCCACTCTCTCGCCTTCTGCACATCTGCACATCATATCATTGCCACTATTACATACATACTGTGGATGGAGGGCACAGGCCGTCGGGCAACGGCGGACTGCAGTGTTTGCCCTTACTTGAGCCTCCCGACGCAATGGTAAATGGGGCCAGCAACTGGGCCGCTGGGGCGCATGCTGCAACGCCCTGGCGGTCCCTTTGACGGACATGCCCACCCTTTGCGCGGCTTCCTCTCACGGAACCGTACCCGAGCACTCGGCTGCCTGTGGCAAGAAGCCGAAGTGCTCGCTTGGGCAGGCCGCGAGATGTGTCACGGAAATTTTTCGTCCGCACTCGAGCCCAATCCTTGGGACATTGGGCGATCTCGCTGGCGGCACAGCAAGGTAGCAAGGCTGCCTTTTCTGCCGTCTATTCTTCCAGGACTGCACGCAGTTTCCAAACACCAGGGGCAGCAGAGCGGCCCAGATTGACCCGGGTGACCGGGCTCCCTGTCTCCCAAGAGCGCATGCTCAGGGGTTATTCGGACCGCTGTTCAGCTGGATGTCGGTTCGCCTCTCGCAAAGGAGACGAAAACGTCAGAAGGATGTTGATCCCAGGAAAATGTCTTCATATGACGATCCTGGGTCCCTCACTGTTTGAGCTATATAGTCCCCCTCGGTCACGGATTCATAGTGAGTTAGAACGGGCCCCACGATGGAGCCTCTCTCGAGGAGGGTTTTCTAACCCCAAAATAGGTGATGAACTTGGGCTAGCGCCTTGGAAATAAAGACTGTCACATTCGGGAACATGGAATGCAGACCAGAAGAAAACGTGCTGGCTCGCAAAAGCCGCCAGGGTCCCGAAAAGGTGCGAGAGCCCGCCAGCCTTGTGCCTTTCTGGCATTGGCAACCATGCATGCTAGGGAAGGTGGAGATCTGGAAGGAGCAAACTATTGTCGATCTTTGGAGATTTGACATCTCGAGTTGGTAACAAGGGGACAAGGAGTCTTTGATCTGGACCTGTACGGTGGTGATTTAACGTTAAGTGACAGACTATCTCTCGCTCGTACGACGTCTTCGAAGTGGGCTCTTGGCACAGGGTGCCGATGCCGAAGTGGATTGTCCCACGTCTGCGTAGATTGTGGTTCAAACCTGACGAAGAGTTTCAACGCCCATGGCTCACGACGTACGAAGGCGGTTCATGCGGTGACGAAAGAGAGAGTCAACTTAACCGAGCGGCGTGAGCACCCGGGTGCTTGGTTACGATCGTGCAAGGCTGACAGGTGGCTCGCAGCGATGGCATGGTTATCAAACATTAGATACTCCTGTATCATGTATCGAGAGCAACAAATCATCCGAAGCCCTGCTAAAAGTAGCCATTTTCTAGCGTCAAACTGGCAAACTGCGCAGCCTTATGGCACTTGGCTTCGTCCAAAGCATCGGCTTGCCCAGTGACTGCCAAGGAGGTCCGTCTACGACCAGGGTTCCCCGAGGCCGTGAGGTGGCATTGAGGTTATCCACCACTGTATGATCTCCCACTGACAATACCACCAAAGGCGCCCAGCGAGGTGGTAATCGAGGTCTTGTAAGCTCGGTCAACAACCAATGGTAGCATCACCACGCCCATCTACTCTGGTAGCGATGTCGTGCGTTCTCGGGGCCCGAAGCCTCAAGGGGTTTCCATGTGTGACTGATTCTGCAGAGAAGGGGTCGGCAAGACTAGGCTACGCATTGAATACAGCCCTGCTGACAGCGTCGATGACTGCGTTGACCGTTACAGACCACGTTGGCCGTTTACGCCATCCGCGCCTGCAGATGGGCGATGCCGAAGTGTCTTAAACTTTACTGCACTGTGGTAGACGAGCCTGGGGAACTCGGGCCTCACATGAACCCTTGCTGTAGTCGCGTCCTTTGAAAAGCAAAGATTGGCAACGTCGCAAGCCCCCGCTTCGGTGGTCTGGGAAACAAGTCCACTTCCAGATCGTGGATCTAATCTTGGAAGTTCGAGACTGCTGCTCCGTACCAGCACGCGTGGGCCATTACCCAATAGAGCCGCTCGACGCAGGCTGAATCGTCCCATGCGACATGCAGACAAGAACTGATGGGTGACAGCCCGTGTCGAGGCTGCACCCGTACACTACCTCCGACCTGCATCGTTGCATCCGCAGCTGGGCGAAAAGAGGCAGACAAAACCCCCTGGGTACCTTTCTGCTCCGCGACCTGTCAGCTCCGACCGGGGTTGCGGCCCACTCGGCGCATTGGCTTGCATGATCGGGGATGGGTTCCGAAAGACGTTAGCCACTCCCGGGGCCGTGTCGTGTTGCAGGGATGCCCGAAATGGCCTACGGCTGCAATTGCTTTTCCCTCAGCGTGCCTGAACGGCCGCGTCGAGTGCATGGTTTGAACCCGCTGAGAACCGACGAGTCGTGGGTTCTCAGGGACCATGGGTGTTGGGTTTGTCGAATCGAACGGGTCTGTGGTCGAGGAAAAACTGCCGAGATCAACCACGATGCTTGCATCAACGGATTCACGCACGTTGCGGCTCTTGCGCCGCAGCCAGACAGATGAGAAAGTCATTCTGACAGGTCAAAGTTCGGCGTTGCGGCCACATGTTAGAGATTCGTCCCAACCATTGATCACAATGCCGAAAGGGAGGTGTACTAACGCCCACGATTCGCTGGTCCCGAGCTACTGGGAGCTGGCCCCTTACAGAAGCTGTCGAATCCAGCGACTTGCATACTATTCCCAAACTGCGTCATGCGGTCAAACTGCAAGCTACATGTTCAATACCCCGGTTTTGTCGTTCTTGGCTTCGTTCACTGGACACGTTGAGCATCAGGAGACTCTTGCATGCATTTTCTTTATCTTTTCCTGAAATTCATTGCAGGTACTAGGCGGCGTTGACGGAAATAACTGCATTTTGTCGGTACCGCCCTTGCGGGTCGATAGGGTGCTGATACCATACATCTATGGCGCTTCTAGAAGAAAAGTAAACTTTGGCTGAACTTCGGAACTACATCGACACAAAGCCACTCGAGTCTCAGATTCTCTCGATGGAAAATGCGTTCCATCAGGATGGTCGGAGTCCGTCAGCAGGCGAGCATCGCCTGTGACCCAACAAAATATCAAGACCCGTGTTGTCCACTTATCATCCCCTCACATGAATTAATGCCTAGGTGGATTTTCCCGAGGTCGACTCGAAGTCGTTACATTGGGCTTGGGGCTTGGGGCTTGGTCATTAATAGAAAGGCCATTATGTCACTATAATGCCGTCCCCGACTTAGTCGGACCGCTACTGCGCTATGGTAGACCAACACCCACGCTTAGTTCCGGAAGAGGCATGCTGTGTTCAGGACGACCGACTGGTTATGCGTTTCTAGAATGTTTCCCTTCACTGAGAAGTATGTTTGTTCCACGACTAACATAGTGCCCCAGATCGTCACTGATCTTGTCTGTGTTTGAAACTAGTCAGCTTCGTAGCCTGGCGTCTTGGCGCGCAGGCCATCATTTTTTTCACTTTTGTATCAGGTATAGTCGTTTCACTACGTGATAGTTCGGGGACTAGGTTGGAGATCCAAACTAAGCACCACCGCGTGCGCTAAACCCTCGAAATAGACTTCGCATCTGGCAACGATGAGCAATGCGACTTCGCACTAGAATCGGCACTTACAAACTTCTCGGCCCAGAGCGACCAGTCGTACGTAGGACTGAACGGAAAACTGAGCTCCGCTCCATCAGGGGGGCCTTTGCTGTGTGTTTGTTCCAGCTCTGGAGTTTCAGCTGGTAATCACTCTAGCGATAGGGTATTCAAAGTGACGTATCCTGAGGTTACGAGGCCTGCGAGGCATCGGATGGATCCGAAACCACGATGGGCTTGTTACGGATCTTCATCGATGGAAGCAGCAAATTCCCTAGCTACGTAGCACCCCGAGCAGAGAACCGAACGTGGTGGGCATGGGTAGTGCCGCGCTACCGGGGGCTTGGGCCGTTAGAGATACCACGTCAGTCACCGAGCTTAGTGTTGAGAGTCAAAGAGTCACGAGAACTCAAGTCGAGCGTCGCTCCAACCGCCAATAGCTGCAGATCTTACGACGCCTGCTCCATACCTGCCGGCCCATCTTAGAGCACCCTCCTGTTGATAGGTCTCAGCAAGCCACAAGTGGTTGTGCTGCCACAACTGAAACCGTCGCGGGCACCCGCTGCGTGGTACATGGCTTCAAATTCTGGTACCGACACTGAAGTTGCAGAGCTAAACCGAGTGCACGGCATTTCCGGTATCACCTAACTATCAACCAAGTAGCAAGTAGCTTACAAGCAGAAACGACAGACGCACCCACAGTCGTGCGGGATTCGCTTATGTGGGGAATGGAGGGTAGCTAGTCTTGAACGTAACGCAGGGAAGCTATTTTCTTTAGCGACCTGAGGCGCTGTTGTACGATGTCTGATAACTACCGATGTCTCTGTCAATCAGAATCTCGCCGGTTGGCAGTCTACTGTGTCAAAGTGCCCATTGCCCCAAGCCATCGCCGCTTTCCTTCGGGGCGGTCGCGCGTGGTCCACTTCATCTCACACTAGCCGGCCCTTGCGGCAGGCAGGTGGTTCTGTAGTCAGGTACCAAGGCGCCAAAATCTGACGACAGTGCCGAGCCTGAGATTAGATTATTATGACTAGTGAGATGACGACGAACTTTGGCGCCAACGGCTTGGTGTTGTAGCAGGTCTATGAGGGGCAGAAAGTGGGATGTTGGCAACTAACACAGCGCGGTTTCTACGCGTTAAACGACCGCGGCGGAAATGAGCATCGCCAATACTCCGCATAGCTTCATATGCAGCGATTTCGTGCCGCAACGACAGCGAATTGGATCTGACGCAATCCCGAACCATAAGCCTTCCCGAATGTCAGCTTATGTACATGACATGGTCATTTAGGGAATGCGGCTTGGCGTGATCGTGGCCCAAGCGCGCCGACGCATGAAATACGGGGCCATAGAATACTGCAAGGGCTGGAGTAGCCAATCGCCTATATGATGGAAACCGTAAAGAAATCCAGCCGTGGTTTACGACGATGGTCCGGCGTAAGCTCCATATTATATATCACCTGTTGGTGGCTCAAGACCTATGATCCATGATCCATGATCCAAGATGCTGTAAAAGAAAAGACCACTTTTAAACGGTCGTAGGATTCTGGTTCCGCGGCCATTGCGGGAGCATCCTTAAGCTCTGAGTGGTGAAGAACTCGTGACAGACGGACCAGTGAGAATTCGAGGGCTGTGCTTCGAAAGCTGACAGGCTACCGAAATCTGCTGCCGCTCCACGCCTCCACTACCAACATGTCCATTGAACCCTTCTAATTGGCCGGGGAAACTTCGTCTTCTTTGCAGCTTACTGGACGCCTCCCGAGTGTCTTAGATCGGATCTGTGTTAGTGAGAAGCCGTTGCTGCACTGTAGCGGTGCAGAACGTGCTGACTGAAGATGACATGAACAGGCGCAGCCAAGCAGCGATTGTGTAGTCCCGCCGGGCTGAATACCAATAAGTAACCTGTTTGCGAGCCTTCTTAATTACACTTTGCACTGGGATGCGCACCTCTCGCGCAACTAGTCTTCATTCAGCCACCTCTACACTCTGGTACTGCAAAGAGGCGGGCCTTGACTAGACCGTAGCCTATATTGTTCCTCTAGTATATACAGCATGGGCCTGGCAGGGCTGAGACACACAGCGTAAACTTTTGTCTGCCATTGGTCAAAATAGCCGGCCGACATCTGTTGTTCTTTTTAAGTCTTCCTTTCCTACCAGACTTCGAGGTCTTCTGGTCACAGTTTTAGCCGCACCAAGTTTCCGGGAAAGCCTGATGGGCTGCTTTTCTCTCATTGTTGGTATTGCTGAACTGCGACAGGTATCGGAACTCCCGAGTACGGTGAATCAAGTAAGTGCCTGGATCATCAATAATTGTCTGGGGCGCAGGGCCGCCTGTAACTCGAAGAACACCAGATCACGACTGACAAACACAGGTCCAGTCAAGTGATGGCAGAGGAGCCGCTTGTCAGGTGGAGTGGACTTAGCAGCGTGGCACCGTTGTCACAGCTCAAGCACGACGGAGAGCCCGCACAGGCACAACCTTAGGTCTGGAGTCCGTCCACCGTGTAGACTAGCTGAAACCCATCCCTTCAGCTCGAGCCTGCTGTTCGCTATCGTACAGACTTGGGACTTCGAGTACTGCCGAAATGTGAAGGCGGCCGATTTCAGGTACGCGATACGATCAGCCGTCGGTAGCACAAATGTGACCTTGTGGCGGACAGGGCCCGAAGAGAAGTGTGTATGTAGGTAGGTACCTTGGTACGGGCATTGTGCCGCCTAGGACTTCGTGTTGCATCAGCGACTCAGATTCCTGTTCTGTATGGTTATTGCAAGCGCGGCCTAGTTAGACACTTTCACTTGCAAATATAGCCCAAAAGTTACACCTGCGATGGTCAGGGGGTTTCTCTATAGATGTTGGTTATACGCCATCTCCCACCCCCAAGTAGCGAACCAAGTCAATTAATCCTTCGATTGATTCGAAGGACTCGAAACGGGGAGACAGCGGTACCCAGTGTCCACGCCGTATACGCTGACATCTATGATCTGACATCGGCGGAAGCGTCAGCCACCGCGATCCGGCTCATCAATGTCCCCAGATTACTTGCAGGTGTCGATCTCTGAATCCGCAGGCCCAACAGGCACACCCGTAGCCTCATCGAATCATACGTGGATCTGGATTTACTCCATACGGCATCGGTCAACAATATCGATTCGAGTCGCCAAAGCTTATCGCGGGAATATAACCCTGGCGCTCCATCCAGTCCTCCACTTCTGCCCGTCGCGATGATCAATCGCCCGAAGTAGACGGGTGCCAATACCTGTGAGGTGTGCATCCCATCGCACCGTTGCATCGGCAAGTGTCTGGTCGCAAGTCGGATGCTGAACGTGGAGCCGCCCATGTCGTTCTATTCCCCAAAGCAGACCAGCGTCGCCCTCCAGCCCGGCACCAGAGGGGCAGGCTTGGCACGCCTGGAACGACTTCGCGCAGTCTTCTAGCCCCCATTCGGTCGGGCGCCCTGGCTGCCTGTGTGCACTCCTCGCTCAGGGGACTGCTCGGCCTGGCAGGGGCATCCCTAGCGGCCGACCCAGTTGTCTGACCCTTGCCCCAAATGAATGCAAGACCACACCCCTTCCAGACTGCCTGCTGCGTGTGCTATTCTCGCGGAAGCCACCGGGCCCCAGGTGCCCCATGTTGCCCATCTCCTGCCAGAGCTGTCATCATGCCCAGCTGGAGGGGTCAGAGCACTCTGTCCGCATCTTGCGCAACCCGTCGGAGAACCTGACGGTCTCACTCTCTCTCTAGGTAACTTAGTTGCTGCCTTTAGTTCGCTCCACACCAAACCCAGCCGTGCCCCGTTTCTCGTACGTACACTTGGAACTTGCCCGCGCGCTCGCGGTGCCGTGCTGTGCTGCCATGGGCGCTGCCCGTCCTTCGCTCCGTTCCCCAGGTCGCATGCATGCGCCGCTCGCATTGACGAATGGCGGCCCTCCATGGAGCCAGACCAAGGCCAAGCCGAGGACCCAAGAAATAATGCGCGAATCCCGGTTGCGATACCCTCCACGGCAGGCTTGGCCACACGAACCCTCTCGCAGGTCATGCACTGAGGACTGGCCGGCGTTGGGACCTGCCCTGGCCTGGCTCCCCACCATTCACAGTCCCCGGCCAGGACGCGAGCGATGTGCCTCCTCCGCTCCCCCCTGTATGCACCCCAGCAGACACGCTCCAGGGGGGTCCAGAGGCCCGCTCATCTTACCTGGACGGCCCATGAGCAGTCCCTCATTAGGTCCCTGCGCGGGCTAGCGGTCCACTAGATCAACAAGAGCAAGAGGGAAAATGTCTGCTGCCATCCTTGTCGGCCTGCGTCTTGTCGAGTGGCCACCACAATCGGCCGGTCCATCCCCAGATATTGGGAGCCCTTTATTACGTGCCCACCCACCCTCCATCTCGCAAGAGATCAGTCGTACACTTTCTTTTTGGTGATTTGGCTCCGTTCTTTCATTCATGCTCTGGTGCCTCGTGTATGAGAAGTGCCTCATCAGCATAGGGTCCAGAAGCCATGAATAGCTGCTAGCTGACACTCCTTGCAACGGTCACCCCCACGGCAGTGTCATAGCTTTCTCGGTCTACCACCCGTGCCCGATACCATCCCGACTTTCCTGGATCTCGCTTATTGGTGAAACTCTTTGAAAGAGAATATCGTAAACCCGGGAGGAAAAATACGATCTGCTGGACATTTTTCAAGCCGTATCAACGCCCACGAAACGTTTCGGCAGCCCAAGGAGGCGACCATCCTATCCGTTCATTCCATCCAGCCGCGCCCAGTATATATCGACCTGCTCGTGGCGCCCCGCAACCGCCCAGTCTAGTCAGACCTCCCAAGCAGTTCTCATATAGCACACTCAACATGGCGAACACAAGCACGACGCTACGGGGCAATTGCCCTCTGCCTTTCTACCAAGAAGACCGCTTTGGCGATGGTGGATGTAAGTAACACGACGAGCCTGGGCCGCATGGCGCCAGAGACTAACCGTAAGGCAGATACCACTGGTCGACTATGCAAGTCGCTTGGGCAAATGCGATGTTGCCTGCCATGCCCCATGACCGATTGGGCATACCCAGACAATTTCAGCCAACTCACCTCCATAGCCAGCTGGATCAACGTTGTGGGCATGATTTGCTGTCTTTTCCTACTAATATCGTGGATCGTCCTGCCCGTGGAAAAGACCCATCGACACTATTTGAGTATCTGCTTGACGGTTGCGGTTGTTCTAATGAATGTAAGTTATATCGCTGGCAAAGATGGAGAATCACTTTCTGATGGCTCTCAGCTCGGTTTCATCATCCCGTTGGCTGGGAAACCTGACCAATGTTACGATGAGATCACCCCCAATGGAATGGCTTCCAGTCCTATATGCGCCGCCTCTGGATCATTCCTTCTTCTTGGTGGATGGGGAGGTGTCATGTGGATCTTTTTGAGAGCACTGTCTTTGCATCTCCAGATCTGCTGGCAAATGGTTGTTGGCCGCAGTTTCATGTGGCTGTCGCAAGCGCTTGGATGGGGTATTCCTGTCATTGGGCTAACCGTCCTCCTCATCTTCAGTGGTGTGTCGTTCCGATTTGGGCAGACATGTCACATCAATCACCAGAACAGCTTGGCCGACTTCTGGATTCCGCTCTTGGTGTTTGCTGGCCTGACGGTCATTATCCAGTTTGCAACGTTCGGCTACTGCATTAAAGTCTACCTCGCATCCTTGGCCGACAGCACTGCCTCAACCGAGAACTCGGGCCTGCCTGCGTACTCCAGCAGCATACGAACAATGACGCCTCGTCAAGCTTACCGGAGAGTTCGCCGTGTGATACAGCTCCAGTGGCGTGGAATCGTCATTGTGCTGATTATTATCTGCGATGTCATCTTCTTCGCCGTTACTTTCGTCTTCTTGGACAACACGCTCGAGACCGTCAAGAATGACCCCAACAACGCGAAAGCCCAGGCTTGGATTATTTGCCTTTATGGCGCACGTGGCGACAAGAACAAGTGCCTGAAAGAGGCCAGCGCCATCACTGTCAGTTTACCAACAGTAATTGCGATGCTTATTTTACTTGCAGTAAGTCCTATTCTCGAAGAGGGGCGAGGTGAGGGCGTACTAACTCAGCTGAAGATGAATGGCATCTGGCTCCTTATCCTCCTTGGACGTTGGTCCATGGTCGACGGCTGGAAGGAGTACTTGCTCGGATTCGGCGGCAACCGCACCAAGAAGGAATTCGTGTCGGTAGACGCACGTTTGGACTTGAAGAAGGACCCCAGATCTTATGAAATGTTGTCTCGCGACTCCGGAAAAGCGGAATCCATACTAACGCCGATTAGCGCAACCAAATCCCCCGTCAGCCCACGCAGTGGTCGTCAGACTCCCGATTACTTCGGACCAGCCGCCACGCGCTACCAGCCGCATTCGCGATCCTTTTCTTCACCTCGGCCGCCTCAGTCTCAACAAGTAACGTGGGAGACACAGCCAGCATTTACGCCACCGCCGCAGACCTTCACCCCTCAGCCGCAATCTCGCCGTATGGCAGATGGCTCAGACTATGAAGACATGAACCCGTTGGGCATGAACAGGATATGAAGAAAAAGGCAATGGGACGGGGAAAGCCCGATGAATGCACTACAATTAATATCAAGACTTATGCACCCACGTGCAACAGTATTCCGTGTGTCATTCCTGCACTGGTTCACCGGGCTAGTCAGCGTGCACTTTTGTACAGGATCGCGATCAGCATGGTCACTCCTTTCTATTAAAGGATTTCTTTCTAGGGGTCAGCGCGGCGTATTGGATAAAATGAGCACCTTGGAGGATACACTTTTTTTTTTAAACACAGTCGAATGAAGGCATGCTGTCGCTACCCAGCTTGTACGAAAGACGTCGGCCATTGGGATGAAGCCATGGCCTGAAAATATCACTACCCCAGTATATATTGCAGTATATTATGAGACATGGCTAAATAAGATACCACATACTCGCTATGGAGAGGCTGTCACTTTCTTGGTAATTGAGAGCTGCGTCCGTCCGTGTAGGTCAAGATGAATGATGACCCAGGGCAGATCTCTGCCGACTCTTACAGCTCATTGGCCCCCATCCGGGCTCCTCTCTCTCAGAAATATGACGATTAGATTGGTTCCAACGATTATGGCTACTTGGGTACCGTGAGACAAGAGATGCGAAGTGAGCGTATGACCGGGCTCCGGCTTATAGGCACGGTGGCTTTTAGGAGCGGTGCACTAGACTTGGTGTTAGTGTAAGCTAGCAGTATAGTTATAAGCAAAATTATTGGGACTATGCGTGGTACTATGCGTGGCTCTATGCTCTTTCCTAAGTCCATTGGCCACTGGGTAGAAGGCTGGTATGGCATCTCTTCTCCCTAGGTGAACGAGCTCAAGCCTGCTTTTGAAACGCCACAAGCTAGACTAATATATAACCCCGTGGTTACTATCAAACTGGTCGAGCTGCTCCTACTTTTAATTGAGCCCACTTGTAGGGGCCTCTTTTGACTGCTATCGGGCTGGCTGCCGGCTGGGAAGAACAACTGAGGTTGTGGTCTTGCAACCAGTGAGCTGACGCCACCTCGGATGCTCCCGCGCCTGATACATGTAACCAACCACTACCATGTGCGGCTCTTGTAGGTGTCATTTTCTGGTTTTACTAGAACATTACATGGATCACAAAGATTCCGTCCATCAGGTTTGGGAGGGGTTAACCAGGCCAGGACTTGAAGTGCCCTTTACAGAGCAAGTTAAGCTCTTAGGGGGAACTAGGGCGAGCATGCCTCGGACCTATAGTAAACCCTGTCAGAACACCGCGGCGCTCGGCCCCCACACCCCACATGCTCCAATCCTATGGGGGGAAGAAGCTATGGTAAGCTCAACGTCACCAATGGGCCCTTCAGCTGGTTCCGGCGACACGGATCGGCGTCGCAAACCTCGTCATCATCATCAACTCCGTATCGTTCCCCCCAAGGCAGACTTCGGAGGCGACGATGGGTTGCGTTTGTCTGCCAGCTGCAATTCGCATATCGCATTAACGCATCCTTTACAACCCGCTACTTTCATAGCTCGTGGCATCGCCGTTGACCGGCCGCCATGTTGATCTTCCTCAGCGTGCTACTGATGGGCGGCTACTTCCACTACCTGTGGAAGGCCGAGGCCGCCCTCGGGACGCCCTGGGTCCCGGACCCGGGCGCGCAGCTCTTTGCGCAGCGCTCGCTGCCACCCCCGGCCGAGGAGGCCAGCATTGCGAGTTATGCGCTGCCGCTGTCGACCAAGGGCCGCGACATCGTCGACACCCATGGCCGCCGCTTCAAGCTGTCCTCCGTCAACTGGTACGGCGCTAGCGATGAGCTCTTCATCCCCGGCGGGCTCGATGTCCAGCATCGGTCCGTCATCGCCCAGTCCATCCGCATGCTCGGCTTCAACAGCGTGCGCCTGCCCTACGCCGACGAGATGGTCATGCTCAACCCCCATATACTGCCCCACCTGCTGACGGCCAACCCGGACCTCGTCGGCATGCGCGCCCTCGACATCTTCGAGGCCTGCGTCACGGCATTGACCGACGCCGGCATCGCCGTCATCGTTAACAACCACATCACGACGGCGACGTGGTGCTGCGGCGCGGACCCGTGCGACGCCGGCTGGGCGAACGACCACCTGGGCCCCTTGTGCAGGGTCTCGCAGAGCGAGGAAGACTGGATCCAGCATTGGGAGACCATCATGGAGCGGTTTGTGGACAACCCGCGGGTCATCGGCGCCGACCTGAGGAACGAGGTGCGCGGCGTCTGGGGCACCATGCCGTGGGATCGCTGGGCGACGGCGGCGGAGAAGGCTGGGAACCGGCTCCTCAAGATGAAGAGAGATTGGCTCATCATCGTCGGCGGGACCGAGTCGGGCAACGACCTGACAGGCGCGGCCCAGCGGCCCGTCAAGCTCGACGTGGACAACCGCCTCGTCTACTCGGCGCACGTCTACGCCTGGTCCGGCTGGGGCAGCTCCGAGGGCCGCTACTCGAAGCGCAGCTACGCCTCCTTCATCCGCGCCATGCGCAGCAACTGGGCCTACCTGGTCGAGGGCAACGTGGCCCCCGTGTGGGTGGGCGAGTTCGGCGCGCCGCATCACCCGAGCAACGGGGACGCCAACTACTGGGGCAACCTGCTACGCTTCCTTAAGGCTATCGATGCCGACTTTGGGTACTGGGCCATCAACCCGCGGAAGCCCAAGGACAACGCCCCCGAGTCGTACTCGTTGGTCGAGGACAACTGGATCACCCCCATCTTGGATTACAGGATGAGGGATATGACGGAGCTCATCGCCGGAGACGGGAGGGAAGACATAGGAGATCTATAACGGCATTTTGGGTATACACTAAAAGACGCGAATGGCTACTAGTCTGTTGGAGAGATCATTGGACATGATTGGGCATTCTTGTATACACTGGCTCGGAGGAGCATGGTTTAGACGCATTACCATCACTGATACCTGGTCATCGGCGTTCTGGTTTTGGAACAAACATGAAGAAGCAAATACGAGTTGCCTGTGGCAGTGAGAGCGTCAATCTTCAAACGACATATAGCAATTAGTTCCAAATGATGCATTTGCCCCCTGCCTATCATAGACTCTTTGTGAAACGGAGACTCAGTACACGGATCGAGAGCTGTTTTCTCTTCACCGGCTTCTATCTTTTGCTCGGTTCAGGTTGAACGCGGCACTGATGAGGGCGAGGTGGCTGAATGCCTGCGGCGTGTTGCCAAGCTGCTCGCCCGAGCGGGCGATCTCCTCGGAGAACATGTTCAGGTGGTTCGAGAAGCTCAACATGTTCTCGAAGAGATTGATGGCCCGCACAAGGTACTTGGGCTCGTAAATGCTGGCACGCGTGAGGGCCTCGACCAGCCAGAAGGTGCACATGCTGAAAGCGCCTTCGCGCCCGCCGACACCTGTTCTCGGGAGTTAAATGAATGTCGCTCGGTCGACCGTGAATGTGAGGGATTGTGCAAAGGATTACTTACCGTCTTCGGAGAGCGTGGTGTCGTAACGATAGACTAGACCAGTGCTGGTCAGACCCCCCTTCTCAGGGGATAGCAGGATGCGGTCCATCGTCCTGAGGAACCTCGGGTCGTTGGGCGCTATAAAGAAGACGAGCGGGGCGATGAGTATAGACGAGTCGAGCATGGTGTTGTTCTCGTAGCTTTGTATGAAGCAGCCTATCTCCGTGTTGTACCCTTTTTCCATCACCTCCTCGTAGAGGGAGTCTCGGGCTTCCATCCACTTGGCTCGGTTAGGGCAGGGTAAGCATCGTTTGTCTGCAAGCCGAAGGCCGCGGTCGAATGCTACCCACAGCATGACCTTCGAGTATACGAAGTGCTGCTTGTTGTTGCGAACCTCCCAGATTGACATATCGGGCTCTGTACACAAAGTTTAGTGACTGTTTGAGTGACAAACTGGGAGTTACGTCACTCACTGTCAAGAAGGGTCAGAACATAATCTAGATAGTGTCAGTAATGCGTCTGATAGATGAGACTCAGGGCAGACATACCAAGCATCTTCCGCACGGAAACCCAAGTTTCCCAACAGATTGGCTTCCCGTACTTATTGTAGAGGTATATGGCGTCCATCAACTCTCCGTAGATATCGAACTGCTGATGGAATGCGGCACCATTGCCGATTCGAACAGGCTTGCTGCCCTTGTAGCCGTCCAGGTGGTCGAGTTCTATCTCTGGTATGTCGGTCTCTCCCCGGATGGTGAACATGATAGGAAGTCCACCTTCCTTGGTGGTGGATTTCTGGAACCGGTCGCTAATGAACGCCATGTAAGCATCCGCCTCCTCGGTGAACCCCATTCGGAGCAGGATGTAGATGGTAAAGCTACTATCCCGAACCCAGCTGAAGCGGTAGTCCCAATTTCTAGATGGCTAAGATCAGCATGGTCCTTGGAAGCTCTCATCACCGTGACGAACATACCTGACACCACCCACATCTTCGGGTATGGAGAAAGTTGGAGCCGCTACGATTGCTCCCGTCGGCTCGAAGGTGAGCATTTTCAAAATCATGAGACTTCGAGCCACTACCTCCCGCCAAGCCCCTCGGTACTGACTCTTCGCAAGCCAATTAAACCAAAACATCTGTGTATCATTCTGATGGAGGTCAAGCATAGGGGTGGTCACGTTCTTCGAGACGTGGCGTTCGATATCAGCGCGAAGGACGAAAGACACGGCCTGACCCCCAGACAGGACGATTTTTGCCGTCACACCGTCCCCTAGCATACCATCTCTCTTCTCCTTCCTGAAGACGACCGAGGGACCGTCCTCCGACTCGTCTTGGCCCCCGTCGATTGCGACATCGAGCTGCAATTTTTCATTTTTGCTGTGGAAAGTTACTGTCTTACTTGTGGTACTCTGTGACTCAACAACCGACTGGAGCAGTGTGGTTTTGTGAGGCTCCTTTGCGTATCCAAAAGCCGGGAAAACATCAACATCTGTCTTTTGTTAGCTTGTTGACCTTCCACGGGCTTGTCCCAGGTGATGGTTCATTTCGTACTCAGCTCCAGTTGACCACGAATACACTCCATCCGCCTCACCAGCCATTGCTTTAGCTCCCCTTGCACGACCCTGGTCTCTCTGTACGCATTGTGTTTGTACCCTGGAGAGAGTATGCTTGTGGTCTTGGGTCGTGGAAAGAAATCAACTAGATCCACTACTCCGTCTTCGTGGATGTACCGTGTCTGAAGTATGGCAGATGACGGTAGATACTGCTGCTTTGTCGTGCATGAAGACACATTTGTGGGGGCAATGCTGAAATACCCTCCCTTGTCCTTATCTAGCAAGCGACAGAATACGGAAGGCGAATCAAAGTCAGGCCTATTGTCTCTAATTAGCACCAAATTTTTCACCTGATAGTCATCTGAGATGGGGCGAGTGGCATTCTGAGCAGGTGATACGAGATCTCATTTGAAACGGGTTTGGAGGCCACAGCAGGACCAACCAGATCAATCCGGGCAAACACCATGGCCAAGAGTGACCGTCAAAGTCCAGTTGGATATGTGTATAGAATAAGATGGGTTTCAGTTCAGAAAATTGGGCTGAAGGCTTCCATGAGATGACATTGGAAGCTCATCATCAAATATGAAGGCTTCCATGAGATGACATTGGAAGCTCATCATCAAATATGAAGGCTCAGGAGACTTTGGGCCAACTTTGACCTTGTCTGAGGGTGTGCTGACACATGGTTCGGGGCTCTTGTCTTCCGAACAGAATCAAGACATACCAGCACATGAAGTCTACCCAATGTCCATCAGCAAGTGAAACCACAGCAGAAGGGACATTTTATAGGATTCTCACCAACGCTACCGTCCATACTGACGAGAGCGCACGTGCGCATGTTCCCGATCATCCCGTAATTCTCGATGGGCAAGTACCCCGAGACATCTCGTTTCGAGACGTTCAACGTATCGCAGGTAGAGCCCGACATTGTTGCCTGAATGAATCAACGTTTATCGTTGACGAACATGTGCGTGGTATTGGTAAGTCCTTCAAGAATTTGGAGGTTGGAGGTCGTCTGACACGATGTGGCTTGAGGAGGCTCGCTAGACTGATTCCCAACTAAAGCATTAGACTTTTAACTTCACGATGCCCAGTCCTTGGGTGTACTGAGTAAGCAAAGGTCACTTGAGTGAATAAGTTGTGAACTACGGGTACCAATAACAAACTCATTACCCTATGAAGATATGGAAGGGACAAAAGTGTATTTTGACGTCCAACGGAAGTTAACCTAGGTAGGTTGAGCTGTGGTAATTTGGTCCTTTGGAAGACAACTCAATAGCTGCGTAGTGGACTTCTGGGACTTGCACTGGGCTGACCGTGGATCATGATTTGACATCATAGAGACGTCGAGGAGCCAAGGTAAAATACGTGTGAACTTGTTACGCTAAACCCCCACAATTGACTAAATAATGGCGAGCTTTCCAGGGCTGGCGGAGAGCTCATACTCGAAATCCAACAGCCTCAATTGATCACGTAACTTACAACCACGAAGCAGGGTGCCCAAGGCTATCCTATGAATGCTGTTCATAGCCTCACATGAGCACCTTTCCTATATGTACACCGCTACTCTCAGCCAGATTTATGGGGTCGGGTGCGTGAATGCTGGGTAACACGACGTGATGACATGCTTAAGCCGGCATCCTTCCTGCGGGAGGTTCGGGCTGGCATGAGATCACTTCAGAGCCTACCTAGGTAAGGTATGCCGGGTGGTAACAGGCGGGTCTGCGGCGAGGCTCATCCAAGATCTCACGCACGCTGCCGTTATGATGGGCACTGGCTGGTCTGATGCTGCGGCGAGTCGCCCGAACCAAAAATAGCATACATGGAGTTCTACGGATTGTTGGCGTATTAGTGGCTGAAAGTTTGAGCTTTGCGGGTGCGACAGGACCCTTCTGCAGGAATACGCGGGGGCCAATAGGTTTCCGTTCAGACCAACCCAGCACTTGATGGAACTCAAGCAGTCACATTATGATGATGATAGCTTGTTTCTCACCACCTCAGGAATGGAAGCAATCCAGTAAAATGTAGACAGACGTAGACAGCACGACCAGGCTGCGTAGCCCAGGTATGCACGCGTGCCACATCGAGCTCCTGAAGTCGACTGGTTGCGTAGGTACAACACAGAAATGTCGAGGATTCGTCTAGCGGTACGCGGCCTATTGGGAACGACCTGGACCCCCATCTTTGGACCCTTGTGGCGATCATTCCAATTGGCAAAGATGGCTGCAGCGGAGCCTGCCTTTCATACGCCATTCAGAGTTCAGGATACGGTACTTGTCACTTGCTCAAGAACTCCATTTCGGCATTGTAAGGAGTATCACCAGAGAGCGCCAAGGGTAAGGTCGATGGATATCTTTAGTGATCGGAGGAATTTCCAAAATCGCGAGGATTCCAGGTTGGATGGATTACTCGCAGGCTGCAGTACCCGTTGCCGATCGCTAAGGTAGCGTCGAGCCACTGCGGGGACGAGCAAGCTGCGCTGAGGAAATATCAAGCCAGTCTCTGACAGAGTTCACGATGAAAAGCACTAAGCTGTGACATAGTACGATGATACGTACAAGCACGCTGATAGGCGCCGGCCTGGAGACACAGTAGGAGACCACGGGGGGCCATGGATACTTACAGCATAAGCATAACCTTGGAAGTAACTTATCGCGAGCACGTAGCGGGCAGCAATGCCAAAAGACACCTAGGTAGCCCAACAAGTTTCAACAAGGTAGACGCAGCTAGGCTTTGCCAATCACGTTGATGCGCAACCCTCCGTTTCCGCGGGCCGCTGGGCTGGCTGGATGTACATCGTAGTCGTCGCCATGGTTCCAACAAGAGAGCTGACCGGACTTTCGACCAAGTGCTCCGCCTCAATACACTCCCTGTCGCTGAATGCGATAGTCTTACCCTGCTGAATCTGCCGCGTCACACGTCCAACCATTCGCTTTGTCGCCTCCTCCCTATTGATCCCCCCCAACCAACCGAGACTGAGCCTCGACTAAAAAGAACAAAAGCCTTCCGTGCGGTCTCGCCTCAGACAATTTGTCCCTTGGCAACATCGAGCGGCTGCGGACAGTCCCGTCCGCGCAGTATACGAAATATCCGAGAACGCGAACACCATGGCGCTTCTGCCTCCCACGACGTCCTGACCGTAGTTCCTGGGCCTCCTCGCATCCTGCGTACCGGTGTCGCTTCTCGTCTCTGCGTGGCCCGGTCATCTTGACAATAGCGCCCTTGGGACTGCTATCGATACCGGTGGTAGACACCAATTCTTAGGAGATGGCAATCGGATCGCAGGCCTCGCCGGCCTTTGAAAGACTGCCCGAAGAGATTATACAGCAGTACGTAATATCCTGCACCGACTCTGGGCGCCGGAGCTAATAATATCACCACCGCAGGATACTTCAACTGACCGATCCGAACTCATTTGCCTCTCTGATCCTGCTGAACCCGAAGTGGAGGCGCGTCTCCCAGCAGGCCCATCTCTACGCGCATCACCTCTCGCGATGCCCCTCGTATTCCGCAACACACAGTGGCCTGTCGCCGGCCTCCGTCAAAGATGAAGACCTGCCGAGGCTCCGTCGTCTTTTCTCACGGGAGATCAAGCGAAACCTCTTTGAGGTCTACCTGCGGCCGCATGCGACGACTATCAAACTGGTGTCCAACTCGATCAGCTCCTCCTGTGCGCCTGGTGGCGAAGGAATGCAGTTCAGTCCCTCGCCCAGGGGCCATCATATACTCGCGTACAACTCATCCCGCATCTATGTTCTAGATGTTCGGGGCTCGGAGTTGGAGGTGAAGCGAGAGCTGAAGATACTGCGTCGTCCGGTCTCGACCTGCATTGTAGACGATGGTACTCTACTAGCTGTTTTGTCGACTGACATGCAGGTCGATCTATACGACCTCCGGGAGCATCCACCGAAGCGAACCCAGTCCTTGATCCTAGACCACACACCTCGGACTATCGCTCTCTCACCATGTGGAAGCGTCCTGGCCGCAGCATATGAGGGCGGCATCGAAGTTTCCTCGCTCAGTAACGGGGCTCTGCCCACGGACAGGAGGGCTGTCAAGTGCGATGGAGTTGACCACCTCGCCTTCTCGTTTGATGGAACGCAGCTACTGGGAACTACGACTGTTGCCCACCAGCCAAACACCGTTATCCTCACCGCACCCTACTACGACCCTGGGGCCCAAATGGGGGATGACAGCATCAGCGCGCTTTGGACTACGTCTATCCTGTTCCCAAATACCAGCCGCGACTGTAGCCACGCCGTCCTCATCCAAGAATCTAGCTCCCAGGAAGCTAGCTGGACATTCACATACGATCGAAGCTTTGAGACTTTCCGTGCTGTTCGTATTGATGACCTTCGCAATGGTACAACATATTTCACTGGGCCCCTACCCCATTCAGCATCTCAAACGACCTTGCTCCCCTGTACGCTACCTGCCGCAACCTACTGTGGCGAGCTCGTTTCTGCTGGGTTCGAAGGAAAAGACATATGGCTATATGGGGTGCCCGAGGATCTGGAGGCTGTTTCGGAAACTCCAGCTGCACCTGACTTGGCCTCTCCTGATTTGAGCCGGCGGAACAGTGCAGCGCAGTCACTGCGGGCGCAATCTTCTCGAACGCAGGAGAGTTCCGGCGGCAGAGTCCCGCAGTGGCAGATACTTTGCGACAGGAACCGGAATACCTTTGTCAGGGGCCACAGGATAACGGAATTGCCTGGTGTGAATACTGTCAAATGGGTCGCTGGACATGGGGGCCACTCTTATCAAGAACGTCTCATCGTTGCTGCCCGAGGTGTCCAACCGCCGAAACCAATTACTGAGCAAGATGGAATTGATTTCGTCGACGGTGGTAGAGTTACTATGTTGGACTTTGACTTCGGTTTCACGAACGGAAAGACTACAGAAATCACGATAGAGGTGGGGACCAAGGAACCCGAGGCGCTGGAGGAGGAACACCGAGATATGGCTACCGAGGTCGCCATCGTGAGGCGGCGAACCGTGGCACAACGTGGCGGACGACAAGGAGGTGTTATGCGAGCTGTGACATTGTCTTCGCGGCAAGCAGAGTCATTACTGAACAGACCACCAGTCCCCAGTGTTCCCCTGGACAATGATGAGGATCCCCTACTTCCTCGTCGTATGACAGGACCACGGACACAAGAGCGGAGGTCTGCAGCTCAAGACGAACCAGAAGAGGCTTCCTTGGAAGATGTGCAGGAGGCGCTGGATGCACCGTATGCGCATGCCAGCCCGCGTTCAGGCCCAACTTTACGTCGTGCCGCAACCGCGGCTGCTGTCAACCGACGCCTTCATCCATCAGCCGCTTCTGGTGGGCGAATTGAGTACAGGCGGGCAGACGGTAGAGCCGAGCATCCTCACGAAAGTGACGCCGATAACTGGGTTCCTCCGCCTCCACCATATGCCAAAGAAGATCCTGGCGACATGCCTGCTTTTCTCCGCCACGTTTCTATTGCGGGTGCGGACTCGACAAACCAAGGTGGAAGGCCGTTGGCGTCTGCGCAAGCAATTCACCCACCACCCTCGGCGCCTCCTCAGATGTCACTCCATCCGCCCACTCGTATGGCACCACAGCCGCCGACCAGTGTTCAGACCCGTCCAGAGTTGCCCCGGATTCAAACATCGCCCGTTCGAGACAGACAGTCCCGTGCATCGTGGCAACCCGTAATACACAAGAAGAATGGGAGTGGCTCAACCGTTTCTGTCGGTTCGCATCCCGGTGAATTGCAGCGGCCATCGTCAAGTCCAACCCCCCATCAGCCCGCACAGCCAGCGAGCGGTCGCCTTCACGATGAGGAGGATCTCTATGATGTGTCCCCCATCGAGCCTCCATCTGAAGGGGCACAATTGCCATTGCACGTACATAATTCTAATCTCAATGGCGAGCGTCGTGTGCACACCAGCCCCCATGCGCCATCCTCAGGAACGCTTTCGTCCGGTTCCGAATTCACGCCCGCCTCATCGACACATTCCGCTGCTGTCCCCTCGTCAGGTCGTAACAATGTAATGTGGAGTGAACGGCAACCTGGTGCAAGCCCACAAGTTGGACGGCTGCCAAATGCTCAAACGTGGCCACGGACTCAGTCCGGTTCATCATCAGCGGCCATTCCAATGGGCTACCCCTATTCGGCACCGGTGATTGATGAAAGTAATGCCGAAGCGGTGGCCGCAGCATTACCTCCAGCACCGACCCCAGATCAGCTGGCAAGCTTGCACAAGCGTCGGGATTCAGGTGCACCCAGGCGAGCCTCTGGGATGTTTCAAATTTCCCGCGTACCTGTTGGCCGCGACTCGCAGGATCGGGGCCGGCCTCCGTCGGTGAGGAACAGTCAAGTCATTGACTTCGCGTCCACGTCCTCCGGGCCGGAGCAACCACTGATCATCAGCACTCCGACAGGAGTTTCTGGGGCATTTGACCCTCCGGATCACGCCACCTCGCAGAGGAATCCCTCGGAGCCGATCCTGCATGCGCCTGTCCCCCGCCATCCTCAACCACAGAGCAGCTCAGGCCATACAAGGCCGACAGTGGAGCGCCTCGAGACCATCTACAGCGTTACCAGTCCCGGCGACGGGAGCCTCAATGAGCACCAGAACTATTTCCACAACGCCCAAGGACATCCCGTACACATCCCACCTCCACCGCCCTCCGCCCCGTTGACCGTATCGTCGCTCCGGCACCACACGAGTCTGACGAGGCGCCAAAGCCGTGCCAGGCGAAGCGCGGCCAAGAATGTCCAAGACGCCAAGAGCCGCGGGTGGACAGGCAGGCGCAAGAAGAAGGCCAAGAACGCCGATGCCATGAGCAGCACATGGACCGACGTTACCTGGGCCTCCAGAGCACCGAAAGACGGTTCCTCCAAAGAGAGAAAGTGTGTTGTCATGTAATCGTTGGTTCGCGCGAGCTAGCTCGCATCTCCACTTGTGTCTTTCATCTCCAGACCGACTTACACGCGAATATATCGGCAAGACAGCACGAAAGACGAAACATCACTATACGATAAAGTACAGATATGCACGGGGTGGGATGCGGCCCCTGAAATGTCGGATGGAGGGGCCTCTTACCGGTCCCATATCTTGGACCACAGCACGAGATAATTTGTCTGCATGAACCGGGCTGGCGTTCCCCTCTTCTCTGGAAACGAAGGAGACGGGTGGGTTTTTCTTTTGTCATTCTCATATCTCCAGAAAAATATCTGCATGCATACACTCGCTCGAATAGCATCGGTCCGCATCGTTCGGCATAGGTGGAGGTGAGCCGGGGCAGACCCGAGTCTGGTTTGTTCTTTTGTTACTGTTGGTTGGATTTGGGCCTGGGTCAGTGAGAGACGTAGAGGGAGCCGAGTCGAGAAACGGAAATTAGTGATACCATATCTGTCTGATGATGAATACAAGGTTACTAGATTGATGATGACTCCTTGGGCTGCTCCTTTCTCGGTGCACGTTTGTCACTCACTGGGCAAGCTTGACAGATGCAGAGCAGTTTGGTTCACACGATATAGACACTGGGACGACTTACGGCAAGGCCAAGGGCCCATGCCTCGAGCCTGTGTCGTCCGAATTCTGGTGTGATATTCCGGCAAAGATCCTCTACACAAGACACATGATTGATCTATGGAGAGAAAATGGAGAATCCCAAGGCTCCTGTACAAAGGGGGTATCGTGCCTGAAAGTCCGTTGCCGCGCGACGCTATGCCATGCCGAAAAAAAAAGAGCAAAATCAAAGTATTCCAGGCCCCCACGCTCACACGCCCAGCTCACAGAGCAGCCAACGCTTTGGTGACGCGTCGGTTTACCTATATTCCTGGAGCCGCTGAGCTTCGCGTACATGCCTATGTCCCTTCCTAACCGATATTTTCCTCCTGCACCATACGCCGTTGCCATGCATTACCATGCTATGCAAGGATGTCCTCGTCGATGGACACCGCTGAGCCCGTGTTCTCCGCCACACAAGTTTGTCTGATGACACTTCGTAGCCAAGTGGTTACTCGTTGACGCTGTTGGTGATGGAGCCCCGCTCAGAGCTCCATCATCTCAACGTCGCCATCGTCAAGCGAACTCAGACCGGAGCTGGGAGGTCGCGAGTCCAGGTCAGGTGAAGGTGGACGCTGATTCCGCTCATGCATCATCTTGGCCCATTCGGCAGCGCTTGCGTATGGTCCACCCTCCACTACCACCTCGCCGTGATCGGTACTTTTGCCCAGAACCGTGCCAGCGTACTTCGAGTCCTGGTCATTCTTGCTATGCTTCAGTTTGAGCACTGCGTGGGGCGGCGTGTCAGCATTCTACCGCGGAAGCGCGAAGGGAATGGTTGCCTAGTGTCAACTTACAGCTCAGGTAATCCCGGGGAGGCTTCTCGACCTTCATGCCGTCCGTGGGCTCTAGAGTCTGGGCAAGCTGCTGGAAAGCCTCGGCCACACGGTTGATCTTCTCGGCCTTGGGTCCATCGAACCATTGCCTGAAGGCCTCGATGCCCTTGAGTTCTGAGTCAAGCTCGCCCTCGTCCTTCTCGAGGGAGTCTATGCGCTCGAACGCACCAACGAACTCCATGGCCTGGCGCACATCGGTGACAGAAGGGTCTGGAGTCCATGGGTGGTTGTGTTCAGCATTCAGCCGCGTCTGCTCTCCCATCTTGACCATGTACTGGGCAGCAAGCTCGGTCAAGAAATCGACGACGCCGGGTTGGCTGCTGTAGAAGCCTTGAGCGCGCAAGACTTGCATGATGACGGGCCGAAAGACGGCATGGTAGTATTTTGACATTGTCAAAGGGGTGCTCGACTGCTCCATCGTAACGATCTGATGTGAGAGAGAGGGTCGAAGGTATCAGCGGGTGGCTTGCTATGCAAGTACGTTGGCTTGGCGAGGCCGTCTACGAAGATGGAGGCAGGACGGGTCGTCTTCAGCAGAGGCGCCGTACTGAACTCTCCAGGATTAGCACGCGGGCGCGCGATACAGAGGGGCACACAGCGGGGGTTATTTACGTGACACAGGTTCTTCCACGGACAGAGGCGCAAGAGTCTCGTGTTTCAGCGACGCCGCGGTCTGGGAGATCCCGGGGGACAGTCTGTCCTAGGCCAGCGGGCAGAGACTGTGGACCCTCGTCTACGAGTATCGAGGGCGGCTTGAGGATGCCTGGTGGAGTAGGTGAAGGGCTCCCACTTCACGACTGGGGATAGCAGGCTGGACTTGGTGTCTCGCGGTGCGCACGAAGGGGTGACGGATGCGGAGCTCTCGGGACAGGTCGAAGCCGTGGTGACGATGGCGAGGTCGCGAAGGTTGAGATCTGGTGTCTGATGGTCGCAGGAGAGACGGCGCCGATTCTGGGAGGTGGTGTGAGTGATGGCGGCTCGACTGCGTTGGGACTGCGGGCGAGTAGGTGAAGGATGGTGGGCGGACGGGGACGGAGGGTGAAGCTCGAAATCACAGATGATTCGGGCGGCAGCTCACCAGCGCTGAAGTCCTGCAGCTCCCCCAATCCGGAGCTAGCAGCTAATAGTGGGTGCACAGGCCCCTGAAGCGGTCCCTTGCTTGCCGCCTGTGGCCCTGAGCTTGGCCGTCCAGCCCCGCGCTAGAACCTGCGTCTAGTGGTGCGCTGGTGCGCTGGTACCCGCGCAGGGCCCCCTGTAATACCCCGCGATCCGAACGCGTCTGGCGCCTGCCAGCCTGCGCGAGGGTTTCCACGGCTAGCGGGTTACAGCGGGTCGCCATTGAATGGGACTGCTAGAGCTTCGCCGACTTTCACTGGACGTCATCCGGTCCTGCTCCCTTCTCGTCGGCCTCTTGCCATCACGACACCGCCCATCTCGACGACATCGTCGCACAGTATTGCATCTTGCACTACTCTTCCCCATCCTCTTCGGCCTCTCCGGCGCTCCTGCCGGCGCTCCCCATCGTCAAAATGGCGCCGTCGGACTCGAAACCGGCTCTGAAGCTGGAGACCGGCCAGTTCAGCAGTCAAGAGATGCCTCCGCCTCCCACGACGACGACGGCAACGCCCTCCACCGAGAAGCCGCGCCCGATTCTCAAGCTCAGCACCTCGCGCCAGTCCTCCTTCAGCGCCGACACTGGCACACCCTCGGCCGAGAAGAAGATCAAGATCAAGGTCAACTCCAGCCAGCCCAACACGCCCGCACCTTCCGTGCCTACCATCACCAAGACCAAGGCCGGCCGAGCTTCCAAGCCCACCGAGAAGATCATCGAGGCCAAGAAGCGCTCCTACGAGAGCGACGACGACGACGAGAACGCCCCCATGATCAATCGCAAGGTCCACACCATCAAGATGAAGAACCCCCCGGCCGCCGGCAGCCGCAAGCCCTTCCTCTTGCCCACACCAACCGGCAAGGTCTTCCTCAAGCCCAAGGGAGAGAAGATCCCGCACGTGCCGGGTGAGGCCTACGACTCCGAGGCCAGCGATAGGGAGACGGACCTGGTGCGCGAAAGCGCTGTCATCCTGAGGACCCTGCCCGGTCCTGCCACCGAATACTTGAACAAGGCTTTGGAGGAGGGCAGGATCGGCCAGCCCAAACCCCCGAACGGCAACGGTGCCGACCTTTCAGTCGAGTGGCTCGATGCCAAAGACCGCCGAGCCATGGTGACCGTCGACGGACGGCATTACGCCGCCGTGCTTGTCGATCTGCCTACCATCATCGAGGCCATGAAGACGTGGGATCGCAAGAACTTTTTGAAGAACATGGACATCACCCAGATGTTGCTCTGCTTCGCCGAGGTCAAGAACGAGCAGGATGCCCGGTATATTGCGCTCCCTCCCATGGTGCAAAACTCGGAGTACAAATGGCCCCACGGCTTGACCCCTCCCATGCACGACGCCGTCAACCGACGATTCAGGAAGCAGCCGTCGGAAAAGCAACTGGTCAGCGCAGCTGCCCAGGTCAAGAGACTGCTCGCTGAAGACGCGCTTGCCATTGAGCCTCCTACCTACGAATTCATCCAGGATGAGGAAGATGGCTTCTACGAATCCGGCGAGGAAGACGCGGAGGGAGAGGAAGAACTAGATGACTACTTCGGCAACCAAGCAGCGGGTCAGCCTGTCGATGAAGAAGTGGACGACATGGACATTGACCTCGAAGCCGAGCTGGAGGCCGAGTTTGCAGGCGGCGACTTCGAAACCGAGATGATGGAGGGCGAGACGCCCGGTACACAGCTGGAAGCTCAGACGCCCATGACACTTGAGGCTGCCACGCCGGCTGCTGCCGGGGGCGACATCAGCGAAGAAGACGAAGAAGAGGAAGAAGAGATCTCAGACGAGGATGAGGATGACGATGATGACGACGAACTCGACGAAGATGAGGCAGCCAGGCAAGCCCAGGCGAGAGAGATGAAGAAGGAGCTATTTGGCATTCGGAAGAAGGTGGCCGACCTGGAACAGCAGCATGCGTCTGCCACCAATGCTATCATGCGCAATCGCCTGCAGCTCAACATTCAAAACCTCAAGAAGGAGATTGAATTACGCAAGGCTCAGCTTAATATCACGGACGACGAGTAGTAGCCGCTCTTTCGCTGGAGCCATGCAAAATAAAGGATGACGCTCAAGACGAGACTTGACGGACTTGGTAGCTCGTCGCTCGGTTCTCTTTGACAGATCAGCGAAGGGAAGAATCCGCGGCATCGAGGCGTTTGGGATTTTCTGGCGCTGGTAGTGATTCGATATGGACGGCAATCTGTGCTAGCAGAACTCTGAAGCAGGAATGATATTCGAGCACCAACACATTTGCATGATACCCGGTGGCTCTCATAGACATAGCAAGGGAGCTCATAAATAAAAGTCCACTATCCACTGACCCAGCACATGCCCAGGACCAGGTGATAGGAGAGCGGTGGTATCTCTCAACCAGTATATACCGAGAATCAATGTTCCCGAGCCATTCGGTTCTGAGCGGCTCTCTTGCGCTGGACCCTCCTTTGCATGTGCAATGTCCTGCTTGATACGGCACTGGTCGTGTTCTGTTGTCTATGTGTACAAATTGTTTACAGGCTCTATGATATAATACACGCCACAAGCCCTTTACCACGGACGGCCTGGCCATGTCATGGCAGAGGCAGAATGCCAGCTGCTGATAGTGAACTCCGCGTTCGCCTGCCTTCCCACGGGTTCTCGCACCTGAAGGGGTGCCTCCCTCCGACGAGGAAAACTTCCATCTTCCATCCCGTAGGAAAGGTAGATAAAAAGAAACCGTCCACAGGTATGCACGCACGGCACATGCGACAACAACAGCAACAACCCCATCTGTCCTGTCCCGCCCTGCTCCGATGTGATCTTGCTCCCCTCGCTCTCTTTACATGCTCTTGAGGTAGTTGCTCTCCTTGATCTTGGCCCGGCGCTCCTTGCGCATGGCCCGGCGCAGCTCCTCGCGGGCCTCGGCGGCCGCGCGCGCGCCCTCGGGCGTGCCCTCGTCGTTGCCCGGCAGGTTGATCGACTGCTGCTGCAGCGGGATCTTGGGCGCCAGCGCCTCGAGGTTGCCCTCGGCCAGCAGCCGCGCCTCGAGCGCGCGCTGCCGCTTGGCCGCCAGCCGGCGCTGCTTCTTGGATTTCGCTGTAGGAAAGGGCATGTTAGCATGGGGGCTCCCGGGTAGAGGGAGGGAAAGCAGACGAGGTTCAGAAGGGTGCGTTGGAAGGGGGGCACGTGGCGAGGGTGAATGTGGTGGAAGGGTATGAGGGATGGGGAAGAGACGTACAGAACTCGGCCTCGGCGTCGTCGTTGGCGCCCTCGTCGGTCTTCTTCACCGTCACGTCCAGACAGCTCCACAGCCACGTCGGGTATGCGTCGTCGGCCAGCGCCACGGGGTCCGTCTTGTTCTTGAAGTAGTTGAGTCCCGTCAGGATGGTGCCCTCGGGACACGACGACAGCACGGGCTTGGCCTCGGCCGCGGCGCTGTCCCCGAGCGGCGTGCTGAGCGCGGGTGCTGCGTCTGACGGCTCGGCTGGCGTGGCTGCTGGTGCTGCCGCAGCGTTGCGCACTCGGAGGGTCGTGGACAGCGGACGGAGGAAGGGCGTCGACACCGCGGCGGGTGTCCTTTGGGCCAGGGACTGGGCGAGTGGCCGGGCCAGCACCGAGGCGCGCGACAGGCAGCTTCGGCAGATCATGGTGCGTCTGTGTTCCGGGTGGTTGGCGCTGTTTCGGCCTGGGGGGAGAGCTGGGAGAGAGCTTTGGGCCGGGGGCTGTGATGCGGAAGTCTGGTGTTGCTGCTAGCTCCCTGGAAATTTTATACGGCGGGCCGGAGCGACCCCCTGGCGCAGAAAGCGGCCGGCCGGGACGGGTCATGGAACATGACCACGACGCAAGCCACCGACAAGAACGGTGTTTGACGAGCACAATTGCGGATGTGGACTGAATTGGGTTTATAAAAAGACACGGTCAATGATCCCTCTTGATTCTCTATGTACAAGGGCTATGCATCTTGATATCCCGGCTCTCACGTAGTTCTACACATGCAACACTCGGCATGCCATAAACCCTCTCCAGACCTGGCGTAGGCCATTGCATCAATCTTTAAAGATGCATCCGGCCGTCTGGGATCCCTTCTCCCAGCAATTGAACACTTCGGATCCGTAGCGATGGGTTTATTTCTTCTCCGCAGCCTTTGGTGCTGCCAGTTGCGTCGAGTCGAGGTAGTTCTGTTGCTCAAAGAGGTATCCCCGGACGCGGTTCTTCTCCAGCAGCTGAAGGTACTTTTCTGCAGAGAAAGTTAGAAAATGTTCGGAGTTGATCTTAGAGGCCGCCATAGGGGACCCAGAGACTCGACCCTCATCGGCCGTCCTCAGAGCGCCCACGGGGGGGCAGACGTCATGGGGCTTGACTGACCTCTTAAGTGGCCGCACTTCTCCAGGTGGTTGACGCCCTCCTTGTAGTAGCATTTGCTGAGCTCCTCGCGCACCAGGCGGCCCATCATGACCTGCACCCACTGCTCGCGGACGACGGCGTCCTGCGCGGCCTTGAGGGCCTTGTTGTCGTCGTAGTCGACGCCGTCAAAGGTGGGCGCGACCTTGGGCTTCTTGGCCAGGAAAGCCTCGGACTCGGGGGTGGGCATGTTGGGCGGGTTGGCGGGCTGAGGGGAGACCTGAAGAGGAGGCTGGTCCGATCAATTGGGCCTTGTCGACGTCGTCGTGGTGGGAATGCGGCCGGGTTCGTGGTGGTGAGCTGCTGCTGCTGCGGCGGCGGTTCGTCCTCGGACCACCAGCTGCAAGCTACGGGGTGCCACAGCTCGACAGCCTGACCAATGGCGGCGGCCTCGAATCTCAGGCAATCAGTCGCCCAGGTTGGGCCAGGTCGGGCCACCCGTGGAGTGTCTCTTATCGTTTATCGGCGGGTGGCGCTAGCGCTTCACCGCCTAAAAGTTTCAGGACCCCACTTTCGGTTGCTTCGAGTGGCAGATTCGAGTTTTTCTGCAGCCTTCCCAGCCAGCAGCTTTTTTTTTCCTCTCCCACTGGCGGGTTCGCTTAAATACACAGCTCTCTGCACCGTCTCTCCTGCAGCCGTTTTCCGTCCTGCATCTTTCTCCCCCCCCAATCATTCTTTTCCCCCATCTGCAACTAGTCTTCGACTTCATTCACTATGGGCAAGGTTAAGCAAGCAAACGGCAAGGCCAGCAAGTCGGCCGACCCTCTCAGCGCGGTCAAGAGCGCCGGTGTCTCCAAGGCATCTGCCTCGCCTGTCGCCAAGTCCAAGAAGCTTGCCAAGGATGTCGCCACCAAGGCCGTGACCAAGTCCTCCAAGAAGGACAGCAAGAAGAGCAAGAAGGTCGAGTCCGACTCCGAGTCGTCTGACAGCTCCGACAGCGAGAGCGCCAGCGACGAGGAGATGGGCTCCGACAACGACTCTGACGACTCCGACTCTGACTCCGACTCGTCCGAGTCTGAGGAGGAGAAGAAGCCCGCCGCAAAGAAGGCCAAGGCTGCCCCCGCCACCAATGGCAAGGCCAAGAAGGCCGCCGAGTCTTCTGATGACTCCGACTCTTCCGAGTCTGAGGACGACAAGGAGGACAGCGACGACAGCAGTGACGACGATGAGGAGGAGGATGCCGTCAAGAAGGCCGAGCCCGCCGTCGCCAAGGGCAAGAAGGTCAAGGCTGACGTAAGTCCACTTAAGCGCTTGTCACATCTTCCGAGTAGCACCTGAGCTGACTTTATCCTCTCTAGTCTGACGACTCTGATGATGACTCCGAGGCCGATTCCGACGACTCGGACTCTTCTGACTCTGATGAGGAGGAAGAGGAAGAGAAGGCCGAGCCCTCCAAGAAGCGCAAGGCTGAGGATGAGGTCGCCACCCCTGCCAAGAAGACCAAGAGCGAGAACACCCAGGAGGACGGCGCCGTTACCCTGTTCGTCGGCAACCTCGGCTGGGGCATTGATGACGATGCTCTGTACAACGCCTTCAAGGACTGCGCCGGCCTCAACAGCGCCCGTGTCGTCACCGACAAGGACATGCAGCGATCCCGTGGCTTCGGCTACGTTGACTTTGACAGCCCCGAGAACTGCCAGGCTGCCTTCGAGGCCATGCAGGGCTTTGAGCTTGAGGGTCGTGGCATGAGACTGGACCCTTCCAAGCCCAAGCCTGCTGATGATGGCACCCCTCGCGACCGCGCTGCCAACCGCGCCCAGCAGCACGGTGACACTGTCAGCCCCGAGAGTGATACCCTTTTCGTCGGCAACCTGCCCTTCGAGGCTGATGAGGACGTCATCTCCGAGTTCTTCAGCGATGTCGCCGAGGTCAAGAGCTTGCGTCTTCCCACTGACCAGTATGTTGATCCGCATTCCTCGTTTCACAAGCCCCCATAACTAACTTCAGAACCTAGGGAATCTGGCAACCGCAAGGGCTTCGGTTACGTGACCTTCAACAGCGTTGAGGATGCCAAGACTGCCTTCGAGGCCAAGAACGGTGGTTACATTGGCGAGGGCCGTGGTGCTCGTGCCATCCGCCTGGACTTTGCTGCTCAGCGCCAACCTCGTGAGGGAGGCTTCGGTGGCGGTTTCGGCGGCGGCCGTGGAGGTGGCGGTCGCGGTGGTGGCCGTGGCGGCCGCGGAGGCTTTGGCGATCGCGGTGGCCGTGGAGGCTTCGGCCGTGGCGGTGGTGGTTTCGGCGGTCGCGGCGGTGGCCGTGGCGGCCCCCGTGGCGGAGGTGGTTTCGGTGGACGTGGTGGAGGAGGCTTCCAGGGGAAGAAGATCTCCTTTGACTGATTGCCGCACTAGAGGGTTTCTGAGGGCTCAGTGACACACAAACTGGTTGGCTATGTGGGTTGTCGGCTTCTTTCAAACTGGCTCTCCCCCCGGGAGTTGTCAGTTCCGAGGGCTAAGCTTCATCGTGAAGCTGTGATACACCTGTGGGCTTAATCGGAGGGCAACCTCCTCGTGGGTTCTGTGGGCTGATGGCTCTAGGGTGAAAGCAACATCTAGACGGGTTCTCCGCCTGGGCTTTCTACATCCTTCACGTACACACTTGATCTCGACGGCTCTTCCTATGAGGGTTCATCTGTGGGCTTTCTTTCAGTCGGTACGATTGGGACGAAGCTTCGTGCTCTGCAAAGCACCGCGAAGTGGACCAATCCCCGTGTGGGCTTTTGACGGCGTTCCGAGGGCTTTCCAAAAGTTTTATGTTTTTCATGGTCTCCAGACACATCGTTCCACACTCGTATATCATAGTAGCAGGTAATCGCTTATTTTCGGTGAGTATCAACGCACACCTTGTATAAAACTCGCAATTCCTCCCGCTTCCATAGATGGACACAGTCTTTACGAAATACGATCTTGTCGATGAACTGAATTGATACTCGCGTCTTCTTTTCTGTACCATGTGATATCTTTAAACATCTATCGCCACTTCCGCCAGGGCAGGAAGCGGCTGATGGTACACGATACCTTATTAGTCGCAATGCTTTTGAGGCGAGAGCTAAGATGCTCCTTCGCTGTCGTGGCCAGTATTCGCCTAATAGTATCTCCACAGCGATCAGAGTTGGCAGAGGCTTGCCACTTCGGGATACCCGAGTGAATTTCCACCAATGGCCATTCAAGCTTCTGTGGCGACTATACCTGATCTTGGCGTTTGCTCTTCCACAGTTACTCTCACTCCCTCTACTGGTGTCGAATTGTGGGATCTGTCGAAAAGCCAGAGTCATTTCTGACTCCCAGCATACCTGAATCGCACGGTACTAAGAAGCATTTTCGACCCGATAATTGGACTTCACCGTCGCACAGAGCCTCGCGATATTGATAGGCCGAGTTCTGACGGGCATGTAAGAAGGTCCTATCTAATCCCAGTATTTGCCAGACTAGCTTGACGTTCTCCGCATGGAGCTGTGGTGAAAGCAAGGGTTCTCCGCATTCTAACCTGGCATTTGCTGCCGTCTCTGCAGATCGTCGCAGTGATCTGATATTCCGGTCTTGGACTCTAGTGTTAATTCATCGCTAGGTACATGTCTGGAGATAGCACTACCATAGCGAACCAGAAAGATGACTACCGTATCCGTATATGGAATATAAGAAGGCACATGCGCCCGCTCAGCCTTGCCACGATGGTTTCACACGGTGTTTATGCCGGATTTCTGCGTTCCTTCTGGTCTAGAATACTTGAGTGAACGATGCGTCTCACGTCGACGTTGGGAGGCCTGCTCCTCCTTTCGTCCTCCATCACTGCGACATTGTTCGCAAATGAGTCGTCCGGGGCTCTCTTTATTGGAAACGACAGACTCGTGTCTGCCGTCAACAAATCAACGGGCGCTGTCGACTTCCTTAGCCTGGACGGCCAGGATCTGTTGGGATCGAAGAACTACGTCCCCAATACCCCTGGAGGCTCCTCAGGCAACGGACAGTCAGGCATAGGACCGTACCTGGACTGCTACTGCATACCCTCGGGCACATACACGCCTGGCGGTGTCAATGCAACCTACAAGCTGCTGCAGGGGTTAGATGGCACCGGCGTCGCCTGGGCAGGCATCGTGATGAGCGAACAATACCCCCCGACGGGTCAGCTTTTCGAGTCGTACTGGTTCCTGCGAGACGGCGAAACGGGCCTGCATACCTTCAGCCGGTTGGCGTACTACAACGAGACGACGCCATTCCTGCGCAATCTTCAGGAGTTCCGGACGCTGTTCCGGCCGAACACCCCTCTGTGGACGTACCTCGTCACGGACGCCGGTTTCCACGCCCCACTGCCCAGTCCGGACCCGGCCTCGGGCGACATCACCAACGCCACGACGGTCCAGGACGCCACCTGGTACATCGGGAACAGGACTGACGAGCCGTATGTGGAGCAGATGAGCGACTATTACACCAAGTACACGTTCCAGGCCGTGTGGCGGGACCACTCCGTGCACGGTATGTTTGCGGACGGCAGCCGGAGTAACGACAACTCGACCTTCGGTGCTTGGATGGTGATGAATACCAAGGATACATATTTTGGAGGACCGATACACTCTGATTTGGTAGTCGATGGGATCGTCTATAGTGGTAAGCAGGCGGACGGAAGAAGTCAGCCCGGGTCGATTACAATATGTGGACACTGACTTATTTGCCAGAGTATATTCCTCAAACTCTCGTCCTAGGAAAAGGGGCTCACCCCGGAGTGCCGGGCCATGACCCAAATCACATGATGCTTATAGAACGCAGATTACCTTGTGTCGAACCACCACGGCGACGGTACACCCAACATCACAGATGGCTTTGACCGAACGTTCGGTCCTTTCTACTTCCATTTCAACAGAGGTGCTGTGGGTGGATCATGGCCTGAATTGAGAGACGAGGCTCTACAATTGTAGGCAGCCACGTAGAGGCGCCTTGAAGATCACCCAGCTGATTTACATTGTGATAGTGCCTCACCATCATGGAGTGCGGACTTCTATGACGACATCAGTGAGTACGTGCCTGGCTACGTCCCAACGTCCGGACGAGGATCTTGGAAGGCACGAGTTCAGTTGCCCAAGGGCGCCAAGAATGCTATTGCGGTGCTGGCCCAGAACAAGGTCGACTTCCAGGACAACGTCGAGGATACCAAAGCGTATCAGTACTGGGCGAACATTGGCGCCTGCGGCGGCAAGGTTCAGATTGACCGCGTCAAGGCAGGCACGTACCGGCTGACCATCTACGCCGATGGCATCTTCGGCGACTATGTACAGGACGACGTCGTCGTCGTTGCAGGCGACACCACGGACTCGGGCACCGTAGTCTGGGAGCCGGAGGCTGCTGGCCGAGAGCTCTGGCGCATCGGCACGCCGGACAAGGCTGGCGGCGAGTGGAAGCACGGGTACGCGAGGGATGCGTCCCGGCCGCTCCAGCCCCCCGAGTACCGCATCTACTGGGGCGCGTACGACTACCTGGACGACTTCCCGGACGGGGTCCGGTTCCATGTCGGGCAGAGCCGCGAGGCCGAGGATTTCAACTATGTGCACTGGTCCGTCTTTGGCGGGCGGGCCAACTTTCACCGTCCGGTTCAGGAGGCCGGGCACGGCCAGATCAACAACTGGACCATCAGCTTCGATGCCGAGGCCCGGGATCTCGCCGGCGCCGCCACAGCGACCTTCACGGTGCAGCTGGCCGGGGCAAAGACGGCGGCTGGGAACACGGACGTGTACAACGCGACGCAGCCGTATAGCAACCTGCCATTTGTCGTCGTGGTGAACGGCAGGGAGCTGGAGCCGTGGATCATCCCGTGAGTCGGAGACCCCAGAGTCATGACGCCGAACCCCAAACTCGTGGCTTTTGCTAACCAGGGAGGTGCTGTTTCGTTCAGATACTACCACTCGTCGTCCTGCGCCACGCGGAGCGCCGTGACCTGCTACCAGGTGGCCAAGAAGTTCACATTTCCGACGCGCTACCTGGCGGCAGGGCCGAACGCGACCAACAAAATCGTGTTGAGTCTTCCGTTCAACGCAACGGACTATGAGAGTGCGTTGTTGCCCGGAAGTGTGTACGTCCAGTATGATGCGCTGAGGTTGGAAGTGCAATAGGGGCTAGAAAGGGGGTTGACTTTCGGGGACAACAGAACCTGGCCAATGAGTGGGAATGAAGGAATAATGAGCTTGATGAGTTAGTGGGTAATGTTCTGTGTCAAGGCGGGTGTGATACGTACTATTCGGCCGTTGATCGAAATTATGAGACCCTTCACGTCAACAGCCAGATTCTCTTGGCTAGCTAGGACCGGAATCGGGCGATCTGACTTTACTGTTGATGGTGTTCAACAAATTCTTCTCCTAGCGATCACACAGAATTTCCAGTCCCGTGGAATGCGAAGAATGCTGAATGCGGCGTTGCATGGATCAATGGATTGTCTCCAATAAGCCTGTCAAACTATTTGCAGACTGGCCGTTTTGCCAGTCTTTGATCAAAGAGATCCGTTTTCGACCGGCTACAGCAAGGACGCAGACTTGCAAACAGATGCCTGCAAGGCATTTGGTAAATCCTTGAGTTGCAAATCAGTCCTACAGTCTACCTTCTTTACTTCTTCCCAATGACACTTATCAAGCACCGCTAAATCTATCAACGCCTCCTGAATCGATTCAAACAGTTGACCATATCTCTTGCACTCTATCAGAATTCTCTGTGGTTTCAAAAAAATCTCCAACATGGCAGTTGCTGCGACTCATGGAGGTGCGACCGTGAAAATCGAGGACGATGAGACCATTTTAGAATACATAAGGCTGGACGAGATGGAGAGGGAGCTCGCAGAGATTTCGCGAGACACAGAGGAAGGTAGGAAGCGGTGGGAACGGAAGAAGAAACATATCAAGGCGCAGTCCGACTTGGTCTTGAGAAAGTACGACAAACTAATCGCCAAGGAGAAGGAGATGATGAAGGCAGATGAAGGGAAAAGGAAAAGAAAACATCAAAGTACCTAGGTCGTTAATCCTTGTGGCTGCAGACATACAACACAATGCCGGACGCAATGGACAGAAGCACTGTCATGAAGCAAACCGAGGCAGTATGATGCACCGTAGTGCAAACACCACCACGTGCATGGGAGCCCTGGAGTTAATTTGGTAAACCAAGAGATGACCAAGATCAAAGGCCCGAGAATTCAGAGACAGAAAAACACTTTTGCTTGCTTTTAGTGAAGAGAAAATGTTCGAATCGTGGTTATGCCTCCTAAGGGTTGGGCATCGACTTGTTGAAGGCCCCACAACAGTGCCACCACTATAGTGATGAGATCGTATCATGCGCGACCCAAATATAGACGATCTTCAGCTGCAGCTATGGCCTTCAATCCCTTGCAGTAGCTTCGGCGATTCTCGCAGTTTTTCTTGCTTTACAGCGATCCAGAGGATCAGTATGAAGGGGCTATCGGGCGACTCTCAACTCCTGTATCGGCGAGTTCTCTCCACAAAGAAAGCCAGTGAAAGCTAGGATATGGAGCCTGGAGGTATGGGGAGGATGGGCTCCTCCTACCTAGGTAACCTGTCATCAACGTTAGTGGCTGGGGCGCACGAGCGCACTGCCCTGGCGCCCTCATGATGCCACCGAATCAAGCGAGACAGGCGGATAGGTCATGTTCCGTAGCCTGTCACCCATCCCAAGGAATATGTATGCCTGGTCTGACGACACGGCGGACTAAAAGTCATCCACGTGAGCGCCCAGAGACAGCGCCTCACGACTTGAACCTACAGAAGATCAACAATCCATATGAGCAAATGCCGACATATTCATGCGTTAAGGTCAAACAAAACACCGGCAGCACGTCGACTGATTATCGTGCTTCGTGGATAAGATACAGAGGAACCCCGCTATCATTACCCCATACGTCGCAAGGTGTCCACCGATAATCAGCGCGTGGCACGCCTATCGAAGGGGTCCCTCGATACTGCCAAGGCGCCATCTCGCAGCACGCTAGGCCCGCCGTTGCATATCGTCATCGGGACGCCAGTCTTCGTCCGCCTGTTGCCGTCGCCAAAGTCGCTTTGCACACTCCGGACTGGGGACGTGTCACTCTTCACGAAGAGAGGCTTTATAGCAGGCTCGTAGACACAGCTGAGGAATCAAACTCCGCTTTCGCTCTACCACGAGCGAGCTGCTACTTTCGCTTGATATAGTCCGACTGCAGCGAAGCACGGCTTCGACCAGCTGGGACAAAGAACCAGCTGGAGTATTAGACGGGCAACGCTACAGCCCATACAAAGACGGGAGCACTTAAACGGCCAGCCACCCCCAAGCGCATACCTCCACTTCTGACCGGTGACCACATCTCACGTTCCTTGGAAACAGGCGGTCTATCGCCCACCTTCCTAGGATTTACTGGTGTCTCATGTTCGCTTCCAGTCTCTCCTGACAGAACCAGCTCATTTTAGACTCCTCCAAGTCCCGAGTCAAAGACGCACTCCATAACCGACTAGAACGTAAAGCAGCCCCCACGGCCGGCTGCGTAGATCAGCGGATCCCTGACCACTATCGCGGGGCTTTGTTGGGATACTGGCAGTCGGTGAAGCCCCATTGTCGACGGCAGCGCTACCACTTTGCGCCATTCTTTACCATCGTCTGGAGACTCTTATCCTGACGTTCGGGTCTCCCTATTTCCTTTTTGTCTTATCAGCATGCCATCTCCGAACGAAGCCAGCGGGCAGAACTGGCAGAACGGCAACATGACTTCGGGAGTGAACAACACCGCGGCGACTGCGAGGTCGGGCCCTTTGCCCCAGCGGCAACGAAACGATGGTCAGTCTAGCCAGCAGGACAACGAAGATGTCAGGCTCACGCCAGTAGAATCATGGGTCGAGGTATCGTCGCACCCATCATCATCGTCCGTCTCGTCCATCGGCGACGACATCGTCACCACCGGTTTGCGAGTCGGCTCGTCCGCTTACGCCCGAAGGCGCCGCTTACACCCACAATCGTATAACCACCTGCTGGCCCAACAGCAACAGCAGCAACTTGCTGCCCACGCAGCTGCGGGCGCAAGCAGTCAGGAGGAGTACGATGAAAGCGAGACCGACTCTGATCACGTCTTGACCTCGTCAACCGAGAACATCACATCGGTGCCCGGGCTGAGCCCAACGCCTCTGCGCAACGTCCATCCAGCACAGGACGACACGAGCGATGAGGAGGATGACGATGATGAGAATGCGACAGCGCTGGGCTCGCGCAGGCCTTCAGAGTCTTTTCGCCCTCAGCCAAACGCATTCTCCCACCCCCCATCCCACCTTCAGCACCGCCATTCCACCAGCTCTAGCATTCCCCAGCACCACCCCCGCCCGTCATTCGGTCGCGGTAGCAGCACCCGCGTGGACCGTCGCGCCCCCAGTTTCATGACCCCCAACTATCAAGCGGATAACGACGAAGCCCTGCGTGCCAGCCTGACCACCTTGCTCAGCTGTGCTGCGGCAGCAAGAGGCAGAAATAAGGATGGAGAGAAGCAGCTCGGGGAACGGACAAGTCCGAGCGGCGGTCAACCCATGAACCTGCGCCTCGTACCAGAGAGCGAGCTCCTGGAGACTGCACCGAGGCCCACCGCCCAGGGCCGGGTCTTGAGGGCCGACCCTACTCCATCGCCGCCTGCCCCGTCGCGCAGTACTGGACCAACAACCGAGAAGGCCAAGCGGCCCGCGACGCCCCCACCCACCAAGTCTCCGAGGGCGGCAAAGAAGAAGAGAACATCATCAGCCTCCGGAGTTGATGAGGCGCTCATTAGTCCCACGTTGCTAACGTGGGTCGTCAGCGCCGGCGTGGTGGTGCTGGTGAGCGTAGTCGGGTTTGGCGCAGGCTATGTGATCGGTCGAGAAGTCGGTCGACAAGAGGCCCTGGGTGGCCTGGGTGCTGCCAACACGAGCTCCCTGGCGGACGGGGGCAGCTGCGGCCGCGAAGCTATCAGGAGCAGCGGAGGTACACTCAGGCGCTTCCGATGGGGGAGTGGCATGGGGAAGACCGTTACGGCGTAAGACTCGCTTTCAGCGCTGTTCTTGTTGGGGCAGAGGGGAAGGGAAAGTCGAAGGATATACCTGGCCAAAGACGGAAACCGTCACTGCAGGCCACTGCATTTCTATTTAGGTTTGTTTTCCTGGCGTTTCGTCGGGAGGGGAGTCAACTCGAGTTACAGCATAGGCGCGAAAAGGCGTCGGTATGGGATCTGCAAAGCACACGATGATGATATGCGTTGATGAGATACGGGATGAGAAACGGGACCGCGACGATGAGGCCTGACGGATGTCTGGATGGTCTGGATGATCTGTCATGAGGAGTTGATGCAGCATTCATTTGAGGAGTTTACGTGCCAAGTTGCCGCTGGAGTAGTTTACACCTAATCGAATATATTGACATGCAGACGCGGAAACACATTTCCAAAGCCCATATCAGGTGTGGCATAAGATTTGCACCAGACAGTCTACGCTATGCTGTATATTGCTTCTATCGCTTATGTATCGAGCCGTCAACCTATGACACCCATCAAACAGTTTAGAAGCCGTCACAGATGCAAAGGACCCGAAACTTTGGTAAACTAAGGACCCAATGTATCAAAAGTAGGTGAGAAACTGATTAGGTTCCAGAGTAATCGTTTCTTGGCTTCTCTTACGTAGCTTCGCGCAAGTCTATAGATCTTCCATTAAACTAAAATCCCCCTACATCTAGGTCACCGCCTCAGAGAAGTTATCTCGCCCCTGATCACTACGTCGGTGCCAAGCATACATATGGAAAGAAGCGGCCACAAGTACTATACGCAATACTGCATGGCTCGAGTCGAGTATGGATGCAGTGGAGGAGGTTTGTGTTGATACCATCGTCAAGATTCCCCAGACTGAGCAGAGAGTTGTTCAGTCTTCGTAAGCGTAGAACGCAACCAGAACCAGCCCACGGAGAAGGGCTCCGCTGCAGTAGATACGTGCTGTTCCTTGGAGGCCCAAAATTGGGTGACCTGAGCGTTGTCACAGTGTCTTCTGGACAAAATTAGCCTTGAACCACTGAACCAGCTGGGAATATACGAGAAGCGAGCCCTTGGTTTTCGTCATATGTCTCTACACTCTATTGCCGTACAGTCTTCTTTTTCCGTTGTAACGTATGTTATTGTAATCTCATAGATTTATTTCTGCAGTCATCCGATCTTCAGTTAAACCAACAATGCAAATCATTCCTCTTCGGAATCCGGAATTCGGGCCGTTTAGTGTCCTCAATCCTTAATGTCTTGTCTTAGCAAGCCAAACATGACGTGATCCAATGCCATGCCATGTTTGTACACAGCCTTGCGCCTGACTCCTTCCTTGACAAAGCCAGCCTTCTCCAGGACCTTCATGCTCCCCTCGTTGCCTTCAACAACGCGGCCGTCCAGCCGGTGCAGATCCGAAAACGCGGTAAACGCCCATTTGCAGAAGGCGGAAACGGCGCTCGTCGCCAGGCCCTTGCCCCAATGGTCCATTGCGACCCAGTAGCCAAGCTCCCACGTGCGGTACTCGATGTCACTTCTATCGCCGCCGTCAGTACTATCGGTTCCAGAGGGCGGGGCCGCCGGTAGGTGCTTACCCAGGAACCAGGCCAATACCGCCGGCAAAAGTGCCGTCGGGCAGGCAGATGGCAAAGTTGACGTGAGGCTTGTGCTCCAACGAATGGTTGATCCAGAAGTTTGCGCTGTCGAGCGTATAGGGGTGCGGGAACCTATTGGTCATGTAGCGACTTATGTCCTCATGATTAGCCGCGGCAGACAGGGCTTCGGCGTCGGACCTGGCATAGGGGCGTATGAAACACTTGTCGGTTCTCACTACTGCGCTTGCCTGAGGTTGCTCAGCCATGGTTGCAATGCTGTGTTGGTGGGCAGTCTCTGGTACAAAAATCCGCAGGAAATGCTACCAATAACCTCTAAAGTAGATAATGTGTATACACCAGAGCGGAGCCCTCGAAGTCCAAAGCTATGGCCAGAAATGAGTGGGAGGACGAGATCGTGTTGTTCCAGAGGTATACAGTACCGTCGTCTATTTGTATGACAGCAAGCCGCCGCTGTGTCACCGACTCCACCCACTCAGACCAGTCACAATCCGTCGAGTAGCAAGCCCGCGTCGGAGGGCAAGCCTTGCTCAAAATCTACATCTTCGGCTCAACACCGAAGCCGAGGGGAGTCACAGAACAAGTGGTAACATCAATTCAAAAGAAGTCTCAGCCGATTGCGGTGGGGCTTATTCTTAATGGCAGTCAATTTGTATCATTTCCATGAGGAGCAAGCAGCTCTTGCATACAAGCTCGAAACACTCAGTCACAGATTGTTGTCATGTTAGTCACAGGAGCTAAGCAGTACCGGGCCTCGCTACGTCCAATGATGGAAATCAGTAAACTGTTCACTACTGTACGTAGTATAAAGTACTTACCTACCTAACTGGTCAGTACATAACTGACTGTAGTCTTGAGACGGGACCGCGACAGAGTAAGGCAGCCGGGTAGGGAAAAACGAGCGACCGGCGCTGACGAATTCTAGATGGACGCCAAGGCCAAGCTTGGAAGGCTCCGGCATTAGCGCCAGGGTCCCTGGATTGAGAATTGAAGCGTGTCCTTTCGCAGCCGTGCGTCTTGGAGGTGAATTGATTGATTATCTCGACGACACTCCAGCAGCCGACTCGATTATTCCCAGGCCAGCGAGTCCAATGCAGCTATCACGGGGCTTGTGAAGTTGCCGCTGCACCCTCCTCCCTTTCACTCCCTACGAATTCGCTTCTCCGTTCCGTTTTCCCCATTGCTTTTGACGCCCTCGGCCTACCTAGCCTCGCGCAAACCGCCGCTGCCAGGCCGTGTGTGCAGCGATTCCCACCATGCCTCCCAAATCACGATTCACAAGGCTTGATGCCTTTACCAAGACTGTCGAGGACGCCAGAATACGGACCACTTCTGGCGGTATTGTCACCATCGTCTCTCTGATCGTCGTACTATGGCTTGCATGGGGAGAATGGGCCGACTACCGGAGAATCGTCATCCACCCGGAGCTCATAGTCGACAAAGGGCGAGGTATGTGATAAGAAGTGGCGGTCACACTGGCGCTGGCAGAAGGCTGACACAACCATTGCAGGAGAGCGCATGGAAATCCACATGAACATTACCTTCCCCAAGCTCCCCTGCGAGCTTCTTACCCTGGACGTCATGGACGTGTCCGGTGAACAGCAACATGGTGTCATGCACGGAGTGAACAAAGTCAGACTTCAGCCTGCCTCTCAAGGCGGCGGCGTCATCGATATGAAAGCTCTGGCGCTGTAAGTTTGGAGGAGCGCCTGCGCCCTGGCACAGGTCATACTAACTCGGGCATACAGTCACGCCGATGATGAAGCTGCGACCCATCTCGATCCCGAATACTGTGGAAGCTGCTACAGTGCGCCGGCTCCCTCCACTGCCGTGAAGCCTGGATGCTGTCAGACCTGTGACGAAGTCCGAGAAGCCTATGCCCAAGTGTCGTGGGCTTTCGGAAGAGGCGAGGAGGTTGAGCAGTGCCAGCGCGAGCACTACGCCGAGAAGTTGGATGAGCAAAGACAGGAAGGCTGCCGTGTCGAAGGTGGTCTGCGCGTCAACAAGGTCGTTGGAAACTTCCACTTCGCCCCTGGCCGAAGTTTCAGCAACGGCAACATGCACGTCCACGACCTCAAGAACTACTGGGAGAGCCCCGTCAAGCACTCCTTCGAGCACACCGTTCACCAACTGCGGTTTGGCCCGCAGCTTCCCGAAGACCTGGCAACCAAGAGCTCCAAAAACACGCCGTGGACTAACCACCACCTGAACCCCCTCGACGACGTAAAGCAGTCCACCGATGACCCCAACTTCAACTTCATGTACTTCGTCAAGATCGTCCCGACCTCGTACCTGCCTTTGGGCTGGAAGCACAGCGGGTCAAACCGCAACCTGGACGACAGCGCCTGGATTGGAAGCTACGGACAATCGTACGACGGCAGTGTCGAGACTCACCAATATTCAGTCACGAGCCACAAGCGAAGCTTATCGGGTGGTGACGATGCTGCTGAGGGCCACAAAGAAAGACTCCACGCCCGTGGTGGTATCCCTGGTGTTTTCTTCTCCTATGTAAGTGTCACAGTCCGGTAATAGCCTGCATTGCCCTTTACTCACACTGCCTTAGGATATCTCCCCGATGAAGGTCGTCAACCGTGAGGAGCGTGCCAAGACCTTTACTGCTTTCTTGACAGGCCTCTGCGCTGTTCTGGGCGGTACGTTGACCGTCGCAGCAGCGGTTGACCGCGGAGTCTTTGAGGGTGCTACAAGGTTAAAGAAGCTTCGCTCGAAGGATCTATAGACGAGCTGCGAGCGTGGGGCTGTGGATAGTGAGGTGAACTAGAATCAACAGTTTGTCGACCAAAGTTGCATGGGAAGTGGAGTTCCGGCTAGCCTTTTTGGAAATATCAGTGTGTTTTACGCAGTCCTGTACTATGTGAATCTGGGTCTGGCCATCTCGTTTATTCATGCCTCTCAAGCGCAAAGAGATTTCCGAGTTGGGTTCTAGAAAAACTCCGGGGAGAGCTACGCGCAACTCCACCCGTTCAGCACCGGCGCCTGCACTAGCATTAGTCGGTGCTATTCTAAGAATTGGCTCCATACGATACGATGGGTTTTGAGAATGGTGGTCGCCACGGCTCGGAGTGGTCGTCCTATCAATATTTGAGACGAGCACCCGACGAGATAGCCTGGTACACCTGATGTGCAGAGGGCTCGAGCGGAGGCCGCCAGGTCAGTTTATAGATACCCAAGGTCTTAAATCTTGAAACATGTCATATGTGTGTGGATGGAAAACATCAGACGAACTATAGTTCTCAAAGCCATTGAAGGCACTTCAAGATGCTAAAAATCCGGTCACGCCACGCACATTGTGCCGTTTTCGGGATAAGGAGCATAACGACCAACGTGTTTGTGTGTTAGTGCTGGGTTAGTTTCTAGTGGCGCAACCTCGTTTACATATCAACATAATAGTCGCCCTGTTATACGAGCAATTTCCCTCTGGTAAGCCACCGGAGCTGGGCTGTCATTGTGTTTTGTTCTTTTCCCTCTTTGGGCAGGGTTCTCCACGATTCCCGATTCCGGTCGTGGGACGCAGGGTTCCCGTCTGTAAGAAGACGCTACTACAGTACAGGTCAACCTGACTTTCTGCGCCGTCCCTTGCATAAGGTTAAACAGCCACCAGGTATGCTTCTGTTTTTCTTTGTCTTTGCCTGTCGTCTCATTCATGCAAAGGTGGTGACCGTGATGTAGAAGCAGGTTTTGCAGAAAGGGCTCATACACGGCGAGCATGAGGAAAGAACTCTAGGATGGCGGCAAGAAGTGCCGGCAGGATCGCGATGGATCGCCGAGATGCTGTCATCACTCCATCTGCCCGTTCGCATACTGGTACCACCAGCTACAGTATACGAGGCTTGCGCGCGCTGCCATATGCTGTTCGAAGCCGTGCGCCTGGCCGGCCGGCCGGCTACCCACAGAACCAGCGGAGGTCTCGGGAGTCGTCATGGGATCTGCACCAGCTAGATAGCATCGTGGGTGAGGATCGTGATGAATCGAATTGTTGCGAGCACGCACGAGAAGCATCCCGTCGATGATTTCTTAGGAACTCAGTCCGCCCAGTGAACACTGTGCAGCAAAAGTGCATGGGGCCGGCCCAGGAGGACCCCTGCTGAAAGCTCATGCACAAGGCGCGCTTCACAATTTTCGAGAGCTGCCAGCCCTTGCTGTTTTCAGGGCGTCGGCCGGCCATGGCTGCTGTCTCCCCCGCAGAATGCGACAGGACCTTGGAGCACCAAGTTACCTTGCAATACACAGTAAAGTACCCAGGTACGCAGAAGGGCAATTTCGTTTCCTTCATGGTGCCTTGCCTGCCAGAAAGCCGGGCCATCGTGCCTTGGAAACACATGGCCGTTGAGTTTCAGAGCCTGGACAGGGTCCGCCCCGTGGGCCAGATGCCGCGTGCCCGTTCGGCGGAGAGGGGCGCCTTGCTACAGCCCAGAGATTCCACGGTGGGTTCGAATGTTTCTTCCCAGGGCTCGGTGCTGTGAGTGCTCTGCATCAGAAACACGAGCGGCCATGCAGCATTCAGCGGCAGTGTCACATGATCCGCAGCTGCGCAGAGTTAGGGGTGCATCTTGGGGCTAACAACCCATTAGCAATGCTCGTGATCAGGTCAGACGGAGACTATTCGAGGCTACTGTGCTATGGCATGCACTACCCAGATACGGCGCCGTACATGGCAGTACTATGTACTACTGCTCTCTGCAAGGTCGCGTCTGGCTTACGTACCCCATACTTTTGCCTCATCTCGCCAAACACGGCCCCCGTTGGACGATTGCTGGCCACGAGCCGGCCTGCGGACTGTCTGCGACCCCCTGGCTGGCCGGCCGGGCCCTGGCAGAGGGCCACTTTTGCTCGCGTCAGGGTCTTGTCGATGGTTTGGGCATGGCGCCGCGGTACAAGCTACCTCTCGCCTCTGAGCCAATTTCCAGTTCCCGTGTCCAATGGCACTATAAGCCGCTGGACGGGGAAATTTGTTAGCAGAAAACCTTAGGGTAGTATGGGGGACTCTGGCCGACTGTGGAAACTGCCTCCTAGTCAGGTCCCTAGCTGGACGGTGGGCAGGCTTGCGAGCGGCGATGGGGCATCAAGCCTTGAATTGCGTTGCATGCATTCATCAATGGTCAATTGGTACCGCGAACATGGCCAAGAAATCGCCGGTGGGCCCATGAGACGGGACTGATCAGCATGCTGTTTTGTCTGGACCTTGGCCATTTTCTCCCTCCTCCCGACTCCCGATACAAGTGGCTCCCCTATCCATCCTTTGGCTTCTTGTACGGCGAGCGCGGCGATTGCTTCATTCACCTCTCGTTGGCCAGCGGCTTGCTTTGTCCGCCCTTCTCGGCTTCTTCATCATATGCGGTTGTTGAGACAAGCCAGTGACAGAAAGCGCAGCGGCTCTTGGTCATTTCTTATTGCTCGGTTCTCAGGCCGCGAAGACGCACTGGTGATTGACTTAGCTCAATCGTCCACTCTCTGTCTCTCTCCTCCTGCATTGCATACAATAACTACCGTAGCTGCTTGCAGCACCGCCCCCGAACCATCTCCAGATACTGGGCAGCCTCCGCATTTCTATTCTACCTAGCAATTGCGCACTTGGAAAAACCCAGACCTTGTCGTCTCGGCCACCCCCTTTCGCGATCTGGATCTGGGTGCAAAGACATCGCCTGTACTATTTCATTACTTGATCAGCCCTCTCGGTCTCAGCAAATCACGACCTCGGGACCGGCTTTGACGACCGCCAGGACGGACAGCCCAAAATAGCGGACAGGCGGGAGCTTCAGCCACTGGTCCCAGAATCCCACAGGCGACCTGCAACCTTGGAAACCCTGCACTCGCCATCGATCCTGCATTTCTTGCTTTTTGCCCGCTTCCTGAGCGCATTCAGGGACCAACCGCCTCCTACAGGTCTGACTTCATACTTCATGCGCCCCGGTCAATCCGCCACATCCTGCATTCTTTGCTCCATCGTCACCGGCGGCCACCTGACCCAAGCGGGAGACCACTCGCTATCCCACAGCATATCATAGCCAGTCCATTTATGGGGGTACGAGAACAAACTTCACGGCGAAGCCCAAATCGACGCCTCAGAGTCCCTCCAACACTGACCGACGGCACAACCCGCATGCGACACACCTAACCGCGAAACTTACGAAAGGACCCTGGAATTTCAATTGACTTTCCCATCCGCCGTCGACGTCGACTCGCGATCGCCCCTCACTGCCTGCACGCAGCGCACCTGGACTAGACTGGGCTAGACGGTCAAGCGGATACCTCTGCCAGCTCCGCTGCGATTGTCGACGCCAAACATACTCACCATGGCTACCAGGCCAACTTTCATCGACCTGAGGTCGGATTCACAGGCGTCGGTCGCTACTACCAGCTCGCGTCCGCTCCGATCACCGAGGTTGCATGTCGCAGGAGAAGTCCCTCCTACCCTTTCACCGCTGGATGCATTCGCTGCGCAAAGTCGGCTCCTTGCGAAGCAGCTGGAGGAGAGCCAGAAGAATGGTCGTCGAATGAGTCGCCTGCCGCCCCTGACGATGGAGAGCCCCCTCGTCGTTCAGGGTCGCTCCGAGTACTTTCGCTCCCTGTCCTTCGATGCCACCGAGGATCAAGATGGCATCCCCGAGGAGAACACAGGGTTCGGCCAGACCACTGAGGTGGAAGAGCCCACAGAGCGCCCCGTGTCGATGCACCCGCGAATGAGCCGGATCCCTCCTACACCCGACCAGTCGGTACCGATGCCGATCAACCCATTTACCGATCGGGGGCGCATACTCGACCGCCTAGAAGAAACCGACGCGGACGGGTCCTATGGTGCAAGGAGGGAGCAGTCGCCCGGCGACTTGGAGGACATGACTGAGAGGGCGACGGAACGTAAGTCAATGGACCGAGATCCCAACCCGAGAGAACCAGGGTCGCAAAGTGCAAACCTGCCCGTGTCCATACCGCCCTCGCCAGAAAAGCTCACCCGCCAAATTTCACACGATTCCGGTCTTGCGCCTCCGCGATCCATGTTTCCGAAACGCTCCTCGAGCATCATGTCCCAGCCTGTCGAGTATAATCACGACGATAGTCTCAGTGCTTCGTTCCACTCGCAACCGCCTCCGCGAAAGCTGTCTAGCAGCAGTGGGTTCGGAACAGCGCTCGCATCCCCTGCTCTTGGAGGCAGCCACCCCTATCAGAGATCACCTTCGATCAGCTCCGTTGCCTCGCTGCCACGACCTTCGTTCAACTTCTCGAGACCACTGAGTAGGGCAGGGACACCTGGTCTCGACACCCCTTCGCGGCAAGCGTCATCAGATAGCCACCCATCTTTCGTGTTTGCCGATGACACTGCGCATACCCCAATTAGCATGCACAGCGAAGCTTTCACGGATGATGATAGTACTAAGGGTGCTCCTTCCTACATTTACTCGAAATATTCTCTGCCGAGAGGCAAACCCCTGCAGCGGAATTCGCTAATATTCAACCCTGAAGATATCTCTTCATTTTCGTGGGACCAGTCCATGGTGCCACCAAGCAATGTCCAGCCATTTGCTAAAGGACAGGCGCCGCCTTCACCGCCCTCAAGACCAACCAGCTCTTCGTCTCAGCACTTAGACAGGCCTTCAACGAACGATCCTCTCCTGGCTCGACCGTCTTTGGAGAGGAGTAAACTGTCAACTGAAATGTCGGCAAACAGGGTGCCTTCCCCAGATCCAAGCCGGCCATCGACCGGGGATGCAAGGCCATCAGAGGATGTGCCTAGAGGGCGGCCTTTGACGTCGCCACTGCATGATCAGGCTCGAGGGCGCACGCCAGCGTCTGTTTCTACATCCGATTCTGCTAGCACCATCAAGCCCACAAAGTCACTCGCACCGACCGCGGCTGAGATGAGTGCCGAAGAACACCTAGATAAGGGTATTAAATGCCACGAGGAGGGGTCCGTGAAGGAGTCGACATATCACCTACGCCTAGCTGCAAAGGGAGGCTCTCCAACAGGCATGCTCTTGTATGCCTTGGCGTGTCGACACGGTTGGGGCATGCGGCCTAACCAGAAGGAAGGCGTCGAGTGGCTACGAAAAGCCGCAGACGGCGCAAGTCTGGAAATCGCGGAGGACGAAGACCAAGTCAAGGGGGGCAAGACAGTGGATTATCACGAGCGGAAAACTCGCAAAGCGCAGTTCGCCCTGGCCATCTATGAGCTGGGTGTCAGCCACATGAACGGCTGGGGTATTGAGCAAGACAGGGCCCTCGCATTACGGTGTTTTGAAATCGCTGGCAGTAAGTTGTCTCCAAGGGTGAAATCATCGACTACATGGCTTACAGAACACAGATTGGGGCGATGTTGATGCTCTAGCTGAGGCAGGTTTCTGCTACGCTCAGGGTGTCGGGTGCAAGAAGGACTTGAAAAAGAGTGCCAAGTTCTACCGTATGGCCGAGGCCAAAGGGATGAGCATGCCCGGCAATAGTTGGTAAGTTTTAGTCGCAGGGAGCTTGAGCTTCGAAGACTATGCGCTGACTCGACTCCAGGATCCACAAGCCAAAGTACGCAGACGATGCGAGCAGCATCAAATCGAAGAAAGCTCGCAGCAAGTCCAGAGGACGCGGCATTTTCGGCAAGAAGCACAAGGAGGCCAAAGAGGCCGAGTGAGAATCTGAATCGCCACACGTCGATTCTATTTATGACTACGAAACTGGGTGTTTGGTGTTCCGGGTGATTGTAAAGTGAGGACACATTCCCGCACCATGTCTTCTGGAAGCATTGGGAAAGCAATACCTTCAAGCACGATGTCCATACTCCAACGACGTCAGCGGACCGCGCCGTGGATATCTGTATCTGAAGACGACGAACAATATCAAACTTGGGGCACTGAACGGTCATGTTGGGGCATTTGAGACAGAAGAGATATTTGGGCCCAAATTCTACGCTCATGCGAGCAACGGGTTCATAATAACCCAGCCCCCTATTCCGTGTTCGGGTTCAGAAGTCGTCCATGTATATAGCCAGAACTGTCCCGCCAATGGTCTAGGGGTTGCATTGAAGATGGGGACTGTGCGTACCTTAAGTGGACATGCCCAACAGTGGTATCTTCCAGCGGGATTCAACTTTAATTCCAAAACAGTTAAACAATATGGACGAAGAAAACCTACGCTTGTGACAGAAAGACAGGGGCTGCTAGATGAACCTGCAGTACAAACTACGATATGGGAAACCCGATATGGTCTTTCACTATCGGAGCAGCTCATGCTATGCATCCCTACTTAACTGCCGCTGACAAAGCCCATCATTGCAAATATAACCGCCTTCGAATCAAGCGTGACTTCGCTGTCCGGCATAACTCAACGTCAACCCTTTGTCCTTAAACCTCGTCACCCATTAGTCGCTGTGATCCGAGCCCTTCTACCTGCAAATGATCACAGCACCATCCGTTTACATGCTCGTGTGAAGCTTAAGCGCGGGCGGAAGGCGGCTTCCAGCCAGGGTCGCACATAGGTCCGCATTCGCTCTGGTTGCCCTGCGTGCTGAAACAACCAAGGCGGCCGTCGTGGTTCCAGAGGGCCTGGTCTACATTTTGAGGGAACGGTCAGGACCTGGTTTCAACAGCAAAGGTCCACGGCCGAGTGAGGCGTGAAATGGGTCAAGGGGAGGGGGACTTGGAAACCGGTCACTCTGCCGCAGAGCGAGGGCATTCTTGAACGTGTGACGAGCACAGGAATGAGAGTGAAACAAGACGTACTTAGGTCGACGTTGGAGGTCACCAGGTTGTTCTTGGTGTCGAAGCAGTTGCAGTGGAAGTTGAAGCTGTCGTGCATGCCCTTGAAGGTGCAGTCGCGGCACGACGTCGAGTAGCCCGGGCTGCGCACCCGGCGAGGTTAGCCGAGGTGTCAACCGAACATCGGGGGGTGGCATATCTGGTGTTTCTTACAATTTGTTGGCGACCGAGTCGTAGAGGGCCAGCTGGCCACCGTTGTTGACGACGCAGTTGTTCAGATCGTGCCCTGCGCGCTCCCCCGGGTGACGGGGGAAAAGGAGGTCAGAACAAGAAGGCCAAGACAAACTAACTCAATTCATCGCCCTGCTCGGCTTGCTCCCCCTCGAGCTGGTCCCTGTCTTTCCTTGTACCCTTTGGGCCGCTTGGCCAGGTGGGACAGCACGAGCACGGGCAGCGAGCACAGGTGGAGGAGGCTCTTACAGGTCCACTTGTAGCCAAAGTGTACCCAGTCGTTGTCGTTGCAGTACATGCCCAGGAAGTGGTCGGTCAGGTTGGCCGAGCGCCAGGTGCAGTTGCCGACGAAGCCCTGGGCCGAGACGAGGCCTAGAAGCGCGAGGCCGAGGGTCAGGATGCTGCTGAGGAGCTTCATCGTGAACGGGGTGAGAGCACAGAATGGATGGACTGCGATCCAAGATGGGGTTGGTGATGTTCCGGGACGGCTGCCTCGTGCTTGGCTGTGATGATGCGGACTTGCTGGGTAGGAAGACAGGAAGCTCGATGGCTGGATGTATGATGAGGGGCAGAGAAGGTGATTGATGGGTGACTGCGGAATATTAATACACTCCGAATGGCGTGGTTGCCTTGTTTCGGACGAGACGGTGCGTTTGGAAAGCTCCTGGGTGAATGTTGCAAAACACTGGAGCTATCGCTTCTAAGATTACTGCTGAACGACAACAATTCAGTCCTTGCTCGGCACTGGCAGAACATTAGGAGAGAGGGACTGGTGAACTACGTGTGAAATTTTGCGTCTAGAGAATGATTGTTCACGTACAGAAGTGTGAGGTCCCTGGTTCTGCTTTCGGTCTGATATTGTGTTGTCAGGTTATTCCGATTTGCATTCACAAAGCTTCCCGCTAGCCTACGACCACTGAGGAGTTCGTTGGGGAAGCTTGGTTGTATAGATCGTTGATATACCAAGTACATGCCTTCAATGACCTAGAGGCACACATAATCACGTTGCATTGGGCTACTGGACCTTCTGCTTAGGGCGAGTCACGAAAAGAAAACGACTGCAAGGAGCATACCGTGACGGGGGAAGAAGAAATCAATTTTATTGCGCCTGTAAGTAATTATGGGTAGTCCTTAAATCCAGCCGACGGCCCGTCCCTGTTCAACAAGTACGAGAACCTATCTTGCTGGGCCAATAAAATTTTAGGCACGTCCTTGTTGCCGTCGATCCTCTTGTAATACTCCCCTTCCCGTTCCCAGATATCCTCACCATCTCTGACATGCTGAGCAATGCGGTCTCGGTCGCGGAATAACTCGTGGTTCATCCACTGGTGCGAGAACGAAGACATCTTGGTGAGCAGCTCCTCAATCGTCGAGAAACAGGATGAACAGTGCCAGCCAGCGTCGTAGAGGTCTCCCGTTTCCAGCTTGATCAGAGGCTGAAAGCCTCCGTCGGAATTTCGAAGGTTGACGGGTAGAATGGTCCGCCATCCCTGGTAGTACGTTGCCTGGGGGTGAGCCCACTGCTCGCCCACATGCAAGAATTGGAAGCTGTAATAGTAGAAATGACTCCTGAGGTTGAGTCTTCGGGGGAAATCGCATGCCTTGAGCAAAACAATGGTCTCGGGACGGATGATTTCGTCGACGTCAGCCACGATGATGACATCCCCATTCACTGGCGCTCGAGCATCCTTCAGTCGCGGCAAGACTTGATCGTACATGGCATTTCTTTGCAGATCCTCCCAGGCCCATGCTGGGTTGTCCCGATCAGAATGGAAGCCATCTGGAATTTCGAGCTGGTGGTAGATGATTTTGTCGCGATAGGCAGCAAACTTATCCAAATTATCCTTGATGACAAGTGGCTTGTCGAGGTTGGTGAATGTCTTTGGAGACTCGACAATGACAAAATAGTCAACAACTTCGTAAGTCGTATTCAGCCGGATCTCAAGCCAGTCCAACTCCGTATTCACCATGAGCAGGTCATACACGCGTCTCCCATTGCCCTTGAATGGCTTCCACCCATGTTGCTGGCAAAGAGCTTGCCGGGCCGCGGTCTGGCTGATATCAAGATGAGAATCGAAAGACAGCACCCTGTGTTCTGACCGATCGGTCCAACTGGGGTTCAGCCAGATCAGAAGCAGTACCGTGAAGCCCAAGACAAGCCCGACTCTGAGGGCGCCGCCCCTTTTGCTGAGGCGCATCTGAGACCCTTTAAACCTTAAGCGAGGAAAGAAAGTTCAATCGGCCGAACCTGGTAAGCGCATGTTCGCATCGATCGCGGCAGAAAGAGTTGGCGATAATGTAAATGAATGAATGAATGAATGAATGTTAATCAAGAAGCCTAGCAGCTCATAGGAGTTCTCTCCGTACCATCGTGAACCGCGGATCTGATGGATGTCAAAGTCAGCAATCGCTGTGTCGCTCAGACACGACTTGCCCAAAGATTCAAACGGGAATTGGCCTTTGGCACGTTGAGGCCGAAACGGGCTAGCGTCCCATTCAGGGGGCTTTTGCTAACGAATACGGGGAAAGTAAAGCACAGGCCAGTAGCGATTGCGGCGCTCGGCTTTGAGCCGAGATGGACATAATTAGGCCATCTGCAGTACTGTACCAAAATCTAAGCAAACAGCTCGACCTTTGCGGTTGCAGAGCCGCGCGGTACATGAGACCGCAATACACCGGGAAATACACTCTGAACGCCACAATTTTCAAAGAAAAGGAAGAAGAGGATGCTACCGTATCAGGCCAGCGTCGCTCTTAGGCGTGCAAGAGCTGGCTTCTCACTGCCAAAATGCCCCTCACCGGGATCACAGCCAATGAAATTGGGGCTCGCGGGCCGGCCCTTGGCTCTCTCCGATATGCAACGCCGTGGAATACCGAGAGTAGCAGCTATATCAACGGCCCCAAAACGTTACACAGCACAGACCCTACAGCCGTCACGTTCGAAATCAACAATAGGATCAGCCACCATGGAGCAAGACACCCCTGTGCAGAGCATGAACGGGGCCGCTGTATCTGCGTCGAAATCTACTACCTGGCTTGGCCGTCAGGGAGCTGCTGCCTTTGACCTGCGGAGTCAGTAACTGCAGTCCGGACATGTCGTCAGTGACCTTACTGACGTATGCCCACAGGCGACACTCAGACAACGCCAACACTGGAGATGCTGAGAGCTATCGAAGTCACGACTCTAGACGATGATGTATATCATGAAGACCGCACGACTATAGATCTCGAGGACCACATAGCGGCGTTGACAGGAAAGGAAGCCGCTCTCTTTGTCGTCTCTGGGAGCATGGGCAACCAATTGGCCCTCCGATCCTTACTTACACAGCCACCACATGGTGTGCTCTGTGATCATCGTTCCCACGTCAACAGATATGAAGCGGGAGGGTAAGGGATGCTTCTTCAAAACCATGGCCCATGTCGACTAACTTTCTCCAGTGTTGCATCGCTTTCTGGCGCCATGGTCGAGGCAGTAGTCCCCAAGAATGGCGTACACTTGACTTTGGAGGATGTCAAGGAGAACGTGTGCCTTGGCGATGATGTCCACGTCTGCCCCACCAAAGTCATTAGCTTAGAGAACACCCTGGCTGGTATGATCATGCCACTTGACGAAGTCAAGAGGATATCTGCTTTTGCGAGGGAAAACAACATAAAGATGCACCTAGACGGTGCCCGCCTGTGGGAGGTTGCGTCTTCTGGCGGCGGTTCACTGGATAGTTTCGCCGCCTGCTTCGACACGGTGAACCTGTGCTTCTCGAAAGGTCTTGGCGCCCCAATTGGCTCCATCATTGTTGGCTCTAAAGACGTGATCAAACACGCTCGGTGGATGCGGAAAGCAATTGGTGGAGGACTTCGTCAATCCGGCGTTGTCACGGCCGCTGCCAGGGTCGGCGTCGATACCACCTTTGGGAAGGGCCCGAACGGCGAGGGCGGGCTCTTGAAGACCTCACACGCCATGGCGAAGCGTGTTGAGAAGATCTGGACAGATCTCGGGGGCAAGATGCTGTACCCGGTTCACACCAACATGCTCTGGCTCGATTTAGAATCCATGAACTGCAGTGGCAGCAGATTGAACGCGCTAGGAGCCGAGCAGGGGCTGAAGCTGTCAGGAAACCGCATCATCACCCATTACCAGGTGGGCGAGGAGGCTATTCAGCGCTTGACTAATGTCTTCCAGAAGGTGGCAGAGGAAAAGACAAATGGCCACGATCTCAAGCGGAAGGGCGATGACATGGAGAGCGGCATCTACAAAAAGTGAAGATAGGACGAACATAGTGCACGGCAGGAATAGATAGAAGCTTGATGTATATAATACTGGCTATGCAAGAGATCAAAGGCAGGATCACTTTAGAATACGACTGCGCATCCCTCGACTTCGTGGCCTTTGCATAAAATGTACACCGAGGCACGAATTATCTCCTATTCATATCAGCTGGTTTGACGTAATTCAATCGAATGCTAGCAGTCCATTGGTCTCCTTGATCAAACGCAAGACAATCCTAGCAATATTTCACAAAGTAGTGTGGGACAATTGCCAGAGAAGGCTTCTACTTTAAGTGACTCCGGAGACCACGAGGGGTGGGAGGCGAAGTTCGCTGCAAATCGTAAGGTCTTCAATCGTTAAGATCTTTGTAGTGCGCGGCCCAAGAAAATTGATTACTAGTCCAAGTTTCAGCTTTCAGTCGAGAGGATGACTAGTGTCATGAGAACCAGTTTCATTTGATTCGCTCTGTTTATACTATCTTAACCTGATATATGTCATGGACGCACTACACCTGTGACGTCTGAAATAACCCTGAACGCCTATGCTAATCGCCATAGATATGCTTGTAACTTTTACCGGTAAATATTGTATGCACCATGGTTGCCCTGCTCACAACATGGCGCCTCTATACACTACATGTGAAGGCGACGCTACGAAGCATCAACCCAGAACGCCAAAGATCCAGGCATCGTGTGCTCATTTCGGGCGCAGCAAGGGGTGTGCCTCCGTATTCAACACATATTCGTCGAGGCTGATCAGGTCCGGTGACGAAAATATCAGCCAGAAGTATTTGAGAGTCTCTGAAAACCAGAAACTCTCCATGGAGTCTAGCTTTTGGGTTTCCCCGGTGACGGTAACATCACTGATAGCCGAAGCGGCGAGCTCGGTTTCCGTCGCATTCTTGATGGACTGGAACATTCTCCACGCTATTTCCTGGTATTCCTCCTTGCCTGTCATGCGATACATCAGGAAGATGCTCTCGATAGCTTCAGGCCGGAGCAGATAACGAGGATCTCGGGCGTTTCTGAAGCCTTTCCTGAGCTTAGGGTCGCCTTGTTCCCTCCAGACCTCCTCATTCCAAGGGCAAGGCTCAAGGCTAGGACAGCGCAAGAGACCGTATATCTCTGGCATGATACCAGTAGGGAAAGAGTCGTATACCCAGGCACAGCCCTTGGCGATCTTTTCACCAATCGTTACGTGGTCTGGAATGTCAAATAGCTTGCCACCAAGCCCATACATGCCGCCAACGAAGCAGGACAGGTGTTGACCTTCAGTCTTAAGTAGGGGTTCATCTGCAGCATCTACAGTGACGTCGCCTGTGAAGAGAATATCGTCCTGGTTCGGCGTCATTGGACGGTACAGAAGATGTTTGGTCACTGTATCCATGGCACCACGATACATGCTCTCATACATGGGCACACCCCCGGTGATAGCAAACATCTTCGGCAAATACTCGTACAAAGAATCAGCCAATGCGCCAAGCGTGAAGTCGCTCTCATAGGATAGGTCTAGAGACTGCATATTGGCGAATGTGGGCCACATACCGCGCAGCCTCGTGGTATTCTGTGTCCTCTGCAAGAACTGTGAGACCCTGTCGATTGCGTCGTAGTACTTGTCATCCCCCGTAAGCTGTGCCAAGCGGGTGAACTCAACACCAGAGGAGGTGACAGATGCAGAAGGCTCGTGGCTGCCGGGTTGGATTGTGCCATCTATAGCCTTCTGAAAATCCAACCAGAATGGCGGCATGCGATTGGGGGTGTCGAAACCGGCGTAAAGCAAGTCTCCTATCTCGATGGCCTTTTTGAGCAGCGCGGGCTCTTTACTCAGGTCGTACGCGCTTAGCAGGCCGCCAAGATGCCGGATCGTCGTTTCGAAAAAGTTGATAGCTGTTTCTTTTGTTTCCCACTTGATCGTTACAGCGGCGGCGACAGCGAGGTAGAACTCTTCTTTAAGGCCCATCATCCATAACGTATCCAACGCATCAATGACTGTGGCAGCCCAGCCGCCGAAGGTGTCCTTGCCCTTCCCGGAGACGGGCTCCAACTCATCATATAACCATGCATAAGTCTTATAACTATTCCAGCTCTTTAGAAAGGTATCTTTAACGACGGACCGTCGGTCTGCTAGAGTCGCCTGTCTGGTCTTGTTTGGTGTCGGTGCGGAGGCAAAATCGAATTGTACCTTGGGCATTTTGCGAAATGGTCCCTTGGGCACAGGGGTTATTTGCGAAACGGGATGTCTCTGAGGCAGCGCCGACCAGTCGTAGGTGCCGGTGACATATTCGAAGCTATAGAGCGGTTCCTGGTTTCGAGGGAGGTAGACGACAAGGGCGTAGAAGATAAAGATGCCACCGAGCACTGACAAAAGTCGTGTCGGTCGCTGGAACAGGGCCACCATAGTCGGTCGTATAGTTCGCTGGAGGTAGAACAGTCGAGGCTCTTGACGAATATGGAAGAAGAGAGCTGTGCCAGTTGGTCCCCTCACGTTGTCACAAGCCAGGCTTGCCCGGGGACGGCTGCTGCAGAGGCAGAGGACACTGTTGATCCGACTGCCAACAACAGTCTGGTCCACCACAGCTTGAAACAGCCGTGGTTACTGTGTCTGAGACTGACTTGGCCGGATGGGCCACTCATGGGACCCCTGCCCAGCGGGTGGCGCTCATTCGCGGGCGCTAGCATTAATCTCCCCTTGCACCAACTCAAATCCAACAACAGCGCCCATGATTGGCTCCCTCGTCCCAATATAATGGTAAATCCAATGGCGGGCGCTAAATACTGTGCAGGAACTGTGTTGGTTGTAATGGAGAGTGGCACAGCAGGTATGACATTTCGGCTCTTTACTATGTGTTAACCACCGCCGCAGAGTTAGTCACGAAGAAATACAAATATGTTATTACCGCTCGACATACCCTTCTCTGGCTTTGTCAATATTTTAGCGGCCGCGACAATCTCTATGCTATATGGAGACGGTAAATAGTATGACCTGAAAGCACGCCGTCTCCCACAACGACGCACTATGAACGGAGTTGCTGTCAATCGCCTAGTTGATGCGCATCATGTGCTCACATCCCAAGCAATCTTCTAATGCAACGTCTGTGCCGCGGATTTCACGGATTGACTGATGCAATCCATCATCAAGCAGATGTCACACGATTTATCGTTGTGTTTCTTCCTTGTACTCAGGTATTTGGCTGTTGTATCATTAAAGCAACCGAATGGCCCATGTTCAGGCATACCAACGACCATCTACTGGCTCTTGGACGTTATCTTCTTCTACTCCAAAACTCAGATGCGCCACAGATTGCGGAAAGTTCTCATATCTCGCGCACCATTCAATTCCCATTTCCACTTCACCCCACTTAATCCGACTCTGGGATATCAACAGACGTTGCTGATCTTCGGACAGCGGTAGAACAAAAAGATCGTCGCTACTGTCGCGCCGGAGCAACTCGCTGCCATCTTGGTTGAAACTTCGCTCCAAGTCCGTGACGCTTTCCGTTTGATCGGAAGGACACACAACCGTTGCGGGCCCACTATTCTCTGTCGCAAATCTCACCTCTCTCTTGTTAACATAGTCGCCCTTGTGACTTTTGACAGCCTGGTGGTATTTCGTTTGGTTTCGATCACTGGGCTCGCTGATTTTCGAAACTGTCGAAACATGGCATGCCGCTGAGATGGCGGCGGAATCACTTCCCACCACTGTCGTATTGCCTTCCATGCGAAATAAGCCTATAACGATTGGAGCTAGAATGATCACAGTGAAGACTACAATACAAGATAGGATGGCGGCTTCTGAATAACCAAATGCGATGGCCATATCTGGCTTCAAAGCATCATCATGAACTGCATGGAAAGTATTCGGGTTGAAGTAGTCTTTGACCATATTAACAATTTACCTGAGCCAGCATTAACAGAGACATACCTCCTTCAGTAATGATGATGTAAAATGCGTTGGACAAGATCCAGTGCAAGATTATGCTTCCCAGTATAAGCGAGATGCTATACCTATAAGGCAATTGCAGGCGGTACGTTGCGTATTGTTGTCCCCTAGTTTCGTCAGATAAGCACACGCCTTGCTTTCTTCATATCTATGCCGCATAGCTCACTTTGGTTTGGTGACCCTCAGTCCACTGTATCCGGTGCTCATTAGCGCCCACTCCTTCCCCATCCGCATTCTTGTGAACAGGTTGTTGTACAAGAGATAGCAGAAAGAGAGGATAAGTTGGGGGCTACTCACAAGCAGAACTCCGGAAAGAAGACTGCCTGCTACATTACGAGAGACTATTGGGTTTGTATCGCTTTGAACGAGAGTAGTCTGACTGAAGAGAGCAAACCCATCAGCCACTATCGGACAAATGCCTCTCAATTCAGACTCACTCTAGACGGCCTGTTCCAGTCACCACGACTAACCCGAACATTGCAATGGACAAGAAGATGAAAAAGATAGCATAGGTAGTCAGCCAAGACAACTTGGGCAACGAAGCACCAGCAATGATGCGCCTGGTGCAAAGTACGGCCCACGATGGAGAAAGTCTTCGGTAGCAATCGTTACCTGATAGGTTCCCCCTCGGTTATCAGTTTGAAAGATAGTGCTGTTAAACAGAAGGTGAATTGGTATGGAGCTCAAGAAGAAGACAGTCCAAGAATAGGTCTTGAACCTCGATACTTGAAATGCGTTACGCCATGACGGAACTCCAATGTCAAGCCACGAGCCCCGGCTGTGAGCTTCAATCACTTCATCTCTTGTAGGAGCATTCAGGATTTGCATGAAGAAGTTGGAAGAAGCCAGAATTGCGGTAGAGAGAATGTTGAGTAGCAAGTGCAATGCCAGGTTCAAGCGACTTGCACTTCCGGTGCCACATCGGCCTGAGTAGAACATCAGTGTTTTGTTGAGGCCACCAGCCTTGACGGATGCCACGATAACCAGTGGGATAAAGAATGCGGCAACCACGGCCATGAAAACAGTATTAAAAATAGTAGCATGTCGCCAATCGATTGTGTTTATTTGTGAGCGAAGTCGCTTCCACGCTGAGCACCTGTTTTGAAGCAGTTCACGATGCATGGTGCGGCAATGAAACAGTAGGGAAAGGAACTCATCGAATGATAGTGATCCCTGCCCGCAATTGTTTCCTTCGTATTCTCCATTCGTAAGACCCAGAGTTAGGCGGGTTTTATGGCTCAGATCGGCTTCTTGAGATTTTCACTTATCTGTGAAGGTTTGGGTCACGTTCAGCTACCTTTCGGCCCCCATTCGGTCACAATACGGTGGCCTATATGTACTTTGCCCTCAATTGGCGACTACAGCATGGATCTGCGCCTCAAAGCTCATCCTTCCCAAAGGACAAATATAGTCTATAAGCTATCATCGCATCTGACTGGTCTCGATTTGCAGGGGACAGTAGCGAAACGGCTGACTGTTCCAGGCAACTTTCAATGGGCATAGCCATATGATCTTCGCATAACTGTCAGATTAGCTGACTGAGAATGCCAAATTGCCAAAGAGGTGGTTTTGATGGATCACTGTTTTCGGTGTTGCGGGACACGCAACCATTTTGTAGCTCGGATGGTTTACCTAAGACGCCATGATATGTTTGTGATCGTCTTTACTTATTGAGAAAATTTCATCTTCTTCTGCATTCTACTGCTGCAATCAATACCACAGATCCTCATCCTCCCACTACTGGCGGTTGCTTGGAGTCAAACTGAGCTCTGAATAGTATGGCAATCTCGGTAGCAACCACATTCACGTAGAAATGAAGCCCGGAAGTTCAAAATGTTGAATGAGGCGTCTTAGTCCAAATTCGAATCCAATTGGCAATAGCTTGGTATGTATGCATCGAACACTGCGCTGGCATCAGCCTAAGTCAACATATTGAGAAACCCATGAGACCTCGAGCCGCACGGCTTGTGGGAGTAAATGCGTAAGTTCACAGGCCCGTTTACATTGCACTAGTGGGGGCTGGTACTACAGGTGCGTTTTTGGCAAAGTATACGAACACCTGGTTCCCATAAGAGCACAAGCCCATCCTTTGTCTAGAGCAACGAAACAATATGCGCTGCCCAAGTCACGGCGATAGAAGAGCACTCGATCCTGTCGTCGTATGATCGGGATTAGTACGAAGATCCTTGACGAAAATATTGATTTGCACCATGTTAGACATAATCGGACCTTTCGGTGCGGCTAGGCATGCCAAGTAACGCCGCTGACCGCCTAGGAAGCACTACAGTCTTGATTTCCAACATCATCAACCCTGGGACTCGCCATGTCCCCCGCCTCTCGGCCTGCCTCGCCTACTGTCTCTGGGGTTCAGACTTGGGGAAGTCGCTGCTGCACTCTCGGTGACGTCACCCTTGGGCGAGCGTCTGTCCAAAGGCCGTTGGGGCGTTGAAAAGGTCTCCAACTCTCCAAAATGCGGGGAAGCTGCAAGCCACAGCGGCACGAACGGCCGGGCGAGGTTCCATTCCCGTGGGATCTATCTCAAGACCATCGAAGTTTCTCACGTTTATCGCCGTGAATCACCATGATCGTGTATCTTCCAAGGCTCGTCGAGCAAAACAGGTCAGGCCATGATGCTTCAGGCCAAAAAGCACCGTAATTTTTGGGCGGGAATGGAGGTCGTAGCTGGGGGGTTTTGTCAGATCTGCAAGGTCGACATTCAGCTCAGCTGCATTTCTCTAGCGGCCCCGGTCAGTTCGCGATCACGGCACCACCGCGCGCTACCCATGTGGGCATGCAGGTGCAGATTCCAAGGTTCTGCTAGGCAGGCAGATCCCGTCAGGACTTACGTATATTACATGTAAGAATGGCCTTGCCTGACTTTCAGCTCACCTCCTAAAGTTGTGACATGCTTACTCTTCCCTGTGTTCCTTACTCATCGTAATGCTCATTGCGTTGAGGTTGTGGATGAGGTAGCTTAATATACACGACACTATCTCAACTTGATTTCTACGTGCCCTGGCCCTTTCTTTCTGATTCAGATCTCACATCCGACAAGTCGGGGAAGCATTTTGAACCCGCTGCAGAGATGCTGCATACTCCGGTATGGGCAATTGCGGCCCTAGTCCCATTGGCATCTATTGTACATGGGCTGTATACCAATGGCTCGGTCATCGCACCCTGCGATTCACCTTTATATTGTCAAGGTGACATTCTGAAACAAATCGAGCTCGCACAGCCGTTTTCCGACTCGAAGACATTTGTAGACCTGTAAGTTGTTTGACTCCTTAAACTGGGGCCTGCTGACAAGGCACAGGCCTACCATCCGCCCTCTGGACGAAGTTATTGCTGCGTTCAACAACCTGTCAAAGCCGTTGAGTAACAATACAGAGCTGAATGACTTCCTCACAACATACTTTGGGCAAGCTGGTTCAGAGCTGACTGCTGTTCCCACGGACCAATTGACAACCGACGCCGCTTTCCTGAATAAGACGGAGGATAGTGTTATCAAGCAGTTCACACAAAAAGTTATCGACATTTGGCCGGATCTCACGAGAGAGTATGTCGGAGCTGGAAACTGCTCAGGTTGCGTCGACAGTTTCATTCCACTAAATCGCACTTTCGTCGTTGCAGGAGGAAGGTTCAGAGAGCCTTACTACTGGGACTCATTCTGGATCTTGCAAGGACTTCTGAGGACCGGAGGCAGTTTCACCGAGATCTCGAAGAACATCATTGAGAACTTTCTGGACCTTGTCGATCAATTCGGCTTCGTACCTAACGGCGCCCGGTTGTACTATCTCAATCGGTCCCAGCCTCCGCTTCTGGCGCAAATGGTGAAGACCTACGTGGAGTATACGAACGACACCAGTATCCTGGAGCGAGCCGTACCTCTTCTGATCAAAGAGCATGACTTCTGGGTGCAGAATAGAAGCATTGCAATCACTTCCGGTGATAAAACTTACACGCTCAACCAGTGAGTTGCTCCTGGAAGTATACTCTGTTCTTATACTGAGAAGTTTGTAGCTATGGCGTGCAGAATAATCAGCCTCGCCCCGAGTCTTTCCGGGAAGATTACATCACAGCCAACAACAAGTCATACTACGCGACCTCGGGTATTATCTACCCTGAAACGAAACCACTCAATGACTCAGAAAAGGCCACATTATATGCCAACTTGGCTACTGGTGCAGAGTCCGGGTGGGATTATAGTTCGCGCTGGCTGTCGAACCCCAGCGATGCAGCAGACGATGTGTACTTCCCTTTACGTTCTTTGAACACCATTAACATCGTCAGCGTCGATCTGAACTCGATTCTGTATGGGAACGAGATCACTATAGCTGAGTATCTTGAGACAAGCGGCAACGACACTGGCGCTGCATCCTTCCGGGAACAAGCAAAGTCACGGTCTGAGGCGATGTATGCGTTGATGTGGAACGAGGACTACAGTAGCTACTTTGACTACAACATGACGTCTGGGTCACAGAGCTTGTATGTCCCCGTAGACTCGGATACGACGGCTGCCCAAAAGGCCGGCGCGCCAGAAGGCTATCAGATTGCCTTCCACGTTGGTCAATTCTATCCTTTCTGGCTCGGCGCAGCGCCTTCACAGCTGAAGAACAACCCTCTGGCAGTCAAAATCGCCTACCAAAGAGTCGCAGACCTGCTCACAGAGAAGGCCGGTGCCATTGCAGCGACGAGCTTCCAGACGGGCCAACAATGGGACCAGCCTAACGTGTGGCCGCCACTGATGCATATACTTATGCAAGGGCTGCTCGAAACGCCACCAACTTTTGGGGAGGAAGACCCTTATTGGATCGAGACACAAGATCTAGCCTTGAGACTCGGGCAACGATATCTCGACAGCACGTTTTGCACATGGCGTGCGACTGGAGGTTCAACAGACGATGAGCCCCAGCTTCAAGGCTTCAACTCTTCTGACGTTGGCATCATGTTTGAGAAGTACGGAGATAATTCTACCAACGCTGTTGGCGGCGGAGGCGAGTATGAGGTAGTCGAAGGCTTCGGCTGGACTAATGGCGTGCTGATCTGGGTCGTTGATACCTTCAACACCAAGCTTCAGAGACCAGACTGTGGGAACATTACTGCGGCGAATCTGAATGAAAGGAGGGATGTGAAGCCGAGGGCCGTGGAGCTGCATGCATCTGATTCAAGATGGGTCAAGAAATTTGGGAGACGCTCCGAGATGATGTAATTTTTGCGAGCGAAGTATCTACGAAGTCGAGGATTGATATCTCGCCAGTAACATGATTGACGGTGACTTGAAGTGTTGGGATGTCTGCAGTGAGTTTTGTTTTGTTTTGCGCCAAAAAAGCATCGCAGCTTATTCGATTGGAGACGCTTTCTGAAACATGAGGAATTGGCTTACAGCAAAAACATGTATGTCCATGCCAGAGTGATTATAACGACACCGAGTCCATGCCAACGCCTTTTCTCCACATGCCAGGTATAGCGAATGAGAATCCCCTGAGCCAATAAGCTGGGGTGGGGGGCCTTGGCGGATTGGGCTGTCGCTACTGATCTCCCTAACGGGAAAGGCAACTGCGCTTGGCAGCCAGTCCACCAGCTCCTCTCCAGGCAGTTCTTGACTCATGCTATTTCCGTCAAACTGGCAAGTGCTGGCTTCCCAGCGCGAGGCTAGGCAGAACAGCTCCATTCGAGGCGGTGTCGGGACGGGCACCTGATCTCGCGTGTCTATCGTGTTGGCGGATCCCTGTCGCTCCAGGCAGAACAGCCCCGGCGACCTTGAAGATCGCGGTTGGTGGCGCTTTCAGCTCCTAAACCTCGTTACTGTTAGCAAATAAGCTAGTACAGCCCAAGACCGCAAACCCCAGGCCAAGCTGCTGAGCCAGGAGTCAAGAACGTATAAAAATACAACTCATTTCCACAGCAGATGTGAGACTGGCCACAGATTCCCTTGCCTCACGTTTCATGATCTCTTTGCCTCTGTAATTCCTACCATATCCCGAAACCCAATTGCCTCTGACAAAAGCAATCGAGTGCCCTGAACACGCATTTTCCCTTCCCAGAATCCGGACCTGGCAACACCTCATCCAACAGCAGCTATGGCGGCAACAGAACTACCAAAGCTCCCGGTTCCTCACAATGAGCTTGCGAGCTTCATTGCAAAGAATCCTCAAACGCCTGTGGAGGAGTTGATAGGTCCGTACCGCAAGTATGAGGCTAAGCTCCGTCATCTGTACGCCCAGGACCGGAACAATGCCATTCTTGACGATCCTCACCTCAATGTCTTGCCACTCTTCACCAAGGATACCCCGGATATCAAGACTCGTGCCCGAGATCTTGATTCAGAATCTGCAGAGGAGAAGGAAAAGTATATCATGTCTCTCCCGGAGGATAAGCGTCGAGCAAATGGGTCGCCTGCTGTCGTGGAGTCTCTGAAGGAATTCCGACACAACTTTAGCGTCTTCTCAGAGTCTTCGCTGGTAGACATGGATTGGAGCAATGTCGTGGCTGCTGGTTCATCCGCGGTTAACTGTCTCTTACCCGTGCCTGCGGAATACAAGAAGTCCAAGAGAGCTCTGCGCTCATACTGTGAGCTACTTGCGACCTCCAGATATAGCGTGTCACTAACGTGATCAGATCATGAGATATTTGCTCCGGCTTCTGACATTGACCTCTTTCTGTACGGGCTTGACGAGCAACAGGCAATCGAGAAGATCAAGCAGATCGAGGCCAACGTGCGGGATGCAATTCTATCCGAGACCACGGTCGTTCGCACCAAAAATGCAATCACCATCTGTAAGAGGACTGACCAACCCAAGGATCGGCCTCATTCCAGCTAACATACATGTCAGGCAGCCAATATCCAACGCGGCACATCCAGGTTAGAACAAATGCCCACGAGCTTGCTTCTCTTGCTAACCCAATTCAAGATTGTGTTGCGAGTCTACAAGAACGTGTCCGAAATCCTGACTGGATTCGACATTGACTGTTCCGGTGCTGCTTACGATGGGACCCAGGTCTACTGTACGCCAAGGGCACTGGCGGCCTATATCACTCAAGTCAACCCCATCGACCTGAGCCGCAGAAGTCCTTCATATGAAAACCGCCTGTCAAAGTACAGCCATCGCAATTTTGAAGTCTATTGGTCTGAGCTCGATCGCTCAAGAGTTGATCCCACCATCTTTGAGCGCAGTTTTGGAAGAACTCTGGGCCTTGCGCGTCTACTTGTCTTGGAGCGGTTGCCGACCACCAATGCTCGAGAAGAGTACCTCAAAAAGCGCAGGGAAGAGCGTGGCCGCCCGGAGCTTAGCTTCACGTATCATTACAAGCTTCACGGGAATATCAAGGATGACCACGAAGATGAAGTTGCTGACTGGGTCAACGAAGACGAAGTCTCAAACTACCACACTTTCTCTGTTCCATACGGCGAGAGGTTCAACGCCAAGAAAATCGAGAAGCTGTGTTATACCAAGGATCTGTGTAAGATTACCAGCCATTAGGCTGCCCCAGCCCATTCCGTTGTCCATTCAGAGCTTTGTCTGAAACTGACATCTGTTGTAGTGCTCAACGCCGAATGGAACCAGAACGATGATCGCGAGGTTTACCTTCACAGGCATCCAGCGTTCTTCGGTCGTGTGGAGGACATCATCACAGACTGTTGTGGCTTTTGTCCCAAGCCGGTGACCGATGAAGAAATTGAGATTGCCGAGAAAGAGAGTGAGATATACGTATCCGGCAATGTTTCCTTCCGGATTGACGACCCCGGACGCCAGGTAACACATGTTCCGAAACGCTTTAATTTTCCCAGCTGACGATCTATAGCAAATTGGCTCCTTCAACCCTCTCACTGATGACGATTGGACTGAAATGGTAGGTTTCACTGGTGAACTTGAATCGAATTTTTCTGACAATGAAATCAGGCGTACGTCGGCAATACAGCACGGCTGTGCCAAGCGATCGTTGACAAAGATCTGGAACATGTTCAGGACTGGCTGTCACAAGAGGGCGCAGACCCTAATCAGAGGGATTATACGGGCAGAACGCCTTTACATCTTGCTGTCATCAGTTCTACACCAGAGATTGTGCAGTGTTTGGTGGACCATGGAGCAAGACTCGTTGCCCGTTTGGCTGATGGTAGAACTGCACTTCATCTTGCAGCTGCCAGAGGCAGCGTAGAAATGGTGAAGATTCTTCTTGAAAAGAGTTCCGCCAACGAGGAGGAGGAAGAAGACAAGCAAGACAAGCGCCGAAAAGCTCGTGCTGCTGAGAAGGCCGCATTGAAGAAAGCCGGTGGCGACGCGGAAACAGATGAAGACTCAGAAGATTCGGACGGCGAATGGATTGCTGATGATGAATCTGAGGATGGAGTCCAGTCTGTTGTAACGGGCTCATTCGTCAAAGTCCCTGAGAACGACGGAAAGAACACTTCAGAGGACGTGGTGCTTGATGACAACGAATCAGATCCAGACTTCTACAATGTGGATGTTGTCGCTTGGGATTCACACTGCAGTGCTCTGCATCTTGCAATCCTCGGTGGCCATACAGAGGTTGTCGAACTCCTGTCGCAAGAGTTCGCCGCGGATATTTTGATGCCGGTCAAGTCGGAACCCCAGAAAGCCATCTTGACCTTGGTGCTTGCTTTGGCACTGCCAATGGACAAAGCTGTCAGTATGGCCGAGTTGCTGCTGGCTCTCGGTGCGACCTCTTCTCAAGCAGATGCCGACAGTATTACCGCTTTCCATCGCTATGTTCAGAATGGAAACCACAAACTTGTCGAGACCTTGTGGGAAAATGATAAGATGGGGCTCAAGACAGCGATCAATCATGTCGCTGTGAACGGTAGCACTTGGAACCCCTGTGCAACAACGCCTCTTATGACGGCAATCGACAAAGCGGACCCGATCTTGGTACTTCGACTACTTGAGGCAGGTGCCAATCCCCAGATCGACTTCGAGTCGTGGCTGAAAGGCGCCAAGATCTCCTTCGAGAGTAGCTTGAGTGATTACGAGAGCAATCAGAAGAAGTTCAGGTCATCGACTGAGCAGCCTCTCATCATCGCAATCCAATCTACCCATCCTGCTAGCGCCTTGAAGCTTCTGGAGAAGGGTGCCGATCCTAACGTTATTACCAAGGGGAGCCATGACTTGATCCATAACGAGTGGTCACGACGATATAACAAAGGACATGCTGCGATTGATGTAGTTCGAAACTGTATCAAAGCATTGAAAAAATACAAGGGTGAGAAGACGAGGTTCAGCAATCCACTGAGCGCCCAATCCTGGCGCTCAGAGCAACTCTATGAGGCGCCAAAGCTGCCAGAGACTTTAACCTCTTTCGCGCAGAAGTTCCAAGAGGGTACCTACCAGCAGTGGGTAGTTTCAGCCGACGTGAATTCCAAAGTCAAGTCCTTCAATCGGGAGGTGGAAGTGTTCAACAAGGAACGTGAGGAGCTTACCAGTGCCAAGGGTCTCAATGAGAAGAAGGAAGCTATCGCCGACTTGATAGTACAGCTTGAGGAGGTTGAGAAGGCTCTGATAGAGAAAGGTGCTCTGACTTTCGCCCAACAGTATCCTGAGATACAGGCTCCTCCAGAATCGAACAGCTCATCAAACGGCGATGCAGCGTCTCACGAGTACCAATATGATTTTAACTTCAGGGGTACCACAGACGTCACCGAGACCCGGAAAGCCGCATACATTGAGCTGTGAGTCCTTTTGTCGTGAAATTGTAAGCGAGAACATCCAAAGCTGACAGCACCACAGATTCGAGGCAGCATGGAACGGTGACCTCGAGAAAATAAAATCACTCACGTTGTCATCTTGGGGCACAGATGCCTCCGAAGCTCCATTGAAGTTGGCAGTCAACGACCCAGCTGGCAACACTCCATTCTCATTGGCCTTCCTTAGAGGCCACCTTGACGTTGCGAAGGGTGTCCTTGAAATTATACAAGCCCAATGGGCGCCTCCAGAAGAGAAGAAAGCACGCTACCGAATGGCGGGCGATGACAACGACAACGATGAAGATTCTTGTGAGGATTCGGAAGCTGATAGTGACGACGAAACCCCTGGCATCCATAAGGAGATCCTGGATAACAAGGTCACCATTGATAACATTGGGGAGGTATCGATGCAAGTCAAGAGCGATGTATTGGCAAAAAGCTTTTTGTACAGGCTCGTGCCGACTTTTGTCATGGTCGATGGTAAAGCCGAGGAACCAAGTGGTCACAGTAATCTGCTTCAGTTTGCCATCGACAAGAACGACAGAGACCGCTTCGACTTCATCGTCAACACCGACATCTACTTCACGAGCAACAAACCGGACTCCATGGAAGAAGACGAGTCTGCCAAGTTTTATGCCTTTCCAGAAAGCGAGTTCGAGCGCGCTGTCAAAGCTGGTCGCACAGAAATGCTGTCAGATATCATCAAACGGGCCGGTGCCGGAATTCCCTTGGAGCACCTCGTCAAGAAGAGCGGCGTGGAGATGAAAACCAAACCCCGTTACTATCAAGGACTCACTGTCTACGGTAAGAAGCGATCTGATTGGGCCAACGCTGGTCGTAACCTGATGGTAAAGGCCACCGGGACCCATGTACCACCGCTGCTTACGGCTGCCATCAATGGATCCCTCGCTTCTGTGGAATGGTTCCTGAGTGACACTCCGACGAGGCAATATCTCGAGTTCGGAAAGTCCAAAGTGGCAAAGGAGGACCCACGTTTGAAGCATCTGGTTCAGTCTCCTGGAGGATTTGATAGGGCCATCAACAAATGGCTGGGCCTCCAAAGTAAGTTCGCTGAACGCTATGTTGGCTACACATACTAAATTCAATGTAGACGATCTAGTCATCCACTGCGCTGTGATGGGCCCTCTCGGCGACGAGACGAATCGTCTCCTTGCATACCTAATCAAGGTCTGCCCTTCTTCCCTCGAGACAAAGTCGGAGCAAGGCTTTACGCCATTGTTCCTGGCATGTTTGCTTGGGCGTGTTCAATTTGCCAAGACGCTGATTGACGCTGGCGCGAATCAATGTGTCAAGGATACTGATTACAAGAACATAGTCCATGCGGCTCTTACCAATCTCGGCGCTCCGCTTGACAAGCTTCGGGAGCTCCTGAACCTTCTTGATCCCGAACTCAGGTCGCATCTCTTCGTTCAACGGAGCCACCTTGGATCGGGCGGTGAAACGCCCTTACACATGTGGCTCACCACGGCGAATCCGTCGCCGAATGATCGTTACAACTATAGCTGGCAGCGAGATCAGCCTGAGAACGAAGACAACGTCAAGATGCTTCAGTTGCTCCTCGAGTTCTCCAAGGGACAGGAGCTTGGCATAATGAACGGTGCGGGAGATACCGTACTTCACAGCGCTGTGCTTCACCAGCTGCCAAAGCACATGAAAGTTATCCTGGAGCAGGACCCCAAGCTTCTGTATCGCGAGAACTCTGTCGGCCGGACCCCCGTCGAGATTGCTTACGACCGCTACCTCAGCCTCCAGGTGCGGTCACCCGAGGATGTCGCGATTAATGCGAACACGGGTCGAAATCACATGTCCTGCGCAAGTTGGGAGCCTGAGCGATTCCTCGACTTCAACAAGAAGGACGGCAGCAAGCCTACCACCAGAAAGGAGCTTGTATGGCAGGCTGCGCAGGAGCACCTTGCCAAGTTCCCCGGCAAGCGCCGACTGGTGAGCCTCAATGAGGCGAACGACGTCGCCAAACGCCTCGGCGAGAGCTACGCCTGGCAGAGATACCGTACCAAGAAGATATCTACGGATCAAAATGATGATGATGTGCAGGAGCAAGGCAAAGAGGAGAAGGAGACTGATTTCGTGGCCAGTCAGTATTCGTCGGCGAGGTACCAGGCCTGGAAGCAGGAGGAATGAATCAAGGATCAAAACCTGGCTGCCACTGCGGATTGTCCTGCGCACAGTTGTTCCAAGATTGAGTTTCATATGTCTGGGGTTATGATTTACGCCGTCTTCATGTCACTATTGCTGTTGATCCTCTGGTGGAAAGGTCATGTTTGCTTGGCTTGCTAGTTTACCCTGTGCATCTGAGAATCAGTCGTGTCATTTGCTGTTTTCAGAACATTGGCAATTACTCTATCATGAAATAAACAAACATGATGCGATCTCACTTTAGCTCGAGAGTCCCCTGTCTAGAATAACCAAGAACATAATGATTGCGCATAGGTTTCGAGCCTCAGTAGATGAGTAGGCAAGACTCGAGCTCTTCTTTTCATCGCGGCGTCTGTATATCTAAGTCCTACTCCGCATCACGCCATTGGACGCTGGACCGACAAGAAAAATATACGAACGAGTCATCTCAAGTAAGCCGGTCTCGTCTAAGACATATTTTCCCACTCTCTCCTTGCCACAATCGCAACCTCTCGGACCTCTCTGACTGGATCACCACAAGCAGTCGCCAGCCCCCTGAGCGCCGATTGTCGCTGGGCGAGTAGGTACCTGGTTTCGTAGGTGGACGGCAGCCGCTTTAGGAACTCCAGACACGACTTGCGACACATGGCGGCCTCCTTGCGCGATTTCTTGTCCAGGGCCGGGTTATTAACGAACTCCAGCGACTCGACCACGTTGCGCGCCATCTGATAGACGGCGAGGGTATGCGTGACGAGTGGAGTAAGGTGCTGCTTCAGGAGCTCCGCGTCGTTGCTGAGGATCGTGAGGAGAACTTGCAGGACGGTATTAATGTCCTTGCTGATGCCGAATTTGGTCAGGGAGCGGACGACGACACGGGCAACCTGCTCTGACTCGTTCCGCCATGCGGCATAGTCGAGGTGCTTAAGGAGTGCGAAGACGGCCACGGAACGGTTCGTGGCACACCGATCATCGATGGCGGGCTCGGCGCCGGTAGCGGCACGCGGGAAGCACTTGTTGAGGTAGGGCAAGACGGCTTGCTGGTAGATCCATTGGCCGTGCAGTCGCTTGATGACGGCGTGGTTCTCCTTCGTGAGGCACTCTTTCGGGCTGACTATGATATCGAAACACTGAGCTAGTTGTCGGCCCATAGTCAGCTCTGTTGGAGCGGTGTCACAAATCAGGCGAAGGACAAGCTCATTCGCAGGTCCGCTCTTGTAGTTCACAATGTCTCCCCCGACAAAGTGTAGAATGGAGCGGAAGATCTCTAGAGAGGTAGAGACTTCAGGGCTCTGTGAGATGCCTCGTCTCGCGACCAGAGTAAATCCGTCCGCGCAGATACGGGCAGTGTCCATATAATCCGCCATGCTCTCCTTCGGCGGCAGTCTGTTGGCTAGTATTGCAAGCATGGTATCGAGAGCAGCTCGGGTTGCTGCAGAGAATCCGGCTAGTTCTGGCGTTGTCAATGTCTTACTGAGATCCTGCAGGACTCCATGAGCATAAAGCTCTCTCATAGCCTCGGGCCATAAGCCTTGCAGTATACCCAAGGCCAGAGGCGCCGTTCGGAACCCATTGCTAGTACAAACGGTCCATTGTACAATGGGTTCCATGCGGTCTGGATAACTTTCTTCACGACTTGATACAACGCTATCCAAGAACTCCTTACGAGACTGCCCTTCAGGTGTTCGAGTAAATAAGAGGAAAACTTCTTCAACAAGACGTAGTCGTAGCTGAATATCTTTGCTCAGAGGTCGGACAACAGTGGTCGCCAGTTGGCTCAGCTGGTGAAGGAAAATGTCCGTGTCTTTCTCTGTGCTCTTTACGAACTCGGAGCCAAGAATGATTGTGGGAGCCTTGGGCGAGTGGCTCTCGGAAGTAGATGCTGTTTGAGATAATGAAGCAAATCGACGGTAAAGCTGAGAAACAACATATAAAGAATAGCTCTGGAAGTAATGATACGTCGCAGTTTTGTCGTCTCCCAGTTGATTCAAGCTTGCGTTTGTCTTCTCCAAATCTCCAAGATCACCCTGATCAATTTCGGGTAACCCATGAATTTGATCTCTCAGCTCCTCGAATGCGTTCTGGCTGCTCGCTACGTTGGTTGAGTTGAGGATACCCGATGCATCAACCGACGGCTGTACCTCCAAGGCGCTGAACGTCATGGAGATAGCGAGGTGTATCGCGCTGACAAAAGAGGTCCAATACAACGAAGACACCCCCACCGTTTTTTGCAAGGCCACCAAGAGAGTGTTGATAACGGATACGGAGTTGATGAGGGGGGACCCTGCGGAGGGAACACTCTTGGTTCCAATATAAGCTAGGCGGGCGCCAGCATGGAATATAGCCTGGGCTTGAGATTGAGAGGAGGCTTGCGCCCCAGATAGAGTTGTAATCGAGCCAACGAACTGAGCCAGTAGGAAGTGAAATCCACTGGGGTATATCGGCGCCACCTTAGCTAAAGCCTCGGTTGCTAGTTCAATAAGCTCGCTGTATTCCTTCTCTTGGCTTCCTTGGAGGAAATTTTTGCCTTCCAAGGGGTTGATCACTGCTGGTGTGCCTAACCAGTTGAAGATGCGGTTGCAGGTGGCATCGGAGCATAGACGTTGCGGATGGTCGCCACTTGAGCGCTGTGCAACAAGACTTGACATGCCGTCAATAAGCTTAGACATGATACCTAACCGGTCGGTCGAGAAATGTGTCTGCGTCCAGTTTGTCCAAAGTGGAGAATAAACACTCTCGAACAAAGCGTCTCCGAAAAGCTCATCCTGAAGATTGGCGTTTGGCACATCATTGAGAGCGGCTCGAACTAGCAGGAGGGCGTTGAACAAAGACACAAGTTCCGTCTGATGGGGCGTCGATGTCGAGTGTTTCAAGGTGCTCTCAATGTGTGGTATGGCTTGTTTGCTTGCCAAAGCAAATGATGCTTTGCTCGCTCCCGCGATAGCGGTGAGTAGTTTGGCAGCAGACTGAGAGTATGCGGAATTTGAGAGGTCGTCCCCCAGGTCGACCCAGGTCGCCGCGAAGAATGCTTGGAGATCTTGGCCTTCCAGCCTTCGAGCCAGTGTACCAATCAGCCTCAGAGTCGCCTCGATTGAATCGACAATCTCGCCATTTCGCACCTCATACTTGAGCGATGTCCATATTTGGTCGGAGTAGGGGACAATGCCTTGCTGCACATGTTGATATGAAGCTATGCACGCCTCGAGTGTTTGGAGAATATCGACCTTGACAGAAATGGTTACAGCTTCGCCCTGGTCAAGCTTGTTGAGCAAGAACGGTATGGCCAAGCGAGCTACTCGATGGTGCGCAGAAAAGCAAGAGCGTACAGCCCTCTTCAAGTCGTCGACAGTGATACCGGACGGTGTCGCGGATGCTCGCAAAGTGATGGGAAAGTAAGCTGAGAAGGTCTTGAACACCTCTTCAGTGACATCGTCGACAGGTGCAAAATTCTGCAAAAAGAGTCTCTGGAGCTCGAACCATTTGATCAGGTTCTGGGGATCTCGCTCATTCTTGCAAAGGTCGATAAGGGCAGTCATGAACTCGCATGTATTGCCATGCCGGTAGGCCAGATCCTCAGCTACCAAGGGGTTGGTAAGCAGGCTCAGAAGCAGCTCGTAGATCTCCAGCCGAGTAGCGGGCGTTTGACGCTTGAAATCCTCCGTACCGAGCTTCGTGATGCCCACGACTATATCGTTTCCCGATGATGGCTGGAAAGCCTTCATGCTGGTCAGTTCCCTGAGAGATCGGGAGGAGGCCATGATGCCGGCTCGGTGATCGCTCGAGAACAGTGAGCAGAAGAAGCCGATGAGCAACTTGACCTGATCGGCCTTCAGAATATCCTTCGGCAGGGAGTCCAAGGTGCTGGCCAGGAAGTCCAAGGCCTTCGCCCTGGATATCACGTCGTCATCCCCAATGTCATCAGACTTGGAGCCCATCCACTGGTTGATAGAGGCGACCCATTGGCCGATGGCGGTTCTCGTCGACGCTGCTTGCTTGATCTCGCCAACCGCCTCTTGAGCCGCAGCCTTGTCGCCATCGTCTGCCAACACGTACCTCAGCGCGAGGTCGTCGAACTTGTTGGCCATGTTGAAGATGGGACTTTTCCCACGTCGGAGCTGGGTTCCGCTGTTGCTTCTATCTTGTCATTGGCAGGCAATTCTTATCGCCGACAAGGAAGAAACATGTGCTGCAGCAGCAATCACTCAGTTACATAAGGTGCGTAAGCGACGTCGGCAGCAATGGTACCCCACCACTTTAGGTCGGAAAATACCCAGGTTACCTACAGTACCCAAGGTGCCAAGATGAGTAGGATTGACTCGAGACTGGTACATCCTCAGGCGTCGTCTGAGGTCTTGAGAAATACCTAGAAAATGTCCTACAGTTTGGCTGTCCAGTCACCCGCAACCCGGGAATCATCCCGGCTTCTACGGCCAAGCTTTACTTCGCGGTCGTCCATGGACGTCTTGGGGCGTTTAGAGATTCTGGCAGCGGCAGATGTACTTACCCCACGCTGTCAGTAGCAGCGTGCCAATGACGAAATGCCAAATGCAGACCACTAATCCAGACCCGGTAAGAGGGGTCAATGAATTTTTTTCGGGGACCTGGCACGCGAAATCCTTCGTGTCGCTCCGTGTTAGAAGTGGTCGAGATGAGGGCTGGCCGTTTATTAGTCACTCATTCGCCCTCCCTTTTGTCCAGTCCTTTTCCCTGCTTGTGTAGCCCGGTGAGTGACGCGCTGCCCAGGACCTTCAGCAGTCGAAGTCGACTTTGCAACTCTACTTCGTCCACTGTCAATCTATCTCCCCAAGGAAGGTCTTTTCATCGCGGGGTAGTGGGGCAGGTCAAGGTATGTAAATGAAAAAAGATGCCACCAGGTGCTCGTCCTCACTGCGCATCACCGAGCCTGAGATTGCTGTCCCCATACCGGACGAGGCAGCTAACCGGTACGGGCAGCCTGTACGATTTTTGAAAATGGCCTCTTCCCAGCCAGTGCCCAAGACCTGCAAGGTCATTCTGGCAGACACAATCGCCAAAGGGCTTCTTGCCGAAGTCCAGGACACACTCAAGACGGTGCAGCAAGACACCACCAACCGGCCGACACTGGTTGCCTTTCTGGCCAATGATGACCCTGCTGCGGTCAAGTACGCGGAATGGTCACAGAAGACCTGTGAAGAGAAGTAAGAGCAAGCTCCCATGACCCAGGGGTTTATATCGCACGAGCGTCCAATGCCCGCCAGAGAGGACTTAGAACTCACTGCTGTTAGCGGATTCCACTTCGAGCTCCGCCAGGTGGACAAGGACGCGCTGGAAGAAGAGATCATGACTGCCAATGATGATGACAAGGTTGACGGCATTTTGGTCTACTATCCCATCTTCCCGGGTAACCCAGCCCATGATCGGTACATCCAGGAGACTGTCTCCCTGAGCAAGGATGTTGAGGGTCTCTGCCACAAGCACATCTCCAACATGTACTACAACGTCCGGTTCCTTGACCCCCCTCACAACCAGAAGAAGTCGATCCTGCCTTGCACCCCCTTGGCGGTGGTCAAGATCCTGGAGTACCTGCAAATCTACAACTCCATCCTCCCTTATGGCAACAGGCTCTTTGGGAAGACCATCACAGTGATCAACCGATCCGAGGTGAACGGCAGACCGCTGGCCGCCCTCCTAGCCAACGACGGAGCTACCGTATACTCCGTGGACCTGACTGGCGTCCAGGTCTTCACCCGTGGCCAGGGTATCAAGCAGCTCAGGCACCAGGTGCAGGAGAAGGAGGGCTGGGGCCTGGAGCAGTGCGTCCCCATCAGCGATGTCATCATCGGCGGTGTCCCCACGGAGAAGTACAAGGTGCCCACGGAGCTGATCCGAGACGGGGCCGTGTGCATCAACTTCTCGTCCTTCAAGAACTTTGATGGGCCCGCCATCAAGGAGAAGGCCTCGATCTACGTGCCCTCGGTCGGCAAGGTCACGATTGCCGTCCTGCTGAGAAATCTAGTGGTAAGTGCCCCTCCCAACAATAGTTGTTCGTCCCTAGCGCCTTGTGGAATATGCGGGATTGATGCAGTTAACAGAGGCTCATTGCCAACTCCCCATCCACGAAACCAGACGGCTCTGCCGATGAGTCGCTGGCCAAGGCTAAGAGCGAGGCGTTCGTCGATGGTTGATATAGAACCCACAATAGACAGGAGTGAACTAGATCTGTAAATTGATACCCATCCGAAGTAGGTTGTTCTAGAGTAGATACGCCTCGGCCGTCATGAGGTGGCCACGGCCACCCTTGAGAAGTACTGCTACCCCTGTGCAGCAGTTAGTCCGAGATTGTAGATCAACCCGACGGTCCCAGACTGTGCCTGGCCTAGATAAGTCAGGAGCCCTAAACTAGGAGTATACCTCAATCATGTTGAAACAAGAACCCTATAGGTCCACGGTTCCTTGCGACGGTTCCAGATTTCATGGTAAAGAGCTCAGGAAACTAGGGAATCACAGGATGAATGCAAAGTGCCATTTGTAGATGGGATTCAGATCATGCTCAAAATTTTGGTATCTAACGCCGCGGCCGCAACGCAATGCAATGGTAAACACGAATCCAGCAGACACTCAGACCAAAGGCTTAGGCCTTTCTCCTCTTGGACTTCTTCCCCGCGCTCGCATCTGCACCAGTGGCGGTGCCTGCGGCTATGGCATCGAGCATGGCCGGGTCGACGTCTAGGAACTCCGACTGCGAGGCGGCGGGCGCCTGCTTTGCCGTCTCGGCACGCTTGGGGTCTGCCTTTGCGATCAGGGGCACGGAGGCGGCGAAGACGGACTGGAAGGGGGCGGCGATGAAGTGGCCGGCGGAGTCGAACCACTCGGTGAAGGAGCGCTTGATCTCGATCGTCTCGGGCTTGCCGCTCTTGGGCGTGATGGTAATCTTGACTTCGTACGTGGGCACGTTCTTCTTGGTGGACGTGGCAATGGAGATCTTGACCGGTGTTAGCCCTCCTCGCCGCCAGCTAGAGATGAACCTCGTGGCACGGAGAGTCTTACCTTGTCCCCGCTGGGCGCGACGCCCTGGTACACTACGCCCTTCTCGACGAACGAGATCCAGTAGGTGAGGGCCGTGTTGAGGACGGTGTAGATGGTCACGGCAATGGCCGTCAGCCACTTGGTGTTCTCGAAGCCGAATTTGTAGTCCCAGCCAAAGCAAGCAGCGGAGATGAGGAAGGCGCTGTATCCCAGAGCGAGGCGGGTGTCGGTAAGGGTGTGGATCTGCTTGAACTTGAGCGAGTTTAGGTAGTTGGGGATCGCATCGTCGGACGTGTTCTTCAGGTCTGTAGGAGAGACGATGTTAATACGAGGAGACTAACAAGCTACGGAGGACACGGAGAGCTGGGAGGAGACATACCCGCCAGGTTGTGCACGGTGATCTTCTCTTGAGAGGCCATTGCAAAGATTGCCCTTTCCCTGTCGGTAGCAGGTTGGTTGATTTATCACCAGCGTAGTTGAGGCGGGCAATGGAGAGGAAATGGGACTTGGACGAGAGGTGTAAGTCGCAAAGCAGATGGCAGCTCTCCCTCTGCAACTGTCGCAGGGCCTGTCCCCACTAAATGAGAGACAGCGTCAGCGCTGGTCGACGGGGAGAAAGGTGGCCTGACGGAAAATGGATGGCCCGAGCTCCCAACTCCCAACTCCCAACTCCCAGCTCCAGCTGGACCCGCGGACCCGACTCCCGCAGCTTGGACTCGAGGTCGCGTCAGCCACTGACCACTGCGGCAGCCTCCAACCACCAAAACGTCTGGACGGGAAGCTTTGAGTGAGCTACCACGAGACACCTGCCACCCAACCGTCCATCCTTCTGTGCAGTCGAGCTCAGTTCTCTCTCTCGCCCGCAGTCCAGCATGGCTCAATTACCGCCTCAGACGATCCAGAGGGATCCCCAGCTCTTGTATAGCCCCTTCTTTGTGCCCCCAAGCACCCCGTTGCGTCGACATGCTAATCCCCTCCTGAAGTTACTGGATCCTCTTCCCCATCACCGTGGTCATGATCCTGACTGGTGTGCTGCGGCACTATGTCACCGTGCTCATGGCCTCGGCGCCCAAGAAGGTCGAGCAGCCCGCGGTCAAGGAGCAGCGCTCGCTCATCCACGGCATCGCCGTGCGGTCCAACTTCCACGCCCTGACCGAGCCGTCCTTCAGCGCGCGCCGCGACGCCCTCACCACCGCCTACGAGACGGGCGCCTACCTCAAGGACCCGGACCGGAAGGGCCAGCCGCCCGCGAACCCCATGACCGACCCCGGTGCCATGGACGGCATGATGGGCATGATGAAGAACAACATGGCCATGATCATCCCCAACACCCTGATTATGAGCTGGATCAACGCCTTCTTCTCCGGATTCGTCATTCTGAAGCTGCCCTTCCCCCTCACCATCAAGTTCAAGAGTATGCTGCAGGCTGGCGTGGCTACCAGGGAGATGGACCCCCGATGGATGTCGAGTATCAGTTGGTACTTCTTGTGTTATTTCGGCCTGCAGTTTGTCTTCAACCTCCTGCTAGGAAACGAAGCTGGTCAGTGCCCCTTTACCTCATTGCCCTACAATTGACCGTGAGACTAACCGAAACCCTAGCCGCAAGCCAGATGGCCCAACAGATGCAAGGAATGGCACCCCAGGCGCCCAACATGTTCGGCCCTGGCGTTGACCCCGACAAGCAGTTTCAGACCGAGGCAGAGAACCTGGCCGTCATTGACCATTACTCGGTCCTGGATGGCGTCGAAGAGAGATTGCTTCAGGGTATCAAGTCTAAATAGAAGAAGCCAGTGTAGTCGTACCACGACAGATATCCATCCCCCGGCCATGCAAATAACCACAAACGCCGTTCCATGCCATGTGTTCACTGTCTCGATCCTTTTTAATCCCACCAGATACAGCAGCCGAGGCCTTCCTTCATCATGGTGCCCCGGACGCTGTATGGCGAAATCTTCTTCGCCTTCTCCACCGCCTCCTCACTTGTGCTCTCTGGCCTCTGGTCGTGCCAGACTTCGTCAATGACCTGGAGCCGCACCGACTCGTTCTTGTCGTAGTACATGGGCGCCCCGTCTACCACCCAGGTCCAAGTTTGCTGGTTGTGGTCGCTGTAGCGGTTTAGCATTCCGCCCACTTTTCGAGAACGGGATGAACTCACAACTCGCAGCCGTCAGGCAGCTCCTTGAAAGGCACAAAGATCTCTTCAAAGAATTCTGTCCGGACTGTGGGGATTCGGTCAGCTCCATATCTAAAGCCATTCATATAGATTCCTGGCTCACTGTTCAGCCCCTCGGGGGTTGCGCTGCTGATCCTGCCAAACAAGGCTTCGCCCTTGAATGGCCGGAAGACGATGAGGCGGAACTCAACTATGATCACAGATCAGATGGGTACAGGGGTCGGAGAACCAGGGCAGAATCCTAACCATTCACGTTGACCAGACCTGTGCCGTGGCCGATCAGACCCTCGGACGACCAGAGCAGGTCGTACATGCAGATGCACAGGCCAATCTTCTGGATGACTCGGTTGGCATACTTGGCGTTGATGTTGTTCTCAATGGCCACCCGGCTGTGCTTCTCGAACTGTGCCGGCGCAATCTGCACCAGATCCGCAATTTTGGTCTGTCATATACAGTCAAGGCCGCCCCGGTATATTATAGCAGTAATGTTTCAAGACTCACCAATATGAACATCTTGACCTCGGCCCTCTGTTTCACTTCGATGCGTTGCCGGCTTCAATTCACTTGCCCGAGCTCCAAGGCAGTCTGACGTGGGGCTCACAACCAAAAGTTGAGATTCTGCCGGCTTTCACTAGACACCGCCTTCCTTTCCGGGACCACAGACCAAGCTGGCCGCCGTCTGAGCTCCCCAGGATCCGGCCTGGGTTCGAACTGCGGAACCCATTAATCCCTACCTTCAGGTACCGCCCTCACCTCTCGTCACCACACATCACCACCGACCGACGAGGCTCTCGCGCCATTCCGCAGCAATCCACATCCCTTCTGGTTGTCCACCGCCTTGCATGCTTCAGGAGTTGTCCTGCTTTCCTTCTGTGTACCGGCGCTTTGTTTTCCTGGAGTCCACGCTTCGCTCGTCGACGTGCCGATACTGGGTGTCTTCACTGGTAACCACACTCACTTCAGACTCGAGTGTCGCCTCCACCACTGCAGGCGTAACACTTGACTGCATTTTCGGCTCTGTAACTTGCAGCAGCATTTTAAGCACATCGTACACGGTCTAGTAGACCTCCATACGCATCGGCATCAGAGGCGAGGGACGAAGTCGAGATTGCCCTGGCATTGGGTCAATTGTACCTGCATCGACGCTGAGCAGTTGACTGGAGATTGCTGGAATAAATCTCGTTTTCACGTATACAACACGATCTACCACTCACTTCTCTGCCTTACGCTCAGTCCGCGCCATGTCAGGCCAGTATCCGTACGCACCGCCGCCGCCGCCGCCACCCTCCGCGGCACCTGCGAGCGGCTATTCCTACGGGCAGCAGTCATACTCGCCCGTACCTCGTGGTGGTGGCAGTAGTACACCTGGCAGTGGTGCTGGAAGGGGCCGCGTATATGGGCATGGGCAGGGCCATGGTCGTGCTGAATACGGTTCCCCGTCATACGGCGGATACGGCCAGCAAGACTACGCCCACGCTCCTGCTCCCTATAGCCATCAACCAGCAAACGGCTACTGGAGCGGCAATCCTGCATCGCAGTCTGGCGCACCTCTCCCTCCAAATAACTATCACCCCAATTACGCTCCACAGACTTACGCCGCACAACCTCCCAGCACATACCCTTCGTCATCGTACCCCACTGGCGGTCAGCGCCCGCCCTACCAGGCGTCGTACAACTCACCCACGCCCGAGTACCCGGCTCAGCCATGGGGCGACGCGGGCTCACCCTACTCTTCCTACTCTAACAGAGGCGGACGTGGCGGGTATCCCCAGGGTGATCGAGGTGGTCACAGACCGGATCCTGCCTCATCTGCCATGCGTATGGGCTATGATCAGAGCCCCGCGCACTCTACTCAAGCGAGCGCTGGCTACGGCCAACAGTACCCTCCCCCCTCCCATCATCCTACCCCGGCATACTCCGCCCCCTACAGTTCCTACCCTCCTACAACAGTTCCAGCTTACCCCGGGCCTGCTCCGGCTCCGGCTCCGTACGGTCACAACGCACACAATTCTAACAGAGGTCGCGGTCGTGACGGGTTCTCTGGGCACTCCAGGGGCCGTGGCGGCCACCACAACGACCGGAATGACAAATTCCGTCACAAGGGCCAGCGGCCGCCGCATCACGAGCATCATAACGCTCAGAAGTCTGATGCAATGTCTGGCAAGAAAAAGAAACGCAAGACCAACACGCTAGGCTTAACACCCGGCGATGGTCTGGACTCTGATAAGGACGAGGCCGACGAGGAAAAGCGTCTTGCCGAGTTCCTTGGTAACGACGCCCCGGTGTAAGGTTTTCCTTCCGTTTTGATGTCTGCAGTCACCTGTGCGATCTGTGTACTAATAATATCCCTCTTGTTCTAGTGTTGCCGATATAGCTGCCTATATCGCTGAGCGTCGGGCCAACTTCCCAACCAAGGCTCGCATTCAAGCAAAGAAGGAAGCTGACGAAGCCAAGCGGGCCGCAGCCGCCGAAGTCGGCCAGGAGCAGAGGCCAGCTCCAAAGGTCGACAAGGACGAGGAGAAGGCCGAGAAACTCCGTCGGCAGCTGGCCAAAGTAGAACGAAAACTGGAGAAGAGGAAGCGCGAGACCAATGACGAAGGCGATGAGATGCGTGTTTCCAACGCAGACTCGGATTCCTCCAGCTCTTCAGACGACGAGCCGCCCGAGACACAAACCACCCGCAAAGATGCGTCGTCTTTCCAGCCTCCTCCCCCCATTGTTCGGGCTGATCCCAAGGCCCACTGCAAATACTACGCGACTGGTGGCCATTGTGGTAAGAAGGGCAAGTGCCGCTTTGTCCACGACCCCGAAATGCGCGAGAAAGCTCTCCAAGAGCAGGCTGCTAATGGCGGCCGCATGACGTTGAGGCAGCGCCTCGTGGTAAACGAGAAAGAGATCGAGGACTTGGCCATCATCCAGAGCATAGTGAACTTTCGAGAGAGCGGCAAGATGCCGCAGCCTCCCAAGCCCACGTCGACCACAGTCATAAGCTCTACATGTACGAGCCCCGTCCTGACAGAGATACCTATAAGGCAAGATTGCCCTAACAAGAGACACAGTGCCGGCCAAACCATCGTTCCTCCCGCCGACGCCGACACTGCCCCCGACCCCCCGGACTTAGTACAGGTAAAGCTATCGTGGGTTTTGAACATGTACAAAAGCCTGCCTGCTGGATTCACCGATGTCTCCCTTCTCGATATGCAAGGCAACACCGACCGCGACCGTGACGAGCGTCGACGACGCCGTTAGGCAATACCAATATTTAGCCCCTCCTTCGTCTTCGGCTTTTATATATTGCTAGCACCTTACTGGATTGACGATGCACGAGGAAGTCGATCCTCAAAGCTTTCCACCTTCTCATTTGAAATGTTGGATGGCCTGCACTCGTCCATTTCTACTGCTCTGAGATGGTTAACCTTACCTTGTCACACAAGCAGTGTTTACCAGACCTTGGTACCGGCAAGTTCCTGGTGCTATGTCTATGGCGGCACTTTGCGACATCTTGCTGAGCAGCTTCCAGGCCTGGGGAACGGTGGCCTCGATAACAGAGGGCGTCGTATTGGGTGCCAAAAGTCTGGTACTCTGAACGAACGCCCACGTCCTTCTTTCTTCTCTGTCTCTGCTGTCGGCGACATGGAACGAGTCCAAGACTATACACATGGCGCTCGCGTCCATGCATCACCGTTCACTTTGGCCTGCACTTCCCCCAACCCCCTAATAATCACCCCAAGAAGCATGGAAAACAAGAAATGCTCCTTTGTTGAGCACCTCTCAAAAGTTGATTGGGATCAAAGCACGTCGTTGAAAGGCCGGCCAATCAACAGTCGCCGCTGGGAGACATCAACCCTTGATCATTCTCGTTTCGCTAGGCGAACAGACATCGGCGATATACCTAGGACGGTTATGGGTTCATTTCATTCTGGAGAGCATATAGCGCGCTATGAAGGACAAGGGGGCACCGATACCCACTGATTTTCCCCAAGTGTGCCTTTCTCAGTAATCAGATGTAGTATATAATAGATTCGGCTGACGCATTCTTCGGTCCTGATCGGCGACGTGATAATGTGATCACACCAGAGCAGATGCCACCCAGCTTCCTTTGTCGCCAACTTACAGAAAACCCCCCCCCCCCCCCCCCCCCCAATATGCCAACTGGTGTTCAGAGTTCCAAGTGCCATAACGAACAGGGGAGCAGGTGTTGGACGAAATGTTATATATTGACGCGGACGTGATTTCTATCTATCTTGACATATCATGTCTGAAGCCCCCTAGATTTATTTTTGCAAACCCCCTTTGCGGGGAGAGTATCTCAGAAACGCCTAAACACCATGCAATGCGCAGCCCCTCCATCTCCCTACATCCATGATTTTGGTTCTTGCCAACCCAGTCCACCCCGTCTACCCTCACGGAACAGAGGTCTATACGAGCAGCACAGCATTTACGCAGCCATCGTTCTCGCTGTATCTCAGGTCAGCACTTCTGTTGCACTGTGGTGGGATGATGCTTATTTCTGATAGGAGGAGTATCAAAGGGGGGGCGGGGGGAAGGGCAACGTACCAGTTGTTGGTGATCTGGGCATAACGACCCCAGGCGACCTTGCCGCCGGCGGTGACGAGGCCCAGCTCCGAGACGTTGACCTCGACGACGGTGCCCTTGGTCAGGACGCCGAGCTGGGTGTAGAGCGGGTTCTGGGGGTTCTTCTTGACCGAGATGATGGGCAGCTGGACGGTGACGCCGAGCTCCGGGTGGGTGACGTTGGCCTTCTTGTAGCGCAGGCCCATGGGGCGGATGAAGCGCTCGTACTTGACGGGGCGGCGCGTGAAGTCCGGGCCGACAAAGGTGGGCTTGGTCACCATGCGCTTCCAGCCCTTCTTGGCCGTCTTCTTGCCCGTCGAGATGACCTTGAACATCTCCTCCTCGCTGATGCCCTTGACCTTGGGAAGGGGGACGGCGAAGCGCGCGGCCTTGTCGGCGCGCTTGTTCTTGATGGCGCTGCTCAGGGCCTTGGCGCTGGTCGGGTTGCTGCGGTCCAGCAGGTAGTTGGGCAGCGGGGTCGAGGGGTCCTGCTCGGCGGCCGACTTGACGTTGCGCTCCTCGTGCTGCTTGATCTGCTTCTTCATCTGGATCTTCTCCTTGTGGCGCTTCTGCTGGTGCAGCTTGGCCCGCAGGCCGCGCAGGTTCTGGGCATCCTCCGAGGCCTTGTGGCCCTGGCGGGCCTCCTTCTTGTGCTGGCGCTCTTCGTGGTCGCTGCGGGGGAGGGAAGTCACACCATGTCAGTCCTTCTGTCCCTTCAATCGGCTGCAGGGGGCGGTGAAGCAAGAAAAGGAAAAGCCGGCAGTTGGGGGGGTGGGAGAACGGAACAGATTGTCCCAGGGCAAACATACAGACGGCGACCGTGGAGTTTCCTCCATCTCTCCATGTACTCGTTCTGAGGCATCTTGACTGCTGGGCCCTCGGTAGGGGGCTGTGACTCGTGCCGGGCTGCTGCTGTAGACAAGGAGAACGAGGAGGGCTGAGCAGCGAATGGGCTCGGTACTGCGGCTCTGGTGGTGTGTCGTGAACCTCGATGCTGGTCTGCCTTTGGGGGGGTTCACCTTTGCAGCGACTTTTGCTTATCGATACCCGCCACCATGGAAATAATAATTGGACCACAGTCCAGGACCCGTGGACCTCGACGTCCAGAAAATTCATCGGGGCCGGAACAACGTGCGCCCCACCAGCGCCCCCCGTCTCCCGCCTGATTGGCCACGCGCCCGAGCCAGGGTCGACGGCCGACGGGCGACGGGCAAAGCTCCCAAATTCTCGACGTGCAGCAGCTCTACGTCCCATCTTCGAGACAGACGGCCGTTGCTAGGAGGTTGACGACGGGCCGGACGACGCATCAATCCGCGACGACAACAAACCACCAACCCGCCCAACCCACCGCCATGTCCCGCTCACTCCTCCGCTCCGTCCTGGAGCTGCGGACCCCCATCACCCGCCTGCCGCCCTCGTTCCTGCTGCCCATCCAGGCCCGCCGCTCGCTGTCGAGCACCACCACCAGCCAGACCCCGTCGTCGATACCCGCGACCCCCCTCGACAACATCGCCAAGCCGGCACCGGCCGCAACGGCGACGGCGACGACGACGCCCGCCGGAGAGCCGGTCGCAGCCTCCTCTGCCGCCGCCGCCGCCGCCGCCCTCTACCCCAAGCAGCCCCAGACGCTGACGACGCTCTCGCCCGAGTCGGCGCAGAGCATAGCGCAGCTGCTGCCGCTGCTGCGGGCGCAGCCGGCGCACTACATCACGGCGCACATCTGGGGGCGGCCGTACCTGGTGACGGCGGGGGACCAGATCCGGCTGCCGTTCCGGATGCCGGGGGCGGTGCCGGGCGACGTGCTGCGGCTGGACCGGGCGTCGGCGCTGGGGTCGCGCGACTACACGCTGCGCGGCGCGCCCTACGTCGACGAGCGCCTGTTCGAGTGCCGCGCCGTCGTCACCGGCGTCGAGACCGAGCCCCTGCGCGTCAAGGTCAAGACCAAGCGCCGCCAGCGCCGCAACAAGACGGTCAAGAGCAAGCACCGCTACACCATCCTCCGCATCAACGAGCTCGTCATCAAGGGCCCCGAGGCCATCGGCCTGTGAGAGTTAGGTTGGCAGAGGAAGCAGCCTTGAATGGCAATGTCGACTCGAGCCGGACGACTGTCTGACTGGGGTAGGGATGAGGAACCGAGCCGGCCCCTGAAGGGTAGGCTCAACATGATGGGACGAGTGGACTGGGAGATGTCAGTCGGATATGTACCAAGGGCCATCTGGGAGACATCTCCAGGATTGTATCAAAAGTACCTGTCATCTGTATAAATTAGAGGGAACCGAGCTGCTGCCAAGCAGCTCGCTTTAGAGAGGAACGGTCTGTACAACAGAAAAACAAGCATAAGCCAGGACAAGTTTCATAAAACACCAACTCCTCGAACAGTGAGGATTTTATTCCGAAAGACAGACCACACGATGCTTTGCTCATTAAATTATATTGCGGCAATCTCAACATTGGGAATCAGTGAGCATCTCCATCCAAACCATCAGAACTATCAAGGGGGGATATATGTACGCCAGAGGCAGGAATAAACAGGAGAAACCATAAACCCCCTAAAACGGAATTCCAGAAACAGCTGCCATGATCTTTTCTGTCTATGCCAAGAAAGAAAGAAGAAACTTTGTTCCCCAAGAACGCCCAGAGCTATGACGGGTTTCAACGGATGATCTTTTTCGTAACGGGTCATGAGTACAAGCGAGCGCGTGAAACAGAGAAATGAGCATGAAGAATAAAAACAGGGGAATAGCAGCAAACAGAGATGAAAAACCAAGGGGGGAATCAACCCAAAGCTTTTCCTTCGAAAGATACAAAAAAGTATGAAACAAGAATCCAACACCTCCGGCCCCATTCAAGTGAGCAGTCTCCCTCCTCTTAATACTGATATAGACCCACACATTGCCACTCGTGGAACATCTGGGGTAAGGCTAGGGCCGTCACCGTAGGTCCTTGCCTACAGCCTTTGCGACGCTGCCCCAGTACGCGGACGGCCACGCGCTGAGCACCTCGGCCTCGGTAGGCATGCGCTCGCGACACCTGGCCACGACGCTGTGGATGATTCGGCCCAGGAGCTCCTCGCTGACGGGCAGTTGGCCGTGGGGGACCTCGACCGGGTACAAGAAGGGGTCGTCCATGGACAGCAGCTCCTCGCACGTCGGGCGCAGGTGTTGGTCGCGGCTGAGGCAGCGCTTCATGGTGCGGAGCAGCGACGGTGGCACGGGGACGTCGCCGACGCCACGCTCGCGGAAGGTGATGTTATACTCCCAGTCGATAATGGCGTGGCAACGCGCCATCTGGTTCTGTATGTGGCCGAATGGCGTCGTGCCGTACACCATCTGGAACAAGATGCAGCCGAGACTCCAGATGTCGCTGGGCTTGCCGAGCTTCATCAGCTTCGGTCGCGATGGGTGGCTGGCGATGCGCCGGCCGTTGGAGCCAGTCGTGTTGGAGTCTAGGAGCGATTCTGGCGACATGTAACTCGGAGTGCCGACCTGGGTTTCACGGTGAACATTGACCGTCTCGTCTGTCTGGATGGCATTGGCAATGCCAAAGTCGATGAGTTTGAGGCGGCCTTGTACGAGGACAAAATTGGCAGGCTTGAGATCCGAGTGCACAACGTCGAAAGCATGGACGGCCGCTAGGCATTCAAGCATTTCCTGCCAGTAATATCGCACAAAGACGGGGTCAAACTTGGACGTGTCAGGCGATAGACGGAGGCGCAGGAGGGTGTTAAGGTCCAATTCGCCCATTTCCATAAGCTATACACATCTTGTTAGCAACGGTTCCCATGCCACGCGGAGTGTGGACTGGCTACTTACCAAGCTGAGCACTTGCTTCTCCTCGTTCATCTCGTAGTCGAATAGGTTGATGACCCGTTCAACTCCACCCAGCTTCGTCAAAAGATCTATCTCGCCCTTGTATCCTCGGACGGTCAACTCGTCGGCATTTTCGATCGACACGCGTTTCAAGGCAAACATCTTGCCATTGTCGGCCGCCACGCGGTATACTTTGGCACTTCCTCCCCGGCCAAGGGAGTCAAGTCGGGTGTAGTACTTCCCGTTGACTTTTAGGTAGTTTCGCTTCCTGGAAACCTGCTGCGTAGTAGCTGCACCGGCTGTAGACGTTGCGGTTTCGAGGATAGACATTTTCGGAGGAGGCGCAGGCGCAGTCCGGCGAGGCTCGTTTTGGCTGACAGATGCCAGTGGCTTCCGGTCGGCGACCGCTGCTCGCAAGCCGCTTCCGTCGATCTTCAACGGCCGGGCTGGAATTTTGACTTCCATTATCGAGCTGTCCAAGGCTGCACTCTTCCTGAAGTTTGACGGTATCTCATTCTCTTGATCATGCCTCGAAGGCACATCGGGTTTGGGCGGTGGTACCCTATAATGCGGGATTCGAATTTCGTCCTGCTGACGTTCCGGGGATTCATGTCTTGAAACAAGTAGAGGCTCTTCGTACGCAAGCGATGTCTCCCTGTTGTGCCTGGCAGAGTTCTTGGCGCTCACTGGACTCCCCGAAGCAAGGCGATCTGGGACGTAGTACGACGAGGCCATATTTTCGGGTTCAAGGTCGATGAGATCCTGTGGTGCTTGGCTTTCAGCCTCCTCCTGACTGCCATGGAGTAGCTCGCCTTCGTTGCCTCCATCTTCCTCGCTCTGACGACGCATTCCACGACGGGCCGGGCCACGAAGGAAGTTCCCGGTGACTTTTCCCACCCGCTTCACTCGCATCGAGCCTTGGGCTGCGGCGTTGTCGTTCTCATCACGAGTCCTAGGTCGGGAGCCGCTGCCCTGGCTAATTCCAGCCCGTTGCTCGGAACCAACACGTGGTTCCTCCTGGGCCTCATTCTCGGATGGCGGATGAGATGCGGAGTCAGCTCTTCTGGAGGACATGCCCGAAGAACCACTGAGACGGCCACGGCCGCCGGATGAACCGACCGCAATCCGCACACTCCGGACCCCTTGTGCAACGGGGGTGTTGACGTCCTTGATCTCTGAAGCATTTGCCCTCTCCTCGGCTTGGCCTTCCCGGCTAGGTGGGCGATTTCCTTTTTGCGATGTCTGTGATGTAGACAAGGCTGTAGACGTAGACCTCCGCTTCGAGGGCTGCACGGCGCCAAAAGGCGCGGGGGCGCCAGACGTGGTGCTGAGTCTGACGACTCTCTTCCTGCTCTTCTGCGCCGGGCTGCTCTCACTAGCTTGGCTCCTGACCGGCGAGGCGGGTCTTGATGATGGTAATTGAGCGCTGCTGGCCCTAGTATGCCTCCTCTCCTCGGCAGCGGAGGCGGCTGCTTGGCTCAGGACACTGCGTCTCTTGGCCGGCTTCTCGGCCTCTTGCACCGCCTGCAAGGGCGACGATGCCCGGTGGTACTGAGCTCTAGTCCGCACCCGACTCGGGCCATGGTCCGCGGGCGGCGCCTCTGCTGCGCCGTCGTCATTTAGGAGAGCCTTGGTAAGAGCACTGAGCTTCATAGGCACGGGGATCTCGTCGTCGGAGCTGTCGGCATGGTTGGCAGCAAATTGAGAATGTGACGACGCGTGGCCCGGGTTCGATTGAGCGCGGTCAATTTGTGGCCGCGTCGACGGTGCTCTCCGCAGACCGGATCTGAGCGATGGCTTCCTGGTGGGAGCCGACGAATTGTTTGACCCCAAGGGGGTCGGCGATACTGTCGCCATGTGGGCGTGGTGTTGTGCTGTTAGTGGGCTGGATATACAAAGATGGACAACAACGTCGAGCAGCCAGGATGCGTGGGCAACTGGCGATGGTCGAGCGGGCGAGGACCAAAAAAGGAGCGATCCGAGGGCGATTTTGGCGATATAAGTGATGCTTTACGTGTCGATTCGGCCCATGATCCAAAATCCGCAGCTTGGTAGAAAAGCTCCAGCAAGGCGGCGCGCAATGCAAAAGTTATCTTTCGCGTTCATGCTTGGTGCTGCTCCTCGGCGAGATGGGGGAACCCTGCCGGGCTGCTTTGTTAGTGGGAGGCATAGCTGCTGGCCAATCAGGCTGGGGCAGTGGTTGCGCGGCAACGGGCCCACCGGTCCTGATCGCAGTGCTGCCAGCCTGCCACCCGTGGACCCGCACGCCTTGGAAGCCAGTGGGGAATGCCAACTTTGCCGAAATTGTGCAGGGCTCCCCGCTGGTACACAAATGGACATGCAGCTCTAATGGGTTGCATAACTTTTTTTTCGGGCTCTGCAAGGGCGGACTTGAGGTTGGGTCTGGGGTGTACAAGGACCATACGTACAAAGTAGTTAGTGTCTTGTGGCTTGTCTGTCCCTACCGTATTCTTTTGCTGTACTTTGCCTGGATAACGAGTCCAGGCAATGTGATGACTTTTAGTTACTGGAAGAGCTGTCCATCGAATCTCACTCATCCATCCTCACAATGCCGTTGTTACGACAGTCAATAGTTCGATAGTTCACCAGAAGACATGCTAGGTTCATTTCAGAAGAAGCAGGACTGTATTCGTTGCAGGTCATCCATCCAGATGCTTGCCCTTTTTGCCGTCCGGTAGACCCTCGTGAAATTCATGATATGCATAACCTTCCACGCCAGATGCCGATGCCATGCCAAAACGCTACAGCCCGTGGTGCGTACCACTTCTTCCGTGTCGCATTGCCTAGTCGTAAGGGGATAGAGGGGGTATGAGGTGGTTCGCTTAGTCGAAGAGACCGAAACCCATGTCCTCGTCGGACTCCTCCTTCTCCTCCTCCTTCTCCTCCTCCTTGGTCTCGGCGGCGGCGGCACCACCGCTGGCAGCAGCACCGCCGGCAGCGGCACCAGCACCACCGCTGGGGACGGAGGCGAGCTTGCTGGAACCCTCAGCGATCAGCTGTAGCATACATGTTAGTCTAGCTCCTGACAAAACGTCCTCTTCTCCACCCGGATGGTTCATACCTCGTTGATGTCCTTGCCCTCGAGCTCAGAGATGAGCTTGTCGAGGCGCTCGCTGTCGGCCTCGATACCGACAGACTCGAGGACCTCCTTGACATCGGCAGCGGAGGGGGAGGTGTTGCCACCAAGGCCGAGGAGCAGGTAAGCGGCGAGGTGCTTCATTGTGCTGGTTGGGGCTGGAGACGGACAGGTTAGCGATCTGCATCTCGAACTGGCGCCCATGCGCTATGCAATTGCCAACCAGATGTGGTGTCTAGGACGGCATCGCTGGCAACGCTGGGAGCAGGGCCGGGGGCCAACGTACAGAGTAGCTGATGTTTACGAACACGAGTAATCAATCGGTTTAACCGCGAGTTGGGCGGAGACTGAAACTTCGAGTCCTGGGTGTGAAGATTTGGTGTTGGTTGATGAGACTCTTCGATTGCGAAAAAGTTCGGGCCCGGAAAAGGCGTATGGGCATTTTGGTGGGCTGTGGGCGGCGGCGGACCCGCTCTTTTTCCGATAACAGGTCACATGATTAGGGTCATTAATGGGTTCGCAGGCGGCCAGAAACCAGACCTCGCCTCACGTTACACAGTCGGTACTGTGCTGTGGCAGTGTGGCAGGCAGGTGTGGCTGGTTCCAAACCAACCACCCCCAAACGCCACATCCACCACCACAGAGCACTCCCGGTCTCTCAGGGCCCTGGCAAGCCTGGAGCCAACCTACGTGCTTTGGCAACGGGCCAAAGCCAAGGGCGATCCGTCTCCCTCTGGCCCTTCGCAGGGTCCGTCCTCGTTCGTCCGCAGTGTTCTGCGCGCGCGCCTTGCCGTTGGTTGGCTCTGGTAGGCGCCCGTTGCTCGGTCGGAAACGGACTTTCCCTCATTCCCTCATTCCCTTGCCTTTCCTCTTCCCTTCCCTGCATTGCCGACGACCACCCCCCCAGGCCCGCCCTGACGTTTCTTTTCTAAAAACGACGGCCCTGTTCAAGCCACTGCCTTCGCCCAGGCCCCCAGAACAACCCAGGCTATCTCCGACCATCACCCATTCCGCTCCGCTCCAGTCCAGTCCAGGTGAGGTGTCTTTGTGCATTCACTCCCAACTTGCAACTCGGCCTTCGCCCCTGGGCCAGATTCTCCATTCACCTTTTGCTCCCTCACGCCTGCTCGTTCATCTCACTTCGCAAGGGCCCATCCCTCCTTGCAGTGTTCACCTTGCACCCCCCCACGCTATCTGATTATGCATCAAACATACGTCCGCGGCGCATAAGGGCCATCCAGATCATGATTACGGCACACGACACCCTCTGAACGAGTGCCCCTGCGATTTCCTCTTCCGACCACCCTACATCCTTTGTCGTCATCGCCGCCGTCGTCGACTGTTCGCGACCATGCCTGTGCGTACAAATCACTCCTCTCTCTCGTGCCTGTTTCCACTTTCGCGGTGCACGTTCGATGCTAACCTTGGCCCGCTCAGATCGGAGATCTACTCGCAGAGATCACGGGCGAGAAGCCGCCGCCCGCCCCCGCGCCCACGGCCTCTAGGAGTTCCAGCACCACTGGGATCAAGCGCAAGGCCGACGGCGATACAGCCACCAACGGGGTGCCCAACAAGTCGGCAAAACAGTCGCACTCTGTCTCGAGAGATCCTGTCGATCGGAAGCCTTCCCCGCTTTCGATCCGTCCAGGCACTACGGCCAGGGCCGCTCCTCCGGCGAATGGACAGCGTCCTATTACAAAGGCCACACCGGCGTCGAATGATCGACCCTACACAGGCACTGCTACTCCCGGGCGTGTGATTCGGAAGCCTGTCGAGCCGTCTGGCTCTTCGTCTCTGAAGAAAAACGATACCGACTCGTCTTCTCGTCCTAAGCTCGCCCCGAGCACTCTTGGTACCTCCAGAGTTGCCGCAGCGATCCCCTCACCCACGACGCCAACCACTTCGGGTCCCGCCAAGGTGCCCAAGAAAGGATCGCTTGCAGAGATCTTGGCTCGTGGTGCCAAGGCGCAACAGACAGCTCCGAAAGCTGGGGTCTATCAGCACAAGGCCATCAGCGAGACTATCACAAGTAAGAAGGATCGTGAGGAGCAGTTGCGGAATTCGAAGTGGAAGTCGGGGAGAGCTGCTACCGCCACAGGTCCCGGTTCGGTTGCATCTCGAGACAAGCCGGCCCCAGGCACCAAGAACGGCGTGTCCAGAGATTCACAGATTGCCGGAAAGGGCAAGGGGCTCCAGAGTTCTTCAGCTGGTGAAGCATTGGACAAGAAGGTGAAGAAGGCTGCCATGGCTACGACTGGCTACACCGGCACTGCTCGGCCCCCGCCGAAGCGAACCACGGACTCAAAGGACTCCAAGTCAGCATCCGGACGCTCACGCCCCGCCGGTGGCCTGCTCGCTCCACCCCGGGCCAGCCGTCGGGATCGGTATGAGGACGAAGACTCTGAACTAGACGACTTTGTCGTCGACGATGAGGACGAAGAAGAACTCCCGCCGCGCGGCTACAGATATGCCGACTACGAATCTGACAGTGATATGGAGGCCGGCGCGGACGACATCTACATGGAGGAACAAAAGTCTCTGCGACAGGCCCGCCAAGATGATGCCAAAGAAGAGGCCATGTTAGAGAAGCTGAGGCGCGAGAAGGAGGCAAGAAAGAGACGCGGTGGCTACTAGCCAACAGCAGTTATCGAACCAAGCATTGTCGCGTGGGGCGGGAGGTTCTGGAGTTTTTCTCACGGCCAGCAAGGGCCAGCAAGGCTGGATCATGCATTTGAAAGGGAGTTTTTGTGCTTTTCACACCCAGCGGCAACCAGCATCATAGGTCAAAGGCGACGGCGTTCCGGTCTGCTGGCTTTTTACATTCGATATCCGAGACACGGTGTCGAGCGCGCAAGTAGGTCTTCGGTTTTAGAGGAGACCTCTATACATCTACATAGATTGGTAGTCTGTAATTTCAGCCGATACGGTGCACACATACCCAACTGAAACAGGTCAAGAAGAGACACTCTTTGTGACAGGCCTTGTTCGTCTTCGCCTTTGGTCGTGACAAAGAGAAGCCCCGTCCGCGTAATGCAGCATGTACATCCACGGGTATATGTGCATATGTACGCATGTATGCCGTGCCCAGGCTGGCGACGAGCGACGTGCCCATTGCCCATGTCCCCCAAGTCCCAAGTCCCAAGTCCCAAATCCCGAGTCCCAATGCCTGACTAGCACAGAACTCCACCACGCCCTCGCACCCTGCTTTTCTCCGTCATTGGGCCGCCGCGGAGCCCAAATCTATGTTTATCTACATCCTGTAGTGTACTATCCATACAGTACCATGGTCACGGCCTGTTATCGGAACACGATGTCTCCATCCGTGAGTCATCGTGCTGGCCCCGGTTCCCACCCCGACACAAGTACGCCGTTGAACAGCCAATTTTTCAACGAACGCCAGCATCTTGGCGCAGCGGAAGCGTAAGTCATTACTTCTCGGATTCTCTCATCCCATCAACCTGTTCTAATTATCTCTTAGGCGCCGGGCTCATATTGAGATCACCCGGAGGACGCTGGATCGAAACCAGCAGATGCTATAGTGTCTCCTCACAAATCTTTTTGCGTCTTTTTCGTATTTTTGCCTTTTCCTGTCGTCCTATCATTTGTGGTGCCCTATCCTGATTCCCTATTCCTGTTTCTCGTTATTCCCGACTGCACCTTCTCTTTGGATGCAAGCGCATCCGTTTGATTGTTGCATAGTCATCGTTGTGTGTGCTTCAAGTCGAACAATACTTGATTCTCTCCTCACCTTTCTCCCATCCTTCGCACTCTTCAGGATTCCCCCCTTTTTCAGTCTTCTTTTTGGTTGCTTTCATCATGGCTTTTTGTTTTCAATTGGCACGTATGTGTCGCGTTTGCTACCTGCATGATCGGCATTCTCTGGTTCATGGCCATCGCAGAGTATACATCAGCTCGTGACAATGCCGCCCACGTCGGCAGCATGCAGGTCCGGATTCACTTGTGCAACGCGACGGCACCCGTAGGTTTGAAAATAGAGATTTATGTATACTACTCAACGTATGGCTCAAGTCTCTGAGAGTGTGCGGTTACGCACTTAATGTAAGGATCTATCCGATTCGGAAGGTTATTCCAATCCTTACGAGTATTCCTGGTTCCAATCTCCAAACTATCCGGTTCCAACTTCCCGGTCGGAACCGACCAGCTATAAATTGCATCGCAACGTTTGTAAGAAAACAAACTTTGACGATGGCAACATGTCTGCATTTATTCCCCTTTTCTTCGCTGCTTCGAACAAGCACATGCCAACTTATAAGCTGACGCTATCCCTACCCTACCTACCTCTTGCGCTTGTAACAAGACATTCACGTGTGGTTGCCAGTAGAGATCAGTCTGGATAAGCCTGTTTCTCTTGCGGTGAACAAGCTCCGAGTCGACCTCGATCCTTGGCTACAATGCCGCACAATACGCGCTCGGTCCTGATCACGGGATGCAGCAACGGGGGCATCGGGTCGGCGCTTGCACTTGCCTTTTCGAAGCACCAGGAATTACACGTCTACGCATCGGCGCGGAATATCTCCAAGATGTCGGACCTCGAGGCAATCCCCAACATTACTCTGGTTTCCTTGGACGTTACGTCCCAGGAGAGCGCGGCAGCCGCGGCCGAGAGGTTGCGGGTGGTCACGGACGGCCGGCTGGACTACCTCGTGAACAACGCAGGGTGCGGGTATACCATGCCGTACCTGGATACTGACATTGAGATTGCGCGCCGCATGTTCGATGTCAACGTCTGGGGGCCCATGCGGGTCACGCAGGCGTTTTCCGACATGCTGGTCCAGGCCAGGGGAATGGTCGTCACCATTGGCAGCACGGCTGAGTCGTTGGGCCTTGCGTTCCAGAGTAAGTGATCGTCTGTTCCATAGAGCTGCGGCCGAAATTACTGACGGGTACCCGTGCAAAGGCACATACTGTGGTTCCAAGGCGGCAACACACATCATGTCCGAGGCCCTGCGGCTCGAGCTGGAGCCCCTGGGGGTACGGCATCTTCACGTCACCACGTCCTTTGTCAAGACAGTCTGGTTCCAGAACGTGCCCGAATTCGAATTACCCCAGACCTCGCATTACCGACCCGTACAGGATAGGGTGGCATTCATGGCCTCCGGTGGAGGCCAAGCCACCATGGATGTCTCCGTGTACGCCGACCGCGTGGTGGCTGACGTCTTGGCTGGCCAGTGTCACAGAACATTCAGGGGAAAGTCGGCGAGCCTCATCGGGTGGGCGATGAGTCTCCTCCCGCGGGGGCTTGTGGTAAGTCGATTAACTTCTCTGATGGTATCCTTCTGCGTTATGAGGTCGAATTGACTGACTGGCCAAACCAGACTCAGCTGGCTGCAGCGGATAGTGGGCTGTCCGAGCTGAAGAAGATAGTATCGGAAAAGCAGTGAATTCCTCAGGGGTTGAGATACATCTACCAGTTATTAGTTGTCACTGCAGCTGAAGTTATCATGGGACATACGTAGTAGGTGTTCAATCATCATATTGTTCATCTCGCGTTGAGAGGCCCGCTATGACTACCCTGGGCTTGTTCTAGAAACGCAGACTCGGGGCAAAACGAACCAAAATTGAGCTCGCCTTCCGTAGTGTCAAAATTTATGAACTCGCTGTCCTGATATAGATCAAAGAAATTTGGTGGTTCATTCTCAAGTCCTGAGTCCCTGTGGATTGGCTCTGGGACGCCATTGTCTGGATCGCTGCAACCGTCGCCGCCAGAAAGACTTGGTAATTCTTCAGTTTCGGCATCTGCAACTCCAAGGCTAGGGGATGTGGCAGGAGTTTCTGGGTCATCCTGTGTGCCGCTTCCGCTGTAGTTCTCGAAAAGCTCCAGCTGCACTTCTCTCACTATTTCAGGTATCCGCCTAATCAGCTCCTGCTCAAGCGGCACGGTCGTCTGCATTATGATCCCTTCGATTCGCTGTCGGACTCTGGAAGGCACTTCTCTTCGGAGAAAACAGTCGTATTCTGTAATGATACTGGCTTGTGTGTGACACAGTTCCAGGTCTGGTACATCTATAAGTGAAGGAAGAAAGATTTGAGAAGGGGATCTGACGTACAAGGACTCGGCATGTCCGCTTCCCGATCATCAGGAAAGAGGATTCGGTACATCTCTTTCCACTTCTTTTCTTCCTGTGACTCCTTAGATCGCCTTCTGAGAAGCCTCTCTTGCTCATTGGTGAGCCCCTGCAGTTCAATGCCAGATATTCGCACCTCACAACTTTGAACCTGTCTCTGATGTTCAGCAAGGTTCGATTCCGTGTCAAACACCTCATGACACCGGAAGCAGTGTAGTGGAATGGCATGGCAGCGGTAAACATGTTCCCTAGATGAGTAAACATTTGCCACACAATACTTGCATACAATTACGTACTTAACACGATGGCATGTCTCCCATCCCGGTCCGGCGCATGCCCGATGCTTGCGGTTGTTGCTTGGATTACGTTGAAAATAGGGGCATCCCAGCCGACGAGTTGATTGCGTAGCGAGTGCTCTGGGTTTGGTTGGTGTTGGTCGCTTGCCCTTCTCATCATCCTCAGACTGATCAGGTTCATCCTCCTCAGCGCCAAGTCGCCGCCTTCTCTTGTGGCTCCGATTGCTAGGCGGCATTCTCCGACTGTTTGCAGTCGAATGATTCAAGTACCCTTGACTATGAGATGATGCTGAACACTGAGCACCGGCATGATTCGAAAGTCCGAGACTATTGCTCCACCAAGCATTGAATTCAGACATGACCGAGTCCAAGACCCGCTGTCGTTCATCATCGATGGTTTCAGCAACTAACACAACATCATTCCCGTCATCATTCCCATCATCATACGTGCTACCTGAGGAGAATGAGGCTTTCGATGATCCTGTCATGTCTTCCCGATGAGAGGCAGATACTATCTCCGGCGTACCGATATCGAGAGGATCATCCTGGCTTGTCAGGAAAACTTTTCTGGAGGCTTCAGGGGAGGTAAGTATTACCTCGCTAATACTTGGCTTCTTCACCCCTAGCTTAAGATTCTCAAGCTCTTTCGAGGGGGGCCCATCCCAAGGTCCGAACCTCTCTTCTGTCAAGTCTGATATCAGAGATGTTCCGAGGTCCGGGTTCTGCGTGAATTTGTGATTGATAGTATCCGTCACGCTCAAATAATCTGGCAGAACTCCCTTTCCAACGAAGATTGGAGTGATATCCGGCATGAGGGACTTGCTCTCCGATCTACAGGGATTGATTAGTTGCTTTCATGGGAAATAGCGACTCTTGCTATACGTCAAAATAAGAAAGGAGTCACGTAGTATGTCAAGAGTAAAGCACGACATGCTGGAGACGTTCAGAAACTGAAAAGTGACAAACCTCGACGACTGATGACCACCTAGGACCTCAGTAGACACTGAAAGGTCGAGTATACCATCTCGACCTGCCTGCAAATCGCGTGTACTAGGCAAGTTGCCGATCGGCTTTGACGCTAGTGGCAGTGTCGGCAGATCCCTCACTAAGACGCCCGTTCCTACAGCTACTTCCACTTCCTCTGTCGATGTAGGAGGGCTATTTCTCTTTATTGGAGCGGGATGTGAAGGCGTGAGGGGTGGAAGCGTGAGAGCTTCGCTCAAGTTGATATATGGTGAAGAGGGCGGCGGAAGTCCTGGTAGAACCATGTCGAAAAGGGCAAACCATATTGGCTCTTCTGCACCGTTAATTCCAGGCTTAAAATAAGCGGCCATGTTGTGAACTTGATTTTCTGTGATTACACCTGAATTATGAGCTAGGAGATGCTGCACGACGTCCCTTAGTCGACGAAAGCTCTTGAAACATCGGTCATTCACATTAAATCTGAAGGGACACGCAAAGTCCTCTCTTTGCCCTGGAGCTTGACCATTTTGGTAGTTAAATCCTGGCACATCCGCAGAGACCTGATATGGAAGCTTGAGGGGGATTTGAGGAACATCAAGATGGAGTCTTGGCTTATCGGCTTTCGTTTCGGCTGTATACTCTGCTCCGGCTGCATAGACACTTGGAGTGAATGATGCTACGCAACCCTCGGCCCACAGGGGATTACTTTCTGAATATCGGATGAGACGATCAGATGAACCTTGCTGTGATCGCTTGTATGCGAGGTAGGTCTTCACCCGAATATCATGCAGGTTAGAGTCATGCGTATCCTCTGAGTCGTCGTGCCCCTTGGCGAGGGGGGCCAATAGAGATTTGAGATCAGAGTCTGAATTGTGATCTCGGTCTGAGCTGTTCGAATTCATCTGCCTGGCATTAGCCCCTATGGATTGAGGAGTCGCGTATTTGATTTCAGGAAGTACTCTGTTCATAGTAACTTTTCCGCTAATGTCTTCCCTGTGAGAGTCGATCGAGTGGTCGTTGTTCGAGCTTTCCCAAGTCTGAGGTAGTACCTCGTTGTATGAAAGAGTCTCCCTTTGAGTAACACTATTCCCGCTAGCATGTCCGAGGCTGATGATACCTTCGGGGTTTCTGTAGAGGTGATCAACTTCTTCACTTGACGGTATCGTCGTGGTATAAGTAGCCGAAATGGGTCCCACCGAGGCTGTGGGACCGCTCGCACCGCCTGTACTAGAGACCCGAACCCAATGTGCGTGTTGGATGGCGTCTATCGCACTACCAACTTCCCCCATGCTTGATTGAGATTGCTCGATCAATGACTTCGGTTTACCCGAACGCTGCCATTGTCGTATGGTAGATTCTATTTTGTCCCATTTACGTTGCTTCTTCTCGACATCTTTGCACAGCTTGCAGACGTCAGGCTCATAATTAGTTGTATACACAAGCTTCATACCGCATGTTTCTCCAGATCTGTATTCTTTGGTGCACTGCTGTCGAAAATGTCCCCATCGCCAATAGCCGCAGGCCCATCGTATTTGATCGAAATAACACATCCTGGCATTTGTCATGAACAATGAAATAGGTCCAGAGAATGTGTGACCTGGTTTGTAACCAAGTAATGGATAGAAGATATAATGCAATGACCTTGGCCACAGGAGGGTTTTGCGCATTTGCGCAACTGCGCCTTACTGGCCTTCTGGCCCAGCCAATGACAATCCGTACGATAACCAGGCAACTAAAATGGCTGCTTGAGGCTCTAAGTAGCTGTGCAAGCAAGGAACACGTGACTGGTGAATGCAAAGTCGTAAACGAGGTTCTGCTAAGCCCTGTGGACCCAAGTACGTATATTCATTGCATCAAGATGTACTTCGAAACAGAAGATAAAGGGTCACCGGCGACGAGATGAAATCATGTCGCTACTGTCTAGCGCAATACACGAATATTTGATCTCGGTACTCTGTTCAGATATTAACTAACTCAGTCGAAGATCATGACAGAGTCTGTGATTTTGGGGTTGCAATGTGATATTCTCATGCACACTTAGTGGCAAGGCTCTATGTTTGGCGCCTAGATGCTTTATTTATCTTGTTGAGAACTGACGATCTTCTTGTATCGAGCTGAGCAGCATCTACGGCAGTGCAACCGCCTCAATCTCGACAGTAGCGCCCTTGGGGAGCGTCTTGACCGCGACACAGCTGCGTGCCGGCTTGTGAGTGATGTACTGCGCGTACACTTCATTCACCTGGGCGAAGTGATCCATATCAACCAGGAAGACGGTCGTCTTGACAATCTTGTCCAAGGACGAGCCGGCCTCGGCCAAGACAGCCTTCAGGTTCTCCAGACACTGCTTGGTCATCTCCTTGACATCAGTAGTTGGGATGAGCTGTCCATTCGCGTCGAAGTGAATCTGGCCCGAGCAGTAGATGGCGGTGGGCGTCTTGACGGCATGAGACTGTGCGATGTAAGTGATTTGCCCTGACATCCAGGACAGAAATCAGGTAAAACATACGTAGGGGCCAACAGCTACATTACATGTCAGTTTTCGTCTACTGGAATGCCCGGAAGCCTACTTACGGGGAGCAATGCCCTTGGCAATGACAGTGGTCAGGTCAGACATCTTTCGAGCTTGTGATGGTACGACGGAAAGAGTAGGGGCCCGAGGGATCTTTGTGAAGCTCGTCCGCGTAGACCGAGTAGCAATTGACCTAATTGGAAGGAATTGAAGGGATCCTCGCATCGTTCGCAACTGCAGAAGTGGACGTCGTGAGGGGAGGGTTAAACAGTAGTCAGAGGGCGCCTGGGCGGAGAAGGTTGCCGCTCCGTAGGTCGGACCACGACCCGCCCCGTTGTGGACCCGCCTGGCATCGAGCTTCGGCGGGGACTTCCATTGTCTTGAGAGATCCCCGCCAGGGACGAGCTTGACCGGGTACTTACCCCTTGACTTTGGTAACTAACGTACGAAGTTACCTCACATAGTACTCGGTGGCTAATAATCACATCCAGACTTCCAGGCAGGCCACGTATCACTTTCAATCGTTGAGTGTGTACCATCCATGATGAAATCACATCAAACACGGATACGCCAATTGGATCCTGACCAGTTGTGGGAATTGCACACAAACAGTTACGCAAATTCATTACTGCCGCCGCTAATGCACACGTTGCTACATCGCTCCGGGTATATGGCCATTCTGTCTAGGTTTCGTACGCGCCCTACTATAGAGCAGCATTCCATCAATTACAAAACGTCATACGTAGGCTGGAGAGTGCAGAGTCGCCCTGATTGACATGTGAAGCCAATGTTACAGCGTCTGAGCCCCTTCATCCATCGGCCGAATCGAGGCGGGCCACGGGCAACCAGGGAACTTACTCTGCCTTATCGATAAGTTGATGGATCGTCAATGAGATGAGATGGGGTGAATTTAGCGTCGGGCTATTTTTGAGCTCGCCCAGGTTTTCCTGGGGCCAGAGGGCCAGACCAGCACCACCGAGACTGAGACCAGGCTGTCAGTCAGGGGTTTGCCAGACAGAACTGCCAAGTGGCCTGAAAGCTGATCCCCACCGACCCCTGCGCAAGAAAGTAAAGCCGTCTATGGGAAAGGGGACGCATCTCTATCGAGCTTCCCTCGCCGTCAAGATTATACGTTTCTTCGGTGACCAACCTTGGGACTGTCGACGCGCATTTGCTCGACGGGGTTGCTGCTTGGTTTCCATCTTCCCTTCAGGTAAGAATCCTACCCTGCCCCCGCCTGCGCCTAAGCTTGCTGCTTTCGTGTAAAGCTCCGACGTCGTGAACGATAGCTCGCGTCGTATGAATGAGAGCCTCCTTCCGTTGGCACACCACCCCCTTGAGCTTTGACGCATCCGAGCCTCTGCCGCTGCGAGAGCTTCAACTGACCTCACCTTGTCTGGCAGTCATACAATCTTCGTTTCGTTCCTTCCTTTACGCCCTCTCCTTCGACCAGTCAGAGCACGATGGCGACGACTGCCTTACCCCAGGGCAGTCTGCGCCAGCGCAACCCTGGCTCCAAGAAGAAGAATGGGTCGCCGTTCCCCGAGGATGTCCAAGTCGACAGTCTTGTCAAGCCGAGCCCCAAGGCGACCGGTACAGGCTCTGAGCTAGACTACAAGATCGCCCTCGTTATCATTACCGTCCTTGCCTTCATATCGAGATTTTGGGGCATCAGCCATCCCAACGAGGTCGTCTTTGACGAGGTTCATTTTGGCAAGGTAAGTCCCCGTCTCCGTGTCCATGTGCTTGAGTGTGGCGTGTGGTGAAATCTTCGACTAATCAAGACGTCCCCAATTTGACAGTTTGCCTCATACTACCTCGAGAAGACCTATTTCTTCGATGTCCACCCTCCTTTCGGCAAGCTCCTGTTCGCCTTTATGGGATGGCTCGTCGGCTACGATGGCCACTTCCACTTTGAGAACATTGGCGATTCCTACATCTCAAACAAGGTCCCATACGTGGCATTCCGTGCCATGCCCGCTCTGCTCGGCTCCTTGACCGTTACCGTCACATACCTGATCATGTGGGAGTCTGGCTACAGTCTTCCTGCTTGTGTGGTGGCTGCCGGGCTGATTCTCCTCGACAATGCCCACATTGGCCAGACTCGCTTGATTCTGTTGGATGCCACGCTTGTCTTTACCATGGCCTGCAGTCTGTTGTGCTACATCAAGTTCTACAAGCTTCGGCATGATCCTTTCAGCCGCAAGTGGTGGAAGTGGCTGATTCTGACGGGCTTCGCCCTCTCTTGCGACATCTCGACCAAGTATGTCGGCACCTTTGCCTTCATTACCATCGGTTCGGCCGTTGTCATCGATCTTTGGGACTTGCTTGACGTCAAGCGCGTCGGCGGTGCTTTGAGCGTCCCCGACTTTGCCAAGCACTTTGCTGCCCGCGCCTTTGGGTTGATTATCATGCCCTTCATTTTCTATCTGTTCTGGTTCCAGGTGCACTTTGCGATTCTTACCAGATCTGGACCTGGTGACGACTTCATGACACCTGAATTCCAGGAGACATTGTCTGATAATGTCATGTTCGCCAACTCTATCACCATCAACTACTATGACAGCATCACCCTCAAGCACAAGGAGACCAAGGCCTACCTCCACAGCCATGATGCTCACTACCCCCTTCGTTATGACGATGGACGTGTTTCTAGCCAGGGCCAGCAAGTTACTGGTTACCCTTACGACGATGCCAACAACTACTGGCAGATCATTCCCGCGGACGACAACAAAGAGATGGGTCGCCCGGTTAAGAACCATGATCTTGTCCGTCTTCGACACATCGGCACAGATACCATCCTGCTTTCGCACGATGTCGCCTCACCCTACTTCCCTACGAACCAGGAGTTCACCACTGTCCCTCTTACTGACGCCAATGGCGACCGTATCAACGATACACTTTTCGAAGTTCGTATCGAGAATGGCAAGAAGGGCCAAGAGTTCAAGAGCATTGCCAGTCATTTCAAGTTCATCCACAACCCAAGCAAGGTTGCTATGTGGACTCATGAGACTCCTCTGCCTGACTGGGGCCACCGCCAACAGGAGATCAACGGAAACAAGCAGATCACGCCCAGTTCCAATGTGTGGCTTGTCGAGGATATTCCATCGCTGCCTGCCGACCACCCACGAAGGGAGAAACCCGTCAAGGAGGTGAAGCGATTGCCTTTCTTGCAGAAGTGGTTTGAACTGCAACGATCCATGTTCTGGCACAATAACCAGTTGACTAGCAGTCACCCTTATGCCAGCCAGCCATACCAGTGGCCATTCTTGCTCAGGGGTGTAAGTTTCTGGACTCAGAACGATACCCGTCAGCAGATCTACTTCCTGGGTAACCCTATTGGTTGGTGGATCGCAAGCAGCTTGATCGCTGTCTACGCCGGTATAATTGGTGCCGACCAGATCTCTCTCCGCCGTGGTATTGACGCACTGGATCGCCGTAAGTTGCAGCATTGACGTTCTGGCGACTATTTACTAATTTGAAGCAGGCACACGTACACGCCTTTACAACTCCACTGGATTCTTCTTCCTGGCATGGGCTACCCATTACTTCCCATTCTACCTAATGGGCCGTCAGTTATTCCTTCACCACTACCTGCCAGCTCACCTTGCATCCACGCTCATCGTCGGTTCCCTCCTGGAGTTCGTGTTCAACGCAGATGCAGCGTCGGAAGAGGCAACCTACCAAGCTATCAAGTCTGGCAAGAAAGCTGCCCCGGGGCCTAAGAGATTCGTCTCTGCTCGTGAAAGATTCGCCGGAACGAGTATGATGCCAGCCTGGATTGCGTGCGGTGTCATCTTGGCCATCGCAGCTGCTGGCTGGTACTACTTCCTGCCCCTCACCTACGGCTACCCTGGTCTCAGTGTGGAGCAGGTGCAAGCCCGCAAGTGGCTTGGCTACGATCTTCACTTCGCGAAATAGACTAGGGAATCTTGAGGAAGAATAGACTGTGTGCCGAACCGAACATTTGGCACCGTTGTAAGACTAAATAGGGATTTTGGGGAGTTGCAAATGGTTGCTTAGGTGGGGGAATGGTATCCAAAAGCTCTCTTGACGTTTCCTTGTGTGTACTAGCTGAGATAGTAATCGATCAAGTTGCTATTCAGAAATGAGATGAAGCAATCACTATTTTGCAACCCGTAAGAACCGCACTGGCCCGGGGAAACATGTGAAATGTTCTGGTAAGCGAGCATAAGTCAACCAATATTTGCAACTTGATGGAATCAGAGACGTTCATGGGACCCCTCCAAAGTCCCTTACCATTGGCATCCTTGTTGTATGGACTAGCTGGTTCTTGTGACATAGACTGGCCAGTCATGCGGTAGCATGGCAAACCTTGCCTTCCAGTGCCATTGCTGATTTGAGTCAACTTGGCGTATGTTATAGTCGCGCACTATGGTGGCCGTGATCTTCGACAACTCCAACCTGGCGATATTCTGTCCTGGACACGCGGCATAACCTTGGCCCCACTGTCAAACGCAGCAATGAGTATATATATTCTGGAAACAGCAGGAAAAAAGAGGTAGTAAGCTCACGGGCATGAAAAACTTCTCGAGCACAGCAGCATCGGCGGCCAGCCACCGGCCTGGCCGGAAGTCGGCAGCATCTGGACCCCAGATCTCGGTCGAATAATGCATCACCCAAGAATTGATAGAAAGGATTGTGCCCGGGGAAAAGGTCTTGTCTCCAATAGTCAGACCCTCGGCGGGTACTGCCCGTGGCAGACCCATGGGAACAGGGCTGAACACCCGAAGAGCTTCCTTGATGCAGGCCTGAAGATAGGGTAACTTCTGGGCGTCCGCATAAGATACCACTCGATCACTGCATCTTCCTTGGCTTTGAGCATCCCTCTAACTAGCGTGTCAGAATTCACAACTTTTGCGGGCACTCGCACAGCGATGGGATAGCTTACGATCTCGGCACGAACCCTTTGCCAATGCTGTCCCTCCGGGTTCTTGATGATGTGGTAGATAAAGCTTTGCAAGCCGGTTGAGACTGTATCCGAGCCGGCACCCACAGCCTGGAATGTGTGAGCCTCGATGTTTCGAATACTCAACCGCTCCGGGTGTTCTTCATGTGTCTTGAACCAGTGGGCTATCAGGTCATATCGAGCGTCCGGGTTCTTCCGACGTTGGTCGACAGCCTTGAAAGTCGTGTTGTAGAAGAGACCGTACGGCATCAGTCCGGTCCAAGTGACAAACGGATTGGCTAAGAGGTAATGGCTGTTTCAATCAGCATTAATTCGTATGAGTGCTTACGACAATTCTGCATTCGCGCTTTGAAAATTCACGAAGACGGATGCAGACTTACAACCAATGATAGAAACCTGCAATGGCACCGTAAGCGTTCAAAGACGCTATAGTGTGAATGGCGTTTTCAACGTCTGTTCCAGTGGAGATAAACCCAAACTGCTTAGAAAAGGCAAATTCCCCAATGATGTCAAATGCGGCGTATGTGAGGAACCAGTCCTATGATAACCCATCGTAAGTTTATACCCTGCAATGCAGGCAAAAAAATCCCTGGATGATTAACTCACCAGAGGCATCGGCTCCTTCCTCTCAGCGTACTGATCCATCCACTCACATAGCTTATCAATGACCTCGTCCGCGGCTGCTTCTGACTTGAGCACATTGCTCAAAGTGTAAGCCGAAGCGAAGTTCTTGGACATTTGATTCTTCTTCTTGGGGTCCAACTCTGCCATTGGGTTCTCCCAACGCCAGTCTGGAAACTGCATCGCCCCGTACCAGGGGGCCTGTGGAGGGAGAATCAGACACTACATCTACTAACATGTAGATCTCCAACTGAGGTATACCTTTCGTACAGGCTCTACTAGGAGCTTCTTGATGCCTTCTGGATGGCTCACACTAACTTCATTATGCGCTATGCGAACGAAATGCCCTGATTTTGTCAACGGTTTTGACACAGCTAATGTGCAGTTCGGGCCAAGACACTGACCATGTTCCTTGTGCAACTCAACCAGCTTGAGGTTCTGGTCTCCAATGATGATGTGGCGCACATGCCAAAGGCGTGTAAATGACGCAAGGAATGGGCCTGGGATATCGCTGAGCTGCCAATAACGCCTCGCAACCAGAAGAGGTAGAACAATGCTGAGTGCACTGATGACTAGACTCGGCCAGGTGACTGATCGGTCGAGCTGCTCAAGAAACCAAGCCATATCCTATCAACTCGACTTTGTTCCTCTCAGACTGTATGGATGAACGCAGGGCCAGCATCACAGAATCATCACGAAAGCAGACCTTTTGGCCGACTTTAGACAAACTATCGCATATTCAGATCGACTCAGACTTCAACATGGTACATACGAAACTATGGGGCACTATGGCCTCGGCGTGCAGGTGCTAGATATGCAAAGCCATGGGTGTCGCAAAGTACCCGGGTATGTAGTATTTGGGTCCCCAATGACACGATAATCTCGGCCCCACAGCTCAGAAGAAGCCTAGACAAATGCTTAGAGAGCTCCGCATGTAGGTGCATTTCGTAAAATCCTCATACCTTCATCGGTATGCTTTCTCGCGGCCACGTACACAGTACACCTGAGCCCATGTAAAGTAGAGGTTTACTGTCGCAGACCTCTTTTGGCCTGTTCCATCAGACCAATCATAATACCAGGCTCAGCTATAGCCGGTGCCCGTTTCGTGATGGCGCAGGCCAAGGCGTATAGAGCTCAGTTCTGGAAGTGGAAATAGACTCCAACAAAGTCACCTTTTTGGGGGCAGACTTGTATGCGAATGCACGTGTAATAATCAGGAATTTGCGCATCCATGTTGTCGGAAATGTATGCTTTATGAACCAAGTTGCACTCAACGTCTTCTCACAGTAATGACCTTATAAAACTGCTCTCGGGAATGATAGTTCTTGAAAGATGGTAGCCTCGCAAAACTCGCAATTGCTGGCCCGTGAGCCATAAGGCCTACCATAGCGCTATCAATCTACTTAGAGATATTGCAAGTTGCCAGTGATTATTGATGTGAATCACACTCGTTTCTTTACTCTCCATTTCGACTATAGAACTAATTACCAGTCAGCAAATCAACATAAACTCCGCCACTATGGCTCTTTCACGCCCCGAAAAAAATTAGATTTTAAGACTGTGGTGCGTATTGCGTATATCGTCCTCTTTCTCACTCCCTTCAATGCTTGTATTATCCAGTTGGATGGGATTTGCATGCTCGGGCGCTACCTCGGTACACATCTAAGTCCCGATTGCAGGGTTGCATGCCGTACGTCGATCCGTTTCCTGGGCCCCGTCTAAACGCTCTACTTCAATGCAGACTATATGCAGTCCGTATACTACCCTACTTTGCTTGACACCTATGCAATATATTCAATGGCACCTAGGTGTCCGAGCTTCATACCCCAAGACTTTCCATTGAATTTCACCACCAATCGTTGCTTTGGTTGCCTAAGCTTAGTGGCGGGAATCCAGTTTGCGAGCATTCTTACAGTCTGTGACAAAGCCAGCCATGCAAGACACAGATAAGATCGTTTCGATAAACGACATTGGATCCATCTACAGCTATGTGTTCGTCCCTGAAGATCAACGGCTAGACATCCGTGCCTGGGGAATCTGCATAAGTATTGAAAATGGCTACGGCACGGGAGCCAACCAGATCAGGCCACCTATATTACCCTTCGCCTTTTCCCGAGGGACCGCCCTACCCCCATCGGCTCAACGTCTTTATTCTTAGACCAAATGCGACTGGTTCAAGTTTCCAGGCCTGATAGATGGAGTGCGGCATACCACGTGTTGGTATTGTGGCCACTGGCCCATAGGGGACGATATAGCATCTAGAAGGCTCTTCCTTTCCCCCTCGCCACGGCCCGACAGGCACTACAACCTGCAGGCTAAAGATGCAATGTAAATTGACTTACTATTGGGGCTCATTTGCAAATGAAGGTGAGGCTGCGGTGGTTCTGGGTCACGATAGGGGTTGTGGGGGGTAAGACAGCCCATATCTTCAGTCGGCACCCCCCTCAACTCGCATGCCAGTCCTCAGGTTGCTCTCTAACCGCAACTCACACACTCCTTTCTTGCTTCAGACCGAACTGACTGTGTCAGAGGCTGGTGAGCTGGGCTACCAACCAAGCGCATTCTTCTTGTCGGCTTGCTAAATCGGCCCTTTAGTCTATAAGAGTCGGGTGAGCTCGTCTAGTGTTGCTTCTTCTTCTGTCCTGTACGGAGACAAGTCAGTCCTTCAAACTACACACTACAAAAAAGAAAAAGAAATGAAGAACATTCAACTTTGGGCTGTTGCCCAATTACTTCTTGGCGGCGCCGCCTTTGAGCTGGACAAAAGGGCCGACTGCCCTACGATGGCGACGACGACTGTATACAAGCCAATCACATTTTATGTAACGGTACCTGTGCCGAAATCCGCAGCGGGCGAACCCAATCCAAGCCATGAGTATACGGAGAAGTACAGCCAAGCCTCAAGTTCTACGAAATGTGGAGGTTCCAAGACGGCTACCACCCAAGTATCATCAAGTTCTCCGGACACTACAGCTGCCGCACCTGTTGCGCCCAGCAATACGCAAGCAACTTCGTTTAACCCCACGATTGCCAATCCAACAGGTGAAGTTGCCACATCTGTCGCGGTCACAAGTCAAGCGGCTACAAGTGCAGTGACTAGTCAAGCTGCTACGAGTGCGGTAACAAGCGATGCCCCGTTTCCATCAGGGGGTGGCACCATTGTCAAACCTCCGGGTCCATTCAGTGGCTATAAGAATGCGGTATACTTCACAAACTGGTAAGCCGTCTACTTCTACCCAAGTAACCAAGAGACTAACGACCGCCTCAGGGGTATCTATGGCTCCAACTACCAGCCGCAGGAGCTGCCCGTCTCAGAGCTGACGCACGTGCTGTACGCCTTCGCGGACATCGGCTCGGACGGGACGGTCCACACCTCGGACTCGTACGCCGACATCGAGAAGCACTATGCAACTGATTCGTGGCAAGACACGGGCCACAACGCTTACGGGGTGATCAAGCAGCTGTTCCTGCACAAGAAGAACAACCGTAACCTCAAGATGCTGCTGTCCATCGGCGGGTGGACCTACTCGCCCAAGTTCGTGCCCGTCGCTGCCACCGAGCAGGGGCGCGCCACCTTCGCCAGCTCTGCCGTGCGTCTCATGGTCGACTACGGCTTCGATGGCATCGACCTGGACTGGGAATACCCGACCAATGCCGAGGAGGCCCAGAATTTTGTCCTGCTGCTGCAAGCGTGCCGCAAGGCCCTCGACGACTATTCGTACCAGCACCAACTGGACTACAAATTCCTGATCACAGTCGCCAGCCCTGCAGGCCCCACCAACTACAACAGAATGGATCTGATTGGGATGGACAAGTACGTGGATGCTTGGTATGTACTCTTCCCCGGATCCGTATACTGCCGTATCCAAGGAGCAAGTCAGACTGATAAAGAGACCGTAGGCACCTGATGGCATACGACTATGCCGGCTCTTGGGACCCCACAACCGGGCATCAGTCGAATCTCTTTAAGAACACCGCCGTGCCGGACTCAACCAAGTTCAGCACCGAGGACGCGGTGCAGTACTACGAGTCCAAGGGCATCTCATCCCAGAAGATCATCCTGGGCTTGCCGCTGTACGGGCGGTCGTTCGAGGCGACGACAGGGCTGGGCACGACGTACAGCGGCGTGGGCTCGGGCGGGCCGCAGCCCGGGGTATGGCTGTACAAGTCGCTGCCGCGGCCGGGGGCGGTGGAGAACTGGGACGACGTGGCGAAGGCCAGCTGGAGCTACGACGCGAGCCGCCAGGAGCTGGTCAGCTACGACACGGTGCGCAGCGCCCGCATCAAGGCCGACTACGTGCTGAGCCGGCGGCTGGGCGGCGCCTTCTTCTGGGAGGCCAGCGGCGACCGCGCCGGCGAGGAGAGCCTGATCAACTCGGTCAGCAAGAGCCTGCGATGGCTGGACCAGACGCCTAACAACCTCCGCTATCCCACCAGCCAGTACGACAACATCCGCCAGGGCATGCCTGGCCACTGAGGAAGGCAGAAGGAGAAAAGGGGTTGGAAATTGTCGGGTTGGGATATTTTCTGCTTCAAAGGTATATATTTGGGAACGATTTGTGATTTCAACGCGAGGCATGATTGGACGTCTGTGATAAGCCAGCTCTGGAATATATTCTTGTTTTGGGCGTATATGCTTTGGCATTTAGAGCAATTGAATAGAAAATGTCAGTCATGTTGGTTGTATGTACAATTGTATTATACCAATGTGCAACGGTACATGTCAGTAAGGGACATGCCATGCGAGCTATGAAACGAGATTCGACTTGCTAGGGGGGAGCAAGACTGAGACAAAAGCCGCGTCTATACATGCCATCAGATGATGAGTCGCATTGCCAGCTTTACGTCTCAGCGAAAACGTAAGTGCTCTTGGACTCCTCGACTTGGACCTCAATCTTGGCCTCCTCGAGCTCCTTGCCGTCGATCTTGATTCCGGCCTTCATGACATCGCCGGGCACAACGGGACCAACGCCCTTGGGTGTACCAGTGATGACAATGTCGCCCTGCTCGAGGGTCATCACCTTGGAAATGTCACTGAGGATTCTGGGAATCTGGAAGAGCATGAGCTCCGTCGAGTCACTTTGCTGGATCTTGTCATTGACCGAGAGATAGAGGTCGATCTTGTGAGGGTTAGGGATGGCCGACTTGGGGATGATATTGCTCATGGGCAGGAAGGTATCGAAACCCTTGGAAATCGACCAGGGCAGACCCTTCTTCTTAGCCTCCCATTGAGCATTCCTGGCAGTCATGTCGATGCCCAGAGCGTAGCCTGGTCATATTTGGTCAGTGGGAAGGTGACCACCTCCTGAAACGGCAAAAACGTACTCTCAATGGCATCGAAAGCGGTCTTCTCATCGCTCGCCTCCAGGTTCTTCAGAGTCTTGCCCATAATGAGGGCAAGCTCGACCTCATAGTGGAGATCCACGCCTCTGGGCCGAATAACGGGGCCCTCCCCTGGCAGCAGGATTGAAGACGAAGGCTTCAAGAAGAAAAAGGGCTGCTTAGGCCGAGCGCTGTTCAGCTCAGCAATATGGTCTCTGCGTACAATGTAAGCCACAAGTCACTCATCAGCAGGGTGTGAATCAGGACTTACGCATAGTTGCGTCCAATGCAGACGACCTTGCGAGCGTTCTTCAGAGATGCTGCTGAAGACATGGTGCGACGGAAAACATTCATATCGAACTTGGCGCGGCAAAGTTAGCCTTGTCTCGGTTCTGCGGGATATAATCCGGTCTTATAGGGGGAAAGGGGGGTAAAGGTGCCAACCGACCTTCGGGATGGGACACTTGCCACAAACGTATACGGGTTAAAGATTGGCCAGAGACGAACAATGAGTCGAATGCGGCCGTGTTGTCTCGGCCAGCCACGGGTGTACTTTTGTATCCGATAGTCGGCGCAGAAGGGGCAGCAAAAGCGAGGAGCTGGTGCGGAGCTCCGAGGCAGGTCGCGGAGCTTGAGGGCCCGTGGGAAAGGCACCAGGGCCAGACTACGGAACAGCAGTAACGCAGCGCAGGGGGCGAAGACGCTAATTACAGCCCTGGTGTACGCAGGAAAAGCTTCGGCGGGCATGGCCTGAAGACGCGCTAGCTTTTCGAGCGCTGTGGGGAGTTATTCAGCGGGCTCAGCAGCAATCGTGGCGCTCGTCATTCGCTAGAGCTGTCGTTGCTCCAGTGGAGTCAGCGCCCGACTAGCCCCCGCAGCCCTGGCCGTTTGGCGGGCGTCGCACGCGACTTCTCCACAATAATTTCGACAGCTTCGCCATCTTCCCTGCAATCTACATGCATCGTCACGACTCAGCTTCGACTACCTAGACCCGAATTCGTACCCTTCACGGCACTGTTGCGTCCTCTGCGCATCACACAAGATGGAGGCTATCCAGCTGGCCCAGATGCTAGCCGACCTGAACGACCTCCAGGCCGCTGTAAGTAGCCCTGCGCCCCGATCACCCGCAGCCAGGTTGTGTCGCACCTGGACTTGACTGGAATGAGAGAGAGGCAAGGCTGACCCCGCAATCCGCCCTCCCGTGCAGCAAGATCAAGGCGCCGCGAAAGCTCTCGTCGCCGCCAACAAGAACCTCGAGCGCGCTGCCAAGGACACGCCCTCGCTGGGCTCGCAAGCCCAATCCAAAGGCCCAGGGACGCCCGCCGCCGACAGTAGGATAGCCACGCCGGCAGGCAGGTTCGACAAACTCGGCCGTCGCATTTTCAGCCCTCCCTTGTCGAGGACGAACTCGTTCACGCCGTCCTCGTCAATTCCCGGCACTCCTCGCAGAGAAGATGTAAGCTTGCTGTTCCCGCCCCGATCATGTTGTGTTGTGTAGAACATTGGCTGATAACATGGGACAGCTCGATGGAGATATCGACAGGGCGTCGACCCTTCTATCTCTCTACGAGATTCGGGCAAAACTGAAGGAGCAGGACAACAGCAGTCTTCACAGAGCCCGAGAGAAGATCAATGCGCTTGCGGCCAAACAGGCACAGCTGGTTAAGCAGCAGCAGCAGCAGCAGCAACAGCAGCAACAGCAAGCGAAGCTGCCTAGTTCTCAGCGTAAGGACCTGAAGAAGTAGAGTCGCCCTCCCCGAAAACGAAGAAACTTAGACGACAACTATGCATATTTTCCGGCGTTTACGGATGGTGGGAACATGGGTACCATGGGCTTAATGGGTCATCGTTGTTGGGGACTGGCACGGCTACGACTGCCGTAGGAAAAAGTTTGCTGTTTCGTGACGAGGCGTACGGTTAAGGACATTGCTAGACCAATGCCTGTGACGACGAAAATGCTTTTGGTGTTTTAAGCACATGGGAAGGGCACACATGTGTACGACGGACATGACTCTTGGTTCACTCGCGTATTATTGCTGGAGGTGGTGGGAACGTCAACCTAATAGCTTTCATTATTGAGGCGATCTATATTACATTATTATTATTATGATCGAAGAAACGGTCGTAGGGGAGAGGGAAGTGAGAGAACAGATGAGAGACTCGGCTAGGGAATCTGCTTGTCTCTCCCGCTGGCTCAAGTACCACGACGGACGACTGCCGCGAGAAAATGCGGACAACCGTCGGCACTCGCTGGCGTCGAACTCTATGAATATACTCAAGTTAGTCTACCATGAAGGAGGAACATACTCGAACGTTTCTCATGCATGGCGAACATCCAGTATTACTCGCCAGTCTAAGTATTTGCTACTATTTCAGTACAGAGGGGATTCAATGTCTCTAGGACAATTCATTCTGTTGCGAAGGCTAGCACAATGCATCTGACCTAAGGGACATTAAAATAGCTTGACTGACTACAGGTCATCCTGCAATGAAGCCTGAAACTTGATCTTGGGATGAAGCTGGATGAACGGCTTCAGAGGCTTTTGCCGGATGGATAACTCCCAGCAGTAACCCCGTGCGGCCAATGGACCTTAGAAGCAGTGCACCTTCAGTGCAAAAACCAGAGCGTTCCAGGTTGTACATAGTACCTGAAGCCCCCGCTCCGGGTTTAACGTCCTTCAGTATCCAGCCCCCACGGCCAGGTGCAACTCGAGCCTCAAGCCCCTAAAACACCTTTAGCTCGCCTGGGCCTGGGTGGCTTGAGGGCAGTTCAGTGGAAGTCTCAAGGCAAAACGTCCGTGCTTTCCCGCCAGCCAGAGACGTCACCGTCGATCAACTCGGCTCGCGCTCCTCTTCTCCGTTCCACATCGCGACTCAACTCACTTTTCCCCGGGACTGGGACTCGGACTGGAATTTGCCCACTTACACAGCATAGCTACCGGCGCGATCATCGTGGAAGCTCCATACCTACCCTCGTGAACTGTGGGCGAGCGAAGATGGCCGCAACCGTGGATATGAAGCTCTTGCGAGCCACCAAGTTCCCGCCCGAGTTCAATCAAAAGGTCGACATGCAGAAGGTCAACCTGCAGGTCATGAAGAAGTAAGCACCCAAGCTCCATGTCAGCTGCTGCGCCTCCGCTCCCGTGCTAATTCCGCACTCACTGCAGATGGATAGCCAGCAAGATCTCCGAGATTCTTGGGTCCGAAGATGATGTCGTGACCGAGCTCTGCTTCAACCTCATCGAGGGCACCCGCTTCGTACGTTGCACACACGGAAAACCGTCCCCCCGACTGAGCCAGTGCTGACACACAATTCCCCATGTAGCCCGATATCAAGTCCATGCAGATCCAGCTGACCGGATTTCTCGAGAAGGAGACCGCGCCTTTTTGCAAAGACATGTGGAATCTCTTCTTGAGCGCCCAGTCGAGCCCCCAGGGCGTCCCCCAAGAGCTGCTCGAAGCCAAGAAACTCGAGCTTCTCCAAGAGAAGGTGCCTAAACCCACCCAATGTCTACCATCAGCACAGCAGAACCAACCCTCTAATTGTTTCCTAGCTCGAGGCAGACAAGATGGCCGAGGAAGCCCGCGTTCGCCGTGAGAACCAAGAGCGCCGAAGCCGCGACCTAACCGACACTCGAGACCGTGAGCGCCGAGATCGGGGTTTCCCTCGAGGTGGAGGCCGCGGCGACAATTGGCGCGGCGGCAGACGTGGTGGTGATCGAGCATACGAGGATCGCAGTCGGGCTTTTGGCCGCGGCCGAGATCGATCTTATTCACCCCCACGCCGAGGCTCATATCGCAGCGACCGAGACCGATACATGCCGCAAGAACGCCGGGCCAACCCCCGTGGCCGGTCTCCTTCGCGCTCAGCGTCTCCCGACTCTAGGGGGTCCCCAAATGGTTCCCGCTCCCGCTCTCGATCTGCCTCGCGTAGTGGAGGCGGTGGTCGCAGTCGACGTTCTAGTAGATCAAGTGGCAGCGGCCGCCGCGGCGGTCCCTCACGCAGGTCGCCTGCTCGTTATCAGGATAGCCGCAAGCGGTCCCGATCCAGGGATCGAGGCAACTATAGACCTCGCAACGCGCGCCGCAGAAACACTTCCTCGCCGGATAGTGCTTCGGACTCAGACGGAAGCAGGCGCTCTCCTTCAGCTAAGAGACGGCGTTACTCAGAGTCGCGTAGTCGATCACGAACGCCTCTGCGTCGAGGCAAACGTCGCAGCCCTTCACTATCGTCCGACTCCCGTTCACGAAGCCGCAGCCCAAGACGCCGGCCCGCCCGGGACCTCATCAGCCGCAGTCCATCACCGGACCGTTATGGTAGACTGAGACGGCCGAGAAGCCGGAGCAGGACCAGGAGCCGAAGCAGGAGCCGAAGCAGGAGCCGAAGTAGGAGCAGAGACAGAGGCGGGAACAAGCCAAGACGAAGAGATTTTTCAGGTTCCCCTCAACCGCGTAACAAATCAGCTGATACTTCGAATATTCAAGGCCGAGAAGATCCCACCAGCCACGACCCGGCAACTGCGAAGGCCGAGGAGGTTCGTTCTTCTTCATAGGGCTACTTCATCTACGCTAAATACTCGGCATGAGAAGCTGACGTGTTGCCTTCTGTCTCAGACCAAAAACCCCAAGTCCTCACAGCAGCAAGCCAGCGAACTACGCGAAAAGCTGCTGAAAGATAAAATCATGAAGATGAGAAGAACCTCGCACAGTGGTCCTGTCACTGATTAAGGCTAATCAGCTTGGCTTTGCAGATTCAAGCATCCATTGGTCCCCCATCCCTTCCTTGATTGAGCATGATGTGGATATTCACGGTTCGTTCTCTTCTCTGCTTTACTGGATCTCACAAAAAAGTTGCATCGCTCGGACTTGGTAGGCGTGACAGGCGTTTGTAAGTAGGTAGATAGACCCTGAATATGGCAACGTTGACTTTGACTTTGTAACAATCAAGAGTGCTGTGTTCCTCAGAACCCCTAACGACGTTTACGTATGGTCATTCGAGTCAGTACTTCTCTGACTGAGATGTACAAAAAAGCAGGCATAACCTAGTTGCTCAATTGAAAGTGTTCTCCTTGACCATTTGTTGCATTCGGGGCATACGGACGGATATATGTACCTACACATTTATAGCATTAAGTGCGATGTCCTGCGCAGTACATGGTTTAGGGCGGGTTTAGGTGCCTCCGACTTCCGCCGCTGCTGGCCGCGCTCTTAGAGGGGCACCAGCTCAGCGCGTCGGCATTCATCGAAAGGCACGAAAAAAGTGGTTGCCCGTACACGACCGAGTTCATCTCGCCTTTCACCACTCCTACCCAACCGTCGCTTCCATCTACAACCATACACTTGGTCAGCGCGCCATGTCCGAAACCGCGCCCTCGGCCGCCGGCGGCAGCGGCGCCGACGCTTTCGACCGCAAGAAGGAGATGGCCGAGTACGAGCACGAGAAGGACATCATCAAGAAGGCCCTGGCCAAGCGCCAGAAGCTCATCAGCGAGCTGTCCAACCTCGAGAACAAGATCGCCGACCTCGAGGGCCGCTACCTCGACAGCACCCCGGGCGGCAACATCCTGACCGGCTTCGACAACTACACCAAGGGCCTGACGGGCGCCGCCGCCCAGCGCCGCAAGGCCGGCACCACGGAGCAGAACCGCGTCTTCTCGCGCTCCTCCATCTCGTACAATGCGTTGAATGTACGTCTCTGGCTTACACCCCACCCAAACGGAACCTTGCGTGTTTGTACGCAAGGGCGGGTTGTGCGCAAGATGAACTGACCTGGGCCTCGTGTTATACAGCAGGAAGCCGCCACACCCGCCTCGGGCACCTCGACACCGGGCGCGCCGACGCCGCTGTCGGCCTCGTTCGCCAACAAGGAGAAGGGCGCGTCGGAGGCGCCGACGCCCACGTCCACGGCGGAGAAGAAGACGGCGGCCTCGAAGACGAAGAAGAAGGACAAGGAGAAGGCGGCCGAGGACAGCGAGACAGACTCACGCGCCGACGGCAAGAAGGTCCGGACGCACTTTGGGGCCAATGCCCGGAAGTAAAGATGCTGGCTGCTGTTCTGTTGGCGCCTCGGGCTTTTCGCTCCTCTTTATTGCTCCCCGGCGTGCAATGTCTTGCGAGTACCTTGGTTGGTTAAAAAAACACTATGATTTATGATACCCACTGCATTGGAACGGAAGGGAGTTCTGGGCGTTCTGGTAGAGTCTGGCTAGACGGTTGCCTATTGATGTGTGTATTAGGAGACACGCTAAGTATTTCTCTGATATAGAAAGTTAGCTCAAAATCCCGACAAGCTGGTGACAGCGACGCAGATGAGGTCTCTGATGAGCTGGTTCTTTCATCCTGACCATGGGAACGAGTCGTCTCGATGACAATTTGGCTCGCGACTCATCTCTATACGATCCGACTAGAGCACAACCGAGTGACTGAACATGCGAGAAGACTCTCCAGCTAGACCAACGAAAGACTGTTGGACATGACATGACCATCAGGTACGAGACGGGTTGCCGCCCGGTTCCGCATTGACACACCCCTCGGCTCGCGGCTTGCGGCGGGCCTTCCTGCAACGGGCAGCTCGACCCAATTCGGAGCTCCTGGTTCCACTGCGGGGTGCTCGGGGTATGTCACATTGGATCTGATCTATCCACCACGACCATTCAAGCACGCGATCGACAGAGTATATATATAGTCGCATCGCAGCCCGCCACGCGCGCCCAGAAGCACGACCGTAGGTTCATGTAGCAGGTGGTTCACAAAGGGAGCTGTTCACTAGGTGTTCTTCATCATCATCCTTATATATCCAAACGGTCTCGGGGATTCCAGCAGTCCACTATGACGGTTATGGCCACCAAGTTCACGCCAGAGGTCCTCCTCTCTGCCCCACGCCGCTCCGCAGCCGTCCCAAACGGTTCCGGGACGCTGGCTCTCTTCACAGGTGCGTACTCAGCCGTGTGCAAGGCGATCTGGCGGGCCAATTGATATCCCCTCGTCTCCAGTCGGCCAGCTGTAGGCTTACCTTGCGTCCAGTCTCGACATATTCCTTCGAGTCGCACTCGCGCACCGCCGCCATCAAGGTCCTCGACATCAAGACGGGCAACTCCACCACACTGTACGAAGACCAAGCGTACTCGGAACCAACATGGCTGTCCGACAGCCAGTTCTTGCTCGTCAAGAGCGGCGACAAGGGGTCCTCGCACCTCTTGGTGGCCGATGCCACCCAGCCGGGCTCTGAGTACGTTGGCTCCCAATCCATACCGTACGGCTCGGGCTCTGCCCGTCGTACACGGCTGCTCTTGGCTGCAAGCTCATCGCTGACCTCCTCTCGCTCTCAAGGCCTCGACAGATCAAGACGTTCGATGGCTCGATATCGAACCTCAAAGTCACCCCGCTGAGTGACGACACTGTGGCGCTTGTCGTATCCGCGCCGACAACGCCCTCTGGCGAGCTTCACAACCCGTCCCGGGAGCCCAAGTCCTACACTACCGGCAAGGCGTACAGCGACCTCTTCGTACGGCACTGGGACACATACTCGACCAAGAACAAGCCGTCGCTATGGTACGGTGCTCTGAAGAAGGCGTCGCGGGACATGTGGAACTTTGCATCGCCTAACGGCGGCCTGGTCAACGCGCTCAAGGGCACGAAGCTGGTGAGCCCCGTGGGGCCGTTCGGGGGCACGGGAGACTTCGACATCAGCAAGGGGGGCCTGGTGTTCGTCGCTAGCGATCCGGAGCTGAACCCGGCCATCTACACCAAGACGGACGTGTACTACGTGCCATTGAAGACCTTCACCGAGGAGAAGCCGCCGGCGCCGCAGCAGGTCAAGACGGGCCACCTGCAGGGCTACAGCGGGTCGCCCGTCTTCTCACACTCGGGCCAGAGCGTCGCCTTCAAGCGCATGCGCCACCGGCAGTACGAGAGCGACAAGTGGCGGCTGATGCTCATCCCGGACGTCGCGGACCTGGCCAACGTCCAGGAGTTCTACAAGACGGACGACGGCGAGGGCGCCTGGGACCAGCGGCCCGAGACCGTCGTGTGGAGCCACGACGACAAGGAGCTCTTCGTCACGGCCGAGGACAAGGCCCGCACCCTGCTGTACCGTCTGCCCTCGACGCCGCTCGAGGCCACCAAACTCCCCGAGCCCGTCGCCACGGGCCACGGCAGCGTTGGCGACGTCTTCAACCTCTCGCCGCGGTCCAACCAGCTGCTGGCCACGTCCAGCTCCCTCGTCGACAGCAGCACGTACAGCGTCGTCGACCCGGACGCCAACTCGGCGGTCACCCTCTCGTCGGCCTCCAAGGCCGGCAAGACGTTCGGCCTCTCCGAGTCGCAGGTCTCGTCCATCTGGTTCCAGGGCGCCGGCGACTACCAGGTGCACGCGCTGGTCATGAAGCCGTCGGGCTTCGACCCGGCCAAGAAGTACCCGCTGGCCTTCCTGATCCACGGCGGGCCGCAGGGCGCCTGGGGCGAGTCGTGGTCGACGCGCTGGAACCCGGCCGTCTTCGCGGAGCAGGGCTACGTGGTCGTGGCGGCCAACCCGACGGGGTCGACGGGCTACGGCCAGGCCTTCACCGACGCCATCGCGACGCAGTGGGGCGGGCGGCCGTACGAGGACCTGGTGCGGTGCTTCGAGCACCTCGAGTCGTCGGTGCCCTACGTCGACACGGACCGCGCCGTCGCGCTCGGCGCGTCGTACGGCGGCTACATGGTCAACTGGATCCAGGGCCACGCGCTGGGCCGGCGCTTCAAGGCCCTCGTGTGCCACGACGGCCTCTTCAGCACCATGGGCAGCTGGAGCACCGAGGAGCTCTTCTTCACCATCCACGACATGGGCGGCACGCTGTGGGGCAACCGCGCCGGCTACGAGCGCTGGGACCCGGCCGCCTTCACCGGCGAGTGGGCCACCCCGATGCTCATCGTCCACTCCGAGCTCGACTACCGCCTGCCCGTGACCGAGGGCCTGGCCGCCTTCAACGTGCTGCAGGCCCGCGGCGTCGACAGCCGCATCCTGATCTTCCCCGACGAGAACCATGTGAGTTACCACCTCTTGCGCGCCCCGTGACGTGTATGCACCGACCAGAATGGCTGACTCGAGGTCTGCACAGTGGGTCATCAAGCCCGAAAACTCGCTCGTGTGGCACAAGGAGGTCTTGGGCTGGATTAACAAATATGTTGGTCTCGATACTACGGGGTTGGCAGGCGACACGGAACAATTAGTCGTCTGAATGTGACTTGGCATTATATAAGTCGAGAATCAGCCGCTGTGTGAACGACTGGTTGAATTTAGCGTTTAAAATGAGCCCAAAATTGCCTGTCGTCTCAACTTGACGTGAACAGAAGCCCCCGAGAAATACCTCTCCTTGGAAATTTCGTTTGGCAAAAGACCCCATTCATCGGCAGGCCACTCTTGTCGGCTATCGTACAAGACATTTCTACATGGTTTCAGAAGTATTTCAGTCACAACTCTGGGTCAGCAGCGCCCACCCAGCTCGAAGGCTTCCATAACACGTCAGTGCTGAACAGCGGGCCGGCCGTCACGGGTTTCCTAGTCCTTTCGTTGCGTCTCGCCTTCTCTCTGGCCCGGAGAGCCTCCTCCTCCTGAAGCCTTTCAATCAGGGGAGCATACTCTGCGTTTGTGAGAGCATCGAAGACCTGCGGCCAAGTCACCGTTTTAAAGTCCACAAACAAGGTAACGGCATTCTGCCCTTGCGGTTGGCTGAGTGGGCATCTCTTCGCCGAGCGGCATTTATCGAGAATGATCTGCTGCACGAAATCAGCCACGAGGCGGCGCTGGCCTATCATCAGAGAACTGATGAAGTGATGCTCGAATCGAGGTGGTTGATCCTCATAGCGGTCAGCAAATGCTTCCAGCCATCTGCGAAACCTGTCCATTGCTCTTGGGAACGGAACTGCTGTGAAGGCAGCATCGGGTGCTGGTGGCTCCATGTGGAACCTGTTCGCCCCTGGGGTGGTCAGGGGAGACACCGTTGGAGTCTTTGCAGTATCCTCCTCGCTACCACGGCGAGTAATGCTTTGTTTCAGGAACTCGATTTTCTCTGGCGAGTCCACCAGACTCATGAGCTCAGCGAGATGACTCTGGTAAGTTTTGAACAACTCAAGAACTTGAGCGTCCTCGGGAGAAAGCTGTGGGTTGGGTGGTTGTATGGCGTCCTGATCGCTCAGTCTTTCCTCCAGTATAGCAACATGCTTCTCCAGTCTTGACTCAAGGCCTTTGTGGCCATTTTGGAAAGTATTGAGTTGCATCTCAATTGCTTTGTGATGGTCTTGCATGCCTCGGAATCGTGACTCGCCCGATGACAACTTCTCCTGAGCATCATTGACGGCCAATTTGATGCTTGAAAGTGTCTCCTCTTGCTTCAGTAGCCTCGCATCTACGTCTTGTAGGAACTTCTGAAGTCGGCTAATATCTTCACTGTTGAATGATATGAGTAAGGGCAGGCACAGTGCTTGTTTCTCGGCATCTGCAGCCCACATTCGAGCTCTCGCCACTCGTGCCTGTCGCCTGAGGATCTCTTCTTCGAGTTTATTCATGACTATGATTGCTGTCAGTGGGGTTAGAATGGCGTTGGACTGGTGGACTCACTGAAAGCCCCACGGTGTAATCGTGCCGAAGAAGACAAGAGCCTCGACGGGTGGAAAAGGCCGGCCGCTGGATTCTGTTGCTGCAAAGACTACGACAAGAAGGATAACGCGTTCATGGTATTTGTGATCAGCAAGAGGGGAGCATGTGTCGCCTGGGTTAAGAGGTTTGCTACACGAGGGCTGGCGAAGGACAATGTGCCTGTGAGAAAGAGGTGCTCGTCTGGAGTTCCTCTGGTAGAAGGGAAACTTGGGCAGATGATAGTCGTCGAAGGCAGGCGCAGATGGCGCTGGGTAAGCTCGGTCAGGAGGGTCAAAGAAAACGGAAGGCACCTTCGCACCAAACTCAACCCAACGGACACACATGGATCTGAGGCTAAACCGGGTTCCAAGGTCATGATGCAGGCAGGCACCTGCAGTAGGTCCAAAAGGTTGCATGCCGAATGAAGGGAAAGTGCTTTGCCGTGTTGGTACTTTGTAAGAGACGCAACATGTCGAGGGCTAGGCAAATGCAGCCGCTGCCAGCCTGGGTCTAGAAATACTCGCGCAGCTTCAAAATGTTGCTGTTGACAGGTGCCGTGATTTACCATTCTCTAAGTAGTTATCTACGTCGGCAGTATTCAGCGGACGCCTGATATCACGCCCGCTTGTACCGATAGAGATTGGAAGGTGAACACTAGGACTCGATAAAAGGCAGCAGCATATCAAAAACGGTTGGTATCCCTTGGTGGTATAAACAAGTCACGGGCAAGTTATCACGGGCTGTCAGGCGAGAAAGCTAGAAGACGTTTTTTCAGAAGATTTTATTCGGCAGGAAACTCGTGGCCTAGGTACAGTGACAAAGAAAATGAAAAGGAACCACAAGGTGCCGACGAGTCTCGCTGGAACGATACCATGCACCTGCTGGGCGAAATTAGGTGCTAGATATCTAGCCATGAAACCCATATGCATCAAGATCTTTTTTGCCTATCGCCTGTCGCTACTGATCAATTCAGTAAAACGCCGGCGAGCATGGCAAAATCCCCTCCCCTCCCGTCTATCAGTATCCCCAAAGGCCCTCTAAAGGGACAACAATGCAGAAACGTTGCGATGTATCCCTTATGCGCGAGCAAACAGACAACTTTTGTGTATTCGGTGGTGTGGAAAGGGGCTTAGATGAGGTCGGCGACGTTCATGGGCATCTCCTCGATCTGGGTGCTGTAGAATTGTTCAATCTCTCTCATCATACGGACATCCTCGGCGGTGACGAAGTTGATGGCGACACCCTTTCGGCCGAAACGACCACCACGACCGATACGGTGGATGTAGTTCTCGCGGTTGGCGGGAAGGTCGTAGTTGATGACCAGGGAAACCTGCTGGACATCGATACCACGGGCCAGAAGGTCAGTGGCGATCAGGACACGGGAGGAGCCGGATCGGAACTCCTTCATAATCAGGTCACGCTGGGCCTGGTCCATGTCACCGTGCATGGCAGAGACGGTGAAGTCACGGGCAGTCAGCTTGTCGGTAAGCCAGTCGACCTTTCTGCGGGTGTTGCAGAAGATGACAGCCTGGGTGATGGTGACAGTCTCGTACAAGTCCGAGAGGGTGTCGAGCTTCCACTCCTCCTTCTCGACAGCAATGTAGAACTGCTTGATACCCTCAAGGGTAAGCTCGTCCTTCTTGACGAGAATACGGACGGGGTCGCGCATGAACTTGGTGGTGACCTCCAAGACGTCCTGGGGCATGGTGGCCGACAGAAGGACGACCTGGGTCGACTGGGGCAGAAGCTGGAAGATGTCGTAGATCTGCTCGGTGAAACCACGCTACAAGAGACGGTCAGGTGGGTTTGGCAGGGGAGGAGGCTCGCAGTGGACTTACAGAAAGCATCTCATCGGCCTCGTCGAGGACGAACATCTTCATGTTGTCGGTCTTGAGGAAGCGGCGCTGGATCATGTCCTGAACACGGCCGGGGGTACCGACGACGACCTGGGGCCCGTCCTGGAGGGCCTTCATGTCCTCACGGACGCTGGTGCCTCCGATGCAAGCATGGCACTCAATGCTCATGAAATCACCGATGGCGATGACGACCTTCTGGATCTGCTGAGCCAGCTCACGGGTGGGGGCAAGGATCAGAGCCTGGCACGCCTTCAAGTTGGGGTCGATCTTCTGGAGAACCGAAATGGAGAAAGTAGCGGTCTTGCCAGTACCGGACTGGGCCTGAGCAATGACATCGTGGCCTGGAGCAAGAGTGTCAGGCATGTGGAGGTGGGAAGAAGAGATCTCAGCTGGTACATACCCTTGATGACAGGCATGATAGCCCTCTGCTGGATAGCAGAGGGGCGCTCGAAACCGTACGCATAGACACCTTCACTCGCTCGTCAGCCTTCCGCTATTTTTAGAGGGGGTAGACAGCCCTCGGCAGGGAATGCGACTTACCGCGAAGCAGCTCGGACCTGAGGTTCATCTCATCGAAAGAGTCGACGGTCTCATCGTAGTTGGACTCGATCTGGCCTGGGTGGAGGGGCACACATGTCAGTACGGAGTGATCTGCGAGAATTTGCCAGGTGGGCGGGGACGACCATGACGGGTTCGCGCCCGTTGACCGCCGAGGAGACTGCGGTCAACGACGAGGGACGCCCAGCGCCAGGGTCGGGCGGGAGAAGAGGTCTACTCACTCTGCTCGATGTCCTCCAATCCCTTGTCAGCCATGATTGCGGTTAGGTGTCCGTGACAATCGAGATATCAAGCGCCTGGCCTGAAATCTCGAATAATATGCGGCGCTTTGGTGGTGGGGTTGTGAAGAAGATTTGCGCAAACCGTCCGCTTCGTAAGGAGCGAAAAGGGTTCTGCGACAGCAACGGCTGTGAAGTAGAAGATGCGAAATTAAGACTAGATTAGAGGCTCTCGGGGGTTCGAGAGCTGGTCTGAATCTAGGAGGAGTGTTCTGTCTTGTTTGGTTGCGTGGGTGTTGCAATGAAGATTCAGAAGAGTCCGTGGTTGGGAGAGCGCCGCCAGATAAAAACCTGGGAAAAATTTTGGGCCACCAGCAAAAAAGTTCGGTGGCCCGTGCGCCGTGCAAAGGCAAAATGCCCGTCGAGGCAAATATTCGCCAAAACGGGGTCCCGCCGCTCCCATTGGACAGACGCTTTGTGCACTTCGAAAATCATCCGAGTCACCTCTGCCAATACTAGTCGAATGAATCAATTTTTTTCTACATAGTATACCTTCTGCTACACGTCGATCTCACGTCTGACTGATGCAGGCTGCCTGAAGGGTGCGTTCCTCAGAGTCCACTCCTCTGACCAGTGCCAACTGCCCGCGACCCATGCCACTCTGAATACCTAACTTTAGGAACGGGGCGGTGTGGTCCAGTAGCGCGCATAGGGCCCAGGTACTGTGACTGAAGCTGTCAAGCCCGTTTCCAGCAAAGGGAACTAAAGATTCAGAAAGAGTTTTTTTTTCGCTCTTTAGAGATTCGCCTTCGCCTTCGCCTTCACAATGCTCCTCTCCCAGGATTCCGGACTTGCACATGGGAGCAGGGTGCAAATCCCTCCAGCCGCTCATTCAGTGAGTCTAGACGACAGCCATGGCCCAGCCGTTGAGTCATCCACGGAATCAATACCAGTCCACCCGCTTGGAGTCAAACCCCTGGGCAATCAGTTCTTCGCCTCTGCCCCGTCTGCAAGGCAGGCAATTGGCTCTTTTGGGTCCCTTCCCGATGAGATGATCCTGCAACTCCTAGAGTACCTTGGAAAAGAGTCACTCAGGTCACTGGGCTCCACTAGTCGGTTTCTATACGCTTTCTGCCAGTTGGATGAGCTCTGGAAACCCCTTTTTCTCGAGTATGTGATACCACATAGAAGCAAACAATCTTACCCTTTTCCTGCGCAAATCCATGTTGCATGCCCAAGCCCCATTCTTCCTCGAGTGACTCATCGCGATGAGACTGCCACGAGTGAAACTCAGCCACCAGAAATTCATCGCAAGCGACTAACTCACTAGCAGGGCACCCACGGGGGACGCTGGCCTTTTGCCTTGGAAAGGCAGCTGGAGGAGTACAGTTCTGCAGCTCCCAAAAGAATCTGCCCCCAAGTTAGATTGCAGTAATGTCTTTTCGGACGTCCTCCATCGACCATTTGCCTGCTCCCACATCGTACTCAAGAATTATGTCTCTGGAATCCCTCGCGCGAACCAGATGAAGCGGCTTAGCAGCCTCTCACACGAAGACTTCTTGAATCACTGGAGTGAGAAGCCGTTCATCCTGACGGACTACATCAAGCAATGGCCAGTCTTCAGGGATTGGACTATTGCTAAGCTTAACAAAGCCTACGCCAACGTTGAATTCAGGGCCGAGGCAGTGGATTGGCCATTCTCAATGTATCACACATATATGCAAAACAGTGATGATGAGAGCCCGCTCTATCTATTTGATCGCAAGTTTGCCGAGAAAATGAGCATCAAGGTTGGCCAGGAAGACGGTGGCGCCTACTGGCCACCTGAATGCTTCGGCGAAGACGTATTCCATCTGCTGGGTCAAGAAAGACCTGCACATCGATGGCTGAGTAAGTCTTGACTTCAACTCCCTCGGGTCACACTCAGTGGGAGCGAACGGGCTTTGGGACGCACTCTGACATTGCCACAGTCGTCGGACCTGAGCGAAGCGGATCGACATTCCACAAAGACCCGAACGCCACCAGTGCCTGGAACGCGGTCCTCGAAGGTTCGAAATACTGGCTCATGTTTCCGCCGAGCGTGCCTCAGCCCCCTGGTGTCTTCGTGTCAGAGGATAGCAGCGAAGTGACCAGCCCCCTGAGCATCGCAGAATACCTCCTGACGTTCCACGCGGAGGCGCGTGAAGAAGCCGGCTGTATAGAAGGCATTTGTAGGGCAGGGGAACTATTATATGTACCCAGCGGATGGTGGTAAGTGCCAAGCTTTCTTCCCTGGGGTCCATGACATTTGACCCCCTTCGACATTGTATATTGTGACGATTTCAGGGAACATAAACAGCTAAAGTTCGTCTAGGCACTTGGTGATCAACCTCGAAGCAGGTATTGCCTTGACGCAGAACTTCGTGACGAATTCGAAGAAGCACCTGGCGCATGTGCTGTCGTTTCTCAAAGACAAGCCGGACCAGGTCACTGGTTTCAGCCGGGATATCACCAGCCCTTATGAATTGTTTGTCGAAAGACTCCGCGAGAAGCAACCTGATCTGCTGGAAGTAGCACTCGAAGAGATGGATCGCAGAAACGGGGGAAAGAAACGGCGCTGGGAAGAAGCAGTCGGTGCAAAGGAGGAAGCCCAAAGTGAAGCTGGTGGGTTTAGTTTTGGTTTCGGCGGTGATGACCTCGATGACGAGGAAATACCGTAAGAGTATCAATTATGCAATGGCCGATACGCACGATCTACGTGGATAGGCGGAGGTATAGCGTGCTCTGCTGCGTAACCCATCTGGTGGGGGCTGTCTTGAGTGTTACCGACTTACACAACGCTGTCTGAAGGAGAGGCAGAAGCGTCAGCTGGTAAGCGGTACAATCTGTTCCGTCACTCGTAAGACGGGGCCCAACCGTGCAGAATATCTATGCTGCGTGACTGCGCCTCGGGTGAGAAATAAATAATACAACTTGGTCTGACTAAGCTCTGCAGGAGACGGGGTCACTGATGACGGCGAAGAGCGGCAAGTATACCGCGGTCGACAGACTGGGTTGGTTGCGTGCTTGAATATGTGAATTGTATGATGAGGACCTGATTTTGCTGTTCACTACATTACACCACGCGCACACGGATATACCAGGCATACGTATTTACCAGACACCCAAGTAGAAGCATATTATACCGTGGGCAAGTACCCATGTCAGGGTGGTGGCTTGATGTCTCGGACTCTCGGTGGCCCCTTTCGGAGCTTGTTGCTATCGGCGGACTCTCAAGAAGCCGCAACGTGTCCAATCAGAACCTGGAAGTTGGCGGCTGCCACGAGAGGGATCGATAAGTCTTTGTTGATGACGCGAGGATTTGACAGCTCAGGTGGTTACCGTACTTGCGCGATTGCTTGCCCAGACACTTGGGCTAGGCGGCATTGCATTTGTGGTAAGTTATGAGTTATCAAGTTAGTGGCAGCTGGAGTCCAGTTGGCTGCACGGAGCACTTGCCAGCCCCAACTCGACGGCCCTTGGTAGCGACTGTTTAAGGCCCCGAAAGGCCCCCTAAGGGCCCCGTCCACTCGAGGTCCCCTCCCCCTCCCCAGCTTGCCTACCTAGGTAGCAACGACAGCCTACACACTCGGGAGCCCGTCTAAAGTCCGTCCCCTGGGTTCTTCTTCCCTTGGTCCCCTCTTGGTCCCCTTTCTGGGCCCCCGAAGCACCAGCGTGGGCTGGTCGGTAAGGCCCCACCCCCCACCACCAGACCCAGCAGCCAGCTGCATCATCGTCCGCTCCCAACACCAAGCGCCCTCCAGGCTGGCTGGCTGGCTGGACGCCTCCACCTGTGTTTTAGTCACTAACTTAGCTTAGCGAGTCCGCCAGACTAGCAAGGTATCGGTAGAGCGCGAGAGCGAGTTAGCAGGTGAGCAGGTAGCACCCGTAGCACCGTAGCACCGTCGCACCGTCGCACCCCCCATCCCCATCACACGTCGGAAGCTGCCATCGAGGTCGGCGACAGCGCAGCTGAACCAACCGCCAACGCCTCCGTACCGCGCCTCTCGTTCCCCCGTATATCCATAGTCATAGTCATCCCGCCGCCAACCTCAACCCTCAACCCCCGACTTGCCTGCTTGTGCACCCCGGAGGCCATGCACGCTGCCCCCGTCTTCAGCTAGCACCTCCCCCGTCAACTGGCCCCCTTCCCCTGAGTCTCACCGCGTGCCTCTCCGTGCTGTCTCCTCCCTCGCGAGGAGCTATCGACCCTATCCACTCCGACCCGGGCCTCACTCGACCGCTCGGCCCTGATCTGACCCGTCAGGTTTGGTTCCGCGCCCATCCATCGTCACACCTCTCGAGCAGACGTCTGCAGCCAGCCAGCCTTATGATTCGCCCTGTCCAAGGAAGCTTTCTGAATATATCACACCATCGCTTCAAACCGTCGTGACCCCATCTTCGTTTCGTCCCTTGTTCCGTCCCGTCCGCTCCCTCCCCGCCGACGCCGCGTCACCATGATCTCCGACGAGACGTACGAGATATGTCTGCCGATACTGCAGGATCCGAGCTTGGAAGAGGAGGACAAGACGGATAAACTCGAAGACCTCCTCAGAAAGGAAACATCCCTGACCGGCACCGGCCTGGAAAACGCCGTGCTCGACTGCCTGTGGAGGTACCGCGATGGCGGCGGCGGCGTCGCCGCCTCGCCGCCGCCCATACGACAGACCATCCTCCGCCGGCCTTCGCCCGCCTCGTGGAGGGGCTCCGCGACACCGCTCTCCGGCTCCCCCAGGCTAGGTGTAAGCCCCCTGGCCCCTCCGGGCTTCGTGCCCACGAATCTCAGCAGGACCAAGTCCTCCACCGTCTCCCCCTTTTCCTCTCCGCGCCCGTCGCCGCGTCTCGCCTTCGCCGCTCCCGTCATCCCGAATAGTCCGAATCTCAACGCCTACGAGTTTGCGAGCGACACCAGTCCGGCCCAGGAGATATACGGGGACTTTCAACAAGAGAATGTAGACTGGCTCGTGAGCGACGATGCTCTCAGCATCACCTCCTCCCTGGGGACTCCCAGCGGCCTGAACGCCGCCGCGCCCGAATACGTTGCGACACAGCAGAACGACATGACGCCTTACGACATGCTGCGCTCTATCCTGGGCCAGACCAAGACTGATGACGAGATTGAGGCAGCCTTGGCCGTTCACGGCTATGATCTGAGTGCAACAATAGCCGCCATTATGGAAACTCAGGGGCAAGACCCTACGAACGTCTCCAACTTGACACCAGAAACCAAGAGCGTGCTCATTGGCAAGTCGATGACTCCTGACAATCGACCAACCACGCCCTCAAACCAGCAGAAGTCGGGAATCATCTGCAAGTTTTACTTGTCTACGGGACAGTGTCTTCGCTCCGACTGTCGCTTCAGTCATGACCTCAGCAACCATATTTGCAAGTGAGTGAGCCCAACCCAGACCCTAATCAGACTATTTACTAACTCGGCTCTATCAGATATTGGGTCATGGGCAACTGTCTGGCTGGAGAAACGTGTATCTTCTCACACGACCCATCCCATCTCATGAATCGCCTCACCGTTGATGGAAGCAGCACTCCTCCTTCAAAGAACCTTTCGGTGCAAGACTTCCAATCTGCCTTCCCGGCACTACGCCCGGCCACTCCTGAGCTCAACCCATTTGCTCCCAGTTTCAATTACTCGCCCGCAGGTGCGACCCCGCCACCTGGGTTACGACCAATGAACGGTTACAATGGCAACGATGGTACCCGTTCACGGTCCCGTCCAAGTAGCCGTCATCAGACCAGAGATGGCCTGAGTGCACCTTCTATAGATGATAATGACGCTTTCCCTTCTCTCGGATCGGCATCTTCCAAACCCAATAAAAAGCACCACGGCAAAAGGGGTGGCCACGGGCACGGGCACAAGGAGAACTATACACCCAGCTCGCTGGCAGATATTGTCAAAATGTCGCCCTCTCCATCTCCAGCACCAGGCTCAGCAAAACAAGAAAGCAAGAAACTCGGCCGCAACGGCAGTTCCACAAACGTCAAGAACGGGGAGAACAGCGCTGCTGCCCAAGCCATCCCTAGCCCCAAGCATATCCCTTGGCTCGAGACCGGAGATAGGGCCAACAAGGCCTACCTCAAGGCTCGCCAGGAGGCCATCAAACATGGTGGTCTCCGCAATAAATTCCTCCAAAGGTATGTGCAGAGCTTTTCCATGATCAACATTCAATTGACTAATTGCGTCTTCATAGTGCCGCCCAGGCTTGGAACCGCAATGATGCGCGTGCTGCGAAGGCGCTCAGCCTGCGTGGTCAAAGTGAAAATGAACTGATGCGGAAAGCTCATAGGGAAGCTGCTAAGGAACTCTACGAGCAGCGTAACAAGCAGACGTCGGGATCTGAGATCTACGTCGACCTGCATGGACTTCATCCCGAAGAGGCTGTGGAGTATCTGGAGCGCGTGCTTCTTGATAACGCCAAGGAGAGCAGGCCAGTCTATGCCATCACTGGGACGGGCCACCACAGCAAGAATGGCAAGGACAAAGTGGGCAAGGCCATCAGGAACTTCCTCAACGAGTGGAGGTACGCGTACCGCGAATTCTCCGTTCCTGGCGACCGGAACAACATGGGCGGCATACTCGGCATCGATGCCCGGAGCTATGACAAGTCACTTTCTCGAGAAGGCGCGGGCACGAAGGAGCAGAAAGAGGAACCCAAGGAAGAGGTCGATATCCTGAGCCAAGGGGTCGAGATCGGGGACGGCAAAGTCCGTCTCCTAGTTAGGGATCCTCCCAAGGGGCCCAGCGGCAACCGCAGCCGATAACTAAAACAAGGAAAAAAAATCTCCAAATCAATAAAGAAAGGAAATTCTTATTAAAACTGCTAGTCCAGTCAGCCTTGCGCTCCTAGTGACATCTAATCCATCGTAACATGGTGGCATCACAGACCACGTCCCTTCCTGCAAATGCAAGATTAGGTAACCACGTCGCAAAGTAAAACAGCAAGTTCGTGGGTGCTCGACGCGATTTGGTGATGTCGTCCCTGCATCCAGCGGAGACCCCGTTGGATGGAGACCGGAAGGGTTTATACTTGGTAGTAAATAAGTTTGCTCACCACTAGGCACAATGGCAGCCAATCAAGCACTTGGCGCCTGCCGGATGCGTCTACCTCGAGACTATAGTTTGCAAATCCATCTCCATATATTAATACAACCCAGAAAAGACCACTAACTTAGCTAGAAAGCGCCAGGGACTAGTCCCGTCCGCCAAAGCTGGGAACTCTCCGACCTCAGGTGCCACGGGCTGTCGCGCCTCAATCATGAATAGGGAACTCCCATCACAATAATTAGAATAGTTCATATCTTAAACTAGTCCTAGGTCTCTGACTAGATAAGATGCCGCTCACCGGTCAGGCATCCTCGGTTGCTCTTCAGGCCTGTTGGGGCAAGTTGGAACCTACACCCGCAAGCCCTTGAGTTACTAGACTTGATCGAAGTTTGGGGGAGCTCTTGACACCGGTGACATGACCCTAGTGATTGAGTCCTATCACCGTTTCTATGATTAAGCGGTGCAAAGGTATTGGTCATATATTTCGAGAAGTCATTTCGGAGGGTTTACAAACGCACTCTCGGTGGCTATGTCTTTTGTTCCTAGAGTGCCACGTCGAGTCATTCTTAAAGGCAACGTGTAGTCAGACAAATGAGCCTTACACTAGACCGCCACCAGGATTTTCCATAGTCACTCGATGAGGCGCAGACAGCTTCCACACGGAATGTGTTACTTCAATGTGATATTGGCACATTGCATGGAGCTGTAATTGAATCTTTTTTCCGGTCAAGCGCAGGCGCAATAGCGTAATCTCAGCTCGCTGACTCGTTCTTACCTCGATGACTATACACGCAATAGCAACCATGTTCGTTTGATGACAGAATGAGGCTCCCAGGAAGACTGCAGGACCAGTCAGGCTGGCATCGACTCCTTCGACTTGCACTTATCTAGATGTAGACAAGGGCGGGTTCGGCTGGTTCGCCCGAACCTGAGCCGCCTCAGCCTCACGGGTTTCGAAATCGACCAGGGTGTTGGGGGGGGGGGAATCGCTCGAGCGCAACGGCCGCCCCATGAAACCAACAACGTTCCCTCTGACGTCTCGAGACCACGCGGTGAAGAATCGGGTGAAACGGCAACGGTCTCTGCCAACTGGATTATGGGATTATGGCCACGCCCAAAGTTCCCCTAAAGTGCTTTTTGCAGTCCAAGCTACGTGGTGTGGGTTTTTGACGTCGTATCACGGTGCAGTCAACGTCCCCGTGGTGTTTGAAAGTATTAAATTTGGTGTGGTACTACTATTCCCAGCCTTGTCTCTGCTACACGTTTGAGACAGATCGGTGAGAAGCATATTGACAGGCCTCACCGATGATTCTGTCTCATTCGTAGATAGCTTGCATCCTCTCTCCCGGCCATTCGCTAGCACCAGGACCGCCTGGTTGTGATCACCATGGATGCCTGGCCGCATGACCTCTCCATAGTCCCAACGCCCCTGTTGGAAACATCATCTCCGTAGTGTCCATCGTGAGGTTTACCGTCCGTCCTGCTGGCGTATCCTAGAACTCGACTCGGCCAAGGTCATCATGCTCCTTGGGCCATCTCAATAAATCCCAACCAAAGTTCTCCCGAAGGGGTCGTAGTTGACGCGAGCGGTGAGAATGCCAAAACCAGAGAAGCATGTAGAAACGCCGTAGATCTTTGTTGTATGATTTAGAGTAGGAAAAGGCCGCTTTAAATCTGAAGTATGCATGAAGGAATCGTGTCTCTAGAAGCGAAGTGCGAACTCGTATATACGGTGTCCGATATGCCGACTTTTGCTATAGGCATCAGACAACTTGACGACATGGACAGTCGATGGCACACTCGGAGCAAGGTCGTTCTGCGACTATGCTTTTCCGCGACTGCCTCTTTGAGGCAAAGTCCAAGGCTTCGCGCAGACCATCTAGAGTGACGTTAGTAACTGAGTTGTCTGGCATGATACCTCTGCAACGTACCTCGCCTTCACTATATGCCCAGAAATACACAACCATCGAGATGAGATAGTAGAGCCCGGCGTTGGTGCCTTGGTATGTAAGGATGGCGGCCAGGGCGAACAGCGGCAGGGCCGCAAGGCGAGCCTCGAGGCTGCGGTGAATGGACGTGCCAGCAATGAAGCCTAGTGGGTATTCCCACGCCAACATTGCGAATCCCATGATCAAGTTGATGATTTGTAGCACCGGGATAGGCTTCACTGCAGGATCCAGCGTTTTCGTGAGGAAGTCGAAGAATATCTTGGGCCAGAAGAATCCCTCCAGTGCGGCAGCAATTTGATCTAGAACTTCTTGTTAGAAAGACCCTATAGAAAAATGAAGCGAGTCTCCGAAACTTACAAACTGCAGCCGTCAGGGTGATCAGCCTCGCCCAGTGGTTCTTGATAAGTCTTCCCATTTTGGCGTTTTCTCGTTAAATCGGTTCCTCTGAATGATTTCCTTCTCGTGTATGTCCTCTTCCCTGTCTTCTTTTGTTTTTTTCTCTTATTTTCCCAGTTGATGAACACAGTCCAAGCCGTCGCCGATACGTATCCGAAACCCAACACTAAAACCCCAGTAGAAAGAAAGTCGAAAGAGAAAGAAATGCAAGGTAGCCGGACCTGCGAATCGAAGCGTTGACAAAAAAGTTGTCGATATTAAAAGAAGGTTACCGACAGGCGAGTGCTCAGCGCTGGCAACTAAGAGAAAAGAAGGGAAGAGGTAAGGGCCAAGATGAGACCACCGGCCGGCGGGGGTGGGAGGACTATATTGGATGTTCGGATGGCCTTGGCTCTTGCCCTTAGGCGAGGGAAGGGGGAGCGATGCTCCCGTTTAGGTGTTGCCTGTGTCAGAAGAGACGGAGCCCTGTCAGGGTCGAGTCTTCAGATGTTTCTGGGTGGAGGCTGGTGCTTCGTTTGAGATCCAAGTTCTGCTGATCCGATCTATGATGACAGCGGGCATCCGAGCGGCATTCCTCAATTCCGTTGTCTAGTTGTATCCCTGCGTGGGAGATGGACCGCGCTCTCAACCTTATTGAGGATAAGAGTATTAATTTTGAGCCGCAATGGATATATCTTCCTGCCTTGCCCAGGGTGCGGTCTTGTTTGAAGCTAGTGTGGTCTGATGCCGACAGTCTATGGGGCGTATTGATGTACCGTCAGGATGGGTCGTCAGAGCTCGTGCCAGAGTCTGTTCGCAGGTGCGGCTCTCTGTCGTCGCATTAAGAAGGGTTGAAGATCAGACAGTCATGCCGCCAGGGGAGGGGAGGGTGTTATGAGGCAACAGGAGGTTCTTCGTGTATGAGGGTGTGGATCTTCAGACATGCGGAGACCTGCGAGTTTAAGAACTGACAGGCCACATGGGGCCGCTGGGGGATGCATAGTATCATCAGCCACCACCAGTGCCATTAGACGAGAGTGAACCAATCCTGCAGCGTGCAGAATCCGAAGACAAGGAACGCTGCGGGCCTTCAGATGGAGCTCCTGGCTGCATCCGATGGAACCGCAGCAAGTCTTGCAGGTCTCATGATGTGCGTGAAGGGTATCTGCCCAGAAGGGGCTAGAGCTGGAGGACTATCGGGTTTGGCAACTGGGCGGGTACGGACAAGTATTGCCCTCAATTGGCCAAAGGTACAGTACCCAAGGGCGGACTATCGTGTGTGGACTGGGCGGCTGCTCAGCATACGTACTGCAAAGGCGGGTATTGGACATTCAGGTAATTGAGGGCCTCGATCATGGCGGTCGAGAATAGCACAGGTGTGGGAGACTCAAGTGATTGGGCTTGTCCGGGCGGTTAGATGCCACCGTGTGGCCAATCACAGCCCCCAACACCTCTTTCCGTGCAGCTCCGTGCAGGACTCAGACAGGGGGTGACCCCAGATCACCAGGGCAATCAACTCCGTTGCAGGGTGTTCTATGGCAAGTCCTGCGCGGTTCCTACCCGTCTCTGCCCGCCCTCGCATTTTGGAGGGTTGCGTGCTGTTGAAGAATAGTAGAGGGTTCTAATGGCAACGACTTGCCGGCCGCCACGCCTAGGATTGACGATGTCTTATCCATATTCGGTGCCGGATACAACTACGACGAGAAATCTCGTTGGCATAATACTGCCGTTCTGGTCGTGCTCGAAGAACCCAAGTTAAGAATCTACGATGTATAATGGATACGTGCTCAGTCCGACCCCATCTTACGTTCTGCCACGATTACGAGTGGTGGTGGGTTGTACAAACCTCAGACACGCGTGGCTTGCATCGCCGCCAACCTCTCTGGCCCTACAATACCTGTGCTGCCTGTCGTCCCATGGAATCCGACGTCTGCGCACTTTCAGCTTCGGTCGTCCGTTCTTGGAATCATCTGCGTGCACTTCAGACAGAGTCCCCATCAGCGTTCATGTCATCCGGAAGTTCGCGACGCCGCCCTGAGGCGATCAGGGTATGCCCAGACAGAGTCGAGTTTCGCAAGTGACGGTACTGAGGCAGATTAGGTTTGAGAGACCAGCAACAGTTGTGGGTCCCTCCCGCTAGCCGACAGGCAGACAGGGGTTCCTACAGAGTATGCGACTAGGCGCTTGGCCTCGAAAGGGACCACTGGGGGTCACTAAGTGTGGCATCGCTGGCTATAACCCGACCTGGGATCTGATCAAATAACCGTCAGTGCAGCATTTGGGTCATATTGGACGATAAATGGTCTGAATGATCATGGCGGCCTCGAATGATAACCCAATGGTGCTTTGGGTGAAAATACTGTCAGATTTCCCACACTTGAAACATGTCATCTGAATAAACACATGATATGATCTGCCTGTGCCATAACCAGGCACTGACGGATCTGAGATGAAGCGGCGTCGGCTGGCTCAAAAATTCACGTATACCCAAAGAAGTAGCATGGTTTGACGGTCTGGGAGGTGTTCTCTCCCCAAGACTCTTATCACGATAGTGGAGGGTTTACAGTACAATCGTCTCCGTCGACTTGTCCGCGTGCACTATCACTATGCGTTAGTTCCTAGAGCGGTCTAATCGTTAGGGATGATGACTATGGCTCCTTTACACTCGATCGAGGCCTTGACTGCCCCACAACGTACTTCGGTTGAAGAATCCACGGCTGATGCGGTGTGGCATGAGCATGCATGGAACATGAAGTTCGTTCTCGTCGGCGGCTGTTCATGGGTTTCCATTGGCTCTCTGAATGAAAGCCACATGGTCACTAGCTGCGTACTCCCGGATCACTGGAAAAGCTGTGGCTAGTCACATTTGTATGCACCAATGACATGCCACCGCTAGGCGTCCCCACCGGTTCCGAACATGACAGTTCCAAGATCCAATGTTGATGATGCGAATTCCGATCGCGAATGTGGAGCACAAACGATAGCCTGGAAAGATATAAGAACATGCCCAAGCAACCGTGACGGCATGCGGGAACCTACCACAGTTTCGGCATAGTTGCTCCGTCTAGACTGCACGCCTCATGATTATCGAGGCACCTTTATCACATCTTCGGCTTGCTGCATTGGCCAAGGGGCTTTCGGAGCCCGGGGCCGCTTGACGGGCTTGTGGCTATCATAAATGCCACTTTTCACACTCTTCTCGTCTCAATGGTTGATAGTCGAAGATAACAAGTCTGGTTCCAGCAACAACCTTCAAGATGGTTGCACTTTCTTACGAGTGGGTTACCGATTGGCGTAGGCTTCGGTGAATGGCTGAATCCTGTAAATTCCATCTTGGGCAGCATTCAACCTCAAGGTCATATTATCTTTGGTGCCGTGACTGTTGATTCACGCAACTCCATGGCTATGGTGAAAATTTACTTTTGTTCTACACAGTTCTCTCCCGGCGGCCCTCTCAATGTTATTAAATCGCACCTCTTCTCAACGAGATCAACTTTCAGAGCCAAGCTCTAATAGCTATGCGTTGGTTCCCTACTGCAACCATGCGTGGCGAGCATTGGAGTGTTACAGTACACCAAGGATTGATCACTGCCGTAGATTTTGGTTGCGGCCTTGATGCTGCATCGCTGTCTTGCCCATGGAGAAGAAATAAGAAAGCAAGTTGTTTCCCAAACGTCGTTCCATCGCATGAACATGCATGCAGAATTCTACGGTGGAGACTCGTTGGCTCGACCGGCCCCAAGTTGCTAAATATATATCATGCAGCATTGTAAACTGGGTAAGTCGACGAACCATAACATGTTACGCAATGGGATACTCGTCCTTCCAGAATCTGATGACACGATCAGCATCTTCTCCCAGGTAATCTTTCAGAAGCTGCTTTCCGTCAGGTGTGGTGGCTTTGGAAACCAGATCCTTGAAACCTGCCGTGATATCACTTATAACATTCACTGCGTGCTCTGGAAGACTACCGGTGTCAGAACAGTAAGGAAGAAGGCTGCGAGCTGGTGTCACCAGTTGGCGGGACGCTGCACTTGTGGAAAGTTGGTAATGGAAAGCCTTGATGGCTGTTGGTAGACTCTCAACTGTTGGAACTGGTATTATTGGCATTTCCAGACCACCGATGAGTCTGGCCTCAGCAATTAGTATTCTGTTCACCTTCTATAAAGAGATGCATGGACGATGATCACGACTTACTCTAGTTGCAATCTCATCATGGCACTTGAATTGCTCTCTTGAACACCCTCCATCTGCCTCATGAGCAAAACAATGGCCACGTACCGGCCGCCGTTGAGATTGAATAACCTCTCCGTCCGCTTGTGTGTTTCATGTGACCCAATGTCAGATGGCGCGAGGAATATGGCGCGAAAGGCGAGATGAGATGGCTGGCCAGGTAAGGACAGTGGCAGTGCCAGATCATGAGTTTCGAGACGTGCTTCTGGGGAATACGGTCAGAATTGCAGCCAAGCGCTCGACCAAATGATCTGATAAGCGCGGTGGCTCGCGTACCTTTCCATCTGGGAGGATTGGGGCTCTGCAGAAGCGCTGGCACGACTGAGGCCCAATCAGGTCGCTTGCGTAAGGAGGAGCAAATCACGGCTCGCCTTTCCATTGTTTCAGTCAGACCACCACCCGCGGTCGAATCTCCAATGATTTCCACCGAAATTGCTAATTTGGCACCCAGTTCAGATGGGATCGATGTTGTGCTACGTTCGACAAGGCGCAATCGGGGTTGCAATGCTTGCAGTGCCTCTGACTTGGGGGCTCTGCAGCTGCACGATCCAGAGTTGCGCGTATGCGTGTGTTGGGAGATCGCAGCTTGGGGATTTGGGTGCGCGCTTGATTCTCTTCAAAAAGATCCTGTATCGTGGTCGAGAAAATACAAACTGCTGGAATTCCACTCCACCTGGGCAGTTGGTGCTTGCTGCTGCCTTGTGGTTATTCCATATGCAGATTCCATAACAAAACGACGAGACAGAGCCCAGTCACACTGGACAGCACTCGGACGTCGTGGTCTCATCATCATATCGTTTATCACCGCGACCAAGTGAAGGTCTGCACGAAGGCTGTGGCAAATCCTGCGAGAGAGAGCGTTTCAAAAAGCGCCACTCGTGGACTGGCAATTTACAGCACGTCACAGGCAACGGGGCACCTCAGGCAGCTCGTGTTTTGTGGTACACCTTAACTCAAAGCCGCAGAATGCAAAACGTGGCTGAACTTCTGTATGGATGTTGAAATGCGAGGAGACACGAGGTATAGTTCAACGTTCGCCAGGCTCCAGCATTACGGCCCGAGTACCATGCCTGGTTCAATTATCATGGCGCTGTATTCTCAAAGGCTTGGGCCCATGTTCGGCTATGTCTTTGTGTGGAGTTGCCCGCAGCTAGAGAAACGTGCTGAATGCCATTTCAATACCCTATGACTTCAAAGTTTACGTCGATAGGCAACAAAGCCCCTAAAGGGTTCTGTTGAATAAGTGGACCGAGTCTGCGATCGAGTTATCTTTATCCAGCGAAGTGTAACTGAACACCAAGTCTTGTCTCTCTTTGTGTTGGTCCTAAGGTTTGAGCGTGACTTACATACATACATACATACGCGTTGCTTCTCGTCGAGTTATTCGCCTCCGCTGTATTCTAGTTCCGTACTTGGCACCGTTCTATAATAACTGCATTTGTCATGGCAAACAACAACGCTATAGGGACTCACAATTTCATATCTACGTTACCTTGTCATCATTACTGCAGCCGCTTTCAGTTATCCGCTGCCCCTCTCGTCCAGAATCAGACCTAATCCAGGGTTTGTTCCCTGAGTCAAGTCTGAGGATCGAGTATTGCAGTTTTGAAGGAGACTGAAAAGCGAATTTCATTGTATTCCAAATTCATACGCTGACTTTCTGGAAAGCAAGTGCTATAGCAGTCAGGAAGGCAGCTGTCTTTATGGAAGTTCACAGATAATTCTACGCTGTGGTTGTCGCTTCGATTGGCTATCCGTATGTTGATTTGTATTGACTGATTATTTGATCTTGCTTGAGGTGAGATGAGGTATATACGCTAAGTCGCCCCAGTATATCTTCTATATTCTTTTCTTGGGCTTATTTGGGATTAAATATCTCTTGGCCAATTTAGCCAAAGTTATGGCTTGGTGCAATGCCCGAAACCGCAACGCCGTGCTGCCCTCTACAGCGTCTATGTCGGTAGCCTTGGAAGGAGACTCATATTGTTACAGTGCTTGGATACAGTTGGTTGGCCAACCATGTTCCTCACGCGGCTGGTGATGTGGTCGGTGCCGGTGCCGGCGCCGGCGTTGGCGCCGGGGGCAGCAATGGCTGCTTCGTTTTTGGGTCCTTGAAGGCTCGGAGTGCCTGCTCCATCGCCAGCACCCTGCTCTCTTGGCGCATCCGCTCATCTTCACGCTCCTTCTCAAGTGCCTCCAACTTTTCATTGAGCTCCTTGATCTTCTCGGCGTTGTGATCCGGCTTCGACGACGACCTGTACCACTCGTATATGATCAGAGCGGTGGCAACGGTGAGTATGAAGGCGTCTCCGATGACATCGGCGAACAGATCGACGGCCTTGGCCTCTGGAAGTGGCCTGAACCTTCTCTTCCATACGTTCAGGATAGTATAGGGTCTCTTGCGCCGGGCCTCTGCGACGGTCATGCCGTGCTTGGCCTTGAACTCCTCATCTTTCCGGATCTGCTCCTCCGTCTTGACCGTGGGCGCCTCGGCCTTCTCCCTGGCCCTCTGCTCGGCCTCGGGGTCTCTCAAAAGCGTGACCGACAGGCGCATGTTCAACTGATGTATGGCCTGGCCGCCGCGTGCCGCCCATACGCGGAAGCCCGGATGGTCGTGTGCTTGGTGTTTGATGCGGTTCTGCGGGCGCGTTCTTAGCTACGGGCGGGAATGGCCGGGACCAGGTGGTAGATGTATACATACTGCGCCATACTTGGAGACGTGCCGCAGGAAGAGAGAGGCAAGCTTGAATAGAGGCAGCGCAACCATCTTGCCGCCGAAGCCCGTGGTCCTAGGAGTGGTGTTTTCGCCGCCGGATTGCCAGGGCATGTGGAGGGGAGGGAGGGTTTCGGGCAGGCTCTCTTAGCTTGCGAGCATCGTCCCGGACGAGCAGGTCTTGGTGCTGACGATTGGATGTCCCGTGGGGCGAGGTTCGAATTGGCCGTCATGCAATCATGGATGCCTCGAAATGCAGTCGGAGTCACGGCCTGTGTCAGGCGGCTCCCTCGGCGGGCTGCTGATGGGCTACCGTGGGCAACGCCTTAGCGGGGTGTGGGGCGCTGGCAGCGCAGCTCAATGCAGCACAGGGCACCGCGCTCCAGTGGTTGAGTGGGGGGTTTCGGCGGTCGTCGGGGCCAGCTGGGGCTTCCTCGTGGCTTGGCGGGCTGCCGGCCGGGCGTGGTTGCCGGGCCAATGTCGAGAACCCACCGCTGATGGAGTAAACGAAGGGAAAAGACCCCAGCCCAGCAAAAGAAAGAGAAAGCGCACGCAACGCAAAGCTCGTCGCGGCTCAACCTCCCGACCGTGTCAGCACACAACACCATTCTTTCGCCCCGGCCGAGCCTTGATGCCCATTGTTTGCATGACGATACCCCAGCCTGGCCTATAGATTGTTACTGCTTGATGCAATCGCTCTCTGAATTGTAAGTCTCCACGGACGGGGCCCTTTGTTTATCGCCAGCCTATCCACATGTTTTCACCTACCCTTCCCCTTCCATACCTCGACACTGCACTCCAAACAACCTGCCATTCCGAACTACCATCCCCTTGCAGAGCTCTTGCCCAACATTGCTGTGGTGGGCTCTGAAATCATAGCCCTTGGCCATCGAATCGAATCAGGGACCTCGAAGCGAATGACAACGCCTTCTTGGGGGAAAAAGCCAGACTCAACTAATGAATGATTACACTTACAGAATAACGTACTTCCACCAACAACACAGCCCAAGCAGAGCTCCGCTGGGATTCTCCAGACTCTCTCCTGCTTGCCACACACCGCTGTCTCTGTCGGCCGACGAACTCCAATGGCGGACAGAGTCCTAGCAGCAAAACAAGGCCTAGACACGGACGCCTTGTCACCGAGGGACGTAAATGTCCAGTTACCAAACCGACCCAACCCCCAGGCAGCCAAGATAAAAGCAACCGTGGCGGCCAAACCGATCCCCAAGGACAAGGACCACCCTCCTCCTCCTCCGCCCCTTGTCTTTGAACCTCCCAGCAACGACCGCCACGATGGCGCAACATACCAGGTCGGCAAGATGTTGGGCAAGGGGGGTTTTGCCATCTGTTACGAAGGCAGGCTGCAGGGCTCGCAGAAGAAGTTTGCGTTGAAGATTGTCAAGTCCAAGATGCCCACCAAGATGGAGCAGAAGGTGTGTCCTGTTCGTCGGCGAATACGCTATTCCTTGCATGCTAACTCTGTCGTCAGTTTCAAACTGAGCTTCAGATTCACTCCAAGATGCGGCATCAGAACCTGGTTCAGTTCCTGCGAGCATTTGCATTTGAGAAGAGCACATACCTCATCCTGGAACTCTGCCCCAACGGATCGCTCATGGATATGGTGAAACGTCGCAAGGGCTTGACAGAGCCTGAGGTGCGCTTCTACTCGGTCCAGATTGCCGGCGCCATCAAGTACATGCACGCCAAGGGCATAATCCACCGTGATCTGAAGATGGGCAACATCTTCCTTGACAAGCACATGAACGCCAAGATTGGCGATTTCGGTTTGGCTGCCCTGCTGGTCACCGGCAAGGACATGCACACAATCAGGAGGACAACCTTGTGCGGCACTCCCAACTACATTGCCCCGGAAATCTTGGAGAAGGGAAAGAAAGGACACGATCACATGGTCGATATCTGGAGTTTGGGAATCATCATGTAAGCCCGCCAGTCCGCGCGCTGCATCTGGGCACGACTAACATACTGCAGGTTTGCCATGTTCACTTCGAAGCCGCCTTTCCAGTCCTCCACAACCGACGAGATCTATCGACGAGCTCGGAACCGGGACTACGAATGGCCCATGACAGAGGGCACAAACAAGTACATCAGCCAGGAGGCTAAAGAGATCGTCGCCGACATGTTAGTAGAAGCCGATCGGAGACCTGATCCAGATACCATTGTGAAGCACGACTTCTTCGTGTCTGGATACGTCCCAGTCAAGGGCGAAATCACAGCCACGTTCCGTGACTGCGCTCCGGATAACCCTGCCTTCTATGAGGTTGACCAATCGCCAAAACTTATTGCACGCAACATCCGCAATCTCGAGGATCTTTGCCGCGACTGCGAGGTGGGCCCTTGGTGCACCACGCAGAAAGTGTATACCAGCACGTGGAAAGAGGTTGCTCTGGAGGAAAAGGCAGGACTCACTCCCGTAGTTCCGCTGGCCGAGGGAATCGTGTATAGGCCGTTCGACGAAGTAAGCCGGGAGCAAATGCTAGATCAGGTATCGCACAAATCTCAGCTCCTGCTCAAATCTGGAGATGACTCGTCTGCGTCACTTCAGATAGCTCCCAAGGGCCTCCTTAGGGAGCCGCCTCAGAGTTTTGCGGCCCAACAGCGGGCTCAAGGGCGGCCAGGAAAGCCCGGCGCACTGCCTCGCTCCCAGACTTTGAACGAGATAGGCCCAATGCCATCAGCCAGTGGCACTATGCGATCTCGGACAAAACGCGAGCTCGTCCGTAGCAACACAGAGGATAACATCCTTGCGTTGCCAGCACCCCCTTCATCCGACAACGTAAGGCTGCCAACCCGTACACTGGCATCGGCTGCACGGTTCCAGCCTGCAGAGGTTCGAAGACCAGCTGTCGAGAAGCCGCAAGCACGCGTGGTACCACCCGCAGCAGTGTCGGCACCTCAAAAAGCGCCTGTTGAAGCAAGGACGGAAACTCTTTTCAGCCCCTCAGAGCCTCAGACACCAGTACCGGATACGAAGCCCGACATGGTACTGGACCGGTTACGGCGTTTGCAGGCTGAGTTGGAACGGGCCTTGAACGCCAGGTCGATGGCTATTGTCAGCAAGACAACAGCAAATACTCCACCGGCACCTCACATTGTTGTGAAGTGGGTTGATTACTCCAACAAGTTTGGTTTGGGATACATCCTCAACGATGGAACAGTGGGCTGCGTCTTAAAGAGTCTCCCAGGAAAAGCAAGAGGAGGCAAGACCGTTACTCTGCCCCCTTCTTGTGTCGTTGTGCACGATGCCGAGAGACACTGCCAACGGCGCCATGACGAAGCATACGCAGACCGACACCAAATTATTCCCATGACGCAACCGATTCAGTTCTTTGAGAACAATGGCGAAGCTGGTCTTTCGAACGTTCAGGTACACCCTGCGCAGTTCAAGATCGGTGTGAACCCTGATGGGACGCCGGGCAAGGTTCCTGTTGGCAAAGACATCTACGACTATCGCAAGCGAGAGCATTTGATTCTGTGGAAGAAGTTTGCCAATTACATGATGGCGTATGGCCGCGACCAAGAGGCTCCGACGGACGAGACAGGTCAGGTCCAAGTTCCTGAGTCCACAGCCTCTTCTGCGGCTCCATGCGACGTTGTCACATTTTATCAACGTATTGGGGATGTCGGCTGCTGGGTCTTTGCCGATGGCCATCTTCAGTTCAACTTCCCCGACCACACCAAGATTGTCCTGGACTCCACGGCTACCTGGTGTCACTTCTGGCACCTCCCGCAAGAAGCAGCGACGAAATTGGCATCGATTGGTGTTCTTGATGAGACAGCGCTTGACGAACGTGCGGTACTCAGCTACCCCTTACAGACCCTCCTCAACTTTGCCACGAAACCTGCAATCCGCCCAAGTCGATCTCAAACCTCACAGACACGGAAACGCCCTGAAATTAGCCCGATGCTTCAAGGCATACCTGCTGCCAATGACTTCCGTCGCAAGGTAGATTTCATCAAGAACGTGGTCAAGGAGTGGGTCAGCAACGGTGGCATTGGAAACAGTGACATGAGCCGCGAGAACCGGCTGAGGTGGACCGGCTGCCGCGAGACCTTTACCAGCGGCCCGAGCAAGCACGTCTGGGTCACCATCGGAGCCCGCTGGGGCGATGAGAGATATAGTGCCATGGTGGACCCGAAGAAGCCCCACGAGCTGGGAGAAGATGTCGAAGAGAGAAGGAGTGTGCCCGCTGCTTAGAGAGATTTTTGTACACGACCGTCGGTTTTGCCATCGAGCTGAGACTGCTTTGCTCTCTGGGACGGGTGTGTTGTGATTTGGTGATGTAATTCATCCACTGTAATGCCGTCTACGAAAGATCAAGAGGTCCGGCGTTCTCGGAGGGGTTTTACGAACTGTTCTTTTCCATCTCTTGCATGGCGTAGCGTTTTATAGTATAATTCGGAGTTCTTCCATGTTGTAACATGTCTTTCGGTGTGACTATTGTATTAGCCGATGCTGTCTCACGAGTCTGTAGACCAGCGGTTGTCACACTCCACTTGACACTTCGCCGGTGGAATTTCCACCTCCTGTAATCACCTCCTATGCCGAGGGATTGAGCAGGCTTGATAATTCAAAACAGCCTTTTGATTTGACTAGAATCAACATCTTCTAGCTGGTAAGACTAGACCGTAGTCAAATGGCATGCCCTAGACTCCCGACTCATTCTCAAGGTGTCGAAAGAGCCTTGATTGTCAGTGACGGGGTAAGCTGTGACACCTGTAACAAGTGTGTTTGATTCGCTTGACTTTGTGAATAAATAGTAAGCGAAAATAAATATGAGATTGGCGCAAGGACCGACATGATCACTGCACCAACATTGCTCGGTAGATTCCCCACGTCTTTTGCAAAAAGTCAAAGCTGAGCATTCGATGAAGGCAGAGATGTAGCCCAAGGCCTCTCCGTTAGGGTGGCTATATTGAGGCGCGGCCCTTACACTGCCCCTGAGCTGCATTCCACGGGCCGACTTATCCATGTCATCCATCCGCCAAGGATTCTTAAACACACTTACGAAGAGCAGGGGCCGAGTCAAGTCACAGTGACGCGTACATCCCCTATCTTGAATGCTATCCATGCTGCTGATATGTCTTCGTCGATCAGTACTTACTAGCTTGTTTAATGGCCTTTGTGAGCATTGTGACGCGCGAGTCAGCAACACCATTATGGCCTTGTGTGCACGCGGCCTCATCAAAAGGGCTGAGGCTGAATGTCTATTTCATTTTTCTTAAGTCTTCGCCTTCTAATCTTTTTACATCAATTCCAACTTGAGCGGGTCAACGGCCGTTATTTAACAGTAATGTATCACTTCTACATTTCGGAGTCATTTTTACTGGGATAATATCAACATGGACGATGAGTTGGTGCAAAGCAGTTCCAGCAACGACCCATCGACTCTCGGCAGTGTTGAACTCCATGAACCCTTGCCGCACAAGCCTGGAACCGCTTTCATTCGTGTTATTCATCTGGATCGTGACAGTAAAGATATAGACGCACCTCTCCATGCAACGCTCAAGCTCATTGATCTTCGAACGTGTCCAAAATTTGCTGCCCTGTCCTACGTCTGGGGCGAGTACATGCCTGAGCCAGACACTATATGCTGCAATGGGTACACCATCTCGATTACCAGAAACTGCAGCAACGCATTGAGATCCCTACGCGCTATCTGTGGCCCCGTCGACATCTGGGTTGACGCAATATGCATCAATCAAGATGACGAAGTGGAGAAAATCGCACAGATCCGGCTCATGGACGAGATATATACCTGGGCCCAGACTGTCTACATCTGGCTCGGCCAAGGGAACACGAGGTCCGATCAGGCATTGAAATGCCTCAAACTGGCCTCGGGTTTCCGTTCTCGACTGCCAGGCGTTCCCTGGACGGACAGCCGAAAAGTCATGACTGCTCGTCGTGATAGGTTTTTGACGGGGTTATCGATTGCGTATCTGTACATTCGGTCATTGATACCATGTGAGCCAGTGCACTTCGCAGATTGGTCTACAAAGCTAAACGCATGTCAGATTTACAGCGATTCCAAGCCTACCGTGTACGAGCGGCGTTCAACGTGCACCACCTCGATGAATTGCTCAACAGAGAGTGGATAGAGAGAGCATGGACGTACCAGGAGATCATACTGGCTTCGAATCCGGTGATCGTCTGTGGCAACAAGACCATCACCTGGTCTTGTCTCCAAAAGGGCCTTGATTACCTCAATAACCCGGTTTCCCCGTTCCACGTTCGTTTCATAGACTTGCTCAGAGCCTCGTTTTCTTATCGAGGACCAAGTGCAGCAGCTCTGGGGAAGCGAACAAGCAAGATCACGAACGCATGTCACTCGATCCGATCTTTCCACGTATGGCGAAATTTGTATAATATCTGGAGCGCAGCCTCTCGTCCTACGCATTGGAACGACCGCACGTTCAGGAGTTTTACAGTTGACGCAGAATCCGGCAGGTGCGACTGGTCCTTGAAAATTTATCAAGAACGCTTCATCGAGATGGAGAAGTCCTGGCATTATGCTAGACTCATGATAGCGTTGGCCGCTATCATCCTGATCCCCGGGGCCCTTATGGGGGCTGGTGGGTACCTTATGTTTCTCTATTATACAGAGGGGTCTTGTAGCCCCTACCCTAGCGTTGCTTTTCATACGAAGTCACTCGAGTGCAGATTCTACGGGGTAATGACCTGGGTGGTGTTTGGTCTAGGTGGCATTCTATGCGTTCTGGGGGTACTCATCACTGTGTATGCTGTGCGAACAACGCCCAAAGTCTGGTACCAGAGCGATGAGAACGGCAGATCAGTTATAGGGCCAGTGCAAGCATTGCGGGAGAGACGAGCAACAGTGCCAGCGGACAAAGCCTTCGCCTTACACGGAGTTCTGCAGCGTGTGGGTATATCTAGATCCACTCCCGACTACAGCAAACCGCTCGGTGAAGTCTACCACGGCCTGTTTCTCGACCTGTTGCGCCATCAGACATCCCTGATCAACCTACTGGTTGATATTGGACCCAGACTCCCCGGTGTGCCGTCTTGGGTTCCGGATTGGAGTTCTATCCACCGATGGAACTGGATAAGCCCCGATTACACCTATGACAACACCACACTATACGGCGCATCGTTCCCAGAGCCACAGATGAAGATCTCTGATGACAAACTGGCATTATGGGCCATCAAAAAGGGTACGATAGGCTGGATGTCGGACGCTTTCCAGGAAGTCGCGACTGAGTCGGGGCCACGTGGGAGTTCAGAGGCTTCAATTGCCCTTGCCCAGGCGATGCGGTCTTTCACTGAGTGGGTGCGTGTGATCGGAGAGTCGGCATCAACTCAAGTCGACAGCACCGACAGCGACGCTCTGGGCTCCATCTATAAGGCGTTGGTCGGAAGTCCGAAGTCACCATCACCTGAACAATTCGATATATTCAAGAGGTGGCTTTATTTAATACAAAGCCAGCTACTTGACGGACCCGTTGATGAACCAAGCTCGCCTTGGCTGTCCCTCAGTGCGGACCCTGAAGTCTTCAAGTTCACCGTATCTTGTTGCAATCAGCTCGCTGAGAGAAGGAAGCTCTTCGTTACGGCTGAAGGACAAGTCGGCTCCGGCCCTCCAACTATGGGTACTGGTGATAGGCTTGTTCTTTTGAGAGGCGTTGCGGTGCCCATGGTTCTACGGACTGCAGGTAAGACAGAAAACACGTTCGAGGTTCTGGGGCCAGCTTTTATCAGTGAGTTTGCGGACTTGTCTTCGTTTAATGGGTCGAACTTCGGGCATGACTGGGAAGCGGTATATCTAGTCTGATTTGGAACTTATTCCACTTTCTTCTGGATCGCAATCACAATAAAGAAGTATCCATTTATATCCATATATCTGATACAAACTTACGAAGAGTGGTATATTTGATACTTGTATTCAGAGTCAAAATTTTCTAGACTTGCACATGACTGTACCTTGATAGGCACTTTGAAAATCTCTAATCGCGCATGCCCCATTTTTGACACCAGGTTGTCTTGAATAAATCACAAATGTGTACTTTTCCGATCAATGCCATTTCAGTTCTCTTTACTTTCTTAGCCACGTGCAACTCGAACGAATCGGTCCAACGGCCTCTTGGTCGTTGACACTTTGTCATAAGCCAACGTCAAGGCTTGAGAAAAGCATGAAGGAACTTTTCACATGAGCACTCATACCAGAGCAATGGGCCAGAGCAATGGACTCAGCTTGGAGGTTCCCACGACACGTATAGTATTATTAGTCCAGCAATATGTACAGCCATACGGAGCGTCGAGAGAACTATGTATGCAGGAGCAAGAACCAGTGCTCTCTCTGGGATTCCCAGCAACCACTGGTGACAAACGCTTGAGGTAAGCCAATGCCACAATCCAAAATCAAGTTCTACCTCCCCCCGAAAAGCCATGAAATACCACTTATGGATGGTCTGGACCGCCAGTCCTTCCGACTCCCCGGCCCCCCTGAAAAAAAAAGGAGAAAACCGGAAGAACACAGAGTAGAAACGCCAGTTTGTGAGGCAAAAGGGATGCGCAAGCTGACCCGCGGTTGTCGGTTGTGGCACCGCCTGCTTGCTCCCTAGCCCACATGCAAATGCAACAACAGCAGAGCACCTTGTTCCCTTTTCCTCGCCATAGGGACAGGGTAAGCACGGGGTCGAAGTCCCATGGACCAGTAGATCAGGTGCCTTGGCTGCGGGCGAGACGCGACCTCCCACGACGTTTGCCCGCCTATACTGAACGGGCAGAGCAAGTTTGTAGGAACCGTCGTATCCAAACCAACCGTCCGATTATGGGACAACTATCCCGGTCACCACACTTCATCTCGCATCAGTGACCTTGGTGAGCCTTGATCCATTTTTCCAATAAGCCATTCCGCGAAAATTTTAGACGTCTCCCCCTCGCTACATTACGATGCAATCCTTTTCGTCCTTCACCTCCTTGGGCGGAGCCTTCTTCATCTTTGCGTTCCGTGGAGGAGCGACCTCCATAGGTGTGCCGCCACTGACAGCAGCACGAATTGCAGCGAGTCGCTGTTTGGCACGTTCGTCTCCAGAATCGGCCGCTTTGACGTACCAGACATTGGCCTCCAAGACGTCCCGTCGGCAGCCAATGCCCATCTCGGTGAAGTAGCCCACGGCGTATTGTGCCTTCACAAAACCTGCATAGTTGGTGATTAGTAAAAACCGCGCGGTAAACAGAGTGCTTAGAGACTTACCGAGATCCGCTGACCTGTGAGCCCATTCGTAGGCCTCTTCCTCGTCCTTCTCAAGGATTGGTTCAGCACCGACCATGTACCAGGCACAGAGACCCATCATGGCAGCTGCATGGCCCTTTTCTGCCGCGCCAGTGTAAAAATGGACACTTAGGGCAGGGTCTCGCGGGCAAGTCAGCTTCCCGTGCTCATAAGCATCGCCCATACGATAGTTTGCATCGGCGTGGCCGAGCTCGGCGGCCTGAGTGAAGAGCTCCGCAGCGTAGCTCTCGTCCTTGAATATATCGTCACCGTAGCCAGTTTCATAGAGTACACCGAGTTGATACGGGGCGGCGTTGTACATTGCATCAGATGCCTCGGTTGCTCGCTTGAGCCATTTGATACCCTCCCGGTAACGATTTTCTCCCAGATCTCCAGACAAACATGCCTTGCCAAGCCTTGTCATTGCTCCTGGGTGGCCTCTTGAGGCAGCTGTTCTGAGATACTGGACGGCTTTTGCTGGATCCTTTCGGCAACCCCAGCCAAATTCATAGCAGAGGCCGGCACGGAACCCAGACTCAGCGTGGCCATGCTTTGCAGCGAGAACAAAGAGGGGGAAAGCCGCATTATAGTCTTCCTTGCCCTTGTTGAAAAGACCTGAAGCGTAGCCGTCTGCCAAGTAGTACTGAGCAAATGGATAACCGCCATTGGCTAACCTTGTCAGTATGGTTTTGGCTTCTCGTACCAGCTCTGCAGGTGACGATTCAGCGCTTCTTCCGTCCGGACTTCCACCATCTCGTCCGTTCTTGGAAACCTTCTTTTTCGCAGGCTCTTCATGCGATAGCCCCTGTTCCTGGGCGGTGGAAATGAGGAAAACGGCAAACGAATACTGGATTGAGAAATCGTTTGTCTTCTTGACATTTTGCCTATACATCTCCAACGTCTTTTGCGCGCTGAGGAGGGATGCATTGTTTCCAACGTTGTTGCGAAGTTGCGAGTTGTCAATGTTCAGAGGTGCTGGAGCTGGCTGGGGATACGGTACATTGAGAAGTTCAGCGTAAGAGATTGGGCGGGTTTCTGGCGATCTTCGAGCCTGCGATGATACAGAGCGACCGTGTACGCCCTGGCCCGACATGGAATACACAGAGTATGCGGAAGCAGGACGTGGCATGGAGCTTCTCCTCTGATAGACCGAGTTGGGTGTCAGATGGCGGTTGATGGCCATTCCGTGTTCGGCAAGGTCTGTCGTTGACGAGTTTCGCGAGTTCGTCGGCAAAGGAACGCTGCCAGTTCGAGGGACCGGAAGCACCGGTTGATGATGATACTGCAACTGGGGCACCGGCTCGGATTCCTCCAGGCCTCCCTCGATGATGGACTCATCCTGAGAAGTGCCCTCTGTCAGGATTTGACTCTCAGAAGCATCTTGAGAAACTGAGCTCGGATTTGTTCCAGCAGATGACCCTGAAGAAGCCTGCTGCTGCGTGCTAGCAGTTGTTCCCGATTCCCGGCTGTGTCGGTTTTGGTCATGGTTGTGCGATGTTTCATGTAAGTTCCGGTCGCCTGATTCTGGTGCGGCAGTCTCGTCCTTGTGGCCTGCTACAGTCCTAACCTGAATTATCGCGGGGTTCACGGGCTTCTCTTCGCCAGTCCTATGCGGCAAGTCCACTGCAAACGTAGGCGGTAGGGGTTTTGCCAGGCTCTGCTGTATTGACGGACGGCGTTGTTTCGGGAGCGAGGCCTGGGAGGCACCCGGATGCATCGGACTGTGTGGCGGCGGTGGAGGAGCATCTGGTGACTTTGGCAGTTCACGATCAGAATAAGTCTCGAGTGCGGGCTGGAGTGCTTCTGCCCCGCCCTCAATACTCGCATTAGATGGTTGTGCCCAGTTCTCTGGGTGGAAGCTGAGTCGAACAGGAGACACGGGTGCACCTTTGATCGTGGGGGACTCGACGGGCGCAACTGGCAACGGCTTGGACACGGAATCCTCAGTGGTATCACTCCATCGGTACCGCGGCGGAGACGGGTCTTGCGCGTGTATAGGTTTGCGTTGAATCGCCCTGGGCGGGGATGAGGCCCCGGGCGGCGGCGATGTCGTCGCAGCCGTAGCCATTGCCTCACAATGGGCGCGCAGACGGTCTGTCTTCCCGAATCCGACCAGGCTCGCTCGGATGGGTTCCTGCTTCACCGGTTGCCGTGTAACTGGTGCGTCTCCCTCGGCAGGCCCTCAGCCCTGCTCTCTTCCCTGGTGCAACCCAAGCACGACGTCGATGCCGGCCTGTATTCTGGTGGTAATTACGCCAACTGTGTTCTCGTGGGCCGAGTCCGCTGGGCGAACAAGTGCTGGTGCTACGGGCGAGCGCACAAGCAAGTGCAAGGAGCGGTGGCGGGCAGTCTAACGATGAAGGGATCGCCGCTGGTGTTTCGAAAGGCAACTCAAAGCTACAGAGGGTATCTCTCAACAATAATGCTAATCTTGATGCAAATGCCTGTTAGAAGGAAGATCGTGGCCGCAGAAGAACATGAAAGTCAGGGCCAAGAACCAAGAAGGGGTGGAGGGAAGCCGGGCGGAAAGCAATTCTCCTAACGGTGCTGCTGGCTGTGCTCGTGAGGCTCCAGGTGCCTTGACGTTGCCTTCCCACGCAGCTGGGAGAGATCAGTGGCCCGGCGGTGTTTTAGACTGGAGTTTAACGGGGGGAAGGGAAGATGCAGGTTGCATGCGTAGTGCATACATGTACTGTAATGGAATCCGTTCGCGGGCTTGGGCCAGGCTG